CAATTGATTGAATGGTTGTTTAATCAGAAAATATTTAAGAAGGTAGGTTGCTGAGGCGGTGTGGGTTTTGAGGGTGGCCGAAAAGTGGGGTAGTTGACTTATACCATACATTCCGACCCAGAAGACTATACCAGCAAAGAAAGATCAAGGCTAGAGATAGAACTAGAGCTAAAATTCTTAAGACCAGCTAAACAAGATAGTTTCCTTTCCTCCTCACACCATATATAGCCTCCCTCCATTACCACAATTTCTCTGAAAAAAGGTGCTACGCATTTTTTGAGGTTTCCTCGTCTCGCAGAGACTCGCACTGCATACCATGAGCATCTGTGCAAAGGGCTAATCTAACCGGATACATAGCCTTCCTTCGAAGCAGATATAAATCCGAAGGCTATGTATGTATGTAGCTGGTCAGACTGGTAATAAATTGCACATGTCACCGCCTTTGCACAGACCACGCAGTAGTTCGCTGTAAGAGTCGCTACGCTCCGTCGTTTTTTGAGCGACGATTGGACTAAGAATAGGTGAAAAGAAGTGTGTGAGCTGGCACCACCAAGACAATCCAAAAACACCCCCTCCTGAACTCCAACTGATGTATGCAAGAGATTGTCAATGTACAAACAGTCAGAGCATAAATCCTGCCCCACGTCAACGCGCCCAATGCAATGCAAAGCTCGTCGACGGACCTAGTGGGGAGGAACAGGTTTCAATAGTCACATCCACCCCTGATCGTGACTATGTATTAAGAACATAATTTGACCGATATCACCAGTCCAAGGTTTTCCACGATTTCCGTTTACTGGTGGGAATTCTCCTACACTAAATTACTCGATCTAGTGAGATATCCATCCGTCTCCGAATACCTATGAGCTAGAGAGAATTTCCCATAGCTGCATTTTACAACAGTATCGTTCGTTAACCTTCCTACTGGCGTCATTTGTTCTTGATTTGAGACATGGTGCGTTGATTAATTTCCCACCGTGGCAAGCGTTTGACGTCCTAATCCAACTTCAACCAGCGCATCCAAGGTTTGCGGACTAAGTTTGTAACCCAACCGCACCTGTGAATCCGTTTTGTAAGCGTAGGTACAACAAAGACCATCTGGAGCTTTGGAGATATTTGACCATCCCCTGGCAAGACGTGACCATCCCAACTCCCGGCAATCGCCGCCGCTTAGCTCTGGTTTGAGGTAGACTACAACAGGCACAAATAACCTAGCCCCTGGTTACGTGTCCGCCGAGCCTCCTTCGTAGATATTTTGGGGCCGAGTCCCCAGCGCTGGCTCCGGAGCAAAGTTGACTCAATGATGCAGAATAATTGAGCCGCTTACTATCACGCTTATCTCCTTCAGAAAATATCCCACAAACTAAGGGAACTTGACCTCTGTGGAGATATCCACCTTTGTATAAAGCGTTACCAATTAAGGCGTTGCATTTGAATACCAGGTGTTCCACAGGTGCCCGTCAGACGTCCAGACAGATTCTGAACGCCCTGTTATTCCGGTCAATGTTGCAAATCCCAACGCAACACAAACTGGGCCTTTTAAAGTCCTGCCCAGGACAAAATGAATTTCCGAAACTTCGCAATTTGATGATGGAACAGAAAATGCCAAGCATGTGAAGTCCTGCCTAGGACGACATGCTCTTCGTTTGATTCATACACTCGGAAGACTGGATGTGCTGGATTACCACCAGCCGATGATCGTGAGAATTATTGGACGTGCAGCCAAGATCTAGCGATATCGTAGTTTATTGGACCAATAGGAGACTTTAGGCTTATATCCAATATCCTAGGTTCAACCGAAAAATTCTCCACCCACCAGCGTCTCCCATGGTTTCCCAAGTTCCCAAACCTTCTCCATCAATGTCCGCGCTTTATGTGCTTGTGTCATTCCGTATCTCTCAACCCTGTTCATTCGTTCCAGGATATCGGACCTTTGCTTCTCATCCCGAATGTCACAACCAGCGGTAAACATTGGAAATAACAGGCAAGCTTCAGCGCTACTTCCTTTCCGAATTTTTTTAAATGAACCAAGGATCTCACCAACGGCGTGCTGCACATCTTCGTGAGATGAGTGTTTTCCGAGTATCCTTCGATGGAGGTGGACGAGTCCAGCAGAATGAAAGGCTTCATTAGTTGCGGCAACCTCAAGGCTGTCCCACCCATACTCAGCTTCGGACTTGGATTGCATATGAGTGCATGATTTAGCTGGGTGGCGACGCGACTCGACGAGATCTGCTTCTAGTTTGTGGGCACGGATTACAACGTCATCAGATGGTTGCCAGTCGATTTTAATAGTTGAGTCTGAATTAATGCGATGCGCATCACATTGGCGGGCAAGGTTGGCAACTTTAGCCAGTATACGGACGCAACGGCTGGTGAAACCGAGGATACAATCAATCTGATAACCGAATTCTTCATCTTCCGCTTCATAGTCCAACATCCAAGCCGAAGAAAGATTTTGACCACCACTCATACTGCCAAGGACATCCAAATATGCAAACCAACTCCATAGAAAGGACGATACCTTGTCTTTACGGGATACCGTTTGCATCCGGTGGGCACCGCCTCTAGCAACAAGCATTTGACGCGCAAAATCAAGGTGCTTCTGCCAAGGGACGACCACTCCAAAGACCTTCGGAGAGATTATTTCCAGAGATGCAAGCATGATCACCGTCGCCAGATTAACATTCGAGGTGATCTTTTTGGGGTCATCCAGAGCATGCCTAAGGTTAGGAAAGATGTCTTTGACCCACAAAGCTATGCGAGTGGCAGGCTCTGGTTGTCTCAGTAGTCTGGCTCTATGCGTGGCAGAGTATGCAAGCAGGAGATGCAGAAGATCGTCGTCGTGAACGGCCATTTGCGGTAGAATACTTCGGAATGGATTAGACGAACAATTATGCGGTATCAAACAACCTGCTGTGTGATTGAGAAAATGATGCTAAAAACATTAGTTATACCACCTCAAAGTCCCCGCCCGAGAAATGTCTTACAAAATACTGAATTTCGATTAGTAAATATCGAAGATGGAAATTTGGTAAACTCACAAGTAGGTTCATGGGATTTTCAAGTAATTTCGTAGGAAGCGGTTGGAGCACACGAGGTATGGATATCGAAACCGGTTTATCGTAGTATCCAATTCCAAGAGCCGTCTCATTGGTTTCCATGCCGAATGCAAACTCCACTGGTAACAACTCGCCTTCATTATCTACATGAGACTCTTGGTGAATACCCTCCAGCGCAGGAGACGACTCTGATATTGCATTGGCATCATCACTCTTGCCGATATCCAGATCCACCAGCCCTCGGTCAACGCCCCACGTTTCGGTATCCTGATATACATCATGCATGTACGGTGTCCAGTCTTGGCTTTGGTAGTCCCATTCTCTGCCATTGCTGTGTTGCTCTGAGGGTGCTCCTTCAGGTGGGCCCGATAATAATGAACTAACGGAGAGTCTGCGTGCATATTCGCGGCTTGGTATAGTTTTAGACTTATTAAGATCCCTCCCACGTATCAACCCATTTTCTACCTGGGACATAACAGTCATTGCATTTAGAGGTTCGTCGGTGAAATCCGAATTGGGCACCAAGGGAGGAAGCATTCGAGATGTGTAAAGCGAGCTTTCATATCGAGTGCGTTTGGCAGGTCTGTCCATTGTAGAGCTTTCTGCTGCTGGCGTCCCGTGGCCGCTTTCGAGATATTGCGGAGTTGACAAGGGGGTTTCGGTGTTCGGAGGTGCAGTTCCGTTTGTTATTGGACTTCCAGATTCATCCACGACTTGAAGATGACCAAATATCGATAGGCCAGGTGACTGCACTGAAACTGGAGTGGTAGGCACACTAGATTGGTATCGTTCAAAACTTTGAGGGTGTTGTTGATCCAGGCGACCATAACCCCTAGGCAACGTATCTTGCAACGTATCTTGGAAAGTTATAATGGGAAGGTAGGCAGGTCTAGTCAAGGCCGGATCAATCATTGACATGTCCGCCATTTGTTCCCCATATACTGCATCATTGTGACTCGTATGTTCATGTCGAGGCGCAGATACCGTGGTAACGGATTGAAAGCTTGTGAATGATGTCGAGGAATGATTATTTGCGTCTTGTGTTGTTTGAGTTGTTTGGTTCGAAGCCAAAAAGTTTCCTTGCCCGGTGTCAATATCATTTTGGACTTTCTTCTTGCCTCTCCCCTCCCAATTGAGTCGTATGCTATAGTCGCAAGCCTCCTTCTGCTTCGAACAATTTGTACATGTTGGTCGAGTTTCATCACATTTTACTTTTCGAGCTTTGCAGGGCCTGGAGGTATATATAATCAGTAAAAGAAATCGATGATATCATCATTGCCAATAGCGTACCAACAGCCATTCCTACTCCTCTTCTTAGGTTCCGGTGCTCCCACTTTCTTTGGACGTGGCATGATGAAAATGAATGAGTCGTGTGCAAACTAAAAATGACGATCTCGATTTCCGACATTGACTTAGGTTGCTAGATTTTTCATAAGTTGGATTAGTAGGATAAACTTTGAGTTTAGTAGATGGCGCTATTGGATTTATCTGCATCGACATAACGATAAATGGATGGAAAGAAGCCGCAATGAAATGTAATCGCTGTGAACAAGATTTTGGAATAATGAGGTTTCTCGAATTTCTCATAGGGAGGTACGAGAAGTTGAATTGAGTGAAGTCAAATAAATGCAATGGAAATTCGTAATGTTGTACACTGAGTACTGTATAAAGCATTGGATGGGTTGGGTGAGTTGTCGGTTGAAGAAAGGTGGAACGGGGTAGGGATGAAGGATGAAATGAAAAGGCTCCAAAATTATTCGATTAGGTAAGATTGTCAATACGCGCTACTCGGTAAGCTTGTTTAATGGGATCTTGCGCTAGTCCTAATTGATTTTGATTTTGACAGATGTATATACAACTCGATTACTCGATGACAGCTTGAGTCAGGTCTTATATGATCCAATTCTGATATATACCGGTATAAGCTCTCTATTACAATTACATAATATCTATATTAAGAATTTTGATATCTTCCTCCGGCTTCTCTTTATAAACTCTCGTATTCTCAATCTTATGAACAACATCAAGACCTTGAATAGCCCTTCCAAATATTGTATGTTTGTTATCTAACCATGGCTGTAGAAAAAAAAGACTTAGTACGAAGATCAATAGAAGAACTAGCAGGAGAAGTATGAACTTACAGTTTTCTCAGTTGTAATGAAAAATTGACTACCGTTTGTATTTGGTCCCGCATTCGCCATACTAACGGTATAAGGTTTGTCATGTCTGAGAGGACTAAATTCATCGGCAAACTCTTTTCCCCATATACTTTCACCACCGGTACCATCTCCCAACGGATCTCCACACTGAATCATGAATTTTCGAATGACTCGGTGGAATATAGTGTTGTTGTAATAGCCTTGTTTTGCGTGCGTCACGAAATTCTCCACTGCTTTTGGAGCTGCGTCTGGGAAGAGGCGTATGTGAATATCTCCATACGTGGTGTGAACAACAGCAGCCGTTCCGGTCTCGGCTGTCTTCGCGTCTGCCAATTTCTTCGAATTTGTGTTGGTAGGTTTCTCATTTTGCACATCTCGCTCAGATTTGGAAATCTCTTCATCGTTTGTGAACATATAGAACCGCACTTTACCAACTCCGGTCGCAAATAAAATTGGGTCTCGAACTTCGGATTCCTGCAAGAGAGGATTGTTGGATGCCGCCATTGCAACTGTTGTAATACCCTTCTTTTGTGGTTGGCCTTGGTACATGGCAATGTTGAGGGGTCTAAAGTTCTCATCTCCTCCATATACCTTGACGACTCGATTCGTATAAGTATTCAAAATCTTTGTGCCCAATATTGACCCATAGATAATAAAGTGTCCCGATTCGTCAAATATAACATTGGCCTTATTTCGTAACGTTGGTGTTTCGATTTCGCGTTCTGTAGCAAGCCGGCGACCGAATTCTAAATCTTCAAATGTCTTCAATGATGTCCCCGCCTGTTGCATCTCCTCTATAACCTGCAGCGATTCGTCGTATGTGCGGTATAATTTCCCAGTTGCAAAATCAAACACGCGAACTTTTCGATCAGGGAATGAGAAAGTTGCAAACTGAGAGCCGGTTGGAGAGATTGTTAGGGAAGTGGGTGTTGATTTCGCTTTCTTAAATTCGAATAGGTTCGTGGAAGTCTTGTACTCGAAAACGTTATCTGGCTTTTCATAATTTCCTCCTGGACGCCAGTATTCAATCATTCCATTCTCATCGGCCGATATCACACAATCATAAGCATCATTAAAAGCCATCAGCGAGACGACGCTTCGATGCAAGCCTGTAATTGTATGAATTGATTCCTGGTTCTCCCCACGACCATCGTATATCCGGATTGTATGATTAACTTCGTCGGAGACAGCTAGTAAAGGAAGAGACGCGCCACGTCGATGTATCCAACAAACACATTTCGGTGTGAATTCTAAAGTCAGCATTGACAAGAGATCAAAAGTCATCACGTCGAATATCTTGATTGTTTTATCTACTCCAGCTGTCGCGAAACTTCGCCCATCTGCACTGATCGAAACACTCTTAATCTCTCCAACATGGGTTTTGAACTCCTTGACGAACTCGATGCCATCGCCTCCTTTCTTCCAAAATTTGACAACTCCATCGACAGAGCTTGTGATTAAGAAGTCCGTCAATGGAGTCATGGTGACAAATGCAATTTGCTCTTTGTGCATAAGAGATTTTGAATACCGCGCAGAAGTTGGGAGAGCTGAAATATAGAGCTTTTCGTAGGGAAGCTTGCGACGCTTTTTCTTGGGAGCTTCCGCAGATGGAAGTTGAGGTCCCATATCATCGTCGGACGAGGATTCTTCATCTTCTGCTGCATCGAGCTTCCGCTTATTAGAATTGAGAGCTATATCCGCCATCTTGATGAATTGAATTAAAGAAGATTGTGTTTATCGTTGAAAGGCCGAGAATTAAAGAATTAAAACATCAAGTTGACGTGAACCACAAAATAATGCTGCAAGGCTGAGGTTACTTTATATTAGCGCGTTTTCAGTAGTGCAAGGCTAGGTGTAGTAGCCTTCCTTATCTAAGATTCTTGCCCCTACTCCACCCACCACACAGAACGTCACTGTTGAGAATCCAATACTTGAGTATATCTTCCTGGTCTTCCGAGTAGGTATGATTGTACTTTTTCTTCATTAAAGAAGATATTACCCAGAAACCTATTCACAAACCATGAAACCTACTGCTGCAGCCAACAAGCTTACCTCTCGCCACCCACTTCAATATCTCTCATCCCCCTCTCCAACAATCTCTGCTCTCATCCATCTCATCGGGCTCGCTTCCTTCTCTCTGTCCTATAAATATCTCTTCGACTTCCCAACCTTCATCAACACCTCTTATGGCTGGCACTTCCAATATCTCACCATCATTGGACTTAGCCTCGCTTTCCTTACTTTCATCTTCGGTTTTCTCGCCGATATCACCCTTTCTCCAAAACTTTTCCTCATCAAGAATTCTCTCTCATTATGTTCTGCTCCTCTCGAGGTGTTGATATCTGTACTTTATTGGGGAATCTCGGCTATTGATAAGAAGCTCTTGGTGCCTCCAGAGATCTATATCAGTCCTTGGGCTGATGTCGGATTTCATGCTATGCCGGCAATATTGTTGACCGTTGATCTATTGTTTTTGAGCCCGCCGTGGACGATCAATGCATTGCCCGCGATGGGACTGTCATCAACTTTAGCTATTGCATATTGGGCTTGGGTGGAACAGTGTTATAAGTATAATGGATTGTACGTACTAGTTTTATATCCGACGAAGATTCTGATCAGGTGCTAATTTACACTTAGTTATCCATATCCATTATTCGGACATCTGGACACAACACAAAGAGCTATGCTGTTTACTGGAGCTGCATTAACGATGACGGTGAGTACAGCAATGCTAAAGTGGCTTTATGGAAGAGTCAATGGTTTGCAGGGTGCTCAATATAGGAGCACACCAAATAACATTAAGGGGGAATAGATGCATTGATATAGGGACGGCTTAGATAGAGAAGGCCTATATAGCTAGATGGTTCGGGACCTTATGATGTTCTTCATATACACAGCAATGAAAGATTTTTGACACAATACAGCAATGCGACACATCAATTAGTGTGGCCCCCTAAGCTAGCCGAAGCTTTTGTGTTACTTTACTCGAGTACATATATATCTTTCATCTCTAGACAATAACCCAAATTGATAAAATGTAAGAACTCACTCAACACACTACTCGAGTATATTAAACTACTATCTCAACAAAATAAATAACATAGCCTTCTGACTTCAGAACCCTCTCATCGGTCCGATGAGGATCCCAAATTAGTCACGGAAAATGGTCTCAAATGCATATGCAATATGTCATATCAATTAGTGTGGCCTCATACTCGAGTAATCTAGCCGAAGCTTTTTGTACCATCTTCCATCGACCCCTATCATTTCTAGCGAATGCAACATCTTCAACAGACCACATTAACTCAATATTTCGACAGAACAAACAAATCGCATAATTTTTGGAACCCCCTCATCTACCGGATGGAGATCTCAAACTAATCCTCGAATTTAACCTCAAGTACATGTGAAATCTCGCGGCACTCTTTTAGTATATGGTCAATAACCAACTCTAACTCCAAGTCCATCTCAATCTTTTCAAGTATTTCCAACCCTACAATCCAATAAATAAGTCTCTTCATCATGAACAAACATCTCCATACAATCTCTACCTCTACCTCCATCTCCAACTTCAACTCTAATTCCAATTCCAATTCCAATATCAATTTAGCTTGCACAAGTGTTTTCCAACCCGATAATTCGAAGAATACGTTTCTCCACTATAAACATCCATCTTTACCTCCAACTGCAACTCCACACTCACATCCAGAACATCAAAATCCTCCCACCAAACCAAACATCTCTACCTCTATCTCCATCTCCATCTCTAACTCCACATCCAAAGGACTAAGCCATCACCAAATCATCACCAAATCATCACCCAATCCACCTCCAATCAAACTCCTCTCCGGCTGCCCTCTTCCTCCTGTCTTATCCTTCTATCCTCTTATTCTATTCCCCTATCCTCATATTCTCATATACGCATCCACCTCATAACTTTGAACTTTGAACTTTGAACTTTCAAACAATAATTCAACGTTTGAAAACTCCCATCCCATCCTATCCTATCCCATCCTTCAGATTAAGATATGCAACATAATAAATAGTATTTGAAAAGTTAGACAGAACAAGGAGTCTCAAACAAACCATTAAAGGTTATAATAAAATATAATAAAATAACAGCATTTCATATAATTACTACACAAAATTAAATAGCCGCGGCGTACTAAATATCTTGATATTAAATAAACACTACTCGAGTATTCTTTTATATACTCAGTATCAAAGATTAAACAAAACTAAGAATATCAACAAAAATCAATAGAATAATCAAAGAAGTTCAATCCTAGACTTAGTTAGACTTAGACTTAGAATAGGGATAAGAGAGAATAAGGATGGGATATTTAAAACGCTGCTTGAAGTTTCAAGTTTCAATTTTGAACTTTGAACTTTGAACTTTCGATAATTATACTCGAGTACATGCTATGCTATGCTATTCTTCGCAGTTCTGCTGGATTCAAAATCGTATACCTTTATATCTTTATATATATACTTGAATATATAATCATCACATCACATCACCATAAACACCCCTTAGAATTCCGCATGCCTCGTTTATCATTCATCCATCCCTCATCCTATCACTCATCCTATCCCTCAGCCCTCATCCCCCATCCCTCATTCATCCCTCATCCATCCATCCATCCATCCATCCATTCATCACATAACCACCTAACCACATGACCAACCATAAGCCTCTTTTCAAAATTTTAATTTTTTTTATCTGGAAATCTAGCTAGCTGACTATATATAATATAATATACTCAATCAAGTACTATACCATACTCAAATACTATACTATATAAAACATTCGTTATTCCTTGCTGATTCAAGTTATTCAAGTTATCCGAGGTGAGAATATAATTACAGTGTATCTACTCGAGTACCTGTAATTAGTTAGTTAGATAGTTAGTTGATAGGAAGGGTATATGATGGGATGAGATGGGATGAGATGAAAATCACGAGAATCGTGAGAATTATTAGGAAAATGAGAAATCGAGATGAAATGAGATGAAATATGAGGTATTGGTATTGATATTAGTAATTATATGAGTACAATACAATATGAGTACAGACAGTGGATACAGAATATCAACATCAACATCAACATCAATATATACTCAAAAAAAACGAACACCTCCCATCCACTATGTAGACCAGACCATTTATTATAATCATACCAGAGTAGTCAACAATTAACAATACAATCAACATTCAATATACAACATCCCATTTATTTTTACAAAAATTATTTCCCTATTCTATCTGCCACCATCTCATCTCATCTCATACTCTTACCCCTCCTCCCTTCCCTACTTCCCTACCCCACAACATCCACCCCCAAAACCCTCATCCCACCCCCCTCATCCCAAGCAATCCTCCCCTCCATCGCAGCCCTCATCAACACCTCCCCCGCAACCTCTTTCTCCCCGGTAAATGGATCCCAGGCAAACCCCTCCTTCAACCACATCCACCTGAGAAACGCCCTCAACTCTTTATCTTCCGGCACCACTCTCATCCATTCGGGTTGAAACCCTTCTTCTCCATTCCCCTCACCGTTCCAACCTTGAGCTTTTCCTAGTAGGATATCCCGACAGAAGATGCGCCAACTATCTAGTGCATACGGCCCCTGAGTCATATGACCGATTTCCCACGCTGTACGCGGGTCCTCCTCGGATTCTTCGGGGAGAACTTCACTTTTCTTGACATCGCGACCTAGACCTTGGATGGGGTAATCGTGCACTGCGTAGCGTTTATATTTAACCGGAGGATTTTCGCAAAAGATTTTAGCGTAGGCTTGGTAGGTAGCGGCACGTTGATTTTGTAAGCCGAGATGCCGGATGACGGAGACGATGTCTTCCTTTGAGGCATCGACTAGTGATTTGGGGGTGGGATAGTGTTCCATGAGAGTGTAGAAAACTGGTATGGCATGTTTACCATGAGTGCGATTGAGAAATGTGACGGCGATGAGAAGGCGAAATGGATCGTGGGCGAGTTTCTCTTGGATGATTCCAAAATGAGGTGCGGATAGAGGTGGAAAAGGGATACACGAAATGGTGCCAGCGGGACGTTTCTTAGGGGTTCCCTTCTTTGGGGATGAATTCTGCATGGAAGCTTCTTGAATTGCTATGTGATTTTTTGATTTGGACGGAGTGGGAGCGGGTGATTGAGTAAAGTAGGGAGAATGTGCAGGCGGTCTTTGTTTCCTGCCTGATCTCAGAAGACTAGGGACATCAACTTCAATCATGTCGGCAGCGCTACTATCTGAAGCAAGAAAGGGGTGATCGGTTATGCTTAGCTCAGATAGCTTAGAGGAGTCACTCTCATTCGCACTGAGATTAGGGTTGTCTGTATTTCTTAGGATAGGTAGTTCCATATTGTTAAATGACTTTAGCGTGTTTGAAGGTGTTTGAAATTCAGAAACTGAATTCGACCGGGATACGCAGGTGATTGACTCGTAAATATCGTCATCATCATTGTTTCCAGGAGTGTTGCATATTCCTTCCAATCCATCATCCATGGCCTCAATCATATCGTCGCTATGGTGACTCGAACTAATATCCAGAAGTTGACTACCACTCATAGACCCTGGCCTTTCTACGAGTGGTGAGCTTTTGCCGATGATCTAGTGGTTCTGGCGGGAGAGTCGAGTCCAGTTGTTGTAGCAAGAACAGCAGCTACAGCTTTCGGGACTCTGACACGTTTGGCTTTTGTACCACTAGCAGCTCCCGGAGATTTAGGGGCGGCCTGATCCTTATTTGCTGTCTTTGCTGGAGCTTTCCCTTTCTTTGCAGTCGCCGCCTTTGTTAGTGCAGGCGATTTCAAGGGGGCCTTGAACTTTTGGTTCTTGTATGCAAGAGGTGTTGCTGAGGGTGTCTTGACCTTTGGGCCCTTGGTTGTAATAGGTGTTGTAGGCTTTATTGGTGTCCCTTCGGTCTCCAAGCGGTTGTTGTTTCTGACCCTTCTTCTCGAACGCTTCTTCGCACTTGCACTGATCTCCACTTCCTCCTTGGATTCGTCGAGTTCTGATTCTGCGTCGGCTACAGGTGCAGCGTCCTCCTCTTCGGTTTTGTCTTCTTCTTGAGCAACAGGTGAGGATTCCTCAGCTGACAGTACCTCCTCTTCTTGGTCCTTGGATTCTTCTCCGGAGATTTCTGAGCCGACTTCATTTTCCTCAATTTTCTCCTCCTCAACTTCCTCCTCATCTACTTTCGCCTCCTCTACATTCTCCTCAGAAGTTTCTTCTGGAACCTCCGAGTCGATTTCTTGATCCTCTATTTGTGCTGGAGCCTCAGACTCGGCGATAGACTCTGGACTATCTTCGACGAGTTGCTCAATGACAGGGTCCGAAACAGCGTCCGTCTCAGTAGCAGCCGCTTTAGAAGTTTCCTTTTCAGCTTCATTTTCTTCCTCAGCATCATCTTCTTCGGGAGCATCCTCCATAGGCACATCATCATCTACCTTACCCTCAGCATGAGCCAAAGATACCCTCGCAGCAGCGATCTTTGCCTCTAGACCGATTGGCGCCACCTTTCCTTCCTTAAGATCTTTCCAGCTGCGCTTCGTCTTCAATTTCTTGCTGCTCTCCTTTGCCGCCTCTTCTCCCAGACCAGCCGCCTCACCCTTCGACTCATTACTCAAACCAATAACTTGCGCCTTCAACCCCTCTCCAAAGAATTCCGAAGTCTTCGGTCCTTTTGGCGCCTTGTCCCCAACCTTCTTTGCCACCTTTCCTTTCTTATTATTATTTCCATGTCCTCTCTTCAAATCCCTGACCTGCTTCTCTAACGCTTGAATCCTCTCCCTATCTTTCCTCTTCTCCTCCGCATCCTTTCTCTTTGCCTCGATATCCCTCTTCTTCTCCTCCGCCCTCCTCAGCTTATCCTCTTGCTGCTGCCTTAAATTCTCCTCATACTTCTTTGCCTTCTCCTCTCTTTTCTGCTCTTGCAAGACAGCCATTTGTTCATCTCTAACCCTCCTTGCCTCGGCCCTCTCCACAGCCTTCTCTGCAGCCTTCTTCTGTCTCTCAATTGCCTCCTCCGCTTCTCGAATTATACCTGCAGCTCTTTTAGGTGCTTTAATTGCTTCCTTCTTCTGTCTCTTGGCTTGGCGTTCGGCTTTGAAATCGCGTTTGCGCTTATTGCTACCAGCAGGCTGCTCATTGTCGTTTGGCGCGACAGTGTCATCCTAATTGAAGAGTTTAGCTATTTTCTAACAGGTGGGTTATTAGGATAGGTAAGGTCAAAATATACCTCGTCTTGAGAAGTTTTTGCGTTGGAAAAGATTTCTCCTCCCTCTCCTGCATCACCAGTGGCCATTCCATTGTCCATCAGCACATCATCAGCTTTCTTTTCTGATCCAGTTGACGACCCCGCGGCTTGAGCACTGGTTCGTTTCGTCATATCTTCAGAGATTTTATTGTCAAATACTTTTGACGAACCAATTGATTTTGATAGACCGCTTGGGTTAAAAGTGTAAACAAGAAAATTCAATTGATACAAATCTCGAATACAAAATCAAAATCGCGTTGCTCACAAATACTTACTTATCAAAAGCAACAGAGGAAGCAGAAAAATAGAATCTGGGGTATCAACTTTTTTTTTATTTAGCGAGGACATTTTTTTCTGTTACATGCTGGTTGTTGCAGCAATATTCACTCCGAGGGGTCCACATAAAACACTAGGATATTTCGGCCGGTCTACCCATATGCAATACGATTGGTGTTGAAGGGATTTTATATGAGCTACCAGTTGTTGTAATTTGAAAAATTATCATTGTAAGGCTTCCGTAAGTAATTTCAAAGTCAAATGGATATTGGAATACATCTAATTTGCTACCACTCTTGAGCATTCGCTCCCAAAGTGAAGCTTTTATCTACTACCCTCATTCGAAAACTTCCCCTTTGTACAATTCGCGCAGTAAGATAAGACTAGTGGTACCATTTATTTCCTGCCCTTCGCTCCCCCAATAAACAAAAGAAGTTGAGAATCTAGTGATGTCTAGGACCGTTGCCAGTGATGGGTGGGTTATACACAATCTTTCTTGTCTTGACAGGAGACCACTTGTAACGCTTGACCCAAATACTCAATGCAAAAAGCATCGATCCAATAACCAAGACCTTCATACCCATCTTCTTTCGTTGATCCATCTCGGGTTCGGCTGACCAGTTGAGGAATTCCACGACATCTTTGGCCATTTGTGATGCTGATGCTGGAGTACCATCATCATATTCGACGAGTTCGTTGTAAAGAACACGACCCATAGCAATACCGGTACCTGGGAAATATGGATTGAAGTTAAGTCCTTCTGGGACCACGGCTCCTGCTGGAACCTCTTCTGGGTAACCAGTCAATAAATTGAAGATATAGTTGGCACCGCCATGTCTGGCCTTGACCATCAGACTGAGATCAGGTGGCAAAGCTCCGTTATTAGCAGCACGAGCGGCCTCGTCGTTCTTGTATGGGGATGGAAGGTAATCGGAGAGTTTTCCAGGACGCTTTTCGATTTCACCCTCATCGTTTGGCTCGTTGTCGTATTCGTTCTCTTCGGCCATAACCTTCGCCTCATCGACCGTATGTGTAACACCAACCAAAGCTCTGTATGGGATACGGCTCAAGGAGTGGCAAGAAGCGCAAACTTCTTGGTAAACTTGGAAACCTCTTCGTAGTCTATTTGATCGTTAAAACGTGCCACCTTTCTGGTGGGGATTGAGGTTCTTACGCTTGGTGATCATATGTTTTTGTGTATTGTTGGTGAACCCAAGGGTATTGTGTTGGATGGAGACTGGTTCCATATCAGTATCGTATTCCAACTCATGTTCTGCCCGTCTTCCAATCTTCATTTGATATTGCCAGAGTTCCCATCACCCCGCAAATGTCCGACTTGGCTTGGAGAGATATGTGACTACTCACCCTTCTTCGACTGGTGTCATGGCGTTTAATGACTGGCCGTATGTGCTATAGTACCAGGCGATGGAGCTGGCTGCCACTGCGGTAGCAGCACCTGCAGCCATGTTGATACCGAAGGGAGAGGCGGCTTCGGTGGAAGTAGAAGTAGACGCGGCACGCTGTTGGATGTAACATTAGCCTTCAGTTCAACACAATGGATAGATTCCATAACGTCGCCGCCCTCTACATCGAAGTGGTGTGTTTGTTGACTTCGGAATTGGGAAGTGATTGTACCTTTGTAGCGTTAACCACATTATTCCGTACGCCCCCGAACGAGCGCATTGAGCGCAGGCATGATCTGGTTAACATATTGAGCAAAATATACCTTGAGCTGGGAATCAGTTCAAGGTGGGTTCGACAGCTCAATTGAATGATAGGATTCGAGATATAAATTATTAGGTTGCGGCGACAAATAGTTCGAAAATGATCCGAAAAAGAAGCTAAATTATGCCTTAGGCACAGGCTTACAACTGAACAGATTTTGATTGGCTGACTTCCCTCTACACGATTATTTCTCGGCATCCATCGTTTACAAAAACCTTTGATATCAAATTATCCTCGGGAATAGGATTTCTTCAGTATTCAATGGCCATGGTCAATATCGACCAGTTTTGATCATATTTTCATCTTTACAATTACATTTTCAAGTGGAGGATTTACGCATATACGCTGACAAATAGTATCAAGAAGAACATGATTGGCCTTCTCATTCCAAGTCGAATTGTAAGATCTTACAACACAATGCCATTGGTTTCAAATATTTACATTCATATTTAGATTTATATTATTTTATAACTCTTTAATTTCAAGTCGAATTGTACTCGAGTACAATACAATAGCTTTGGCTTGAAACATTTCTATCACTTTACAATCTTTTTGTTCAGATCAAATTATACAACACCATGCTTTTGGTTTCAAATATTTCCATTCCTTTGCAAAATCTACTTAGTAATTATTCAGAAAACTCATGTTCCAATCCAATCCAATCCAATCCAACTCCTCGCCGGTGGAGGTTTCCATGCCCATGATATAAACCCATTTTCTATCTAAACAACCGCATGATATTATTTATTTCTCCTCAAATCTCAGTTTGCCCCATTCTTAAGCTCTCTTCGCTGCTGGACAGCCTTGGCCAGACCTTCAAGGACTGACTCGGTGTCATCCCATCCAATACAAGCATCAGTGATACTCACACCGTATTTGAGACCGGCTTTTCCTTCTTTGGGAACCTTCTGAGCACCTAATTACAAAGTTAAGTATAGATTCTATTAAAGATGGTTAGATGATCTTACCTTCATTAATGTTGCTCTCAATCATAACACCCATAATGGCATCCTCCCCTGCGGCAATTTGTTCCGCCAATACAGCTGCAACCTTAGGTTGATTCTTGTGATTCTTCAACGAGTTTCCATGACTGCAGTCGACCATCAATCTCTGTCTAACGCCGTTCTTCTCAAGTGCAGCCTTGGCCTCTTGAACACTCTTTGCATCGTAATTAGTGCCCCTGGTACCACCTCGGAGAATAACGAAGCAATCTTCGTTGCCAACTGTACCAACAATGGCAGCAACACCAGGCTTGGTAACTGAAAGGAAGTGATGAGGATGTCGTACGGCACCAATGGCATCAATAGCTACACCAAGACTCCCGTCCGTACCATTCTTGAAACCAACTGGGAAACTCAATCCACTAGCCAATTCCCTATGCAATTGACTCTCAGTTGTCCTGGCACCAACAGCTCCAACACTCAATAAATCGGCCAAGAATTGTGGTGAAATAGTATCCAGCATCTCACTAGCAAGAGGCATTCCCTTTGTAGTCAAATCCACGAACAATTGTCTGCTCGTTCTCAGCCCTTTGTTAATCTTGAAGCTATTATCGATGTCAGGATCGTTGATGAGACCTTTCCATCCAACAGTAGTTCTTGGTTTTTCGAGGTAAGAGCGCATGACAATCAAGAGATCATCTTCGTATTTGTTCTTGAGCGCCACGAGCTTGTCGCAATATTCGAGGGCAGCAACAGGGTCGTGAATTGAGCATGGTCCAATGATTACCAGTAATCTGCCATTCTTGTCTGTGCCAGTTACAACATCGACGGACTCATTGCGACCCTTCAACACTGTTGCTCTGGATTCTGCGGTTTGAGGGATTTCATGTTGAAGCAGGTCGGGAGGTGTCAATGGGTTGTATCCTCGAACTATAGGAAGCAATTGTCAGTCGCGTTCATACTTCTGACTTGGAATATCTAATACTTACTGCGCCAATCTTCTGTGCTGTCCTTATGGCCTACGCTCTGGTTTTCTATGTAGAAAGACTTCAAGGGGTCAGATTGGTTTCTTGTGAAGTGAGGCATATTGGATGAATGAGAAGTATGATTAATTGATAACTTACCGACATGATGTTCAGATGATTGTGCTTGTTTTATATTTCAAAATTGTTTGTCTCTTTCAATTAACATTCATTGATGTTTTTTATATTCAGTATGCTGAGGTGAGATTTCCTTGAAAGTTATTAAATGATGTAAGATCTTACCTCTCGGATCCGTACGCGGGGCAGTCAATGGTAAAGGTAAGATTCCATGCGCAACAAGATTTTAGCGATGTCATTGGTGGGGGTTGACCCCCTGCACTTATTAACGTTGATTGGTCGAGAACCCATGTTGATTTTGGGATGAGAAACATAAGCATCAGGATTCATACCTCGTACAATGGCAGTACGTACAATGGGAAATAGTCTTACAGATCTCCGAGGTGAAATCTCCGAGGTATAAGTTTAAACTGTCGGTCGGAAGAAGTCTTACGGGACATCCAGATTGATCTCCGAGGAAGAACAGGAAAAGAGAAGTAATATAAGCCGTGATTATTCCTCTACCTTCTAAGCAAGGACTTGCGTCTTCTATCTAGCCTCTACTGTAAGCCATCCTCATGTAATTGCTCTTGTAATTCTCACTCATCTGCCTTGGCTAACAAGTCCGGGATATCGTCGACAGTGTTTCTACCCTCCAAGATATCTGACATTGTTAGCATGTCGAATCTTGGCCATGTATGGAGCTAGTGACTCACCGATAACTGCGGTGAATAATGGGTATTCGCCCGCCTTTCCTCTAGACTTCAAGAAGTCATTAACCTCCTTTGCGGTGCTCGTTCCTTGCAACTTTTGTCCATTCAACTCCGTGCTCTCAACTTCATCAACTGTAACTCCTCTCTCGATTGCAAGCTTCGCACACCTGAAGTTTCGTCCTCCACTACAACTTGTGATCAAATCAGCAACTCCGGCACTTTCTTCCGTGAAGGTACCTGTGTGAACAGTTTCTCCAAAGAACTCCTTGCCAAATTGAACCATCTCAAGAAGGCCTACTCGCATAACAGCCGCCTTAGCATTGTCTCCCCAACCACGACCTTCAACGAACCCCGCAGCTAATGCAACAATGTTTTTGAGCGCTCCACCAAGGGAGACTCCTGCTACATCGGAAACCATGCGAACATGGAAATAGGGACGATGGAACAACGTCTTGAACAAGGCATGATCCAATGGCGGATATTCCGATGGTACGGCCCTCAACTTTGTCTTGCTAACTCTTCCCTTGACATCTTTATGTTCTTCATCTGCCGGCGTGATAGTAAGATTGACCTGAGAGCTTGATGGTGAGGGTCCAGTCGGAGTTGTAGCACGTGAATCCATTGGAGGAGGATCATATGCAATTGTGGTTTCACACCATTTCTCCAATGCAATCTCATTGGCAATGTTGGCACCCGAAAGTGCTCCACAGTATATTCCCAATCCTTCACCGATCCATTCACTAAAAAGACTGATCTCCGAGGCCGTCACATTGACACCCTTTATACACGAAATGCCACGCGCGAATGGAAGGATATGTCCTTGGAGTTGTTTGGAAATACGTCCGATGAATTGATGAGGAAGATTGAAGATCAAAATGGAGGAGTTCGCAACTGCATCTTCTACAGAAGGGTTGGCGATGAGGTTGCTTGGGAGCTTGATATTTGGCAAATATTTCACATTTTCGTGGTAATTGTTGATAATCGAGGTAAGTTTTTGAGGTGTATCGTTGGAGGCATCGTAGTGTTTTGAATCCTTTGGTATAGCAACTTCTTCTTCATATACCCACATCTGAACTTCCTCCTCGAATAAATCGGAATGTTGCTTTGTGTTCTCTGCCACGATTTTTGCAATGGTACAGCCCCTGGCAGATGTCAATAAAATGGGTCATTACTTTTGTGTTGAGGCCAATTAACCAGTTTCCAGATCCAACCACCGTCACCTTGTGCTTCTTGCTCCATGCTCCAAGAGTTGCCATTTTATTGAGTTGAGGAGTATTGAAATGTCGAGTTGTCTGTGCCAGTCGTCGAAGTGTTTGATTTGATGCTGTGGTAATTCTTATGAGCATACACATAGATTACGAAGTGAGGATAGAGGTGGACGAAGGGGGCAATAAGAACATGTAAAGGGAGGCAAAATACCAACGACTTTAGACCGAGTTGCTTGTGCTTGTGCTTGTGATAAAAGGTCTCGCTTGCTCTAATTTGATAGCTCATGATTGAACAGGGGGCAGCTGACCGCCCTCGAAAAGGGGTTAGTGTCATGTTGTGACTATTGTGGCATGTTAAAAATCCCATGGGCAGACTCGTTTGGCGTTGTACGGAGTACACAAACGACAGCGGGATCCAAGGAGTGTTACAGTGATAATGCTGTGAGAGTTGAGATATTGAAAATGACTCTATGATCGATATCTAGTTGTCCAAACATTGGATGAAACGACAAGTACCGGTACGACATAAGTAGTTTTAAGCAGCTCAACTTGAGCTCGATATGATCATGGCATTGTAAAATTGTTGTATAGAGTTGGGAGGAAGTTGGTTGGAGTTGGAATTAAACGAATAGGGGAGCCCCAAAGATGAACATAATATGGAATTTCGTATGCGATGTACTTACACATGGTATCGATATGAAAATTCTGGTTACTCATGATTTGTTTGCGAACTTTGTTGACTTGTCTTGTTGCTTGGGGTTATCATCAGTAAATCAATGAATACCCGTGTACCTAGGTTAAGGCAAAGGGAATACCCGAGAGCCGATCCATCTGTGAAACCCATTTATTATTTATCAATCTATGATTCAAGTTTAGTACCTTTCAATTCTTTAAATTTAAAGCCTTACCTGCTTTATCTGGGTAGATACCAATTAACTCATATCTCTAAATTGATGTTGTTGATCTAAACCTACCGGTACTCGAGTACAAGCTACAGTAAAAGTAATGGAACGTTACCGAAAAAAAGGTACCCCTACCGGTATTTATTTGACTGCTGGCTGTCAACTTGTCACTGCTGTCAACTTTATCATAATGTTTCAAACTAACTTTTGGATAACTCAACTAACTACTTACTAACCGCCTAGTAATTTTTCTTTCTAACGAATCTAATTAATTCAACAAACCCCTCCAAAACCTTCATAACCTTCATACTAACCAATAGACTTCCTAGCCCTTTTTACTCTAATCCGGGTCTTGTCTTTCCTATTGGTCTTTCCTATGGTGACAATAGATAATAGAACAAGCATCTTATCTTACCTGTGCCCACACCCACAACCACTTCTCTCCCACCTTCCCACCACTCCAGAGAGGGGGCCCCGCTTCCAACCTACCCCCACCAACCAACCCATCAACAAACACTTGGAAGCTACACCTAAGCACTTAGTATTTTCTTTTCTTGTACAGTTCACCATTTTGTTTACTCTGCTTTCCGCATTTTCCTTCACATTTTTCTCTGTATTCGGTTCAGCTACAACAGTCGTTTACAACGTATAAAACATTTGTTGGCTCTCCAAAGCCGTGGCGCCAAAGAGAGATGGTTTCCAACGAAATCTACTTACTCCCTCTCAAGGATGATGGGAGTCCCGAGGTATCTGGGGGATATATCTATCTTACTCCCAAAGGCACAGAGCCAATAACTGTACGTTTCGCTATCGAAGGAACATCTTCGATATGTCGGCAAGGCAGTCTCTGGGTAAATATTCCAGAGAAAGGTGCTGAGTTTCAAAGAGAGCAGTTCCGTGAATTCAAGTGAGTTTTCCGTCCAAGTTTCTATCTACCGCAGGCACTGATTGTATAGATTGGAACCAGACTTCAATCGTACCATTGAAATTTCGATACCCATTCTTTCGGCTGGCGCATTCGCATTTTACACTACATACAAAGCTCTGCCGGACTTGGATGATACGAACACTGCTTCTGTCGAAACCACCAAATCTCCAGTATATTATATTGATGTTGCTCCAACATTGAAGCTGGAAGGCAGGCAATTGCCTTTGCCTGCATTGTCAGTCTTCTCCGTCGTTTCGAAATTCATGGGGAAGTACCCCAAGGATTGGGAGAAACATTTGCGTGGGATTAGTGAGAGGGGATACAACATGGTCCATTTCACCCCCTTGCAAAAGCGTGGCGTCTCAAATTCTCCATACAGTATATATGACCAACTCTCATGGGATCCTGAGTGTTTCCCTAATGGCGAGAAAGATATCAAAAAGCTGGTAAAGAGTATGGAAGTTGACCATAGCCTATTGGGGTTGACTGATGTGGTTTGGAATCATACCGCGAACAATAGCGCATGGCTTGAGGAGCATCCAGAAGTTGGCTACAATGTGTCAACAGCACCATGGTTGCGTTCGGCCTTGGAATTGGACACTAAATTGCTCGAATTCAGTAAAGATCTCGCCAACCAAGGTCTTCCCACTACACTAAATTCTGTTGATGATCTGGTAAAAGTGATGGCTGGCGTCAAAACCGAAGTCATTGCCAAACTTCGGCTGTGGGAATACTATGTTGTTCAAATCGAAAGAGATGCAGATGCAATAGTCGAAGCTTGGGCGGCAAACAAGGTTTCTTTTCCAGAGGGCGGGTTTGGTGGATCTGGTGTTGGTGGTCTAGAAGCCATTAAAGATGCTTCGGTCGCGGAGCAGGCGACTTTCTTGAGAGAGAAGGGAATGGTGAACACTGATAGACTTGGAGAAAGATACAGAAGGAAGGTAGACCCTGAAGTTGGTGCTGCATTGCTCACCGCTTTGTTCGGAAGATTCGAAGGCGATCACTCAAATAGTGCCGATCGAGCAGAAGCACGAAGCCGTTTGACTAATATTTTAGATGAAGTCAATCTTCCATACTACAAAGAATACGACGGTGACGTAGCCGAAATTCTCGATCAGCTATTCAATCGCACCAAATATGTCCGACTTGACGATAACGGTCCAAAACTAGGTGCAATCGACGAAAAGAACCCTCTCATTGAGTCTTACTTTACCAGATTACCTCGGAATTCAACTACCTCGAAGCATAATCAAGAGGATCTTGCTTTGGCAAACAATGGCTGGATATGGGCCGCGAATGCGCTTATTGATAATGCTGGTCCAAAATCTCGTGCGTACCTGCGCCGTGAAGTCATTGTCTGGGGTGATTGTGTCAAGCTGCGTTATGGAGAGTCTCGCGAAAATAGCCCCTTTTTGTGGGACTTTATGGCAAAATACACACGTCTCATGGCCAAATATTTCACTGGATTCCGCATTGACAATGCACACTCCACGCCAATACACGTCGCCGAATTTCTTCTAGATGAGGCAAGAAGAGTCAGACCCAATCTTTATGTAGTAGCAGAGCTCTTTACGGGTTCGGAAGAAATGGATTACGTCTTCGTTAAGCGACTGGGTCTTAGCTCGCTCATTAGGGAAGCAATGCAGGCTTGGAGTACCGGAGAAGTTAGTCGTCTTGTTCACCGTCATGGTGGCAGACCTATCGGCAGTTTTGAGGTTGATGATGTCTCTGGAGCCGATAATAAGACACCCAATGGTAAAACCAATGGATCAACTCCTGCTAAAGAAATCATTCGCACCATCCGATATACTCCGGTTCACGCCCTGTTCATGGACTGTACTCATGACAACGAAGTTCCTGCCCAAAAGCGTGATGCCCGAGACACTTTACCGAATGCTGCATTGGTTGCCATGTGTTCTAGTGCGATTGGTAGTGTCATGGGTTACGATGAGATCTATCCAAAATTAGTCGAGATCGTTCATGAGACGAGATTTTACACTTCTGCTTCTTCGGAAAAAGAAGTTATGACTGGAGCTGGAGAAGGAGGTATTGGTGGTGTTAAAAAGCTTCTCAATCAAATCCACAGTATTATGGGTAAGGATGGGTACGCAGAGACTTACATTCATCACGAAGATCAGTATATAACTGTTCACCGAGTCCACCCCGAATCAAGAAAAGGCTACTTCCTCATCGCACATACAGCTTTCCCTGGCTACGGTAACGGAAATGGAGGGTTCAACCCAGTTCATCTTGGAGGTACTAAGGCTAGTCATCTTGGCAGCTGGATGCTAGAAGTCGATACTTCTGACGAGGCCAAGAGTGAGGTATCAGAGGACAAGAAATATCTAAGAGGATTGCCTAGCAAAGTTAGCAATCTGCCCGGAGTCCGTATGGAATACAAGGATGGAGAGACGACAATTTCCGTCCGAGATAAATTCCCACCTGGAAGCATTGCATTGTTTGAGACATGGATACCTGCGGCTGAGCATGCGACCGGTCTCGATACCTTTGTCACTTCTGGAGCGAAGGCCGCATTTTCAGAGTCAAACCTGATTGATCTCAACTCCGTCCTCTATAGATGTGAGGCAGAAGAACTCGATTCTAGTGAGGGCAAAGATGGAGTATACGATATCCCTGGCTACGGAAAACTCGTGTATGCTGGCTTACAAGGTTGGTGGAGTGTCCTCGAGAATATCATCAAAGACAACAATCTGGGACATCCCATGTGTAATCATTTGAGGGAAGGACAATGGGCACTCGACTACATTATTGGTAGATTGGAGAGAATATCGAGCAAGTCTGGTCATGATCGTCTACAGAAACCAGCAATTTGGTTGAAGGAGCGTTTCGATAAAATCCGGAAAATGCCAAGTTTCTTACTTCCGCGTTACTTTGGACTTGTAATTCGTACTGCCTATCGAGCTGCCTGGGAACGAAGTTTGGCACTCATGAATGATAACGTTCGTGAAGGACAATGGTTCTTGCAGGATTTGGCCATGGTAAGCGTGCAACAGACAGGATATGTCAAATCTGCATCACTGTACCCCAAGAAGGCCGTACCATCTCTAGCAGCTGGCTTGCCACATTTCGCAGTCGAATGGGCCAGATGTTGGGGCCGAGATGTTTTCATTTCTGCAAGAGGTCTTTTCCTTGGCACAGGTCGCTATGATGAAGCAAGAGAGCATATTCTCGCATTCTCAAGTGTCTTGAAGCATGGCATGATACCCAACTTATTGAGCAGTGGTAACTTGCCACGTTACAACTCTCGAGATTCAATTTGGTTCATGCTACAAACAATCCAAGATTATACAAAGATTGTTCCTAATGGTATAGATCTCTTGAAGGAGGAGGTACCTCGTCGGTTCTTGCCATATGATGATACATACTTTGATTCCGATGATCCAAGAGCATACTCAAAGACATCAGTCTTGGGAGATATCATCCAAGAATCCCTCCAACGTCACGCATCTGGAATGTCGTTCCGTGAAGCAAATGCCGGCCCCAATCTGGACATGCAGATGAGCTCTGAGGGATTCAATATTGACATCAAGGTTGATTGGTCAACCGGTCTCATATTTGGCGGTAACCAAAATAATTGTGGTACCTGGATGGACAAAATGGGCGAAAGCGAACGAGCAAAGAGCAAGGGAGTACCGGGTACACCCCGTGACGGTGCCGCTATTGAAATCACTGGTCTCCTCTACAGTACTCTTCGCTGGGTAGCTGAACTTCACGAGAAAGGGACGTACAAGTATGCTGGTGTCAGCACTTCGGATTCATCCATGCAGGTTATCACTTTCTCGGACTGGGCGGACAAAATCAAGGAGAATTTTGAACGTTGTTATTACGTTCCATTGGATTCTAAGGACGATTCGAAGTATGACGTGAACACCCCTATCGTAAATCGAAGAGGTATTTACAAGGATCTGTACAAGTCTGGTAAAGAGTACGAAGATTATCAGCTTCGATCAAATTTCCCTATCGCCATGACGGTTGCCCCAGGACTCTTTGACGATGCTCATGCTCTCAATGCCTTATTTCTTGCGGATAAGGTACTTCGTGGTCCTACTGGTATGGCGACTCTTGATCCTGCTGATCTTAATTACCGACCATACTACAATAATTCCGAGGATAGTGAAGATTTCGCAACTTCGAAAGGCAGAAATTATCACCAAGGTCCAGAGTGGTTATGGCCGACTGGTTTCTTCTTAAGAGCCTTGTTGAAATTTGATCTCAAGAGAAGAAAGACTCCAGCGGCTAAAACCGAAGCTTTCCAACAAATTACTCGCAGGTTAGCTGCTTGTAAGGAAGCTATTGTCAGTACTGACTGGGCTGGCTTGACGGAATTGACAAATAAAAATGGTTCTTATTGCGGCGATTCGGTAAGCTATTCAACATATCCATTTATTTCCTGATTTGTTCTAACATGATTACAGTCACCAACACAAGCTTGGAGTGCTGGCTGTCTCATTGATTTGTACCATGATGCTGCGCAATATGATGTTTCTCAATTATCAGAATAGCCGAATGGGGTAAAGAGAGAAGGTAACTGGTGGTAGAAGAGTTAATGGGCGCATGGGTCTTGGGTTCATGAATGAGAATATGAGAAAATGACGAATTACTGCAATGCAGTTATGATGCAGCATTGAAATGGTTGTTTAAGCGATGAGGAAAAGCGAGCATGAAAATTACGAAGATGGGAAAGATGGATGGGTAAGTAGAGGAAAGTGAAGGAAGGAAATCAAAGGAAAGAAACGTTAGATAGATAAGACAATTGGGACTAGATAATTGTGAAGTGTTTTTGATTATTCGTGGATCTTGTTCTATGAATATCGATTGAGAGTAGTGAAACTAAGTTTTGGTATTTCGACACCATGAAGTAGCTTTGTGCAGACATCAAAGAGATTGGCATAGTCGTCAACCTCCAGCTGTATTGAGATAAAGGAAATTGCACTCTATGACCATAAACAAAGGATGGTAGGTTTAGATGGATTAAGATGGATGGAGCTCTGATTATACTTTAATTCTACTTCATAAACACACTTGAGATATTGAGAAATACTACACGATTGGTTGTTTCCAAGTATTGGTATACCTTTTGGGATACAGATATTAATTATATTATCATCTACGGAAGAACAAGATATATGGTTTATTTGGGTTATTTGATAAATATCAGTCAAGCAAACCAGCCGTTTATTCATTCGAATAATCAACTATCTACTTGAGTAACATATCCTCACCTATCCTAACATATCCCAATCGTCAATTCAACTCAATCCTACCTACCTAATCCTCAAATCAACCATCCATCATAGGTTACTCCAGCACTAACTCGCATAACCCCACACCACAATGTCCCGTCAAACGTCTGAAATACCGCAAACCCAAACACAAACACAAACCCGCAGAGCACTGCAAGATACAATCGAGGATCTAAAAGTTGATGTGCAAACCTTTCTGGATAAGGGATGGTTTACATCGGAGGAAATGGAGTTTATTTATTCTTTGGAGGGGGTGGAGGGGGGTAGGAATGGGGATGGGGATGGTGGTGGGGGGAGAGGGGCTAGAGATGGGGAGAGAGGAAGGGGGATTACGGGTGAGGCGGGGAGAGCAAGCGGAATTAGGGATGAGGGAGGGAGAGGAAGCGGGGATAGGGGGGAGAGAGAGTGGGAATGGGAAAATTGGGTGAGGTTGATGTTAGGGTGGTTATTGGCCTTGACGCTTTGAGTGTGGGTGTTGACGTTGGCGTTGGGGGTGATGGGGTGGCGGTACGGGGTTTGGGAGGGGATTTGGGAGGGAATAGGGGGGGTTTGGGACCTTTGGAGAGGGTGGATGGAGGGGTGCGTGGATTGGTGGGGGGATTGGTGGGGGAGTGAGGGGTGGGGATGGGGAAGGGGATGGGATTGGGTTTAGGGAAGGGATTGGGCATGGAGGAGCTGGGAGGTGGGGAATTCGAGGAGGGAATTAAGGGAATTGAGGTTTGGGTGGGATTGGTGGGGGTACTATTGTGGTGGTTGACGGGGTGGGGGTGGTTTTGGTTTTAGTAGGATTAGGATTAGGATTAGTTGTAGTAGGAATCTAATATTATTATTATCTCTCGTCGTAACCTGTCTATTATATTTACTTGATTATATATTATATATTATTGTCAGAAGTGTATGTAGATTATATTCAGGTACAGAATCTAAGCTATGTTATTGAGCGTATAAGTAAACTAGATGTACGCTAGTAGTGAATAAAGAAGAGGGGCAGTGCCGTGATACCCGTAGTACCCATGACTTTCTAACAATTATACTTAGTTGGAAGGTGTGATGAGTATTAGTGAGTGTAGGTTAAATTCGAGGGAGGGATATCTCAGATTGTAACGTATAATATGCTATGTAAGATTACTTTCGAGATTTACTAGTAAACCAAATTAATGATTATGGAGCAGTTAAGAGAAGCACAGTGAGATTAATTGCTAAAAGCTAGATGTGGGAGACGGTTCTATATGTACAGAATGAGGAGGAATAGTGATTGCATTAGCGTCATATTCAACACAAACAATATCCAGTCAATATGCTGGGATGTCCGGAACCACTAGAGGTTTCCATAAATTCTGTTCCGTTGCCTCTCGGTATGAGCGTCGTTCCCGTTCCATAATGAATCTGGTTCCCCACCGACGAGCCTTGATTTCCCGTATGATGTTCCTCACACTAGCATTATTAGTATTGTTCACACTACCAGAATTAAAATTGCTGTCCCATATGTTGTCTGACACCGAAGCTTGTTCGAGATCAATAACCATTACTCGATCATCAACCACGAAGATATTGTGCAATTGAGTATCTTCATGAATCACTCCGTACGTCGTCAACATCTTGAAGGCTTCCTTCAATTTCGCCTCGAGGATATCGAGATCGTCATCATCTCCAGACTGTGGAAGTGAATTATGATCATGTCTACACTTTATAATCGAATCATCCTCAAGTATTTCCCCACCAATGTCGGATAATACAAGTGCAGGAGATCCATCATAAACTGCTTCTCCATAATAGTGCGGGATGACAGTTCCTTGAAGTGGCGCCAAATGACGATACATGCGCTTTTCCGTCTCGAACTCTTCGTCCCAATCAGGCTTCCGCTTTTTCAATATGACAGTTGATGGGAGGAACCCTTCAGGATAGATGGCGATAGCGATAGCTTTCAGCTATGGAAATAAATTGACGAGATATCCAATTGAAAAAATAATCCCGTTTGGAATATAATTGATGATCCATGGTTTCTTAATCTTCAATCGATAAACTGTCCGACCCGGATGAATTCGGTCAGAGTCTGTTGCAAGAATCCGCCTGTGGCCTAGATAGAATTCCTTACAATGTTTGCTAGCTTTTTGAATCTGGGAAACTTTTATATAGTCAATATCTTACCAATGGACCATAGAGTTCATCATCAGTGAACATTGTTGGTTCATCATCAGTGAATAGAGTTGGAGATGGCACCAAGAGTGGGTCAGAGGGGGAGGGGAGTCTTAAGGCTGAGGATGGAGGTGGCGGGACAGGTGGAGAAGGAGATCTCAGTACTCGTAAAAATTTAAAGAATGACATTGTAGTAGTGATGTCAAGAAGGGATGGATTATTAAAGGATGTGATGGATAAAACCTAAGCTTGGTATCTGACTAAGCTAAGCTAAGCTAGTTTAAGCGATGAGCTTTATCACATGATCTTATAGAATCATATTGTATTATATAATACTCACTAAAACAAGAGAAGCCGATGCCAACAATACGAGTTGTTCTCGAGGTAAATAAATAGGTACACAATATTATAGAGTAAGGCTGGAATGGCTAGAACCAATGGGAAAGACGAGAAAACTTTGGGATAATTCAGACCCTTATAAATACCTGTGGGAATGGATGAAGATGGAGAAATCGCAGGGTTTAACAGGGAATGTTCGGATTGGATTGGATTGTGGGATACAGGAATCGCAAATAAGATCTGGGTACTATGTAATGTAAAACCTTTACATGAGCGACGTATAGATTGTGCTGTACTCGAGTCACTGTTATCACAGAAGAAGATTTTCAAAAGGTTGAGCCTTAATCCTTAATTAACATCAACTGAATAATGAGCAAGGTCCCAGCCGGAGATAAGGCTTGTGTAACTACCCCGAGCTACCTATAAGGCTATACAACCCATCAATCATATCCATATCACACGGTATCCCATGCGACACGATTACCATTACCGTCTCCACGTTTCCAATACCATCTCCCGGCATCAATATCAAATTCCCGATGATATCCGTCTGGATGATGAAAGGTTGTATCACCGTTCAACATTCCCTTCCAAAGTGGCCGACCCGACCAATACTCAAACTCCCCTTTAATAATGTCAAAGGTATTAAAGCATTCTAGTTGTTCGCTCGTTAGTATACACACGGTATCGGCGCCGATCTCGGCTCTCCATATCATATCACTCGGCACAGAAAGATGACCTTCTAGGACAACGACGGTTGATAGTGAACCTTCAAACAGATCGGCTATCATGTCGTGCGGTGGTAACACCCTAGTATGTCCACCTCCTTCAACGCTCGCCCTATGACTGTCTAGTGCAGACTGCTGCGCTGCGGCGCATATTCTGGAAACTGCTGTCAGGCACGGACAACCTGCTTGGTATGAGGGGCTATTTTCCAGGTGCACCAGACCGTCTTTGATCACGGCGCATAGCGCCGAGTCAACTCTAACGAAGCACATGGACGCCATTTTCGCCATTCTAGACATGTACCCTATGGGACCCTGCATCAGTTGTTGTTTGGTTATATCGGACATTCCCCTTATTGATTCTTCTATGTAGTTGTCCTCCGCCAGATGATTCGTAAATCTAGTACCTGTTTGCCTCACCAGCGCGGGCTTCATCCTGGCAGCTTTGCCGAAATGTGTGTCTGCGTCGCCCCTGGCAATATCCGCCATACTGACGGTGGTCAACGACATGTAGTTGTAATTCGGGTCATTATGACCCGCAAAATTCATGCTCATATGTTCGGAAATCGCACCGCGGAAAGGTTCATCCATATCGTGGATCCAACTGGCACATTCGGCCACCGACTCTTGGTTGTAAACAGGCATCACGTGCATTTCGTCACCATCGTAGTCCCCATGATATTGACCCACCTCGTAGATCGACACGCCCAACGTGGGCTCATTATTAACGTGCGTATTGGCGAGGACATAGCAGGCGTGTCGTGGGTAATACGTCAGGTGTTGCGTGGTTAAATGGGCGCGCCGTATAGACGCCAGAAGCATCCTGTCATAAGAAACGTCATGTGGCGCTCTAACGTAGGATCCTTGCATATTTTTCTAGACGCGTGTCTGACGGTGGGAAAGCTTTCCTTACGCGCGTCGTAATGCAGGGATATAGTATAAGACACCACACCGTAGCATAGCCGTCCGCTTGAGCGCCTCGGAGTCACACCGTCCGGATGCAGCGCGACTATGCGAAGCTCGCGTATCAGGTTCCGTAGGGACTCGGCCCATGCGGAGACTGATACCATCATGTCCTGCAGCGTACAGTCTTCTTCATTCAAGAACCACTTGCTCATGAAAGCGATATCCTGAGATATCATGGCATCCACTTCCCGCATACCGTCGGTTGATAGCGCAGCAGTTTCTCTACAGTGTATTCTCCGACGTATTTCATAATCGTCATTATAATACCGAGGCTCAAAGCTGCGCGTGGTAAATTCCGTTATTGCAGGCGCCGCTTTCAACAGCTCAACTGCCGACGACGTTGGTTGGACAGAATGGTGGACGTTACGAGTCACAGCTGGGTTTGTATCTGACGACATAACCAACTAGTGCGCGTACGATCGAATGTGTACATTGCACAACGCAGTTGTCCCTTACTGTTTTTAAAATTTCAATATGCGACGATTTACTGAGGTTGCGTTGCCTTGGCTTTGGCCTTAGCCGCGCACGAGTTACAAACTAAAGCTGCTTTGGGTACCATTACCTCACAACTTGTACATTTGTGTTTAGTCGAAGAAGGACCTGCTGTTGGGCGGTGTCCTCCGGTGGTCTTATACGCGTCCTTCGATGCTTTCTTGAAATACGTTCCCTTCGGTGTCGCCGAATGGTCGATAGCTTTAGCGGCAGCTTCTTCTTTTTGTGCCTTGGCGATTGCAAGTTGCATGGCCAATTTATCGCGTTTCTTCTTCTCCGCTGACGCCATGAGGGATGCTTCCAACTTGTACTCATGCTCACAAGACGACACGTCGGGATGCGTATGCCGCGGCGCCTGCGCTGGGCGACATGGGCAAACCTATATCCATGGATAATACCTACGTCAGCATTTTTCCACGTAGTCCTATCCACATGTATACAGGATGTAGCCTGGCATCCGACATAGACGCGGACTACAGCATCGTTAAGCACTACTCGAACCATAGCATACTGGTAGTGCTGCTTGCATCATCGGATCTTCATACGATGGAGCTTAAAAACTGGATTCTGAACATTAGATCCCGGGCTGACATGGAAACGCTTGTGGTCTTTGGTGATATTCGCAGACAAACGCTTAGCACCTACCATAAATTTCCTGGCAGGGACCTGTCGACATCAACAGGTAACGAATCCGACGTCAAAGCGCAGCTCCATCTTATTATTAACGACTCGTGCGGTATTGTGTACTGTGGAAAGGACATTCCCGTGTACAGGTGGTTGAGAGAAAAGAGCAAGGCACTACTGTGGGTGTATCCGGGCACGTATGACTCATCGTTATACTCTACTGTTAGCGATACGTGTACTGCACGATTAGTACGATGCTACCCCAGCATCGAGTCTCATCCAATAATGTTTACCGGTGTGGGGAACCTCGTACAACGCAACGACACGGTGAACGTGTTTCGCTCGCGGCGGGCGTACACCAGTATTGCGTCGATGACTGTAGATTCCAGCGGTGCAAATGGTGAATGCTTCTCATGCACACATGCGAAAGCGTCGGTGTTGCGTGCATACGGCTTAACGATACCGGACGAGTCTAAGGTCCTTTGTACGGCGACGGCTATAATTGCCTAATGAAACCTGGGGATTCTCCTTCATAGCTATCAGACGCATCCACCCTCGCCACATTAGTCGATAGAGTCCGTACCTGGCAGAACAATCAGGTGGTGATCGTGGGATACGTGGGAGACACCAACAATCAATCGCACAATCAATTGATTTGATATCTTCTTGGGTTTTCGCTTGGAATTGAACTATCAGAAGGTATGCTCCATCATAAACAAATACTTGTGGACATTTGTAGAGATAGGCATATCTACCTTTCAATATTAGTAAAATTTCCTTTTCTTCGCTTCACAGGAAAAAACTTACGCTCTCATTTCTTTACCAAGTCGTTTAGTCATATCGCCTTTTGCTTGCGTCCCAATCCATTCATTATGAATGATCACGCCTCATTGTTTCATCTCTCCAATTACTGCACATCTCTCACTACCCATTGTCCCATCTAGTTTCCATGTAAATAAGTGATCCACGCTTTTGTTGTGGTATTTGGGCACTTCTGGAGGACTTGTCTGGCATCTTTCTATGAAATCACTTTCATCCCAAGCGAGAATAGCAGGTAATAAGATGTTTTGTACAAAATCCCGAAATGAATCGGCTTCTGATTGGATATGTCTCTCTTTCGAAGGATTCAATGGATAAACAAGTTGTTGAAAGCGTTTTCGTTCGCTTGGATCCGCAGTGTATAACTCGGAAATGAATGGCTGCTTTGGTAGATATTGATCGAGAGCAAGAAGTCTGTTGGTTGATTCGTAGGTCGGCGGGTTAAGTCGTGGATTAATTGGAAGATAATTATTGACCCAAGGTTTTTTGCTCGAGGAAGAATATTTTGCCATATGACTGTACGTCACGTTATCTGGGGGATGTTGTGACAGAATGTTTTCTACAGTCTCCATTTTCGAAGATTTCGTAAATGAGAACTTGTCGGAAGTGAAAAGAGGAATCGAAAAGAGGAGTAAAGGTCTTTTGTTAATGAGAATGAACTTGTTGGAAGTGAAAAGAGGAGTAAATCCAAATAACAACACATGAGGTAGCTTCCTTCCTACTGCATGACTTTTATCTATTGAATGGCTTTCCAAATATGGAAGGATGGAAGGTAACGATTAGAACGATTGGTGATATGGCCATGGTTGTTGTCATGGTTGTTGTCATGGTCGCATCACAAGGAGTCTTGGCGCTTAATTTCCGCAATCAGAACCACAATGTGATTCTGTTGATTGGATGTCAGCAGAATGAAATGGGATGATTCCTTCTGCATGCGTTGTCACTTCTGCAAGAAGAATTGGATATTGAATTGCAGATCCAAGCATCTAGTCTATGCGCCAAGCTATGTAGAACGAGCATTTCCGACAAGACTCATTTACATTGGTACAGTACTATGCAGCTCTCAGTTATTGGTTATTACTGGGGTCACGACAGGTCCGCATGACCATATAACAACATCGACTATTGCAGCTGAAAATGCGGACCGCAGCCAAGATGGGTTTTTGCATACAAGAGAACTATTTTGCAGGCCTTCTGTGGAACAATGGCGAGATTGCGTTATTGAAGGCGCACTTTCAACGAGGGCTTAGACTTTCCAAGAACGTTGGCAAACATCAGATCCAATTTTCCGCTGTTCGGGATTATGTTGGTGTAACAGTTAGATATTGCGTGACATGAAATTCATGTACTTAATCTTCCATGGCCAAGGCTGCCGATGGGATAAGACAAGTCCGTTGTCCGAATTAGCAGCATTTACATCAAGCTTCGTGAGATATAGGTAGATGTTATGTTTTGATATACAAATCAGAATTAGACGTTTTCCTTCGTAGCATACTTTCAAAATTGCCAGCAACTAATACTGTGCTTCAACTCAAACTAAACGTATGAGTTATAACTTTGATTTTGACCACGAAACCTCTCTTTGCGTAGTTCTGTATATTTAACTTAACTTACCTTGACTTTACCTTAGCGCTACCTACCCTTTACTTACTAGTACCCTTAATTTACCTCTCTCTCCATCACTGCACAGCACAGCTTATGAATCAGATACATCTCATCAAATCAAACCAACTCAAACCAATTTATTTTACACATAAGATCTCATATACACACACACACACCCACACCCCCCACACATACACATAACTAACATCCCCTCTTCTCCATTTCCCATAGAACTGTCCCAATACCCAATCACCACCCACCAATCACGAACACGAATTACAAATAACAACTTATGACTAATTAATTACTCACCACTAGACAAGTACTATACCGTGACAACTTGATACAAATCCGTAATCATCCGTAATCCGTAACTAATAGGTTATGACTGCTCGGTAATGACTAATAAAGAAAAGGCAGACACTAAATCACTAAATCACTAAATACAATACCCACTAGTCAATTATTCAGTCAGTCAGTCAATATACATTATAAGCGAATTTTTAGTACAAAGTTAGATTTAAAATAGCAAGCCTCCCTCCCCCTACCCAAAAATATCAGTAGCACACCTATCCACCAGCGCCATCTCAAACGCCCTATCTAACCGCTCCTCCCTCTCCTCTCTCTCCTCCATCCCCTTTTCCTCCATCCCTTCTCCTTCCCCCGTCATATCCCCATCCTCACCCCACACCAACCTCTCCCTCACAATTTCCCTGGCCGCCTTCCCAACTTCCTTCACAAAAGCTCCCGCACCACATGCATAAACCCTTGCACCTTCATCCCACAGCTTTAATATATCCCGCTTATCTTTCTCCTTCATCATTCTCTCTTGTACATATTTGCATTCCTCCCGTTGCCTGTCCCGTTTCCCACTTGGAGTTTTCCCATTCCCATTAACATAGGGTACTGTGTCTGGGTCGGATTCGCGGGAAAAAGAAGACGGCATGTCAACTACACCCTGATATTCCCATTTATCAAATTCATGTGCGTATAAGCGGTCAGAAATCGAGGAACGACATCCTACAAATAAGATTGCGGGAGCGAGGTTTCGATCCGGGGATGCGGCGGCTTGTATGGCTCTTTGTTGGATAAAGCCTCTAAATGGAGCGATTCCGGTACCAGCACAAAACATCAAGAGAGGAGTTCCCTTAATGTCTAAGGGTAGATGGAACAGCGATTTACTACTCGGTCGCACGGAACATTTTATGGGATCTCCGGGGGAAAGAGTGGAGAGATACGTGCCGCAGATTCCGGCATAGTAGCCGGGGCCGGAGAGAGACGGGACGGATAGAACGTTGTAGGTGATGGTGCAGGTTTTGGGGGAAGAGAGCGGAGAGGAGGAAATGCTGTAGTAGCGGACGCGGAGGGGGGAGAGGGAGAGAGGAAGGAGTGGAAGGGGAGTTTAACTGATGGGTAGGCTTCTAGGAGAGCGATTATGCTTAGACGTTTAGTGAGGACTTCGCGTTCGTAGATGGTGGGGTCGGTGGACGTGGCTGTGAGGCTTTGTTTTGCAGTTTCGTCGGTGGTTGAGTTTGCCATGGTTTGAAGAACCTGGATTTGATTATTAGCTAATTGTGATAGCTTGTAGGTAGATGTTGGGGGAGTACATACCTTTTTACTAACAGGCTCAAATAACTCTACATACCCAGCCAGAATATCCCTGATAGAAAGCGGAGTATCAAGAGGTAAAGTTCCTAATCTCTGTCCCTTGATAATAATCGTGGAATCCCAAGCTAAACCAAATATCTTCATCACTCTTCTCACATTCTGATTTGAATTGACCGGAAGAACCGCAAGATAATCTCCACTCTCAAATATCATATCGGGAGGGAGTTCGATTTCTAAATGTCGTTTCTCGGGTGTTCCGGGTGCGGTTAATACTTTAGATCCAACGATAACACCATCTTGGACATCTTGCCGGAGACTTGTGACGCCTGGTTGAGTTGATATTTCGATGTTCATTCCTGCATTTGCAATTGAGCCGTGAGATTTCGAACCGCGGCTGACCTTGGGCCAGAAGATTTTATTGGACCAATCATCGAAATCACCGGAGAGATCTCCTTTAGCGGCATCTGAGAGGCCTCTTGGTACGAGTCTTAAGCTTCCAAATTCGGCCATACGGTTGTCCACTATCGTTGGTACTTTTTGATATGTAGATTTCCAATCACCTGTTCCTGGTTAGACTTTGGCGAATGAAAAGCGTAGTTTGATTTACTATGGCCACAACCAAAAACCGCAAATTCTTTTCCTGATAGCGTGCGAGGTTCTGATTTTTCGAGCCAACTGAAAAATCTTGCAGCATTATCTGGCGGGTTACCTTCGTATGAAGCTGTGATTATGACTATTGGTTGAGATGTAGGCAGTTCGCCAACAACACTATCCATTTCAAGTACCTTGGCTTTGAAACCATGCCCCGAGGCAGTTGAAGCCATTCTCTGTGCAAAAGCAAGACATGTTCCTGTGTTAGAGCCATAGAGAATTGTCATGGGTTTGCAATCAAGATTTAGGCTCGAAATGTCTGGTACTTCTGCAGCGGGTGCCAATGATGAGTCTACAGAATTGAGACTTGACGATGGAGGGCCTCTTAAGAGATGCTCTAGATCCATAGCCGTCATCTGATGTCGAAGTGTAGCTCGCATTATAAGATTCTTTGGTTTGATAGTAAGCGATTGCTTGATGCGTAATTTATATCCCGGATCGTGAAGACGAAAATCGAAATTTTGCAGGAGCATGGCTGTGATCATTAACGCTTCTTGCCATGCAAAAGCACGACCAATACATGATCTAACACCACTTCCGAATGGCTATTTAAGTCGTTAGATTAGTTGTATAGGAAGCTTTCAGATGCTTACTTTCCATGCCGCGCCTGGCAAATTCTTGAAATTATCCCCCATCATAGGTTCTGGCTTGAATTCATTTGCATCGGCTCCATAAACTTGCGGATCCTGTTGCATGGCACCAAGAATTACGAGAATACTGTCTGTTGGTTCGATTTGATATTGTTCACGACAAAGAGTTGCCTTCACCCCGGTGACACCTTTGACAAGCCGTTTTGTGATTGTCGGAGCAGTTGGCGTAAGTCGTAAAGTTTCTCTGAGAACACCATTCAAATATTCAAGCTTATTAAGATGTTCTACACGAACCGGTCCTCTACCTACTACTTGGTCTACTTCCCGCTGAGCTGCGTTATATGCATCGGCGTTTTTCATTAGATTGAGGAAAGCGAATGAGAGCAATCCAGAGGTAGTTTCGTGACCTTAACCCTCATGTTAGCCATAACAGTGGATATACTCAGTCCATAACGCATCAGCGACCAAGAAAGTGATCATGTTTTCTATAATCAAATCATCTCTCATTTCATCCTTAGTCTGAGGATCCTTTCCGCTAAGCATAGCATTCAGAAGATCTTTTTTAACTGTGGGATTTTCTTTTCGATGTTGTACCAGGTCTTTAGAAACATCGATCATGAAGTCTTGATCTTGGTTAAACTTGGTTTTCTTCTTCCACATCAGGTTGGTAAGAAACTCTGGTCGTCTGGCTCTATCATCAGACTCAGATAGAAACCCCACCATTGCATCAACGAATGGATGCATCTTATTTGAATAGAAAGAATTGAATCGAAAGTCCATGGCACAAAGAGCGATGGTATCGAGAGTTAGTCTAGTAAAATCATCCGTTACACTGATCGGTTCCGTGGAGCCCAATCTAGCCCATTTTAAGAGTAATTGAGTGCTGATATCTTGCATTTCTATTTCGCGTCAGTATATATGATACTGGACTTTGAGGAGCACCAGAAAACTCACGATCGTACATCCCCTCGATAGCCAAAGGTCCAAAGGCGGGCACGAGAATTCTATGTGCTTGTCCCCAATCTGGATCATCATTCGCAGCTGTAAATAAACCTGCGGGCCATTCATCCTCTTTCCCAAGTGCCATTGGTGGTGCTTTTTCGAATCGACTTTCATCACCAAGCTCTTCCATAATCTCCACGGAACTAACAACAATTATTCGATTTCCTCCTCTGGTGTATTTGTAGATAGGGCCATATTCAACCGCCATATGTTCAATTGCTCGAAGCGGAGCCTCCTCATCCATAAGATCTAACAAATGACCCACAAGGGGTTTGGCTTTCGGACCAGGAATTGCTTTTGCCATCTTGAACAATTGACAAAATGAATTTTATAAAGAAAAGTAATAACTTACCCTGTGTCAGGTTTCGTAGTTATATAGTTTCCTATGATAAGGAAATCTGCATTCTTCAGCAGTAAGCCACTGGGACTTTTGCTCGCAACTGCTCCCAAAACGGTCAATCGCTGAAGCCAGCTCGCTGAAGCTAACCTTATGAACGTTGTCACAAACACCGTTCGCGGATTGATCATGATGATGGATATCGATGAATTAGGATTACGGTAATCCTTTGGAATATCTGGATGATTGGCCTTTTGTGGCTGAGCTTATGTATGCTGTACCAGCACAACCTTTTGTCACGATCCGCGATATTGTTGTCAGAATTCCGTACAATAGCAAGTCATAATTAATGTGACATTTTAAATTGTAGTATGTACTCTCCGAAGCAAGGATTTATGTCAAGACGAGAAATTGTCAGACGAAGCCAATGTCCATATGAGTCTTTGGAACAAGAACGTCGCCGCCGGTCAAACCCCTTGCGTTTTGATTCAAATAATAATCATACAGAGACTGGGTACATTAGTTGAACTGAGGCAGTTGTCTAACGCACTTCTCGACAGTCTGTCCTGCTCCAAATGGCGACAGTGCAAACATCCAACCGTCGCGATTAACTGTAACACTTATGTATTTGAGGAGATTAGATCGAGAGAAACAAAGGAGTTACTACTCAAATGTAGATATACTTATAGTTCTGACGTTAGGTTTCAGACATCATCTGCTATCAGCCACTAACCACCAGTCGAACGAACTATTTCCGACATTCGAATAGCTTCAAGAAGATGACTGCCGGGAGTCGGATTGTTTCTGGTTGTATCTTACATTGACTTGGTTTTAGACATCGAACGGATTTCAATACGGTATTGGTATACTCAATGAATCGATTTAGCTCAAGCGATTGTAAAATCTCAAGTTTGCCGACTAGGAGCCGCCGGCGCCGTTGAGAGGAGCTAAGCTTACCTACTACTTGGTGCACAAGAAAAAAGATTGGAGAACAAGAACTTGATAAGAAGACGTCACTCCCAAGGCTGAGCTTTGTGTCCACAATACACGTCGGTATGTCTCGGCGGGTAAGTTGACCGACAACGAAGAAAACAAATAAAACAATCTTTTATTCTTCAGAAAAATATATAATATAAAGGAATGTGAACACCACCTCAAAAGGTCTAAATTGTGGCCTCAAATCTGATGATATAAGTTAAATGATCACCATGTCATCTCCAGCACGTCAATCCCCGGCATTATCACCATCACCATCACCTCCACCAACATTTCATTCTCCAATACTTCCCGAAGCTCCAAAGGAGAGTGCTGTAGTGAGGGTTAGTAACTTCGATATCTCCCCAGCTTGCGCATCATAAAGTTCTAATCAAATGAATAGCTTATCATCGCACCCATTACCTTCATCTCATTTATCATATCGCTCTTCCTCATCGACAGGCGCAATAGTTCTCTTCGAATTCATCAACATTCAGAACCCCGCACATATCCAGATACTTTCCTCGGGCGCATTCAAGGTTATCTACACAGATTGATCTTTAAACCACAACCATATGCATACGTCAAATCACCGTATCGAGACCAAAATGCGGAAGGAGATAGGAAAAGGGAACAGGAGCCGTGGCATTGGCATACTAAACAGAAGAAGATGATGAAGATGGAGGTTTCGGATGCTTTTAAACTTCGACAATGGGTGGTGGTTGGAATGGCAGTTGTGGCGGTTGTGATGGGTTTGCTCATGTTATTTCTTGGGCATTGGATAAGGCAGATGTGGGTTTGAGATTGATTTCGATAGCTACTCGACATTTTTTAAGAGAGAAGAACTGGGAGGGGAATGTTTATGCAATCCTTTTTGGGGAAAGAGGTGGGGGGATCTGGAGTACAAAAGTGAAGGCAATGAATAGATTTGGATACCATTTACCAAGAAGAAGGTCACGACAGGACGATATTGAAAGGTATCTGGCATATATAGATTGTCAGTACCCATCAATTTCAAAACACCAAACTACCTAGAGGTAGATACCTACACCGGATTCTATCTATCATCTTTCAAGTGACAATTTGACAAGTTCTGGGTACAAATCAAAGCTACCGACATGGGTACTAATCCTTGTTTAACGGAGAGGATAAAAGTACTTCCGCACATAAAGATAAGCTTAGAAACATTGCTTTTGCTGTTATCAGAAAAATTTAGGATGAAGATAGAAAGCAAACAGAAAAAAAAGGAATAAAAGTAGAGAAAAGAAGAATTAGAGCTAGTGAATTTTGAAGCTGAAATAAACGTTTTATATATCTCTTCAAACCACTTACTCAAGAAATTCTTCAAAACTCAACTCAACCTACCTCCCCTCCCCTCCCCTCCCCTCCCCTCTTTTATTATTAGACGATCCATGATCCACGATACGGATACTAAAGTAGAGCTAGAGCTTCTCCAACTTTCACGCGTTTTGACGCGATTTGCTTTTGACTTTATGCTCCACTATTGAAAAAGCATTTAGCTCGATACTACCAATTGGCTTCTCGATGCCGTTCGTATTTTTGATCTTGTCTCTCATTTTCGCATATCAGCGTCCTCTTGCTGTTTCGCATAACTTCAAACTAATCAAAAACTACGATGAATTCCATATTGGAAGCCCCCGCTTCACCAGGCTTTTCACTCAGAGTTAAGGTCTTTACACCAGATGCTGCCGAGGAACAAGATCGCCCAATTCGTTGCTTTCGAGTTATAACTTCGCCGAATATTACCATACGAGAGTTTTGCACGGAAGCTTCGAGAGTTCATGAAATCAATTATGGCCAGTGAGTGTTTGCGCTTCTGCGAACGTACCATGCAAATTTGGGTCGCAAAGCTTGAAATTGAAATTACATTTGCTGATTTGTGCTTCACCTAGGCCACTTGCGATCAAGAAGTGTATGGATGATGAGTTATTCGACGTCACCCAAAACGATATGCTAGGACCTCTATTTCCCAATATGTCTACGATTCGAATCATAAAAGCCCCCAACAGACCAAATATTAGAGATTCTCTCCCACCAACCTCAGCCCTTCGATTCAATCCAACAAGTGTTCTGGGTCAGAAAAGAGATAGGTCACCTTTGAATGGAAATGTGGAACCTTTTTGGAATCCTCAAAAACGTCAGAGGACGGGAATAGATCCGGACCACCCAATTCCTTCTCGAGAAACAGAGCCATGGGCCGGCGGAAGGTTAGAAGGTATCCCAGAGAAGCCAGAGACGGTAATTCCAGATTCACAACAGAGTGCTATCTTAGGTCATGAGGATGAGGACAATGATATTGTGCCAAACGTAAGAGAAAATTCTCCCATGATCTCCGAAACCCCACCCCTATCATCTCCATCGCCGGTGAAGCGGAATATTCCATACCAAGGCTACGCCATAACTAATTATATTACAAAGTTTTCTGCCAGTAACGCAAATGCGCAACCAAACAGGGCTCCAAAAGGACTTATCAGTCCGTTCCAAGAACCTCCGCCACGAATCCAGGGTAGATCACAGAACAGTGCAGGAGTGAAAGGTGCTAGTTATCACATTCAGAGGGCTACTGACAGGGGACGTTCCACTTCAACAACTGCGACAAGTCCATTGGCAGGCGAACCACAACTTCCTCCACATAGCCGCTTGAATTCTATCAAGAAGCAGAAACCTTCAGAAACAGTTCTGCCAGGCGCAAAATCGAGCAATCCCAAGAATCGATCACCTCGAACCGAAAGTAACATATATGACGACTTTGGTTCGGATACTGAGGAGCCAACAGTCAAACAATCAAAACTTAAGCTCAAGAAAAGTCTACCAGCAGGATTGCCCGGGCTTGAAAAGTTATCCAATTCACCATCAAAAAATAATCGCAATACTACAAAAGCCGTCGAGTCGGTCTCTGCTCCCAGCCAGCTCCCCTTAACGCCAAACAGTAGAGCACGCGAGAATGAAATGCGCCAAAGGAAAGAAAATGAAGTAGCAGCCAAGGAAGCGCGAGCCTCAGCAGCAAAAGCTGCCGAAGAACGTCGACGTGAATCCGAAGCTGTGGCAGCTAAAGCAGAGCGGATACGTAAAGAAAAGTCAGAGGAACGCAAGGCGGAAGAGGAACAGAAGCAAGCTGTGAGAAGGCAAAAGGGAGAAGCTGCTCTTGAAGCGCAAAAACTAAAGGATGAGAAAGAGAGATTGCGCAGACAGATTGAAGAAGACGACAAAGCACAGGAAAAGGAGGCAGCTGAAGAGGAGTCTAGAAAGTCGAAGGCCATTGAAAATTCTAAGAGAGCATCCAATACCCCACAGGGAAGTAGAAAAGTTACCCCTGTCAGCAGACGAAACACCCCTGGCATCATACTCCCTCGTCAATCATCCACTCCCCATTATCCAAGAGGAAAGAAGTCGTCTTTGAAAACATCACGTTCTTCGCAAAGTGTGACAAGCTCATCACCAGCTCCCAAGGATACCAGTCTAGAAGCTCAGATGCCTTTGCCTAGGCGAGTCTCCTTTGATATCAATGAGACAATCACTCCTGCAAAACCACAACCCAAGAAGACTTCAGTTGATACGCCGAAAGGAAAAATAACACCCACAATCGCTTCTAGTCAGCTTCCGGCGCAAAATCAAACACCGATACCGTTACCTAAAACTTTCAGGCGACCTGATCGTAGTACAACTCCAGTCAGACAACAATCCGCAAAACCATCCGCCATGAATCAACCTCCATTGATTGCAGCTCGGCCGGCCTCAAAGTCGCGATCTGCAACGCCTAAGCCTTTACCCCCACCAGAACTTAAGAGTATTTCTACTGAGCCTAAGGACTTAACAAAAAAAACTGTCACGCCGGAGCCAAGAAAAGCAATCACTACAACATCCAACCGATCAATACCGGCCAAAGGTATGTCAAGATTGTGCACAAAGTTCCCACGATATTTCTTACGTGATTCATCTTCTTATTGTAATCAAATGTTGTTAAGCAAATTACTGTTGAAGCATTGGTAAAAGGACTACGAACTAACCTTATCCTTAGAAAAATCAAAGTCGTCAGTAAAACCTGCCGAAGTCCCGCTTCCTCCGAGTTCAGATAGCTCCGACTCAAAAGTTTCCGATTCCGAGGAAGAGGTACCAATCAAGCCAGACCTAAAAAAATCTATCAGTCCTGAAACTCTACGAGCCGAAGAGCCAGAAATCAGCAATGCCCAATCTGATGAAGATGTAGAAATGGGCGAAAATCAATCATCCCCACGCGAGAGTCGATCGCCAGTTGTATTTCATTCTAATGCACCATCCGGTGATGAGCGTAAATCCCACACTAAGCTCAAAAAAACCTCGGGCTCAGTTTCTTCCTACGAGGATGAATCTTCTGATGAAGAAGAATCGGAGGACGATACCGTCGAAAAGGAAAATGACACTAAAGTCAAGACGGAAATCAAGGAGACTCAAGAAAATTCAGAAGATGAAGATGTCAGTGATAAAGATGATGTGGAAATGCCCGACGCTCCAGCACAACGGTGCAGTCCAGATTTGCCAAGCCATGCCCGGAGGAATATGATCTCTCCTACAAAAACCACAAACCAACGTAAGAGTTCTAGTAGCGATGGGGATAATACCCAAGACGAAGTTGATCTCCAACTAACATCTGATATTTTCGAAGCCCAAGGTCCATTTTCTTCACCCGCCAAAAGACCAACTTTCAAACCAAGCTTTAGCTTCGGCGCAAGTTTGTCGTCTCTCAATAGCCAAAAAGGAGCAATGTTCAGACCTAAACCCTCAACAAATGGCCAGCTCGCCAAATCCAAATTACAAATTTCATCTCAAATGTTGAAGAAGGATTTCTCGGAATCGGAGTCTGAAGAGGATAGTGATAGTGATGATAGTTCCAACGATGACGATATTCCCATTCCAGCAACCTCGCAAATCATCCCCACTTCTGCCCAACCCAAAGGTCTAAGCGCGCAAACGACTAATAAATTTAAGAACACTGGCAGTGATTCGGAATCCGATTCCGACAGTGGTTCCGATACTGGTAGTGCACAAATGGAGGAAATGAGAAGGTCATTGATGGCGCAAGTTTCTGAATTTGGAATGAGTGCTAGTCAGAATGTTTTACCCCAGAGCCCCCAAATCTCGGTTAATGGTGGGGTAGGCAAAGGAAAGGGGGGGAGTGTGGTGCTTGGCAAGGTAAATGGAAATGCGAAGGGTTCGAGAAATGCGGGGAAGGAGTTTGCTAAGAAGGGCAAGGATAGGATTACTAATGGGTATGATTTCAAGAATTATGGATCTTTTAATTGAGGGGGTGAGATTAGTTTGGGTTATGGGGAAAGTAGAGAAAGGGGTGTGTGAGTGGAAACGCTTCGAGGGGACATAAGATAGATAGCGTGTTGGTGTATGTATAATGATGGGATTGGAGATCAACCGGTGCGTGATGCGGGGAGGAGAGGAGTGCACATCGATTGGATCCTGGACGAAAAAACTGCTCATATACAGTGCAGACATGATATCCGTTGGGTTTTTTTTGTCATTTTTGAGCACTTACATAAGGGTGGGCATAGGAGGAGTTTGGATTTCCGAAAGGGGAAAAAGGAAAATTTCATTTTCTGGGTTTTTTTGTGTGTCTATTGGATTAGATGTTGAGTAGGATGGATGGAGGGTTAGTTGGATGAAGGGTTGGGTGGGGAGTTGGATGGATGGATGGATGTATATATGGTGTTGTTGTATTTGAGTATGATATGAGTATATTTCTTGTGTATAGATGATGAGGTGGGTGGGGGAGGTTGTGTGCATTTACATGTATATGAGAGGGAGAATGGAGGGAAATTTGAGGGAGGGGTGGAGGGGGAAGGGGGAAGGGGGAAGGAGGAAGTGATGGCGAAGGCTGTTAATATGATGGATGACTCGGTCGGACTTTTTAATGATTTTCAAAAAGGAAAGGGTAGTGCTGGTTGGTGGGGGTAGTGGTGGTAGTGGTAGTGTTGGTGGGGGGGAAGGGAGTGTGATGGATGGGGTAAATAAAATAAAGTGTAGATAGATAGGTAAATAGGTAGATAGGTAGGTAAGTATGCGTGTGCGACGTATGAGTAGATAGGGAATGACAATTTAATGAAAGTGTAGGGATTTCAAAATAAGTTTTAATTTTAACTTTTGAGGATAGAGGTGAGTGTGGATGTGTGACTTGTAAACTTACTTGTATAGTCATATAAATGGGTAAGTGTAAATACAAGTGATAATGATAATGATAATGGTAGGTGGGATTACTCGATGTCGTGATGGATATGCTTATCCTGCCAGTGAGTATTATAACTTGAAAGTGTAACAAAATTTCAATCTTTAAGGAGATATGAAAAGAAAGTTTATGTCATTGAACTCTCCTCACTCAGAGCTCTAGTTAGCGCTACTTTATTTCCTTCCAAATCTGAAGTTTTTTTTAAAATTGTCGTTTTGGTGGTCCTGGATTGTATATGTGTTATATGTATTATATATGTTATATGGACGTTAGATGGATGTGATATTGTGTGGTTGGCCGGTTAGGAAGTTGGTTGGTTGGATATAGGGGATAGGTATTAGGTATGGGTATATGTATCGAAAAGATGGAAAAGATAGAAAAGGTTTCGTTTTCTGAATCCTAATTTCCGAATAATGATATTATAAATATATATCATATCATCATACTCGAGTATGGGCTCACGACTAGATGTCTTATATTGTTATTATATCTACGCCGTTATATCTAACCCCAACACTCATACTGCAGCAAAAGAATGCATTGGATATCTATACAGTAGTTGTTCCGAAATCTCTCGTGCAAATTTCGCTCGGAAAATATTATTTTCCTTATGGTGTTGTATGATAAGGTTACCTGTACTATATTCTAATATGTTATACCCAAACCTTCCATTTCCACATCAGAAACAGAAACAGAAAAACATTCATCGTCGATATCCACAGAATACTCACTCTCGCTATATTCGTATTCAACTACTTGTTCTTGTTCTGCATCTGCATCTCGATATCCATATCCGTATCTGCCATGTCCCGAAGTGACATTTCCATATCTACCCTGTTTTGAAGAGATGTTTTTATATCCATCTCTATATCCATGTCTATATTCCATCATTACATCGTCGACGCTGTGCAATAGACTTTCTAATCCCCCTTCTGATTCTGATTCTCCTATTTTCACTTCTACTTCTGCGTCTCCTATCTCTGCGTCGGTTTCGATTTCGGGATCCTCGTCAATCCACCGAAAACAAATCTTGGATAAAATCTTTTCCCATCCGCTGATGTAGCCCCAGCGCCATATACGAGTGTAGGAGCGCGAGAAGAGCGTTTGGAGGTGCTGGGTTTCGGTGGGGGTGGGGGTTGTGAATGAGAGGTTGGGTTTGGGGTTGGATGTGTTTTTTGAGTTTGAGTGGGTTTGAGATTGTAATCGTGATGGTGAGACATTAGAGTCACAGAGCAAATCAGAGGAAGTCGTATCAGAAAAAGAATAATCAACTCCCCTCTCAAAAACAACCTCAACATCCACCAACCCCTCCATCTCCATCTCCAACATCGCAGTCACAAAATGATTATCCAATATTAACACACACCAAACTTCGAAGGAAATGGCGAGATATCGTATAAGATGTAAATTTCGCGTGTAGAGCATGTGGAGACCGAGGTCGGGGTAGATGGTAAGGGGGGAGATGTAGATGGTGGTGTGAGAGAGGTCGATGTAGGTGGGGTGAGAGAGGTGAGATAGGTGATTGGAGGAGGGGGGTGGAGCGGGAAGGTAGTAGGGGTGGAAGAGAGTGAGGGGGGTTAGGTGGGTGAGGGTTAGGTGACGGGAGAGTTGGGTTGTGTGGAGGGTGGGCGGGAGGGGGAGGGGAGTGTGGTTGTGGGAGTGGTGATGTATTTCTATGATTTGTGGGCCGGGTAATGTGTGTCTCCAGATTATCTTTTGGATTTCCAATGGTAACGATGCGAAATGAGGGAAAGAAGTGAGGGGTCTCCATGTAGTAGTATTCTTCGACGATCGATGCGATAGTGATACAATATCCAGATTAGATGTAGATGTAGATGACGATGACGAGCGAGAAGTTTCAGAAGAGCTAGAGATACTCGAAGAGCGAGAATATGATAAAGAAGGTGGTGAATGTGAATCTGAAGAGAAATCTCGGTGTCGTGTAGCTGAGGAGATGCGATTGGGATTGGGATTGGAGCTAGGAAGCTCATCTGTCGGTGTGAGGGGATATGTAAATGTACCGTAGTCGTGGGACGGTTGAATGGAGAGTTTGGGGGTGGTGTGTTTGGATTTGGATTTGGATATGGATATGGATTCGAAGGGTGTACCGGTGTAGATGGATACTGGTATGGAACCGGAAGCGGGGGGTGGAAGAAATGGATCGCTGAGATCGATTCCGGGGAAATTGAAATCGGCCATTTGGAAGGATTTTGATTTGTGCTAGCTATTGTTTTTGGGGTGTGAATAGAGTAGAGTAGAGTAGAGAAAGTTTGAGATAATATAATATATAATATGGGTAGCAATGCAAAGAATCCTACAGATATTAAAAATCAAGGAAGGTGAAACAAAAGGTAGAACACTAAATTACTTGTAAAAAGTATAGAGATCTCGATATGATACAAAGCTTAGATGAGTTGAGATGAGCAAATAATAATAATACGTCGTCTCTCAAGCTGAGAATAAGTAGGTAGGTACTAGGTAACTTTAAAAGACTTCTTATTGTAGCCAACAAATCGTAGATACTATATTTAGATAAGGTAAGAGACTCAGCTCGGCTCATCGTACTACGATGGTTGATTAAGGTTATCTGACATCTAGGCTCGGCGATGTCATGTCTTATAAAAGGATACCAGTATCTAATACTGTACCGGTATCCAGAAATATTGAGAGACAGATAGACAGACAGACAGACAACAAGAAATACCAACACATCAAACATGGTGGGGTATTAAGACATAACTATCCATCTATTAAATACATACGAGTACAAGCCAAAAAATTACACAATAAGTATAGTACTGTGACGAGAAAGTATGTATCGAGGTGATGTGATGTTCGTGTTCGTGTTCCACAAAATAACTGTTGTAGCCAGGTAAGATTAATATGGGGTTATGCTCGTTTAAAGTTAGGCTCCACTTTTGGGCCACCCCCACTAGGGCTGAGTACGTACTTGCACCGGTATCCATGATTGATGACATGGCATGGCATGTTCAATTCATGTCAGTAGTTGTAAATTATGGTTTGTTGTATATTGAAAGATGAGGGAAATGTTATTATTAGTGTAATTAGAGGTATAGTTGTTTATCTATGACTAAGCTATATCATTGATATCTTTCCTTGTTTGTTATGCTCAGTATACCTCAACCATAATGATATGATAGTACTCGAGTAATGTGATAAATATACTAGGTGACATTGTAGTTGAGTGTTTGATCATATATCTAATCATTGAAGACTCTATACTCTATATTAAATATAAGTACCAGATAACAACATGATTGACATCACATCAAAATGATGATTTGACTGCAAGTCTAGAAATATACATACTGTAATAGCCTGTCACCCAGCCAGCCGAAAAGACATTAGCAAGACATTGACAGGGGCCATCACAAATATAATTGATAATATAGGGATAAAACGATGTAATCTCATTTTTGAGATATGCAACAAACCAGGACATTTCACCAATTCCCGAGATTGATATCCGAAAAGTTCAGATTCCCCAAGTTTGGGGGCCAAATTCGGATAAACTTCGGATGAAATACATACCTCAAACATGTTAATACCTAGTCAGAAAACTAAAATCTCAACATCTAATATATACCCGTATGTCTAATTTATCGGTCCTTGATATGACCTCTGTTCATCGACCAAATATCAGAAAATGGTAAATAAAAGCGTCCCGCCAAATGTGAGAACGTTAAATTTCATGGTTGATGGGAACCACTGGTGTGGTGTCTGTGGCGGCCAGAAAGTCTAAAACTACAATACGAAAAGATATGCGAATACACCGGCAAACGCAGCATTGAGAACATCTATCACGCCTGGAACTCACCATGGCCCCAAATTCAGAGTGTCTGGATCGATTCTCAAAATTTGTGGATTATATATCTTGATTCCCGGATATTCTAGCCGGCGCCAAAGAAGCATGACACAGGACGCAGCAGATGAAATATGAAGAATAGAGACCGGCAATACTGAGGTTAACAATATTACTGAAGGCAACGCCTGAGCCGAGGATGATGAGCTAAAGGAGCACGGAAACTAGGGTGGTGAAGCGATGATGTACCGGTATATGAGGATTGAGGTTTAGTGGTCACGGTACTGTAGAAAGTAAATTTTAGCACGAAATACTTGAGGAGAGAAGATTTGTTGGCGATTTTGAGAGAGTGGATGTTTACCTTTGCCGAGAATCTCCAAAGGAAAACCTCAGTCTCTAGTAAAAGACTATAGCATTCTAGATATTGAGGCAAATGCCTCTATTGTGCTGCATATACCGAGAGCTAGGATGAGTAGACACATTACCGCAGCTCCTGCGGTTGAACCAGTCACCGTTTGAAAGAAGTAGAGAATGGATTATCCAAATGTTTCTTGAGTTTACCAATACGTCTTCAAGGTTTCCTAGACAAAATAGATACAGGTATGGGGTCATCATCGCGAATACAAGAATACCATTTAGGATAAGATCGCTAAATATTGCACATAATACAACGGTCAATACCTTTCAATTTTTTCTGCCATCTACATCGGGTGTTAATTAGATGATCTAGTGGTTAGCCAGGCAATCGGGAAGAGGATTAATGACCGGTAGCCGGAGATTGTCTCACATGAACGGCCAAGTCAGCGCTAATAAGGGAGAAATAACACAGAGACTGGCAAGCTAACCATGGAATGCAGTCCATGCAAAGACCAAGCAGTGAGCACCTTCATTGACAAAGGTGTTAAAAGGGAAGTATCGCCATGAGGTGAAAGATAAACGGGCAGAATCAAAACGGCAAAGAGTGTTGTCCTAGGATGTGTTCATCAAGATCACACCTTCGTGTGCGAGGGCCTTGCTTGCTACTTCATCAATCGCAATTGCAAAAGCTAAGGTTGGTTGCCCACAAGAAAAGCTGTGATTGTTATAGTTTTGGGATGTCGTATGAATTTTTGATGTCATCAATATGTTACTGCAAAAGAGTCCCTATCAGATATGCTGCAGAACAGGTGCGGTAATTGCTTGTTATCTAATAGATGTTGTTCATTCTATATTACGATTGATTAGCTTCTTTCATGCTTTTGAATCGTATGAGTCTGAGTGGAATATTCCCAATACTAGTAATTTAGCTTACGAAGCGTCTAGATCGGCAGATCGGTCAGGAGCTAATATTGCGACCTAACTGTCTAAGGTTAGAGAAATGGTAGGAGGCAAGGTATTGTGGAATTTCAATAACAACTTACAATACTAGCATTGATCAGTTACTATTAATGTTCTTCAGTTGAAATATCAACATCGATTGGTTAATCCCAATCAAGAAATTTTCTACTCACATACTGAGTAGAAGTCAAATAAGAGTTTGGAATGGTGCCAATCCACGCAATAATATATCCCCAGATGACGCCTTCAGGGCCACTACTGCTTCCGTCATTACTGAAATGCTTTCTTAAAAGAGTGTGTTTCTTGATTTATTACTTCTCGAGACTCTGGATTAAGAGTCTTGAGAATCTGTTGCGCGTTAGCCACTATCGTCAAATACCAAAAACCTGTCCTAATTAATGCCAGTCCAATGGTTCTCGAGGATATAAATATAAACTTCAATATTTCCCCCCAGGTAATAAGAACAGTAAGGTTACATGAGAACCCTAGAATAGACATAAAGCCAAAGTTGCGCTGTTCATCGTCTGTAAGATAGATCCGTTACCGATAGAGATAGTGTGACGCTATGGATATAATATAATATACCTGCAAAACCGGCTTCTTAGTAGTACTTACCAAGCCTGATCAGATCCTTTTACCTCCGGTATAATCTATTTCATTAACAAAGTGGCTAAAGTAGTTTTCTCGGCATGCTTTCTCTTTCGAAGCTCAACTCGTATATCAATAGTGATTGTTTGTGTCTAAATTCTTGTCTCATTCGATAAAAAGAAAGAAATTGGTTGTAGTTAGAGATGGATGTCAGTGAGCGGGGAATAATGGGAGTGGAACTGGGAGTAAGATATAGATATAGGTTATCAAGATTAGATAAATTTGTTAGATGCTATGATGAACGCATAGAGACATATGTGAGAAGTGAACGATGTTCCACTTAGAACTGACCCTTGTATATCAAAGGAAAGAATTTCATGTCTTTACGTGCTCTTGCTCATATCGGTTCGGAATGGAGTTTGAGCCAGCCCTTCTGTGGACTTCTATGTGAGTGACTATTAACACCCATAATGGCTGGCAATTTTCTGAAAGTTAACAATCTAATGCTACTATATTACAGCTGTCCAGAATTACTTTTTTAGACTTAGAAGGTAATATGACCTGGTTATTCCGCTTTACGGATAATTTGCATAAGCACTCTGTTCAATGAATGTGGGTAAAGCAGGACTAGATTCTGAAAGAGGTACCTCGCTGTTCTTTCATATCTAGCTATATTAACATCAACCAACATCAACCAACATCAACCATATGATATATGGCTATGCTGGCTTTTAGACGTCTATAAGAAAAGCCTTCAAATGTTTCATAAATTTCTCTCGTTGATCCACATGGCAGAAATGTGCAGCATTATCCAAGACGATCCACTTAACCTTCTCAATACGCTCAAAGAATGGTTGCATAGCCACATCCTGTGCTTCATCTTCCATTCCATTAATCAACAGCGTCGGAACCTTAATTTTACTCAAGTTCGGAATAGATGTCCAGTTACGAAGATTGCCAGTAACAACAAGCTCACTGGGACCATACCTTATTTATCATCAGTCAACTGTATGTACATGGAGGAAATAATCAACAGTCTTACATAGTACGATAGGTAGTCGCATCATTTGCAAGCCAATTCATCGCAGCTTGAACTTCTGGTGCTGGCCACGGCCTCGCTAGGCTGAGATGTCTTTTGTAGAAAGCTTCCACAGCAGCTTCGTACTCCGAACTCTCGTATTCTCCTGTTTCGTCTCCACGATCCAACGCTTTTTGAACATCTAGAGGAAGATTTTTCCTCAGTTCGGCGATACCAAGTTGGAATGTCTCCATACTAGCCAAACTACTCGCAAGTATCAATCGTCGAAGATTGGCTGATCTCGACGCATCGGATGCCCACACAGCTGCTAGCATTCCACCCCAAGAGTGCCCGAGGACATCAATCGGTCGAGTTTTCAACCCAAGATGACTTATGAGATTATCAAGTTCGTTTAGGAAAAGTTCGACGCTCCAAAATGCTTCGTCGCCCGCCTTCTCGGGGAGATGCGTCGATTGTCCATTGCCAATCTGATCGTAAAAGATGACAGGAATAGAGGATACGAGGTCTGTTAATGGAAGTAGATATTCGTGACATGCGCCTGGTCCTCCATGAAGTACAATTAATGGGGTTTTAGAGGTTGTGAGGTCGCCAAAAACTTTATACCAGGTTTGGCAAGGCTCGGAAAGGCCTGGGACTTTGAATGAAGCGGTTCCGGAGGTCATGATTGTGAGCATTGAATTGAATGATGAGTTGTTTGGAAGTTCGAGTAGAGATCTAAGTAGGACATAAGGTTACTAGGATCGGAGATATATATTACCCTACTTTACAATCACATGCCTATTGCGGGTGGCCTGACAATGTGTATGTTGGTATTGTTGGTAACAGTTCTAATCAGGGATTATGCCATTGAGAGCCTTCTTTTCGTAGGCGACCATTGAATATATAATATGCAACCAACCGAACACGGTAATTATATACTGGGAGATCAGAAAAGTTCAACAAACTTACAACTCAAACCCTGTCACATCCCTACCCCAATCGTCGTGTCACGCTTTAATATCGCCCCGCTCTTAAGCGAACTCCCTCCCTTTTTTACCCGAGGTGACTTATTTTTACTTTCTAAGTAAGTGATGACACTGGGATCCGAATACTTATACCATCAAGCCAAATCATTCTCTGATAAGAGCTGCGGAAGTAGTCTGGCTTCGATTGACGAGCCTCATTGGCGTTTTATTGTAGAAAATTGATTGTTCCCGATTGGTGACCAAATCACACATCATATCTCCATCCCTATCCCCATAATTTCCATATCCATACTCCTATCCACAAAATTCCAACTCCAACTACAACTCCAACTCACCTCAGAATATCAACTTCAACCCTTCAACCCTTCAACCAACACCAACAGCTAAAGATGAGATATACTTACAATCAATTCAACTTAACCTGATCTGACCTAATATAATATAATAAACACCGCACATCACCTCACATCAACTCAATTCAGCTCAGCTCAACTCAACTCAATTCAACAGTCTTAATTCAACCGTCTTAATTCCACACAATATAATATACACCTCACATCACCTCACCTCACTCACCTCACCTCACCTCACCTCACCTCACTCACCTCACATCACCACATCTCACCTCACATCACCTCACCTCACCTCCCCTTATTACATCTCACTCACCTCACCACATCACATCTCACAACACCTCACCTCACCTCACCTCACATCACATCACTCCAAGCAAAAACCTAATATAATATACATACTCAAGTACATACATACAGTAAATTCTACCATAACTAAACTAGGTACTAGGTTGATTGTACCAACCATCGTTTATTCATCCATCCATCCATCAATCAACCCATCAACCCATCCATCTAATAACTAGCTAGCTAGCTAGCCATTCACACAAGCCTCATCTCATCTCATCTCATCTCATAATTGTATCTATCTTACACACAACACGATCACGATAAGTACCCAGATACCATTCATATTCCATTTTCCATTTTCCATTCCATTTTCAACCATCCCACCCCCATCCCATCCCCGCCATCTAAATCCTCATCCTCAACGACCCCCTCTCCAATTCCCCCACAATTCCATTCCCCGCCAACGCCCACTTCTCCGTCACAATCTTCTCATCAACCCTCTGTCTCAAAAGTCCACTCTGCGCCCAATACTCCATCAGACTCCTCGCTTCCCGCTTACTCAATCCATTTAGCCACAAGACCTTTACACCCTGCAACGCTTTATCCGCTCTCTCGTCGTATTTCTTCTCAAACGGATCGCGTTCTGTGATTTCTTCTTCTGCTTGTCGGTTGATTTGTTGCATGATGGCTAGATCCGTGGATCTGGATATGGGCGCGTGACTACGGGATGTGGCTGCTATGACGGCGCCGCCGTTGGGGAGGGTTTTCTCGCCGGATAGATATTGGACGAAGTGGTTGATGACGGTTAGGTCGTGAGCGTGGATTAAACTAAAATCGGCGTTGCGGTAAAGACTGTCTTTCATGATCCACTGGAGTCCATCCAATGACATGAGGATTGGGGGTCGGTCCGCAGCCGTGATTTCTTTCCAGAATGCTTGGAAGATTGGCCACGAGTGTTCGGGCTCGCGAGTTCCTAACTGGCAAAGTCGTAGTAATGTTGTATTCTCTGGGATATCTATGGGAAGATTGTGCTCTTGAGATAATTGAAGTTTATCGAGGACTGCTTCGTTGGCTTTGCCGATACGTTCTAGCCACGCTGCAGTGTATGTGGGTTGAGAAAAGAGAGTTGGGGTTGTGTCAGGTATGGGGGCATATTCGGTGCAAGCGTTGACAAGTTCTTGGGCTATAAATCATGTTAGCATTATCCAATCCGTAGAAAGAAAGTAATGACATACTATCCGCAATGTGCAATACGATCCAGCCCTTGACAAAAGCGGAAGCCATAGCATGCAAGAGCATCATACTCTTCCCCGAAACCCGCCCCCCATCAATCACCAACCTCTCTGTCTTTTTCTCCTCCTCCGCCTCCTCCAAAACTTTTGTACACCTGAGGCTCTCCTCCCTAACCAACACGGCCGGCCTCCTAAATAAATTCCATGCCTGCGTGACCTTGAACGCCTCGCTCGCCCTCAAACTATCCACCGTACTCCCACTCAACCCCATCACCTTCGTAACCAACCCCTCACTCCCAATATTGTTCAGCCCCAAATCCTCCAACCCCTCCACCGTCAACGCATTCGTATTACTGAGCACGATCCTCTTCCTCAACGCCTTTCTCTCTCCGTCCGCGGGGGGCTTCCCCGTTTTAACAGGCGGCGGCCTCTTCTTAATAATCAACGTCTTTCCAGTCCTGGCCTGCTTCTGCGCAAATGTCGACGCCCCCTTTGGTTTAGCCTTCACTGGATCCTTACCCAGCACCGCACTGGTTGAGAACCCCGCCGCGGCAGCGGCAGCCGTATTCGGAAGTCGCAAAGTGGCATGACTAGTCTGTAAAAACTGCGAAGTATTTGGTCTCGAGAGACATTTCCAACATCCTGAGGACGACATATGTTCGATTTGCTACGCTGCGTATTAAGTTAAGATCCCAAATTCAAGCTCGACGTGTCGTCGCTCCTCGTCTCGCTCCAGAAATCTTTCTCGACTAGCCCATGCATGGGCTCCATCCCGCGCTAAATTGCGGCCGCGCAGGGTTTCGCCCGCAAAAGCAGCATTCCAAAATTTATTTCCTCTATCTCAATTCTCCTCCATCAAAACCCATCTTCACAACTCCCAATTCAAACCACCAATTCAAACCCCAAACCTCACTTCACCATGTCCGACGACGCCCCCTTGAAAATTTCTAAACTCCCCATCATCGTCAACAAACCTACACCCTACACCTTCGACCTCGGTCTCCTGCTCGCCGAAGACCCCAACCCGCTCCTCCTCACTACCTCGGAAAATCTCGAAGCTGACCTCGCTGCTACCGCACGAGATGGCGCGCAAGCAATGTTGAATCAGTTGTTGAGTACCTGTCCCATTGCATCGACGCCCAATGGAGTATTGTTGAGTCTGCCGGGAATTTCCACCAAATTGCCTAGAGAAAAGGTACGTGACTATTTCCCTTCCTCGTATCTCCACCGCATTTGCGCAGATTGGAATCTCAGTTATATAATTTCCTGACCTCATACTAACATGATCCCTAGCCTCTTCCTCCACCAGTCGTGCAAACTACATGGCAGAAATTCGCCGCCAAGAAAGGCATTAAACCTAAGACTGCCGAGGCCAAAAAGAAGCTGGTTTATGATGAAACCACTGGCGAATGGGTTCCTAAATGGGGATACAAGGGAATCAACAAGAAGGGAGAAGATGATTGGATTGTGGAGGTGAATCAGAAACAGGAGCACGATAGAAAGGAGGGAACTGAGAGACAGAATGATGGGAGACGGGAGAGAAAAGAGAAGGTCAGGAGGAATGAGAGGATGCACAGGAAGAACGACAGGAGTGATAGGAAGAACCATGGAGGAAAGAAGGATTAAGTTGAAAAGGGGTACTGACATCAAGATGGCAGGGAGCAAGGGAAAGGGGATGATATGATAGAAGACGGATCGATGGTGTACTTCATTGTATGGCGTTAGAATGGGGTATCATTGGCGTTATATGAGGACTATTATTTCTTATGGAAAGGGAAAAGTGTTGCGCATTACATCGGATCATATCATATCACATCATACATATCACAGTAACATCCAAGTAAGAAGTTCGAAGTCATAATAGTACTTAGCATTGATTTCACTTCAATGCCCATGAGAAGATACCAATGGCAACACGATAATTCGGGTTTTGCCATTCACATGATCTCCGATATTCTTCTCAATATCTTCCAAATCCTCTCTCTGTGTCTCTCTCTCCGACTCTGATTTGACTTCTCTGGCCTTCCAGGCTCCAAGCGTAACATACTCTCACTATCGTACAAAGAGGTCCTCCTTCCTCACTTTATCCCACCCATGCCTAATAGCGAATAGGTCTTCATTCCACACGAATCGACGAGCTGGACCTCATCTCTAGCCTTCTTGACAAATCATTCATAGCCTCCATTCATCCCTCTCCATCACGCCCCGCGCTTATAATTCCTTTAAAAATAAAATAACAATTCACTCCATGTTCCACTGTCCATTTCCAAATACCAGACCCCATCCCTATTAAACCCGCCTTGTGTGCCGATATGCTTTGCTGCCAAGACTCGAACGATGCATGCATGCTGCGCTGGGGGGTATTCAACAACAAACAAGCATGAATTTTTTTTGGAAAACCCTTCGAAATGGGAAAAAGGAAAAAACTTGTGTCGCGTGAACGGACAAAACGAACGTCAAGAAGTGTGTATCAATAGATTTCGCCGGCGTTTGTGTGCGTGATTTTACTCAATAAAATTCGTAGAATGCGTTCAGTCCATCCCGTTCCCCAGAGTTCGTAAGCAATGAAAATCGACCGAGGAAACTGCAACCTCCTCGCTATCATCTTTCGTTCGTACCATTTTGTAAGAAACCCATAGTGCCCTAATTTGTAGAGGTAGAATCGTGACGATATGCGATATTTTGGCGTAACTATCGGAAAGCCCGTATGTTGTATTGTTTGATCTTGTGATGTTGAGTAGAAGAACTCAGAAGCCGATGGGGGAGAGTGGTTTGATGGGACTCAATGGTCTCATATCACCATTCCGAGGCGGTGTTACTTGCATAACGGTCAAAGTGGTGCTGACAGTATCGATACTGTTCATACTATTGCTCTGACTCATGGTAACCTCCCTATGATTTTCTCTCTTACTTTGATTTTCTCTCTGACTTTGACTTCTTTCGCTGTCTGGGCTTCTGCGTCGAACTTTATCCCCACTGACCTTTCGTCCCTTCTCGTGGCTATGCTTTTGGCCCTGATGTTCAAGGCTGACACTCGATGGCTTGCTGCTGTCGGAGCTGCTAACATTTCTTTCATCATGGCTTTCGACGGCAGTGCTACTGCGCCCTCCAGCACTTCCTGGGGGGTTCTGATCAAAGAGCATGTATTCTTGTTCGATATATGCTGCTTCAGTCTTACAGCCCTTCCAACAATCTCTCCAGTCGCAAACCAGAAATTTGAAACAGAATGCGTCCATCTTCATGCAAGGTTGAAAACATATACATAAATTCCTAAAGTCCATCTTATTCTTTTGGGAGTGGGCGAGTAGGAGAGACAAATGGCAAGTGATGGCGAATAGAAGGTAATAATTGAAAGGCGAAAGGTTGGAAAGTTCATCAACAAGTTGTTGTGGAACCTCCTCAGAACCCGCACACTCTCTGGCAATTCGATCTTGTGCAGCCTTGGGAAGAAGTTCGTCGGGGAGTTCGCGAAGCCATGCTTTAAGCATTGAGCCGATAATATTTATGTCGTAGAGGTCGTCACATTCGAAGAGATCGATATCAATTTCTAGCGGTGTGTCAGTAAGCTCCTAGAATATCCTCAAAGACAACATTTGCAAACCTTCATCAAATCTTCTCTGCCACCTTTTGATTTGTGGTCCACTACCAGGTACTCGATAAAGTCCCTCCACATCACTTCCTTTGTAATTCAAATAGTCGATCGCTCTCCATGGGAAAGATGGCATCCAAAATTCGGTTTTGTCCCTGGAATCCTCCAATCTCTTCGATATTCTGGTGAGTCGCGTTTGCTCGACAAGAGGTCTATTGATGACTCTTAAAACGTAATGCTCATCATCGATCAAGGGTTCTTTCTGTGTAGAGCTACCGCTTCTCCCTCCCTTGCCAAAAAAATTCTTGTGTATCGCTCCCGCTCCCTTTGTTGCTTGCGATTTAATATTATTGAAGAATGCATGTCCGCCGGCCTCTTTCAATGTTGTAGAGAAGGATGATTGATTTCTGCTACCATCCTTTGTATGCTCTCTGGTATGTTCCCTCATGGGTTCCTTTCCACGATTATCTCTAGAGCGACTAGGTTGGCGATCTTCGGATCGTTGTCGAATATTGGTTGGAGTCGACATCTCCCTAAAATTCCTATCGTCGTCGCTTCGAGCTGGCGTTGTAGTATTCACAGAGCTGGTGGAGCTTGTGTATTGATTTGTATTTGTGGAAGGGTGGTCGGGGTCCAAATAATTATTTTTTGGCGGAGAAGTCTCGGCGGGGCTATGATCATCTCGTAATGATCTAGTTCTACCGAGAAGACTGAATGGCTTATTATTAAATTTAATATTCTTACTGCCGGAATTTGAATCAGAATTTGGTTGTGGGGAGTCGTTCATTGATGATGCCAACGAGGCGTCAGATCTTGACGAACCCCCGACGGGTTTTCTAACTAATGATCTAGTACGAGTAGAACCTGATTCTATTTTGAGAAGAATTATTAGTCTTTTTTTGAAATCGCTCAATATGGGTAATTACCCAACAACAACAACAACATTAACATTATTATTGTTGTCTAATAGGTAGATTTGTCTAAAGTAATAAAAAAAGAGGGAAGGGATGAAAAAGTTAAAGGTACGAAAGGGACGAAACAATATGGGTCGTACCACTTCTTTTAGTGTCCTGTGATGAAACCTTCCTATTCATCTCAGGGCGGTCTGTGTCTCTAGACATGTTATTGTTGTCCTCCACAACATTCACTTGGTGAGAAAGAAGTTTACTTGTACTTGTACTTGCACTCTTTGATGCTTTATAATTTGAAAAGAATCCAGTACGAGAAGGTCTTTCCTTCACAATGTTCTTATTTGAAGCCTTCGAAGATTGGAATGAGGAGAGGGAAGGAAAGGTTTGTGATGTTGGTATTCCACTGCCAGTGGTAGCTGATAAATATTTCCCGGATGACTGGGAACTTTCCTCCATAGAAGAAGTTTGATCTCTTTGATATTGTTCTTGTTGTTGTTGTTGTTCTTCTTGAACTGGAGTTTGACTTCGAATTTGAACCTGAACCTGATCCTGAGCCTGAGCCTGAGCCTGAGATTGATGTTGTAATTGTGATTTCTTTGTATTGAATCTGAAGGGAGACCTCGGTGATTTCGGGGACTTTGCACTCAAAGGACTTTGTTCAATGTTACTCGTAAGATCTGTACCATTTCCTCTACTTCCTCCTCTACTAGGGTCCAGCGTCAGCGGTTGTAGGCCAGACTTTCTTGCCATTCTGCCCCTGTTATCCGCTGATGACCTCTTCTCGGGGGCGCAAGAATAACCCAGGATTCGAATAGATTGTCTCGTATGCAACGTATACACTGCACAGCCTTCAGGCTCCTTCAATCGTATCACAAATCCTAAATAATAGTATATAGGCTCTCTCTTTCTATCGCGCGGATGGTGCGTGCGGATGGATTGGCGCAATACTGTCCTGGGTCTGCTCAATGCTTTGGATCAATCGTAATGCAGTACTCGTTCCGATGGCATATAGATTAAATGTGAAAATGGATCCTGGATTTGTCCCTCTTGCGTAGGCAGAATTGATTCGAATGATTGATGGAAAGCCCCCTGGTCAGTCGCGTGAAATGCTTGATTGATATATAACCCTTGTTTGATCCACTGTCGACAGATAAATAGATTTAGAAAGCGATATAACAACAGGTTTAAAAAAGAATCCTATGATGAAGAGATAGATGATTGGAACCTTAAGAAGAAGCGCGGAGTGATGAAAGATTTTCAAGGTCTTGTTCTTGACTCTAATGGAATGTAAATCTTACAAAGTTTGAGCTCCCTTCTTAGCCTAAACTATTTCGTCCTTTTGCCAATCTTTCTAATCTGATTGTCTATGAGTAGGTACAGATAACAACTTAGACGAGGGATCAGACTCAGACTTGGATATCCACTTTGCTTTTGTACCTGAATAGAATACTAGTTAGTATCTACTGTAATTAAGTGGCTTTATGATTGATCTGCTACTTGTATGGGAGAAACTCATACAGTAAGGTGATTAGATGAAGCCCAGGAAGAGAGAAACCATATTACAGAAATTGATATAGGGTATTACTTGTAGATGAGTAATGGATTCGTATCGTATAGTTTAATCATAAGTACTATGTACGAGTGAGTATATCAGTCGAGAAATCTTATAGTTTACCTACCTACCTATCCAACACCAACACCTAATAGAATCATACCAAATCAGATCAGATCAATGTCCGGATTCCGGATTCCGGATTTCTCTACTGTAGGTATCACCCACCAACACCAACAATCATACATAAAATCACAAGAGGATTATTTACCCAGCTATTAATCCCCTTCCCCTCCTTCTTCCTCTCTAGAAACTGCACGGCCACAACAACCACGATAGAGGCGCAGGTACCCATCATAGTGCCATGAAGATCAAGGAAGTATCCGCCATAGCGATCGATAACCTAAACGTTTAAAGGGTCCTAGAGTGAGAGTGAGTCTAGTGGATACTCTAGGTAGGTAATCTAGGCTATCGCAGTTATCGCTGTATCTAATCTAATGCCTGTAATCATTCTTTCGCATTAAATCATTAAATACTTAAATACTCGTACAATGGACATTAAATAGTCTATTAAAATATGAGGTGGATAAGATACAAGCCATCAATAAGTACCAACTAATGTTAACTACCGGTTATCAAATTAGCATCCCCCATCTCACTCATAGTTCTCACCGCCGAATTCATTCAATTTTCATTTTCATTTTCATTTTCATCTTCAACCAAAAAGTGGATTCATGAAACGCCCCATCCATGCCGGTACTGGTACTGATACTGAACTTTCATCTCATCCAGGAAACACCATGAAAAAATAATAATAATAAAAAAGATTTCTTTTCTAGATAACTTTTTCTTTCCAAGTTATTATTATTATTATTCTTCTTCTTCTCGGCATTGATTCCGTCCCTTTATTGTCTAGGTATAGTATAGTATTGACTCCTTCCCGAATCTTATTATTAATCATCATCGTATTCATCGGAAATCCCCATCGCTATCTATCCTTTGTTCTGTCCATATCTTTTCCGAATATCCGTTCTTCTCATCTCACTCAGCCTTGAATATATATGACAAGATTAGATAATCCGGATACATGAACATGAAAACATAATACATGAAAGAAATTCCAGTTCCTTCCTTAGCCAGGAACAACGAACAACCTTTTTTTGAATAAGATGAAAGGGGCCATTCATATTTATTATGAAAGGATATTTTTTTCCATCCGCGTATATATAATTAATTATTGGATCCGTACGTATGAGATTTCGTTATTAACAATCCACGCGCGCGGTACGTACCTCTGGTCTAGTACTCAATGCTTACACTAGACCGTAACACCGGTACAGTAGATCGCGGGGATCAAAACGTGGCTATGCTATGCTATGCTATACCTCTGTGCTATGCACCAAATTATGCGGAGTTTGGTAAACATATATCACGTGATATTGTAACCTTACTGGGTAACCTTTATTCATGTTCTATTTTCTCGCGGGTTGTGATTCTCTATTCAGTTATAACTTGAAGTTCAAACACTATATACAAGTATTTTTAATTTCCATCTGATCTCATATAAAACGGTAGTTCCGAACACTATACGAACTAATCAAATGTACCGACATACGATAATCTCATCCAATAATCCACGTGCTGTTATTAGATTCGTACAGAAATTAGTACATGACTCGGTATCTCGATTTTTCATCTTATATGAGGAGAAGTTTGCGTTTTGCTTTTGTTTGAGATAAGGTTATAGTATGTGTTTTTTTTTATGCTAGATAAATGAATGAATTCGTTGCGTATACCGGCCGGTACTTGGATTTGCTGGTCGTAAGGTTAGGGTTAATGTAGGTAATTTCGGTGTTGGGTATGCTAGCACTGGTAATGGACTCTTTTATTAGCTATAGAGGAGATTTCTATAGGGATCCAAGCACTAATTCTATACGGTTCATTTACCTCGAATTTTGGAAAGGTCGTGAGGGTTTGGAATAGAATACCAGGAATAGATTTTGAGAGAGAATGATATTTCGTATTTGGTATTTAATTAAGTATTTGATCTACAAAGTTTTAGATATGTTGAAGTGCTGAGATTCATTTTGATGAAGCTGTCTTCTACTCGAGTATATCTACTGATATTTACGAGAGAGAATAAAAGAATTATCTATATACAATTATTTATAGTATTAATATAACAGAGAGAAATACTGAGAGATTATACTATAGATAAGAATAAGAATAAGCCTTTAAGTTGTGTAAGACTATTCTTCCCCCTTTCTCATTCTCGTCTAATTAATATATCGTTAATAAACTCTATATATTCTGGACATCTATACTAATTCTTGACTTAGTTTATCAAAAACTTAAAAATGTATATTGTGAAAGTCTTCTAATTTATAGAGTTCGTAGAGTAGAGCGAGAAGGAAATATTGGATCTTTTATATAAGATATATATTACCAGATAGTTAAGTTGAGTAGTGTTTCTAGAATATATATATGAGATTACTAATTACGTAGAGCGATTCTAACTTCTTGGAAGTTGGTGTGGAAATATTTGTAAATAAAGTAGCTCTATTACACTCTTCTAGTTATCGTTATAACTTATAAGTTCTAAGTTTTAGAATCTAGAATAATGATTACTAGTACTCGAGTATAGATAGTATAGCCAAAAGGTAGACAGGTACCCCACGATAATGGATGCAGTGTGTATTGGTTGTAGTGCAAAATACTGTGGAAGCTGATGCTGAACTACTATCCTCTTCGAACTTGATGGGGAAAATCGATGGTTTAGATTAGATTAGATTAGGTTGTATAAGTTGACTAACGCATCTTCATCTTCTAGTCTTATTACTAAATAGTCCTTATTAGGAAAAGTTGGCCGAATTGATATTATATATGATAATTATATTAGGCTGGCTGGCTTAGACTTGCTGACTACTAGGTGAGGTATTTCGGATTGCTTGGGACGTGGGAATGTTATCCAGGGAGCGTAAAAGTAACTAGTAGGACCTAAAAGATTCTCCGACCGCTTATATAAATACTTTCTGGTATTTAGATTAAAGATTCCGTTTAACTTTATTTTGCTTAATGTTATTGAATATTGGATCTAGTTTATAGAGTTTCCTAGATATAATTTGATTCTTTGCATAGTACTAGTAGAGAAAGTTATCCGATTAATACTGCTTTTTTTCATCTCTGGTATTTGCAGATCTTAAAGATTATTAGTGTCTCTTCGAGAGTAATAATATTATAGCTTTTGATAATCGGTGATATATAGACTTGGGTCTAGAATAGTAATAGTATTCTATTGAGATCAAACCCACTAACGATGAATAGCATGCTTATAGAATACTAATAGATCTTATTATCATGGTGCTAGTACTAATATTAAAAAATTATAGAATTAAGGAAGAGGGAAGGGGGAAGTTATGAAGTTATAGAAATAAGCGAGTATACTTATCTAATTAGCTTAAACTCTATTTATTATTCAATGTCTTTCAATATAGTTAGCAAGCTATAATCTTTAAAAACTTACGATCTCTTATTCGATACTTTATATAATTTAGAGTAGTATTTATATTTATATTGATGTTATTTTAAAAATTGTATTGAATAGTTACGATAAAGGAGAAAATTCCAATTCTGAGTAAAAGGAATATTAGTCTTAGATAATAAGACTAGCTTGATTCTATATATAATAGTTCCGCCGAGTTTTGCTAAAACTCAAAGTAATGAGTCGTAAAGAATAGAGTATCCAATGAATTATATATCTAGCCTAAACCTAAAATTTCACATCTCTATCTCTATACAAATCTAGAAACATGCAGAAATAGTCTTGTGGGCCAATGATTTAGTTGTGAATTGGGACTGAGACAGGGTCGCAAGCGAGAGCTATAAGGAAATGTAAGATTACCTTTTCATATATTTTTTCTTCTACTTAATTTATTATTGTCGGTATAGTCATCTACTATACCGGAGCACCGGCGCCGTACTAGCGAAGGGCTAGGGCAAACACTAGCGAAAGGACCTCAATACACATATAGTCCCCATCATGTAGAATAGTAATCAACAAGCTTTTTATAGATATCAACACTGAACACTCGTCGGGCTTTCTATCATCGTAGACCTGAAAGATGTTCCCGTTGATACCAACACTTACCAACAATTATAGAACGAACTACTTGTCGCATTTATGAACCATTTGACATTCTTCCCATAACATAAGGTGATCAATAGAATAAGTACTCGAGTACTATTGTTTTCTCTTTACTTACCTTCTGCCTATCATTCTATAGGTAATTATCTTATTTTTTTTATTTTCTACTCGAGTATGGACATTCCATAAGCAAGGTATTACACGATTTTTAGCAACCCTTGGATTTAGCTATTTAATCTCTTGATAAAGTACGAAAGGATCGATCGAGGAATGACGAGAGCGTCACGGTATAGAAGGAATACGAAAGCACACCGATGAAATAAGAAAAAATAATCAGGAAACTACTCTTGATCAAAACCAAAACCCCAACACCTACCATAACCAACTCAGGCTAGACAAATAATTCAAGCTGAAGAGATATCAATCCCTTACTCCTCCTATAAGAAATGTTATAAACTCAATTCTAAAAAGTTCATCTAGAGCATCTTCATCTGTGGGAAGGCCCACAAGACTCTTCAATCAATATTGACAGCGAATCATAATAAACAACAAGTCATTCCTACCCGTGCCTTTATAGACAAGTCTTAACCAAAAAAATTGCCGAAAAGAAAGATGATAGCCAGTGAAGTGGACCTTGTCTTGCTCAATTTCAAAAGAACATTATAGAGAACTTCAAAAATATATTTACAATATCTATTACCGAGATCATCAACTATTTGCACCATCTTCCATCAAGTAGATTAACAATGAAAATTTATTTCGAATATTACCTCGATGAACTTACTTATAGAATATATTGGATATCTACTCAAGTATTGTTTTTAGATATAAAGATGATATTATATCTCGGAACTTGAAAGCCGATACATAGACTATATATAGTACGGGTAAAGAGATGTTATATGGAGAGGAGAATAGCCCTCATTATCAATATGTATAATAGCCCTAACTATCAATATATAAAGTGGGAAATTCATTGCAGAGTTATAAGAGTTGAAGCGAAATAAAGCATAATTAGATTTTCTACTGTATGGTTGCTGAATATGATGTCACGGTGGGATGAGGAGATAGAGAAGATTAAATTGACTAAGTTTAGTTTGGCAACTACAAAGTCTATACTTGAGTACCGGTATTTATTTTCAGTCTAGGCCCCAGGGCAGGGGCAAACTTCACAAACAGAAACTCCATCAAGCAAACAGGGGAAACACTGGCAGGAAAAAGTTGAGTAAGAGATGGGGTAGGGGGAGGCAACTTGAAGGAGAATGAAAAGGTTGAGAAGGTTGTTAGAAATAAGAAGATTGAGGAACACGAGAAATACTAGAAAAATGCTACATATCCGGAATCGCCACAATATGCTCACTCGTATACGAGTATACGAGAAATTAGAAGCACTAATAAGAGGTTCCTAGTAAATGACTTATATCAGGGTTGAAGAAAGACTACTAGTGATAAGTAACTCATTGCTTCTTTCATTAATTGGATTTGGTACTCCAGTAGAATTATCACTGTATATAATTCAACATTAACTCTTGCAACTAATTAAGCTAAGATCAAATTATAACTGATTAATTGATTTAATTGACTTGTAAAATACAATAATTGGTCTGAGTGACTCGGAGACTAACCATACTCGTCTATGACCTATAGGAGATTAGGAGTTATTGATTGCGAAATAGTATCGGTAGTCCTTTCTGCTGTTGGCAATTGGGGATCTCTCTATATGAGATTTTGATTTTGTAGATAGAGGGTCCTTGGGATGGGGCATAGTAGATGGTAGATGGTAGATGGTATAGTGTTACGATACTGAGTAAGTAAAAGAGGTTCCCAAGATCATGGGTATGAAGGTGAGTTCAGATGCCAGAGCCAAATTCATAGGTGATGGCGTGATAGTGAATGAAGGCTTATTGTATCCTTGATTTATCTGGGTGCTGTAGAAGGGGAAAGGCTCAGGTAGGAGACAGACTTTTGTATAGAATGGTCAGTATTCTTAAAGGGGGTAGAACTTGATGGTAAGGAATGGTGGGGATTAAGAGGGGTGGAGAGTGGGTGTGGAGGAATCCTGTGTAGTGTAAAATTTATAGGCATTTTCAGGCTCATGGCTCTGAAGCAGACATGCAACAAAACTTTTTCAATTTTCTGCCAGGCGGTGGGGTGGAATAATACATGTAATGTTCTTACCCCCCTTTTTAACACCCAGCCTAACTTAGTCTAACAATTGATTCACCTTCCTACATGACTATATAGCTCAAGAGATCTTTATGATTGAGATAAAATTTGGGGCAACATTGGAACAATTCTTTCCATCTACCGGTATTCATTCTGCCACCACAAGCCAGTCACCTAGCATCTAGCATCAATGCCCTCGAAATCTACACTAGAATCAACATCGTACAGTATTATATTAGAGCCATTGAAATGGGAAATCGTGTCCACGACTTCAATGCACATCTCGTCCAGTCTCTACTTTAATCTCGATAGGTTTTATGATACAAGCTTTAGCACAATCCTTATGGCGAGCTGATGCTATGGTAATCACAACTACGTGATATCATGAGTAGTTCCCCTTTTTTAGTAAGAGATATCAACCATGATTTTGCTTTGAAATAGCAGAAATCCTTTCTGCTATCATCAAGATTTCCAGCCCAAATTTCTACTAACACCAAGTTCGATGAGTTTCTCAACTTGCTTGTCCGGATTTGCGCACTAACGCCGTAATCACTTTATTGTCCTCGTTTGTTGGGTCACGATGTTGTGGAACCGACATTATGATTGTATTGAATCCCAATATTCGAAGCGCATGGTTAGGTATCGTCTCAAATGAGTACTCGAGTTTTATCAGCCATGTTGTTGATCTGTGAAACGTTGAGATGTACGGAATACAATTAGAAAGATCAGAGCTGAAAACGGATGGAACAATCTTCCTCGGGAATGCAAGTGCGCAAAATATTAGGCAATAGAAATGATATTCTCAGAGTACTTCGTATGAGTGGTAACGCAATGATGCTGACTTGTGCCTCTCTTGTAATGCAGGTTTATGAATATCGTATCGTATCGTATTCTACCTTTCTCGTGGTCCAATCTTCTCTCTTAACAACATACTCGTAAATAGGCTAAAACCTGCTTTTGAGGTCACTTAACCTCATTTCTCTGAAGCAACGAGGGCATTCAAATGTCTTCGCCGATGAATATCACGAAATAGATGGACTTCCACTTCATATTATTATTATATAAGGTGAAGAGCTGCACTACTCTCTCATCATCTTTCTTGAGCTGAAGTAAAAACAACACTTCAGTCACTGTCACGATACTTTGTAATTAAGCTTCTATTAAGAAAACTTGCATGATTTTAGTCCGAAACTTAAATCATCAAAGTCCACTTATAATTAGTCAAAACACGATCCAAGAATCGGGCTCAATCGGGTTATCTATACCCTTTTGAGTCCTTGCAGCTTTACTTCACCACTTTAAATACGAAAAGTTGTGGGGGAAGAGGAAACTCGTTATTTATAAGGATTCAAATCTCCGATACTATCTAAGATGAATCTGGGAAAAGGAATGATCTAATGAGAAATTAAGGATAAACTGTGAAGGATGGATGTAAGAGAATGTTCATGGTAGGTAGGATAATAAGTAGGTTATATATATACAGATGATAGAAATATGAATATATATGAAGATATACTGTATACAACTGTTAATAATTATAAATATCTCCTGTTTTCATCATACTCGAGTAGAAAGAATCTCAATCAATGTCACAGGGGGGATTTATACTTCCGCCCCGCATAAAACCTGCATTTAGCTTACTCTCTTTCTCTCTGTCTCTCTCTCTCCATATTCATTGCATTTCTACTCGGTAACCTTTAACCCTTTTACAACAAACAACGACTCCTCCTAATCCTTCAAACTACCATACCAACTGTCTAACACACTCGTTCATCTAACATCTTCATAATCTTTTCTTGACATTCTTTACTCATATCATCAGCCCATTCTGATAAACCGAAACGGAACGGAACGAAACGAAACGAACGAAACCTTGAAACATCCTCCGAGTAAAAGGAAAAGGAACTAGCGAAATTACATAGTAGGAAAAAGGGAAAAAGAAGTCAAAGTACAGGTATCCCTGGATGGTGAACACACGATCAATCGTTTACGGCGTCAAATCCATCAATCATCAATCAATTCACAAGACTTAAACGCGACATCCAACCCTATTTTAGGACCCCTTAAAGTTACCTACTATCCGCATTCCACGAAAGCCTCCCACGAAAGATACGGGAAGGATCCAATATTTCTTGAGCGATAATAAATTGGTGGGAAGAGAGGCGGAAGCCATTGGGAGATTACCGTCGCAATCACGAAAGACCTCTGCCGACAATTTACACAATGTATCGATCCATCCTCTTATTAGCTTCAACAATCCTACCTGCCATTGTCAGTGCCCAACAATTGGCAGATGGTTCAATCGTTCCATTCTCATCCGACCTGCCATCCTGTGCATCACAATGTGGACCTCTTTCCGATGTTCAAGGAGCTTGCGTTCCGCCTGTTACTGCCGATGTCTCTAGTTCGTGCTTTTGCGCAGATTCCACATTAACACCCTTTCTTACGGGAACAGCTGGAGTTTCTTCTGTCTGCGGTGCCACGAGTTGTACATCAACCGCAGATTTACAGAGTATCGAAACCTGGTACGAGCAATATTGTAATACGGGATCAGCATCAACCACTACATCGAGTAGTGGAAGTGCATCCACTTCTGACTCGAGTTCGGGCTCGAGTTCGGATAGTACACATAAATCATGGTATGTAGATTCTGTATTGCGAAAGTTATGAAGATTTCTAATACACTTCAAGGTTCTCTACTCATGCGAAATGGGTTGCAATGCTTATTGTACTTGTCATCGGAATTACGGTTGTTTGGCTCATAGCATTCTATTTCAGACGACGATATCTTCGAAGGAGGGAGAGGGAGATTGAAATGAGACCTCCAGTTGCTTTGGGACCACATCAACTCCAAAGTGCGACAGGAGGGTACAGTCATGGAGATGGTGCTGTTAATTCGGCTGAAGGAGGTCATCATAAAGAGGCTACTAGAGCAACCGTGACATCTACGCCAGCGGAGGCAACTAGAGGTAAAAGAGAAAGTAAGGGTCTTCAGAAAAAGCAAAGGATGTAAATAATTGGGTCTTGTTATACATGATAGGATTCATGATGGGGGCGTTAGGTTTGGTAATATGGTATGGTGTTTGGGGAAAGGTCAAAGACATATGGTCTGGATTCTGAGGATATATAATTGATGGAGCTTTGTTGATACCACAGCTGAATGGTAATAGCGCTACATAAATGAACGATCTTTTGTCGTGGCAATCATCTCATTAAGGAGAAATCAGATAACCATTGCTGATGATCTAATGAAGTTTCCATACTCGTCCCTTGGCTAGTGCAGGTGAATTAGTTATTTGTCACTTTTGGGACAGAAATATTCTATATAGTTCTCGTCTCTACTTTCTTCAAGTGTGGTAGAATTCTTTCTCTTCCAGATCACTGACACAATCAAGATCTTTCAAGATAGATGCCAAACTTATAGTCCACATAAAGATGTCCCTCCATATCACAATTCCTACAGAAATCATTACCCTTAGTTTCTGCATTCTCTTAACCTCTTACATTCTCAATTTCTTCGTTCAATCAACCCTTTGGTTTTGCATTGGACTTGAGTCCATCTTCTTTTTAGGTGGCTTGTCGGTCTACCTTTCAGCTGTTAACAATATCTATTCCTTCGGGTTACACAGGTTATACTGGGTTTGTGAGGGAGATGAGAGAGGTAAAAGAGGTGAGAGAGGGAGGAGCATGGTCTAGAAGGTTTTAGATCGGACTGGACTTGTTTTGATGCAAATACTTCACTGCTCAAATTCTATGTTGAACCATCTACAATTCTCCGGGTTTTCAAATTCACCTTCTCCTTCCTCTTTGCAAAAGTAGGTATACACAGATCGGTATTCACTTTATATCCATAAACCCCCTCTTCCCCTCTCCCACCGATTCTCTCTAGCGTCTCAACTACTCCTACTCTTTCCAAAAAGGACCTTCTTTGTCTTCTTCCTTCTTTATCCTTCTTTCTTTTGCAACTCGCAATACAACCTGAAGTAACTTTATGGTCTTGCAAATACTTACTCTTCTTGATAGTATCTAATCCTCTTTGACCTACGATATCTAATCATATACTTGCTTCGAGTTTGGAAGACTTCCTCGAATACGATACTTTGCTTATTTCTCTATCTGGAGCAATACTTCAGGAAATACTTGACTTTTGCTCCGCTAACATCCTCACTTCCTTTCCATCTTGCATCACTTTACATATTATTTTTAGCCCAAGAATTAAACGCTGTCATCCTAAGGAGAACTCTCGACTTGCAGCCCAGCGAAAACGAATTCTCGTCAAGAAATCATTACTTATGTTCCATTAAAACCATCAAGACCACGAAAAATGGATATGACTTCTTCCCACAACGGAGGCGAGCCTTCCGTCTTTGACCACACTGGACAACAACCTTCCTCTTACAGCTCGGCACCATCATTTGGTCCCAGTCTGCACCCACAACGCATCACGCACCACGATCAAAGTCGAAGCTATGTCCCAAAACTCACCATTTCACCGGCTCACTCTATGAACTCTACCAAAAGCCAACATTCCACTACAGACTCTCAGATTGAGTTCATCACAAACTTGAAAATCCGCATAGCAGTTCTGGAGAACGACGTAGCTCATGCGACGCAAGCTAAGGATGAGGCCATAAAGAGTTCGGTCATTATCGCCAGGGCGTTGGGCAACGTTGCCAATAATCCGGAGCTAGCTACTAAAAAGCTACGAGCTCCCGAGGCTGAAGAATTGGAGGAGTTACGTGTAGAAGTGAAGAGGTTGAGAAGAGAGAATGGTGTGCTTTGGGGTCGAATCGAGTCTCAGGAAGCTAGCCACATGATCACTCATGACAACTCTGCAAGTGCAGTTTCTAAAGACAAAAACACTTACCAAGTTTCAAGTGAAGACTCCGACTACCCTCTCGCAATCAAATCACGCTTAACGCATCCCATCATCGATGCTGCCATCAAGAAAATCGGCGCACAGGACGAGCCCAAGCACTCCTATCACTCAGTTGACCTCAACGAAGAAACAAAACTTCCCAACCATGTCAATCTCGAACGACTTGAAGACGGTAGTCTCGCAGTCCCGTCGGGATACCCAGTCTTGTCCTCTACACCAAAAAGAAGAAATATCAATGACATCAATACCTCAACACTCGACGACGTCCTCAGCTCCTCGGACGATGAAGAACCAGAAGTCAAAATCGAAGATCAACTCCTCTACCAAGAACGCGCCAACGCAAACTTCATCAACATTCCCGCCCCCGCAGTCCTCAAAGCCGGCTTTGAATTCTATCCCGAGAAAGCTCTTCGTGGTGATGATTATGCTAATCGAGGATATGTCAACCGCAATAACTATTATGCGCGTTTCAACAATCGAAATACCGGTATGCCCACGGGACCAAAACCTTTCGAGTTTCCTCCTGATTTGAGCGAGGGCACGAGTATCTGGACTACACCTCAACAGAGAGATGATGAGATTAATAACCATATGCGAGCTGCTGATTCCAGAGATCATAAGTTCCCTGATTATTTCAGATATGGTGTTGTTTATGTTCCAAAGGATGGCGATCATGATACATTGCGCGGGGTACATATTGGTGGACTTCCGAAGAACATCGAGTTGAGAGATGTACTTGCGAGAGTTCGAGGTGGGAGGGTTTATTCGGCTGTGCTGCTCAATACGATGGCTATCTCGGGAAGTAACTCCGCGCTCGTTACATTTGTTGACGAGGCGGATGCGGAGGCTTATGTTCAATATGCTAATGCTCATCCTATCGTCTTTGACTCCGAGGACTCCGACGAGGAAAATGTGGTCATGGCAATTGTAACGCATCTTCATACCCCCACATTCCCCTTCTCCCCCGCAAAACTCAAGACGATTTTTGAGCTCAACCGTACCCGCATCCTCACAATCCGCAATTTTCCAGAGAACCTCTCACTACGTCGTCTAGAAACTGATTTGGCATGTCGAACTGCGTTTAGGGCGGACAGTATGCTAGAATGGTATATGGATGAGGAAGGCACCCTTCGGATGGAATTCTCTAGTATGGATGCGGCTGGTAGCGCATTTGGCATGCTGGCGAGTTCACATGGGTATAGACAGTTTAGGTTGGAGTTGCAGTTTGAGAAGGATAGTTGTGAGGGTAGTTTAGAGGAATTAGAGATGCCAGTTGAGATGAGAAAACCTATGTTTCCGAGAACTGAAATTGGACCTAGGGAGGATAGGAGTGGAAGTAGCCTGAGTGGAAATGGAAATGGAAATGGTGATGGTGGGATGACAGGTGATTCGGCTTTGGTGATGCAGCGAAGACGATTGGCTGCGTTGCAGAAACAACATGATGTTATCCCATCATTGAGAGGCGAGGGCTTGAAGTCGAGTTCTTGGGCTGATGAAGTTATTGAGGACTCGGGAGCAAATACCGCAATTGAAGTATCTGGTCGTCAAACTGAGGAAATCACAACTTCGAAAAACAACAAAGATCTCGAAGAAAAAAATACTCTCAGATCTCAACCACACCAAACACATTCCAGCACAGATTCAACATCATCAACACTCATCGGACCTTCAACTGACGCACCCATCAAAGACGAAGATATCGCCCCCGTCACCCCCAAACCTGGACCTCGCATCCTAACTGGAAAACAATATCTCCTCGAATTTGCCGCTGCCGCTAAAGGTCATGATACATCAACACCTACATCAACATCTACAAACCCAAACCCAAACACAAGCCCACCAATATCAGCAACAACACCCAGCTCCAATACCTCCACCCCTCGACCCCACCTACCTCGCCTTACCCTCTTCACCACCTCTCTCCCTCCCCCTCCCACCATCACCAGTAAATCCCCCGACCCCGAGCCCAGCTCTGCAGAATACAGTCTTCATTCATTCGCTTCATCAGCTGTTTCTGCCGTTTCTGCCGGAGATAATGATTCGCCTCTGGATTCTTTTCCCACGGAACATACTCTGGCTCATATCCAGGTCCAGGCTCAAAATCCTGCTCAGGCTGCTGGAAAAGCGAAAGGTGCTCCTGGTACTTTGTCTGATTTTGGAGGACGTTCGCTGTTCTCGGCTGCTGGGCATCCTGTTGAGGCTGTGGATTCTAGTCAAGCTATTCAACCTATACAAGCTATTCAACATAGTGTCTCAAACCCAGTAACCCGCGCCCTCAATACTGGTACTGGTACTGGCAGGAAATTACCGGTAGTCAATAATGTGGATGCAGATACGAACGTATATTTTATGCCAGGAGCAGATACTGAAAAGGCGATACTGGATAGTGAGGTTGGGAGTCCGAGGCTGAGTTTGAGTTTGAGGGGCGAGGATTGTGATCGTGATTGTGATCGTGATCAGGGCCGGGAGGAGAAGATTTTAGGGGGAGTGAATCAGGTGTTTTCTGAGAGGGTGGGGGTGGGGGCAGATGGTGGTGGTGGTGGATATGTTGAGGGTGGAGTGAAGGATGGAGGGAAGGAAATTGGTGGGAAGGTTATGGGTATGGGTGAGGGTAAGGGTGGAGAGAAGGAAAAAGGAAACGAGGGAAATGCAAAGGTACAAAAACATGAAAATACGAAGATGAAGATGAAGATGAATCCTGATGAGATTGATCTGGATCTGGGTCTTGAATCTGATGGGGATGTGGCGGATGTGGCGGATGTGGATGCGGATGCGGATGAAAATGAGGGGCTTTTTCAAAAGGAGCTGTGTGTTCAGTCTATAGCTAAGACTGACGCTACGACTAAGACTAAGACTAAGGCGGAGATGGATATTTCTGAGGTTTCTGCTGCGTCTGCTGCGTCTGCTTCTTTAGCTGATGCTAAGGAGGGTATGGAGGGTAAGGAGGGTAAGGAGTCCAAGTTAATTTCTTATCGTGAGGGAGTTGAGGAAGGAGAGGAAATTAAGAAAATTAGGGAGGGGAAGGGAGGGGAAAAGCGGATTTGATTCTTTCTACTCGAATAGTTCTATCCCATATTTCTTATCCCTTATCATACATATGATATGATATGATATAGCTATCTATGGCTTAAGTTTGAATCCTTGAGCTTGATTTTCTTGGGATGGGGATTGAGAGGGGATGGGAAAGGAAGGGATGAGCGATGCATCATGAAGGATGAAGCGATATTTCATGATATTCGGGCATTCGCACATGGATTATACCACACCATGGTTCATGGGGAATAGTTCATGGATAGGAGATGAAGAACATGCATGCATACAGGGTTCACTATTAGATTCATATGACTCTTGCGATTTTTCAGGAATTTTTTCTCGATGGTTTTTCTTTTTCGTATTTAGAAGCAGATGCATATGCATATTTAGATTTGTTGGGTGCGTTGGGTAGGGAGGGGGGTTTATTTTCATTTTTATTTTTATTTATTTTATTTTATTTTATTTTCGGGGAGAGTGAGAGGAGTGATGGGAGCGATAGGAGTGGAGGTTAGATAAATACATAAAAATACATATCTACATACGAGTAGTTCTTTAGATAGACAGATATAACGAGCGAGCGAAATTTTCACATGGATTATCTACTCGAGTATATACATGCGTATATATATATCTGAATCTACAATCTCATACTGTACTTGAGTATAGGTATAGCACTATAGTATATATACTATTTGTATATCTAAGTAATAGAATATAAGCGTTATGAGTATAATAAGTAGACTCGTAATAAGTATTATAGAATTTACTTGGAATATATTTATATACATATATATATATACTTATGTATAGATATCCAAGTAAGTTTAGTAGTAAGACTATATAATATATCGAGTAGATTACTCAGAAAGTGAAAGTGGTTCTGCCAATTAATTATGAGGGGCGGCGCGGGGAGCGAGAGAATATGAATTTGATGGGTGGTGAATCTACTGAGTGAGTGTACGGGACTGGTTTGGAGGGGTTTGGAGGGGTTTGGATTGGAGGGGTTTGGAGGGGATTGGATTGGAATGGATTGGATTAGAACGGATTGGATGGGATTGACTTGACTGGACTGGAATGGATTTGAGGGGATTGGAATAGAGCTGGATTGGATTGGACTATATTGGATTGAATAATTTTGCGGGGGGGAGAGGAGGGGTTAATAGTACAGTACTACGGTACATATGCGAGTGTGAGTGTGAGTATGACTACGATTACCACTTGAGTGTTGCGACGCTTCTTACCGATTGATTTTATTGATTTTATTGATTGATTGATTGACAGATTCCTTGAGTAGGGCGTGATGTTATAGGATATAACAGGATAGGATAGTATTCAGTGGAGTGAGCGAGTGATGTGTTGTGTTATATTGTGCTGCGTGGTATACGACTTGTTAGTTGTTAGTATCTCGTTCAATTGTATTCCATTCCTTTGTATTTAGGCTAAACTCGATGTCGATGAACTAATATCACATTAAGCATAGTCATAGTCCCCTCTCCCAAATACCTATTCTTCACCATACTTATGAGTGGTGTATATGTATAATACTATGTGCTGGCTGCTGCGTGAATCAAGTAAAACTTCGCGTGCGAAACCATATACACATCAACCAAGTCCTGCCGACTCCCGACTCCCGACTCCCGACCCTATGCTCTGTTCTGTGCTCTGAATGGTTGGGCACCTTGCGGTTAAAAGTCCGTCATACTCATAGTCAATGCTGCAATAAAATAAAAAAGCGGGATCTCCGTGCTGTCTAGTGGCATCACATCACATCACATCACCTTCATATACCAAGCTTTTGCATGTGACTTTCATGCCAGCTTAATGGGATACTGTGATATGATACTGTGATACTATACAGCACTTGCAATATAAGGAAGGAGTGGAGATGTGTTGTCAAACTTCCTCTTGGAGGTATTTGATTGAGATTATGAGGGGTATACCGGTAGATGGAATTATCGTATCGGAGGACTTTCGGTGTTTCGGTATCCCGCTGTCTTGCTGTTTCGGCTCGGCTGTAATCGGATAATGACGGATAATGAAAGGTATATATATGGGTTTATATGGTATAGCCAAGAATTCAATATACCAAGATACACCAAGGCCATGGCAAACAATATTCATTCATGCAGCCAATGTCATAATTCACCAAAATGGAAACTCATAATGCTTGGAAGGGTATATTCATTCTTTAGACTGCACTAGCTAAAGCTAAAGGATACAACATTTAACGGACTATTGTGGTATCATATCAGCACATGTATTGCGTGAGATCAAGCGAATAGAGGATACATACTATATTCAAATCGACCGTTGATGTTCTCAATACGCTCAGCGAGGTTGACATCACGGCTGAACTCTTCACCATCGCTACTGCGGAGGAAGGTGCGGAGAACTGGAACTTCTCCACCACCCTCGATGGAGAAGGTGACGTTCTCAGCGCTGTGGGAGAAGTCTATTGAAAATGTTAGATGATAATGTTCAAGCAAAACGAGTATTATGTAGTATATACGTACTTTCACCATCCCAGTGGATCATACCCTCTTGGTTTCCAAGATGTTGGTTGAGATCGATCTCAGCATCCTCCCAGTCACCGTTCTCGTTTCTGAGACGGGCTCTGAGAATGTGGTTATCATCGATGCGGATTTCTTCGGCGGAGAGATGGAAAGACATTTTGAGATATGTGGAAGAGGTTTGGTTTGTGTTGTGGTTTGTTTTAAAAGGTGATTGAAAGTTGAGGGATATGGAAAGAAGAAGGAGGAAAGAAGAAGGAAGGGGAGGATAGAAGTAAATATATGTGTCTTTTGTGGTATGATCTTCACATCTGGTAACACCTCTCAGAGTCTCAGGGTCTACCCCTCCCTGCAAGATTGCGGCACTGCAGAACTATCTCAGCCACTCATCAAAGCACCCCGCTTCATCGGCGCTGATATACTGAGCCAAATTCACCATAAGGTGGTATTTCAGTGGGCTTGGCACCCCCTTGGCTCACACGTTGTTCACAAACATTGGATCAGGAGCTTCACCGTATGTGGCACGACCCGCTATGACCCACTCGTTGTGGGGTTGAGGTTTCGAATTGTCACTAATGCGCCAGATTTGGTGGCTATGAGTGATAATGCATTCCATAATTTATGGTGGCATGATGATCGAATACGATGGACTATGGATGGAGAGCTGACAGATCCACACTAGCTTGTAGCTACCCCTGATTACAGTATTAGTACATGGATAGCCAATCGGTTTTGTGGAAGACCAAAAAGGGTTCAGTAAGATCGTGGAAGCTCTCAGAAACTGGTAGACAGCTAGTATACCGGCAGCAGATGACCTGAACGAAATCATATCTTCTTTCACCAGTGTCATATCACTCGAGACTCGAGAGTCATTTCAACATAACTTTCCAATGGTCATCGATTTGGTTACCTGACACATGTATCAAAATGGGCAGGAAGAGCTTGTACCATCAAATCTCAAAATAGTGAATGCTGCTGGAGGAAATGGCCGTACTTCCTTGATGAATCGCGCAATGCATCATACTTCCCCTTCGTAGATAAAAGCTCACTTGAGCTATCACAGCCTATCAGTCTGGGCAGTATTGGTCTCAGGACTCAGGGGTGATATCTACACATACACAGCCCGCAGTTTAAACTTTACAATAACAACACATCAATGCTGAGTCTCCTACCATGGAATTCCAAATTAATGATTCCTCCAACACCAATATCTGCTAGTCGTCGTTCAATACCACCCACAAACCTCCTTATTACCCCACCAATATATAATTCATTGTATCGGACAAGGGTGTCTTCGCGAGAGGGGCATCTTCGCATATGGAGATGAGTGTTGGCGATGCTGGTGGTTTGGTAATAGTCGATGAAGTCGGTGAAGGAAAGGGGACGAATTTACTACATAATATCGATGCTTTGGATGCATTTGTAGTGAGAAATGTTTGGCAAACGATTTGAGCGGTTTCTCAACTTGGTAGTGTCAATCTCCTCGTCGAATTTGGCACAATGCTTGAGGATCTCAGAACCAAAAGGAGTTCGTCCTTCGCCATGAATAATGATTTAAAATATGCGTGCACACGAACGGCAGATGTTGAGACTTTGATGTTCTGAGAGTAAGGTTATGCGCCAGTAGCCTTAAACTTCCCGCTAAGCTACTCAAGTAGTTCGCTGACTAAGCGAGCTACTTTCCTCATTTCCCTCAAAACATTACGCGCGCATTGATGCAACCATCAAGCAGAGTGTACTTTTGATAACTGTAAGTTAACCCAGACTTGCAGCGTGTCGCAAGAAATGATATTTGTCCTTCATGTGATGTGAAAAGGGCAGCGACAATTTCGTCATGGTATGGCGCAAAGGTCGAGAATAGATAGAGTCAGTGAAGAAAGATTGGGAGCTACGGATGGTAATGGCGGTAAGGCTATATACACTGAAGCTATATACACTCTCCGTCGTGCCTACCATATCAATCCTAACATTGGCAAGAGCTTTCATCCAAAGCGGACTCTTTTCATGTTGCACTAGGTTGAAGGTTGATATGAAGGCCAAGTATTGTACCCATTCGTTTGTCAGTTTTCCAAATATCATCTACGAACCAATCACAATGACATCGGAACGAAATGGCACGATTCTCTTTCTGGGAAGCACAGGAATAATTATAAGCCGGATTGCCACTATCTGTTCCTCGTCATATCCTATCCTAATTGCTGACCAACATGCTGCTTGTGTAAATCACCTACCAGGTGCTCGTGCTTGCAGGTTTCTTTGGGCAGATGCGAAAATATATGAAATTCCTTTTACACAAGACCCGAACATCCAAGCGGTATTTCATTTCTCGTTACTCCTTATATTCAAAATATATTCACACCAATCGTGTTTTTCATCAATGTTGCTGTTAAGAAAAGGGTGAAGAGATTTGTCCTTTTGATTCCAAACTTTTGGCCAGCAGATGCTTCTGACATATGTTTGGTGCACAATTACTTGATAAGGTTAAGGCTCGACTATGCTGTTCTAAGACCAACTTCGTATATGGGTAATTCCTGTTATTCTATTAGTGAACACGGACATGCTTACCAATATCTAGAGGATTTCTGTCTTCGACCATACCGTTTACCGATCAGAGATTCGAATAAAATCATTTCTTCAACTGGAGAAGGTAGAGTGCCATATGTGTCAGCGGATGATGTTGCAGCTGTCGGGTACCATGCCTTGACTAATCATCATCTATCAATAAAGGATCTTGTCATCCTAGGTCCCGGAAATTCTGTCGTTTTATGATGTAGGTACATGATTGATGCTATCCAAATCTTCTTCTCTAAGTCCTTCTTCATGTGCTAAGTCATTACCTAAGGTGGCAAATATTATTAGTAAAGCGGTGGGCAGAATAATCACACACGACAAGGTGTCTATTGGAGAACGATGCCTTTGGGTTGACCTGAATTGGGACCCCCCAGGCAGCGGCAATGAAGTTGGCAAGTTTGGAAGCGTCAATAATTACAGAACTCGAGGAAAATTTGAATGGGGTTGTGTTGAGATTCACGGGGAAGCAACCGAAGTGTTTTATTTTTTATTTTGCAGAAAAGACCAAATTTTATCTGGGAAATCAAGGATTGATGTGATAGCATTTGAAGGGGGTTAGAGGATAAACCCTCATAAGACTTGATAAAAGAAATTAGAGGAGAATGTTTTGATATTCTTAAGTCCTTTTGAACAATGTAAGGATTTGATGAATGATTTCAAAGGATACTTTTTCGAAATATTTAGTTGCATTTGAATAATGCTATCATTTTTGTCCTGTGTCCAAGGAGACAATAAGACTATTTCCCACTGTAAGCTTTGATCTCAGATGAGACCTTCAGGATGGTTTCATGGTTGAGGCTTCGCACATTAAATGGTCAAGTAGGCAAAGACGACGAGAATTCTTAGTTGATAGTACAAATTGACAGCCGGTGCTGAGAGGATCAAGTGAAAACCCCAGGAAAAATGGCTGATACATTATTAATTCATAAACGCAAATACCAATTCTCTTTCATCGAGTACAATTTCATATGACATTGACTAAATAGAGGTATTGATATTGGATGTTCTGAATTTCACTAAGTATCATACAATGCCATATTGACAAGATAAACGTTATGGTCTTACCTCGTCACGGTGTTGTCTACTCGTAGATGGAAGCCTTCGTTATCATGAATGTCCTGAGCTTCTACTAGAGGGGTTCCATAGCTCGAAAAAGGTAACTCGTCTGATAATTGAACTTAAATAATTCAAGTGTGATTTCCTCGAGTTTACCTATCCACTTAATTTTTGTACACAATGAATTCAGATATGAAGCCGCTCGTATTCAATCCATATGAGCATGCATTGGGAGATTTTGATATCAATATATCAGTGTTACAGTCCTTATGACTTGTAGGAGGATGGTGGCCTTAGGTTACAGGCATCATGGCCTTGGCGATCTTAGCCTAGGACCTCCACATATAAAGGGCTCTCTCCCCCTCCCTACAATTTTACCTTTACCAATCAGGTATGTGCACGTGATAAACGGCGCTAAGACCTCGAGTTCCTTCCTCTTTCAGGAAGGGAAGCTTAGCGGCGCGGGATCTTCCATCTTTTGCTTGACTCCAACAACCTTTCTTCTCCAACTCTCATCAATTTGCACTTTAAAAGGTCCTTAAAAGGTGTCGCGAAAGTTTTCTTACAGCTTGTGCCCTTTATTATATCTCCCATTCAAAGTGACCTCTCATCAACTCTAAGGACTACCATCTTACCGATCTTCTCTTTTCCTTCAGCTTTCGAGGTAAGCCTTCCATTATACTCGTACTTCCTTTGAAAGATGAGCCAATGAGCCAACTCAATATCAACAAACTTCACTGTTCGAAGCGAGACCTCCTTGATGCCGCCTTTATAAAAGCTCATCAAACTTCTTCTTGATCTATCCCCCAATCGGATCACAGCCTTGGGAATCTCAAACTTTCTTGTTCACCATACTAAATATCTATTGAAAAGTGAACATCTCGAAGATTCAAGTAATCTTTTGTGATTTTAGGCATTTATCGAGCTTTGTTTCTCGACAGCTATCTTCTAAAAGTCTGCCAAATCGTCATTATCTCGAGACTGGTAGAGGATCTTTATCTATAAAGGTAGGTGTTTCTTACTGCTTCACTTCACCACTTCATCACTTTACAATTGTCGGCGGCTTGTCCTGGACATCTGACTAATTCAAAAATATAGAACCATCTTCAACAGCTCTAACAGGATAGATCGTAGAATCTGCTTCCTGCACTGCATCAAAAGTGGTGAAGGTATTCGCCCGATCCCAAATCGAAGCCGAAGAAGGCGTCCACCACGAAATTTATACGAAAATACTGCCAAGATGCCTCCAGATCGCAGATCGAAGAAAGCTTCCCAAAGCTCGGCGCTTGAGGAGTGTGTTGAAAAATTGTGCCAGGGACTGAACAGAGTTTCTAAGACAGAAGGCAGAGAAGAGTGCGATACTACTGTGGCATAGAGAAATTTGCAGCAAGCTGACAATGATCAGGATCAACAAAGATGAATTAGAACAGCTGTGTGAGGCTCTGCACTCCACGAAAGCAAAGGATGCAATTACCACGAAAGCTCTGGCCAGACTTCTTTTAGTCTTGGAGAACCAAGACGGCGAGCGCCGCTGTGCCATTGACGTCCAGACTTTCTGTGCCGTCTTGAATGTCGTTCTGATAGGCGATTATTGTCGAGAAGGGGAGCGTGTTCTCGTTTTACTTGCCGTGAGTGGAAATGCGACAGTATATTGCAATTTCTTGAATATCAGCTAATTCTTACAGGATGAACTCAACCAGCTGTTTCAGTCTCAAGATACAGAAGCTACCGATACTGTGCTGACCCAAATCGCAAAGGAATTGGACGTGGGTCATCTCATCGAATATTTTATCGATAATTCAAGGCCAAGTGGGATTAGAAGATGGGTAAATTGCCATTGACTGAACAGCTATGGAAGTGTGCTAACATATTTGCAAGGTTGGTATCATCATGCAATTGATTTTGAGGGGCCCAGAAGCGGTCTCCGAGCAATTCCAGCACACACCCGAAGACATTAGGTGAGCAGCTTCCCATCGCACACCTCACATCTGAGCTGACTTATTCAACAAGACGCGGCATTGGTCCCTTGATTCTCAGTGAAGGAAACGAGATAATAAGATTAATCTGCGGCCAGCTTATCAGTGCCCTACTCAACTCGGATATTCTCCCCGAAGAACTTTGGCCTGTACGGACTAACAAAAAGATTTACGAGGATTTCCCAACTGAGTCACAGGGTCAATATGGATGGAAAACACTATTCCAGCAGTGGGTGGACAATAATTGGTCTGAAAATCCAAGCCAATCGTAAGTGTCAATATATGTACGATAATTTGTAAACTAACAGCTAATTTTAATTAGGCCATCACATATGCTCTATTTCAGTCATGGTGTCGTGGCTACACCACCATTCAGACTTGGAACAGCAGGCATAAACACTGAAATGGTTTTGGAAGGCGGATTTGTCCTCCTGTTGACAACCTCTACTGGAAAGGATTTGGATCAAATGCTACAAGTACCGTGCAGCTCCATATACCGAGTCTCAGTCAGCGATAGCTCAACTATGATCGATGAAAATAATGTCTACAGTGTCATTATCGTTATCAAGGACAACCCGGAGATACCCTGTTATTTGAACTCTATGCCTACCATCCTACAGCAACTATGCTTGACGATAACATCAGACATCGTCGAGCTGATGAATGATATTCGCGATCAATGTCCAAATGCAGAATTTCCAAAGGAGAGAGTTCAAGTCTCTCAAGCCGAAGATGACATATTGATCCAAGGGAAAGGAAGTTCACCAAAAGCCGAGAGTCGCGACAGACCGTTAGAAGGAAACCAATATCAACAAACAGGGTCTGCCCCATTGTCATCGTCATCCGATGATGCAGAGTCAAACACAGATTTTCAGCTCGAAAGCGAGGTCCAGAACGAGCTTCTTCGAATTCAAGCAGACGACAACATATCACCACAAGCGCTTCGTGAATTGGAGAAGTCCCAGCAAAACCGTAATCGAAAAGATGTCGCGAACAACCCAAGTTCACCTGAGTATGGAGACGTCGCAAACTTCAGCGATTCGCCTACATTGCCTGCTCACCAAGGAATTTTGCCATCGTCCGACGAGGCTGTAGAGCCAGACGATCAAGTTTTGAAAGCCAATGGACAGGCACTTCCTGCAATGCAGGTGGGCAAGGCGCGCTCTCAAATTTCTCAACCCAAGCCGATCAGCAAAGGTTTGCCAACAAACAATGGAACAACTGCCAAGACCGCCACGATCAAAGGCAGCGTATCTGCGAGTATGCCAAATACACAGCCAAGTACTTCTGAAGCTGAACATTCACAACCGAACCAGAATACCGATGTACATGCAAAAAAGCAGCTTAAGAAATATGCGATAAAACCAAAGCCACCGATCGCAGTTTCAAAGGGCAAGGTGGAATCTTCTCAAGTGGACTTCACTCGAACAAGCGTACTGGCAAAGACAACTACGATTTCGAAGGGCAAGGATGGGTCTGCTCAAAAAACAGCGCCAGCCAAGACAACAAGCATTTATGATTTGCCTACAAACGAAGAGGATCGAACAACAATCGTAAAGGCCCGGCATACTACAAAGGGAGTGAAAAACAAAGTTGGTGGGTCACAAACGAAAGGAAAATCAAATGGCAGAGGCAAGGGAAAGAATGCAAAGACCCACCAGAAACTTAATTCTACTCCAGTGGAAGTCGAGGAACCTGTGATCGCCAAGAGGAGTAGCCAGAGAGCTGCTGCAACTCAAGCCAAGGTAAACATGAGCAAAATCAATGACCTAGAGGACATTGAAGACGATTTCTCCGATGTAAGAGACAGTGGACCAGCGCAGCCCAATGTTTCGCGAAAGCGTAAGACTGTGGAACATCCAGCAGAGTATGCTATATCGGAGGCTAGGTCAGACCCATTACTTCAACCGAGCTTGGAGAAAGGTGAGAAAGTATTGGATCTTCCGAAGCAAGACGCTCAGGAATCAGGCTTGGTAGGTAGCAATTTTGCTCCGGATGACCCTTTCAGGATTGATGATTTGTACACTGCCAGTCCTCCGGCATCAGAAAAACAACAAAGCTACAGTCTAGAAACATCTAACGAGCCTTTCCGAAAAGCTGCCGCGATGCACTTTGCCAGCCAATTGGGTGGTCTCTTGAGTGATGATTCAATGGGAGATAATAAGACAACTCGCACTAAGGCTTTGAGGAAGAGTCTAGTCAAGAAGGGTCCCATTCCACGTGTGCCACCGCCAAAGTTAGGAAAGCTCAAACCGAGCGTTTCAGCTGTGATTGACAAGGAAATTCCGAACGCACCAGTTCAAAGCGTCGAGGATGATGATAGTCACCACTTCGAAGATGAAAATGATCAAGGCCCACAATTAGAGGAAGAAAGTACCACCAAATCCGAAGCGCAACAAATTGAAGCAGTGGTAATTTCCTGCGAGATCGAGGTGAAGGAGAATCAGAAGGTCGGAAAGACGGATGGCGTCAAAGAGGTATTAAACACGAAGCACTTTGTCAGCGCTGTTGAGAACGAGAATGAACCTCTGCCAGTCAAAACCAGAGTCAACTCGGCCATTGGAACCCACAGCCATCCTGTCGACATATCTTCGAATGACTCCAAGCAGGAAAGTATCCACAAGCCGGATACCGCCAACACTATCACTTTTGATATCCATCAACCCAATCCAAAAAGCTCTCGCCCAACTTTACCACTACCTAATGTAGTTGATGTAATTATAGTCGAAGAGAAGAAGCGAAAGGTCGCAACAGAGGTTGCTGCGCCATCTAAGCGTCGTCGATCAATTGCGACCAATATTTCAGAGAATCCACCATTCTCGAGACCTGGTCCTCGCCCGCAGACCAAGATATTACCCGAAGGCTCAGCTAGCAAGAATCAAGCTTTACTAGATGATCGGAGCATCCGCAAGCCAAACTTGATACATTTTGGTTCCAAGGGTGCCCAAAACCAGGGTTCTTCCAGCACATCGAAACCTGTTCTGGAACAAGATCCCGAGCTACCTGTCACTACTTCCAAATTGGCAAAGAGAGACCCTCATGACGCAGTACAGAAGAAGCGAAGGCATGATTATATTGATTTCCAGGACGAAACAAGTATATTCGTTTCCCAAAGTCCACCCAAGAAGCGTCAGAGTGTTAGTCCACGGGACTCTGCATCGCATACATTTGCGTCGGCGCGGTTAGAAAGTGACAGCAATAGTACAGCTCCTATAATCTATAAATCAAGCTCACAAGTGTCTCGAGTCAATGCATTTGGCAGTCCACTTGCACAACACACTATGCCGTCTATTGGCCAGAGTCTCACACTTCAGCAAAGTCCACTGGCGTCAGAATTCGGCCGGCTGGCGCCTCGGGTACTAGACTTTACGGCGAGGATATCTACGATTACTGCAGCATCTTCTGAACCTGACGTTCAGAATACCCCCGAGACTTTTGCCCCGCGTGTCAAAGTGGTGAGCATCCCAAAAGCACGTCCTGCGCCCCCAGGAGAATCACCTATTCGATATGTTCCGCATACAAAAACTCAGCATGGAACTTATGAAGACGTTTTGACCATGGAAAACATAAAAGAAGAAAAAGCATTGCCAGATCCATTTGTCGAGGATGTCCACCCAAAGTCGAGCGGGTTTCCAGAACAGTTACGCGCAGGGCAGACTGATTCAAACAGCAAGGCTGATGGAGGCTCAAACTCAAATGTTCGTTTCAATGATCCTGACAAAACTCTAGTTGGGATCGAGGATCTACACACCACTGGAGAGCTGACTTCACCAAGCGAGTTGACAAGCAATTCATCATTTCGATCGGATGATTCCTCAAATACTCCAACGCAAGAATTATCTCCCCACAGTCAATGGACATTGGCCGTTCGACCACACTATAAGAAATATGCAGATACGGTTCATAAGATTGCCGATGTAAGTCTCACTCTATGGTTCGATTTTAATGATTTAGATAGCTGACAATTACCCAGGAATTAGTGATTAGATTGGCCAATGAAGAAGATGCATCGAAGCTGATCGTGCGTCAATATAACGACAACGCCAATAGTATGCTCGAAGGTTTGGCTGGCAAACGAGATCTAGAAAAGCTGACGATCCGTGAGAAAATGGAGAATAAGAAGAAAGAATTGACACAAATGTATTCTGAAGCCAGCAAGGTCATGACGCAGACTGAGAAGGATATGAAAAGTAGTCCCATGGGTGATTCCAATAGAGAATGGCAAGAGAGACAAGAAGCCATCCTTAAAAAGATGAAGGGAGGAAGACACAGATCGGAGTCATAGTACAGTGATATGTTGCTTTATTTGCCGTTGGAACTGATACTGGAGACGATAGGAAGTTATGATATATTTGTAAATAGATGCTATGTTGTTGGTTGGGCTTCAATTGCTCTTTCTTAATTTTCGATTGCGCGAATGAAGGTTAACCTTATGAGCTGGGGAATATAATAGAATAATGACCGACTAAATGTCACGTCAATATTCGTAATGTATCATAATTGTATAGGTAGCTTTTATATAAGAATAACAATTTGGTTTTTAGTTTTGTACTTTTGTATTTTTGTACTTGTGTAGAAGTCCTTGGCAAAGCCAAACCCCGATAAATAATGAGCCCATGTCGATTGACTGACCCCACTTCCTCCACTTCCCTCCACTTCCCCACTTCAACTTGCCCGCAGCAACCCAGATTCCAGAAACATTTTATTACAACAACAATAACAACAAATCACTACCAACAAATCACTACCACGGAATCTCTGAGTCACAATACTACATTCATTCAAAAACTATTGATACAAACTCTCTGGTCTCTTCTATTGTTATATTGTACTCAAATCATTCATTACCTACCGTCTATTCCACTCTTAAACAATCTCCTCGAATAACCCGAAGAAATCTGGTTTCCCTGCGTTCCAAATCCTAAAAACTCTTCACATCCGATAGTAGACAACTATACGACCGACCACCTGCATTTGAAGTAGAGAGCAAATATAGAAACGTACATATACTAGAAGGAGAGAGAGAGAGAGAGAGAGATGCCACAAGGAGGCTTCCACCCATTTGGTGGTAGAGTATCCAAACATTTCGGTGAAACGGTGCGTATCATACCCAAGTGAACTTTGCTTATTAATTGGTCATACGAGCGAAAGGCCTCTTCGCAAACCTGCGCAAACTTATGACTGACACGAATGAAATCGCAGCTTCTTCCAGAAGATCCATATCTAAGTTGTGAGTTTTCTCTTTCCCTACCCACAAGACGCTTCGCATCTCTGCGGACATGGCGAGGCATGGTGCTAACATGCAATACCTAGATTATGATTGTAGATGTAGGTTTTGCACATTCGATAATTCAAGCAGACAAAATGAACCAACAGACTAAATTATGGCAATAACAGTGACGAGAGAAGATGTCGATACGTTGAGGAATGACTGGCTCACGGATAATGTACATTATCCTCTATCCCTCTCTCCAAAACACTCACTGACGAGTTTTCCAACAGACAATAGCCTTCTGGCAAGAGTACGTAACACTTCCTCAAATTCGCAAATAGATATTCTACAAGAACTAGCATTAAAGAACCCCTCCAAAATAGATATCTCGAAAACGAATACCTCAAAAAATACCCCTCCTCCCACATCGTCCTCCTTCGTCCCTCCATGGCCTTCATGCTCATGACGCAACCCGATCCCCTAGCACTCCGCACAGCCCTCCCAAACTTCACCCGCACAACACACATATTCTTACCCGTAAACGACAATCGCAATCTCACCGAAGCAGAAGGCGGATCCCACTGGTCTCTGCTCCTTATCTCTGTCATCGACGGTGTCGCCTTCCACTATGATTCGCTCTCGGGATCAAATGTACAAGAGGGAATCTTGACGACGCGCAAAATGAGCGTTTTGTTGAATCGACCGTTGAGTTTTTTGAATCTGCAGGATACGCCGCAGCAGGAAAATGGAAGCGATTGTGGGATTTATGTGTGCGTCATTATGCGCCATTTACTGTTGAAGAGATTATTGAGCGCAAATGCAAAGGAAAAGGTTAGTATGAGTATGGGGGGGAAGTTGCTAGATGCAGCGGGAGCGAGGAAGGAAATGTTGAAGATTATTGAGGGTTATAGAAGAGAGGGGGAGAGGAGGAGATCGTAAGTTTTCCTTTTGGACCTTTTCCGGGGATTTCTGCAAATTTCGGTCTTCAGTTGCAAAAGATTCATCTAACATTATATGAAACAGACACGACGAAAGTCGCAGCTCATCCCCTTTCCAGAGAAATAACCGAAGTCCTCCACGAATTGATTCATGAGCATGAGCATGAGCATGAGCATGGGCATGGGCATGGGCATGAACTTGAGATATACATGAACACAAGAATTCATCAGGCGTTACGTTGCGGGGCGGTATTATGATTTGGAACGAATGAATGAACGATACGAGCACAAGAGAGATGAGATGATGAATGATGATTACATCTTATTCTTATTCTAATCCTACACAAAGATACATTGTGCATTGTGGCAAAAAGGAATGTGGCTTTGGAAACTTAATAATGGGAGCATGAAGATGAAGATCGATGGTATGGGCATACAATATTATTAGTGCGGCATGGCATGACATGGCATGGTATGGCTTGGATGGCATGGCTTGTATAAAGATAAAGGGCGAGACTTTTACTATGATTATGATTACTATGATTACTAGTTGCTTCTTTCTGCTATGCTATGCTATGCTATGCTATGTGGTAACAGGCGAAGCGAGATAGAGTTCGGTGATATGTGTATGATATGTGATGTGATATGTGTGATATTAATGGAATGGAAATAAATGTTTTGGAGTGTAGAAGTGTAGAAGTGTGAAGGAGAGGAGAGGAGAGGAGAGGAGAGGTGAGGTGAGGTGATAAAGGAGAGATAATAGTTAACCTAGGTCCTAGGGGCTGGACTGTGATATGATATGATATGATATGATTGATGATTGATTATTGGGAGGGATTTCTTAGGTGTGATGGGATAGGACGTATTGTATTGTATTGTAAGGTGGTTTAATGGTATGTGATGTGATGTAGGGTGATATTGTAGGTGTTGTGTTGAGTAGAGTAGAGTAGAGTGGAGATTCTTTTGGTGCTGGGAGTTCTTTGAGGATGAGGATGAGGGTGTTGATTGTTGATCGATGTATATAATCACTAACATACATATTTTAAAAAACATCTTAAGCAACATTTGACACTGTCATATAGTGTAGAATTAATATATATTATAGTATGTGATATAAATAACCATTTCAACCTTTCAATTTCAACCTTTCAACTTCAATCCCAATATTCAACCTCTATTCAATATGGAATCTTCCACCAAAGTATCCCCTTTAACTGAAATACCCTCTAAGATATAGATTAAAGATCCCCTTCGGCTTTGGAATGGACATTTAAATGAAATAATAAATCGTTACAATCCTTCTCCAGATATCGATAAAATCTTCAAAAACTGTTTGTGCTGTTCTAAATGTCGATCTTTTAGGGATCTTCAAGAATATTCTTTAAATGATCTAAGGCAAAGACCCTTTTCTTATACAATATATAAACAATATCAAAAAGAGAGAACAAGGGAAAGATAGGAAAGGAAAGCAAGAATAATGGCAAAGAGAGTAGGTAGCAAAAGGTAAGTTCAATCTTTAGAGAGTTCCTAGAAAACGTTTATACTAATAATATATTATTGAATCATCAAATCCCTTTTCTCCAAAAGACGATATATATTGCTTCAATTATATCCAATTGAAGCCTGAGATTGAATTCGAATTCGATCGATATCTCACTTACATTACCTGTTATATTATCAATAAGAAAGCTTTGAAGATTAGGCATAAAAGGGAGAGGAAAATGGAGAAAAAGGAACAGGGAGATCTATAAGCACCAATTATATATAGAGTTGTGGAATGGAAATTGAAGGTATGGATAGCTATAGCTGGAAAGGCAGAGCTTAAACCTGGACAAATTAGAGTTCTGATAGTAGTTGAAAAATATATAAAAGGATAAGGATTATTGGAGATAAAGATGATTCCAGTGGTTTATAAATTTTGGGAAAAAGATATCTAATATAGATTTATTATTTTTATATAGTTTCAAATCCAGCAATTGCAGTGTTGCCTCTCTCTAAGCTGAAGGCGAGGATAGAAGAGAGTGTAAACGCTTTTAATCTGTTCTTAGTTTATTATTATCTATATCATCTTGATTATATCAGATTCAGATTCAGATTCAGATTCAGACTTATATTCATATTCATATTTCAAAAGAATTCAAATTTCGTTGCTTAGAGCTTGAATATACCCTACATTTTAGTTCGGAATCCAATACAGACTACCCTTTCAAAAATCTGAAAAAATCCGAATAACTTCAAAATTCATATTTAAATAGAGCCTATATATCTACAGCTGCACAGCACAAGCTGCGAGGGAGGTCGTGAACAGCCGATAGCAATAATAGCTACGAGCTATAGGCGAGTAGTATTATTGCCTGGCCCGAGCGGCCGGACTCAAAGCTCGTATAATATAATATATACTATTTTTCATCACTATATACATATATACATACATACCCCTCCTCCCCTCTCACCCCTTCAACCCCAACAACCTACCCCAAAACCCTCCTCCCCACACTCCCCCTCCCCCCCAACCCCGCACATTCCGCCAACAACCTCATATGCGCCTCCATCGCGCCCCTACAAAACCCCTCCAACTCCTCCTTCTCCCTCAGTACATCCCTCCACTTCCCATCCGCTCCCCCATCAAAAACCTCCATGCTAAACCAACCCCGAAACCCCGTTCCTAGCACCGCACGCGCAACTTCTGTTACGGGTAAATAGCCATTGTTGAAGGGGTACGGTCGGTAATCGTGTGACCATTGGGATCTGGTGATGGGCTGTGGGGGGGGAGTTAGGGAGAGGGAGAGGTTTATATGCGTCGGATATTTGTAATACGTATATTTTCTCGGGGGGGATGCTAGAAGTTAGTGATTGGAGTGATTGGGTGAAATTCATGTGTAGTTTGGCTTGAGAACCGAGGTGTGAGATGAGTCCGGAGGGAGTGCTTGGGTCGGCGTATTCGCTGCCAGAGGTTTGGAATGTGTCGAGGCAGAGACCCATGTTAGGGCGGTTGGCTAGTTGTACGATTTCCCAGACGGATTTCCAGGTGGGAGCGTGGGTGGCCCAGCACCTAGGGGTTGGGGGTGATGTCAGAGGGGATTTGGGTTGGGCGTGTAAGGAAGGGTGGAGGGATAGGTGGAGGGATGGGGTGAAGTGGAGTGGAGTGGGGTGAGAAAAAGGGAGAGGAGAATAATTACCAATTCTCATATGCAAGACGATACCCATGCACCGCCAGCATATCCGCCAATTCCCCCAAATCCTTCGCCAGCACATTAAAATCACTCGATATCCCCTCGGAATCCGAACTCCCCACTTGCAACATATCCGTACCCACAGCCCCCATAATACGAATCCAACCCCTAGCCCTCTCAAACGCATCTTTCCTCTCCTCCGAGCCCTCGGGCCACCCTTCAAAATTCGAAAAGGGCTGCAGCATCATGATTCCGAGATTGTGCTGCAGACATAGCTTGTGCACTTCGATGCCGGCGATGCAGAGAGAATCGTAATCGGTTGAAGGGATGGCTTGGTTATTGTGATAGGTGCGGGTGAAGGAGAGGAGGTCTGGAAATCCGAGCTCGATGGAGGTGAAGCCGGAGGAGGAGATGGCGCTTAGCTTTGAGGAGAGGGGGGTTGAGGGGGTGCCGAGGGAGACGCTGGCGAATGAGGCGGGGATTTGGAGGAGGGATGAGGAAGATATGGTCATGGTGATGATTGGGTTGGTTGGAATGGTTGGAATGGTTGGAATGGTTGGATGTTCGAATTGAGTGTGAAGAATATGAATATGAAGGAGGAATAGAGCATTGAGGTGAAGTACTTCTTGTATATAGAGTGACGTCAGAAGGAATGGTGGGGCGTTTATTTCACGTGATGATGGATGGCTCAATCAATGAGAGTTTTGGGTTGTAGTTTCCACCATCTACTCGAGTGGTAGTGGTGGTGTAGAAGATTGGTTGTATGCCAATATTTGGGTAGCAGCTTCGGCAGATTCGCATCATCATCTGCGTAATAATACTCGTACGCGATTCATGAATATCCCGAACTTTTTTCACCCACTCGAATGATACATAGTATTACTCTGCCAATTGCAAACTGCATGAAATGTGTCCGTCGGTATTCTTTCATATGAAAAAAAGCTTGTACTCCGTACATTGGTAGTAAGTAAAATAATAAGACGTACCATACTTGTGGTAGGTAATTGGGTATCTCAAAACAGAAAATATATCCTTTGGAAAAAAAATAAAAAATATCATGACTTCCTTTATGATTTCTTGAACTCCTCCTTCTGTTCCAACGTCTGTGAAATAAATCCCCTTAACGCAGCCCATCTACTCGCCGTCCCCGAAGCAGCTGGTATCTCTTGACCATTCACAGCAGTAGCATCCGTTGGTTTCTCTTCCGCCACACCAGCCAATTGCGCCATATTCTTTCCGAATCTCTCTCTCTCCATCGCCTCCAACTTCTCTCTCTTTTTCGTCGCTCCAGGTCGACTCTTCAAACTCTTTTGCTTAATCTTCCCACTCTCCCCTCTGCTAATTTTCTCCAGACCCTCGCCCTCAAAATCAGGTAATGCATCTGCGAGACTCTCTAATGTCGTCACCAATTTCTTATTTGGTCGCCTGCGCTTGAGAGGTGTGGAATTAACTTTTTCGATACGACTGACGAAGGCGGAATGTTTGATGATTCGTTTGTCTTTTTTGGAATCGATGAATGAATCAGATATGACGGCGCCTTCGCGGAGTGGAGGAGGAACGTGGACACCTGGGCCTACTTGAGAAGCTTTCGCGCGGATAGAATTTCGCTTTTTGGGTATGGTGGGCGCCTGTGAAGACTGTTAGTTGTGCGATCACGAAATAAATGATATAATATTTCACTATACCATGATTGTTATATGATTGTCTCTTCAAATATTTCAAGAGGCAATAAATTGAAAAATAGGTGTTTATGTAAGGCCTTGGTGTAAAAATGTTCACCAGTGCAATTGATATCTTAAAGGTCTAAATCATTAGCGAATAAAAAAGTATGTACTGTAGTCCTAGAACTCGTATATTTTTATGAAGAAGCGAACTTTCATAATTCCTAACTAACCTTCAACACCAAAAATTCCAAACATCATCAAAATTCAAGATGGATTCCGCAGACGAAAAAGCGAATGCTTTACGTCTTCAAATAGCTGAGACTGAGACTGAGCTTGCTTGTCTAAAATTACAACTTTTGAATATTGAAGAAAAGACCGATGGCCCAGAAACTATAGGGATAAACGCCTCTTCAGAAAAAGAAAAAGATGGTCTCGTGACGAATGATCAGAGTAAATGGCCTATGAGTTTGGAGGAATACAAACGATATGGAAGACAGATGATTGTACCTGATATTGGCATCCAAGGTTAGTGATCATCTCTTCCGAGAAATATTCCTATCTTGTGAATATTTTGCTGATTATACTTCAAGGACAATTACGATTGAGATCCGCCTCCGTTCTCCTAGTTGGAGCTGGAGGTTTGGGTTGTCCGGCTGCTGCATATATTGCCGGCGCAGGAGTGGGAACTATTGGGATTGTCGATGGGGATATTATAGAAGAATCGAATTTGCATCGTCAGATATTGCATCGTACGGATAAAGTGGGGGTCAATAAAGCTGTTAGTATTGCTCAATATGTATCCGGGTGCGTATCCTTTCCTCACCCAACATATTATATAATGAGTATTCGTATTGACGAACCATAGTCTGAATTCAAATGTAAAGACCAATATCTACGAAACGCATCTCACGCCCCAAAATGCACAGGATATAGTCAAAGATTATGATCTCGTCCTCGATTGTACCGATCATCCCACATCCCGCTATCTCATATCAGATATCTGTGTTCTTCTCCAAAAACCCCTGGTCTCCGCCTCCGCACTCCGAACAGATGGTCAACTAATCGTATTGAACAATCCCGCGCTGCCTCCTGGTGATCTCTCGGGTGGTCCCTGTTACCGCTGTGTCTTTCCCAAACCGCCGCCGCCAGAAGCGGTAACTAGCTGTGGCGATGGAGGTATTATCGGGCCTGTGGTGGGTGTCATGGGTGTTTTACAAGCTTTGGAGGCGGTAAAACTCATTGCATCTGGAAAATTGGATGCGGTTGGTGAAAATGGCAATATAAATCCTACGTCTAAGACGAATCCTACGACGAATCCGACTACCATGTTGTTATTCTCTACAAATGGAACATCGCCATTTAGAAATGTTCGATTGAGAGGTAGAAGATCGAATTGTTTCGCCTGTGGAGAAGAAGCTCAATTGTCACTCGAGCAGTTAAAGTCCGGTTCTATGGATTATGTCTTATTCTGCGGTATCACAAATCCAGTCACATTATTGAGCAACGAAGAGAGAATCGAAGCGAGAGAGTACGAGGAATCGACAAGGAAGAAAGAAAAAGATCACTTGTTGATTGATGTTCGGGAGAAGGTGCAATTCGATATATGCAATATTGAGGGGTCTCATAATATACCGTTCTCGTCATTACAAGGAAATAAAAAGGATGAGGATTCCCCGCTATCATGGCTCACCAATAATCTGCACCCGAAAACTCCGATATATATCGTTTGTAGACTTGGTAATGACTCTCAGTTGGCAACGAGAAAAATGAAGGAAATGGGACTGGATCTAAAAGGCGACAGATTCATTGGAGATATTAAGGGGGGTCTAAGATCTTGGAAAGAACAAGTAGATGATTCTTGGCCGGAATACTAGACTAGCGATGGCAAAATCAAGATTCTGGATATGGAAACTGTGATGAGATATTTTGGTTCTGGTATTTGTGTGCTGGAAGTGTCCAATGTGATACACTAAGGAGTGGCTCGATGAACGCCAATTCGTACATTGCCTGCTGATGGCTATGCCCTTGCTAGCCATAGAAAATATGTCTTCGATTACAAGCAACCATTCCTTCTACCATTTTCCATTCCGTTCCTGTTTGATTTTTACACATATGTCTGTCGTTTCCTGTTGAAAGCTCGTTGATCCTTCAACCATTGCCTATATCCCGCCACGCTCGAGACTTTCTCGCCGTAATAATCTAAGGAAAATCAATTAGCCCACATCCTTCGCATCTCCACCTCCCTCTTCCAACAAATTTAAAGAAAACCCAAAACTCACCAGGCACCGGATTCGCCATCGAACTCGCACTAGGATCCACCCTATACTTCTTAACCCTCGCATAAAACTCCTTCTCCTTAACATCCATCTGCGCCCTAAACTTCCTATTCTTGACATTAAACGCCGCGGTCCCCAATATCGGTCCCGTCAACCATCCCGCTCCTCCACACGCAAACGTCACTAATCCCAACGTAATAAACGGATCCAGTGGGATCTGTCCCACAAGCGCATCCATATCGGCATGTGTCAGTATCTGTGCGCCAATAGCGAATCCACCAAAGCCCGTTCCGATAGAAGACCCAAGTTGGAACCATCGACGAGTTCGTCGTAGCTTGAAATATGTATTCCAGTTTAGGACTTCGGTGTCGGTGTCGGTGGTACTGGGTGCAGTAGAGGTGGAGGTGGAGGTGCGAGATGAGGGAGATGATGCGCGATCGGTGGAGGAGCAGCGGATAGTGGATGCGCTGGGGGTATATGTGACATTGCGTTTGTAGAGCGGAACGACAATCCGAGGTCGCGAGCTGCTTGAGCTTGAGCTGGAGCTGGAGTTTCGGGTTGGGTTTGCGCTACCGGTATTGGGTGTGTGAAGAGGGGTGGGTGATGAGGTTGTTTGATAAGTGCATGATGTGAGGATTGATGATTGTATGCGGCAGCTAGCAGCTGCTGTTCTCAATGTCGGCGCCGAATACAGCATTTTGATTAAGAGAGGAGTGGTTGCAAATTTCTAGGGATGTTAGGTGTAATGACGAAAAAAAAAGATGTTCTCTGAGAGCTTGTTGATCCTGGTATTTGATTTGATATTATTGATGGATGGGTTTGAACAAAACAGGTTATTTATTTTTCTTAGGGCGGCGGGTTTATTTACGGGTTCTGAGCTAGTGTGTGCAGAGCTTTGATCTCAATATTCACTTTAGTAACTTATCTTATGAATAGATTTTCAAATGATTTTTGTTTCGATTAATAAAGATATCATTTCTATTACAAGTTCTGAAAAATCGATAATTATAAAAGTTCTTTGAGAATAATCAAAGAGATGTAGGTAGGGGTAGGTGTGTAGGTGTGGGTAGATGCAGATAGAGGTAGATACGTGTAGATGTATCTCTTTTATTAATTATTAAAATACTATTATTATACTTAAGAGTTTTATATATAAAACTTATAGGTTTTTTGAGATTATTAATAGAAATATAACTCTCTTTCTTTTAAAAACAATCTCGTTAATAGAGAGAATAAATTAATTATTTTTAGATAATCTCTATATATTTTATCGATTTTCATTTTTTATAAAGTGAATAAATAGTCTTAGTCTATAAATATTCTAGAAGAATCAAAGGAATCTCTAAAAATATTTCTAAAAATATCTTTAAATAGAATCTAAACGAATCTTAAAGAATCTTTAAAAGTATAAAATCTCAATAGAACTCTTGAAATATTCGTTTTATATTAAAAAAAGACTATTAGTTCTCAAATAAGATTCTTTATAAACATTCTTAATATATTTTCAATCCTTTCATCTTAATATTCGATTATTTATTCAATAGAGAAAGAAATAACTCTTTAATTCGTTAAATCTAATTTGTCTTAATTTAATCTCATCTCTAAATCAATCTCAACTTCAATTTTATTCAACTTGAACGCGATTTCCGTTTATTTATCAAAATCAATTTTCCTCTTGAGGACGAAAGAGTCGAATCTTGAGAATATTGACTTCAATCGATCTATCATGAGATTCCTAATGGCTTCAGAAAATAGTTCAGACTTCACCGGGAACGATACTAATTTATCAAAATCAATATTGGCCTTTGACTTCAGAGTAGTCGAAAGACCGATCTATAAATCAAATAGCGGACCACCTCTTCAGACCATTTCACTCATTCCTCCTCACAAATTAAATGGAATTATTCTCGATTATTTTCCATATCCAAAGCGGAAGGACCCTAGCCACTTCTTGGTGGGCTACGAAAAAGAGCCACATAATCAACTTGTTATACACCCAAACAATATTCGCAATTATGTTTCTGAATATTCTTTGGAAAATTGGGAGCATGAACGAAGCACTGCAGAAGAGAAACGCGCCATCGAAGAACTTCAGCCACGTTTGAAAGTAGCAGAGAGAGCAAGAGTATTGCGAGAATTAAAAAGGGCGGGTTTGTCACGTGATGTTCTTAAGGGAGATAATGCCGAACAGTATCATGCTTTGGGGATGCCGAAGAAGAGAGGCAGGCCTCCTAAGTCTATGGCGAGTTTACTCAAGCCAGTGCCTAAACCATTACCCGATCTACCAGGTGGAAAACGTCGACCAGGACGACCTCGAAAAGAGGTGGAAGTTCATGTCACTTTACCTAGTTCCTCACATCATCATCAACCCTCTTTATCTCAGCCATCATTATCCCAACCTTCTCTATCACAATCATTCTCTACAGCACCAAGAGCAATGTTGGAGCATGCAATCCCCGATTCGGAAAGTGAGGAGGACGAGGAGGAGGAGGAAGATGATGATACCGATCTTGCCTTGGATCTTCAACTCAACACACAGGTAAATCAGCTATCTAGCTCTGTCATGAACTCACCTATCGTCCCTAAAACTTCGAGTCCGGTCATGAATGCTTCAAGTCAATATCACATCAACAAAACTCCTGTACAGTCACCCCAGAAAAACAAGCATTACAGAAAGTCACCCCACAATCGTTCCCAACGAGCTCCAATTCTCCCAGGCATGAGCGTGGACGCATATCCATACAGTAAAGCCAACATCGATTCTTACAACGAAAATAAGAGCATAAGGAAGGATGTGAGCTCGAGTATTCACAACCAATTTTCATCAAGCCTTCAGCATCTACCTATTTCATCAGTGGAAAATGGTAAACAGCCCACTGATCGTGCATCCCACGGCACAACTCAGAGGCCCCAGCCAAAAATACACGATTACTTTAAAGATTTCGGTACCAAAAGCCCTACTCCGAAGAAGGGGGAAGCGAGTCGACATGATCAGCTTGCATCTAGTCTCAAACGCAAACCTTCCTCATTATTGGGACGAGAAGTAGAGTCAAGTGGGAAATCTCAAAACAAAAACCGAAGACTTGGCAAGGATCCCGATGACTACTTAGATGCCGATTATAAAGAAGGGTCTTCGAAAAGGGGGACTGCATTAACCATGAAGAATCGTGCTCCAAGCTTCGTTTCAAGCCCAGCTGCGCGACGCGGAAATAATGTGTTCAATCTCCGAAACTCCCGAAGCAGAAGTCGACAACCCGATTCCTTCCCAGATGAAGTTAAGGAGGGGAAAGAAGATGTAGACGAAGGCGGAAATGAAAGCAAAAATGAATATTTTGGGAAGCTTATGACAACGAGCCACCAGTGTGGGCTGTGAAATCTATATTAGATCATAAGTATGAATGGAATGAAAATCACGATCGGCAAATTCTGTGGTATTTTGTTGATTGGGAAGGAGAATGGGATCCATCGTGGGAGCCTGCCAAGCTCATTTCATATGGGGCAATCGATGAGTATCTTGCTTCGAGACAAGCGCATGGGCTTGGCGATCTTTCTGTTACTATTAATCATATCGACATCGGGTGGAAACGTGATGAGTTTCCACGGGGTATCAACCTTGAACGTAGCACCGAAGACTGATAGTATTTTTTCGGGGAGCAAAATTGAGATGGTCAAGTTCGAAAGGGAAAGGAAACAGTGAATTAGATACTACGCGGTCGATCAAAGGGTTGAGGGAACAAAGTCAAGAATGTGGGTGAATTGTCACAGGGCATTGATGGATCATTAGAGAAAGCATTATGGGAGGCGTTTTCTGTGAAATTCTGGGTTTATTTATTGTTGAGGGCATTATTGAGGCACATTCCGCATTATCTGGAGCATAGCTCAAAGTTTTAAATAGGTGACGAGAAAGGTGGTTTTGAGAATACTACATAATGCTTACATGAGCTGATCTTCAGAAGTTACAGTGTGATATTTCTATTATTTCTTACTGGATTGCTTTAGGCATGAAATCCCTGGGAGAGCAAGTGCTACGGGGTTGTTTGCCAATTAGACAATTAGGCAATTGATGGCTAATGTGGATTATACCCCGCGTCTAACCCCCACATTACTGTAGCTAGGTAACTAAACACATACATCATTCTTGAAGTCTAGAATTCAGATGATCGCAAACACATCACATCAACAGTCACATGTTAAATAGCCACTTTCACGTCAAGTAGCTAGCTAGCTAGCTAAATTTTGCCTCACTATCTAATCTTTCATCTATAATTGAGTTGAATGTTCCAAACTAAATTACACATTCGTCTTCTTTATCCAATGATTGCCAGCGTCCTTTACCTAAACATCCAGACGCATTTACAATCACAAGTCCATCTCCTCCAAGCTCTCTTCTTGTTTAAAAATGGCCTCTATAAAAATCGACCTCAGCTCTCCCGAGCCCTACGTTGCTCCCGCCGAAATCTACAGCGGTTCCAATCTCAATGTAAATGGTAACCCCAATCCAGACACTCTCCCTGTCCCTCTCCCTCTCCTCATATCCCTCCGCATAGCAACCGGAGGCGCCGGTCAATCGGGACTAATCCGAGCGCTCGCCAATACATTTATCGAGCACCAGATGCAGAAAACAGCCTGTGGAAGATTTAGTATAGCATGGTTATTATCGGATACATCGGCGAGTTTCAGTTATCTAGCGAGTAGAGCGGCGGATTGTAGTATTACTTATCATGAGGTTGCGGAGGAGATGGCGGTGAGGCAAGGGATTGCGGAGAGGAGGGAGAATGTTTGGAGAGATCATTGGTTGCTTGTTGGTAGGTTTTTTTTGGGGGGGGAGTTGAGGTTTTGATTTTGGGAGTTTTGTAATCTTACCTACCTGTCTATTAGATTAGAGCAGACACTGCCCGGATAATTACACTCTGACGACTTCTAGGGCCAAAAGAAAACCCGGCAAGTCTTCCTCTTGATGGTACGGACGATTTAATAACAATCTATGAACTCTTCTCCCAATTATTCATGGCGTGTGTGGAGAATCCAACTATCCGATTCTTATCCCGATACGATAAATCAGCCGCGAATATCAAAGAATCTTCCATTTGGACAGCTATCGGTCAAACTCCATGGGCACATCCATATTCAAGCTGGTATCATCGATACGTGGAGTTTCCGTTTGCTGCTTTGAGAGCCGCGTGTGCTTTGGGTGAGTATACGATTACGGATAAGGGTACGTGGTTGAGTATTGACGAGGGAATTAGAGAGAAAATGTGTGTTTTTGTATGTATTGTCGAGTTTCGGTTGCCGAAGAGTGTATTGATTTGAGCTAATTGGTTTTATAGAAATCAAGTACGGATGCTGCGGATGATCCATTGTTGAATCCGGCGCATATCTTGGTTGGGAAGAGGGGGGGGGGATGTATCGATGGCGAATGAATTCGTGGATTGGATGGTAGCAAGAGATGGTGGACAAAAGGTTATTGAGGAATTTAAGGTGAATGGTGTTATAATGTATAGTATTGCTCCGAATAGTTGATGAAATCAAGAGATATTGTTTAAGTACTGTGTACTTGGGCGTAGTTTGCCGGGATGAAATCAGGTGTTAGTTTATCAAAAAGCCATTTAACTTTATAACATGCTATGATGGGCCAATCTCTTAGATGGCATGCCTAGAGCCTAATCACACCACGTACAACTGCAACCTTTATGAAGATGGTGCTTTTCCAAAAGTTTGATTTATTTCCATCAACTTCCATCAACTATGAGCTCTTTTCACAAAGATAAAAACATATCTCGGATCATTGAGGGTCTCTCGTATCACGCAACCGAACATGACAAAGATATGTTCGGAGGAGGCGTCGAATCCCTGAATTTACCCCCATCGCCAGTATATCAGCAAATACACAAGCAATCTATACTATCCAGACCTTCCTCGGTGGGAGCCCTCGACATATTACCACTTGAGACTCAACATGAAGTATGCCAACATTTAGATATCGACAGTCTTGGCATGCTCCGACTTACAAGCTACGCGGGAAGAGAAATCGTCGACTCCGTTGACAGCTACGTGCATATCAGAGCGGATGCCGAACTTTTTCTAAGGACACTCGAAAGCAAGGATTTATGCCATGTCAATACACTAGGAGAATTATCTCAAGCCTTGTCATCACGGTCTTGCGATGCGTGTGGAACTTTTGCTCACTACTTCTTTCCCTTGACCGGTAGTCGGTGCTGCTTTTTCTGCTTGGCTACCAATATGGAGTTTGCTTTCATACGCAAACTTGAGGCCTGGCAGTGGTTCGGTCCAGCTTCTACCAAGGGCTTGCCGTCTATCTTTATCAAGGAGCGCAGTTTGAGCGGACCGGGGGGGTGGAAGGATCGGGTGGAGGTGATCGAATACTTTAGCGCTAAAGAGGTTATGGAGATCTGTCGCGAGAAATATGGAAGAAGCCAATATTACGAACCTCCCAATACACCTTCAGGAGAAACTCGGGAGCAGCAGTTTTGGGTGCCTGATGAACGTCGTCGTTGTATCACTTATGCGGCAACTGTCCAAATTCCCTTGGTATCAAAAGAGCCTGGACAACCTAATCGAAGCGTTTATTCTGGAGGATACTATTGTAGTGGATGCACTCGGTGGCCGGATGATGATTCACGTGGTCTTTGGTTTGGGAGCGTGAGTCTTTCCTTTACGGCTTATAGCTACGAGGAAGGTTCAGAGACTACACGGAGATGGGTAAGCACACCCTTCGGAAAAATGATAGGGCCTTCGGTTTACACAGTAGGTGAACTTTTAGAACATTTGACGACTTGTGAAAGAGTTGCAGAGGATCAAAAGAAGTGCCCCGCCTGGTTGAAAAACGGTGCTGAAAATGATATCAAGCACATCCTGAGCACTTCCGTTAATCTGGATTTTGTTGAGAATATTACTTTTATTTGACAGTATTAAAGTAATTCACTAAATAAATCAATCTCTAATATATATGTTTTAAACCCCATAATTCCTTTGGATTCCCCGATTCTGATTGGCGTGTGACAAGTTGTGATCAAAAAGGTATAATCAGAACTCCAATCGTGTACTTAGAATTCTACAAGTGAAGAGCTATGTAGGGTGCTAAAAGGAGGACTATATATACAGGTTTTGGTAGCCCTAATGGCTAGGCCTAAAGGAGTGAAAGAAGAGAATAGAGATAAGTATTATATAATATCTAGATCTAGAGCTCTAGGCTAAGAAAGGAAGGTCTAAAAGAACCGTCTTATTATACTACATAGAGCATGTGAGCTGTGACGGAACAGACGGCTCTCTTCCGCCCACTGGTTCATACTACATATGTAGCATGATACAATGGCTCTCTTGGACCTTCCTTTCACAGCTTAGAGCCCTAGCTCTATAGCTCTAGACCTAGGCATCGTACGATGCTTATCTCTAGGACTCTTTCACTCTTCTGGGCCTAGCCCTTATGGCTCCCAAATACCTGTATATATAGTCCTCCTTTTAGCACCCTACATAGTTCTTCACTTGTAGATTCTAAATACACAATTGGAGTCATGTTTATACCCTTTTGGTTACATTGAAGTTTAAAGATTTAAATCTTGAATCTATTCTATATTTTATTTCAAAATCCAATCTATCCCCGGGCCCTCTATCGTCCGGATAGCCTTTCAGGTGGGGGCTTCACATTTCTTATTTTAGTTTTATTAATCCCATTTACGTCTATCTTAATAATAAAAGTGAATTAAATCTTAAATTAATATCTAATAAGCTATATAATACAAGTGAATGAATATAGAGATTCGTTCTATTAGACTTATAAAACTAATAGGACTAAAGCAAAGCTCGTTATCTAATAATCTACTCCGAGTCGAGTAATTACTAGCCATCATTTCAAATAAGTTTAAGAGCCTGAGATTAAAGATTTGAGAACCAAGTTAAGGACTACTGCTAGTAGCAAGAATTTGGATTTTGAATGGGCTTGGATTGGAGGTTTGATTATACGAGTGAGTACTTGTATTTGTATTGATAGAGTATAGTGTACTCGAGTAAATTGAATTTGTATAGTATAGTATAGTATAGTTAGTTTTATATTTATATGTCTGGATTAGCCTGGTAGTAAGCTAAATCAAATCAAGTTAGATTGAAACAAATTAAATAAAATTAAATTTAAGCTATAATTAATAGTATCTATATCTATCTAAATCGATCTACTCAGTATATCTACAATATATACACTCATTCTGAGGTTCCCTCGTCTCCGAGTCGTAGAGACTCTAACCGCAAAGTACTATAGGGATCTATACACAGGCCACGCTACACCAGGTATAATCTTCAAAGCTTTAAAGATAGTTCTTCTGATCTGAATCTGAAGACTATATATTCAAGTTCGATTAGATCAGAAATCTTATAAATAATAAGATTCAAGATTAGTCAATATAAGGTTTCAATATATAACTTAAGGATTTCTATAATTATACCTTAGAGTTACCTCACTTAAGCTTGAGTTATATAATATCACCTCTATACTAATATCATCTCTATGTCTAAATTCTCATATAGACCCCTATAGTAGTTAACTATAAGAGTCGCTCTGCTCTATTGAAAAAGCGATGATTAGACTAAATGATATATATCTCACTATACTATATCTCACCTTGTAACAAAAGTCGGGTCAGAATTCGATAATCATAAAAAGAATAATAATCAATTACTAGTACTAATACTAGTACTAGTATATATATATCTGTATACTCTCTATCTCTCTCTATCTTTGTCTTTATATCTATTTCTATCTCTATTTGTATTTCTATATCCATATCTATTGCGAGATGTCCTTTCAGCGTCTTTCTAGTCTTTATCATTTGATTCTTGGGTAAAGCTTCTTGCTGAGCTATATCCATATCTATATCTCTTTTCCTCCCTCCTTCTCTCCCTCTCCCTCTCCATCTCCATATCCATCACCTTCTCTCCTTTTTCTCTTTCTTCTCTCCCTCATCCCTCTTCCCTCATCCTGCTCCCTTCTCTCCCTCTCCCTCTCCCTCTCCCTCTCCCTCTCCCCCATCCCTTTCCCTCTTCCTATCCCTATCCCTTTCCCTCTTCCCTTCCTTCCTCTATCCCTCAATAAGAATTAAGAATTAAGAATTAAGAATTAAGATTCAAGATTCAAGATTCAGGATTCTCTAGTAATCCATTTACAAATGAATAATATTCAGTATACATATATATCATATAGAACTCTCCTCTCCTCTTCAATCCTTCAACTCTACAACAAAATATCAAGAAATTAAAGAGCCACAACGAACTGTTCCCTAGGTGCATTATAACTTTCAACAATATACCTTCTTCAATTTCATTTTCTTTCTTCCTCTTTGCTTTCCTTACTTTCTTTACTTTCTTCCTTTTTTTCTTCCTTACTTCCTTCTCCTCCCCACTTTCTTCCTCCTCACTTCCCCCTCATCTCCCCCCCCCATCTTCTCCTTCAACTTCTTCCCCTCAACTTCAACTTCGAAATCCAAGCCCTAATTCAATAATCTCATCACATCACATCATATCATATCACATCAAATCAAATCATTTACCACCTATCTCCTATTCAAGAATGAAATTCATACTACTCGAGTATATTATACTATACTAAACTAGAAATATAAATAAGATTCCAATATATTTTCTCGCGCTATATAATAGGGTATAGATATTATAAAATAATCAACAATATTTCCTTCCTCCTTTTCATATTCCGTCCCTCGTTCATCGTTTATTCACATACAAATATATCAACATATCGACACATCACCACCCTCATCCAATCAATATACAAAAACATCTTTCCCAGAGCTTTTAACCAATTCATCCCACGCAATGCAATGCAATGCAAAATCTCATACACGTCTCGACCAACCCGATTCCCATAAACATACACCCATCCATGCACCCACCCATCCATCCATCCATTCAATCATGCATCCATTTAAAATCTTCTAGCAAGCCTCGACCTCGATCTAACTTTCGCCCCAAAGAAATAGATAAAGTAGATCAATACACACAAACCAATACTGATGAAACCAACCGTAGCCATCGCCCACTTCGTCGACATATTATCGAACATGAGAACACCGAGATGAGCGAGACCAGCTGCCAGAGCAAAAGATGGAATAAGAAAAGCTGCGATAGCGGCACCGGCGACGTTGGGATAGGAGTCTGAATGGGAGAAAAAAATTAGCGAGATGTAAGGGATGAGCACGAAGGGGGAAAAATACCAGTAATGTAATTAAGCATACTGAGCCACAACAATGGATCCGCAAAACCAAGAACGCCACCAGCGACAACTGGTGACCAATAGGATACGCTTCCATCCGACGTGAATGCGAACCAAAGCAGTGTTATTGGGAAAAGCCAAACGGTTACCAAAGAAGTGATAAATCGAGCTTCGGGGCGATTAATACCATGCTTCTTACGATCTCTAGCATAAAACCAAGTTTGAACCGGAACGAAGCAAAACATGGCGACTACTCCGACGACGAAATTGAGGTATGTGAGATCGGCACCAATGTAAGTGAGACCATTATTGACGACGAAAACATCAAATACTCCATCGAGGTACAAGAAGAGGATACCGTAGGCGAATCCATTGTACAACCCAAGGAATAAAACAACTGGCTCTGTGAACATGATTTTGAATGTCATAGTTGTGACGAACTTCATTTCTTGAAGGACATTGAGTCTACCAGTCAAGATGGCAGTTTCTTGCTCATCGACGGTTACACTCTTTGCAGCTGCTTTTGCAATGACCAATCTTGGTAATGTTTCTGGAATGAAACACAAGATGATAGAGAATGCAAAGCCGATTATTACGTTGATTAAAAAGATCCATTTGAGACCCATATCCTCATTATCGGCGATCCACTCCCCAACGGGTGATCCAAGAGATGGGCCAATGTTTGCAGCTACATACACATCATTAGCACTTCTGATGTATGAAATGAAGGTTTGATGATTCTTGATTCTTACTCATGACGAAAAGTGCCATTGCTTGTCCAGCACCATCAATATCTCCAAAGAGATCCGAGATTGTTCCAGCAACATTCGATAGGGCAGTAGAACCAGCTGTACCCGCAAGGAACATGAAGATGATGAGCATAGGAAGGTTGAGGGCATATGCGGTTCCCTGAGATGTGTTAAAAGAATTAATTTTGTTGATCTCTTTGGCGATGACTCACAAAGTTCAAAACTGCATAGAATGCGATGCTAACAACGTAAATCCATTTACGACCACCAAGATCACTGTAAACGTTCAGTTATGATTCTTGTTCACAACCACGATGATCGCAGCATGTGCCATATGTCGTGTTCAACCTACGATAATGGACCCAAGAATGTAGGACCGACCGCTGTTCCCATAATGAACATACTCTGACCGAGAGTCACGACTTGAGTAGTTCCTCCAAACTTCTCTTGTATTAAGAACTCGGCAGATACATATGTTGTACTGGTAAGAGTAACAAAGGTTTGCAACAAGCAATATATGACCACAATTCCCCATCGTTTGAAGGCGGACCAATGCATAGGATGATGCTCATTTTGAGCTTTTACGAGTTCGAGAATGGCGATTGTTTGATCTTCGTGTCTCGTAGCAGCGTTTTCATCTCGTGGAACGATATCACCTTTCTCGATGTTGGTTGAATCTGAAGCTCGAATGTGCTCATCGATTTTCTTCTCGGTATTATCGGTAGAAGCCATGACGAACGCACAATAAACGATTGATATGTAAAAATAAAAATAAAGTGTATATAAAACAGTATATATATTGAAGTAGAGAAAGATTGAGCACTATTTTAACGTCCTTGGCTGACGGTTTGTTGATAAGAAGGTCGGATGATCAATTCATCGGAGGCGTATGCAAGATACGAGTATATAATCCACGAGATGAGGATATTCGTGAAATTAGAAGTTCATGGGAAGAAAATGAAACGAAGAAATATTTCGATAAGAAATTTGAAAAATAGACCGTGTGCCGTGTTGCCTTACTGATCGTTAGCATTATGTTGATTTCGAAAGGTTCATCCATGTTAATCTATGGGGATGATTTTTATGGAATCATGTCAACGGCATGGGATATTAAGGAATATCAAAGTAATGAATGTCAATGATTGGTTTGTCGTTCCTCAATTCATGTTTGTCTCGATATAGAATCGGGGATTGTCGAGACGAGGTATCCATTTTGGTCCTTAAAAGGTTCTAATTCCAGATTTCTTCTGGGATCATTGAGGGTCGTTAAGGGCCGTTGAGGGTCTCTTAAAAATGAAGGTTGGTCAAGAAAATGAAGTTAAACCCCCGTAGATAGATAAGCCAAAAGATAAGGGGGTAATAGAAGGTGGAGCATGCTTGTATAAAAGATGGATTTAGAAGCTTTCGTTTGAAGTAAAAGAAGATGTGGCATATAATGTAATCATCCTTGTGATGAATGTATGGAAGACAGGTTGCTTGGTTGGCGGAGGTGATTTGTAGGTGATGCAAGATGAGGTGCATATGCCCAGACTGATGAAGGCTTCTTTTGTTGTTGCCCTTGCTGCCCTTGATGTCCTTGTTGCCCAGACGGAAGGGTGATTAAAGGTTATGGATAGATCATGGGAAAGGTACATAAGGTTATGCCCAGAGTATCGACGGATGAGGCTTACCGGTACAGCACGCTACCCAAATGGAAGGAAGATCATGGAGAAGATTCCGGGAATGCCATAAGATACCCACCTATATTTCGTACTGTACTCCTAGGGAAGAGGCGACATCCGGTCTTGTTGGAACTTTGGGATTGAATAATGGTATTTTGGTACTCCGTGTATGCCATATGGGGAAAAGGTGGAGGGAAGAAGGTGGAAAGATACGAAGATAGAAGATAGAGATAAACTTTAAAATGGAAAAGGAGGGAGATGTCATTATCAAATATGGGGATGGGATGGGGTGAGATGAGATGATGATTGGGATGAGGATGGGGATGAAATAGTATGAAGTGAGACAGAGACATCGAGGTTTGTTGATTGTATGAAGTATGAATTGATTACCGACGAACCGGTTATCTGGGATCATATTGACCCCCCCCTCGGTATTGAAAGTACAAACTTTGTCAGCTATCATATATTTTACGTTTGCTTTTTTTTATTAGGCATCACAACAAACAAACCTCAATCCAAACCAATCCAGTCAAATCAAATTGTGTAGAATAGATAGGTTCGAGAATCATAAAATTATAATATATTCTATAAGAGTATCTAACCTTTCATATTATAAAACACTCTTAAAATACGTATGGTCAGTGCACGACAACGAACTTTTTTTTGAAAATTCACGTGCAATACTATATTTAGTCTTCAATATTAGTACACTTCTTATATCAATCGATAAAACAAAATCTGAAGATATAATATTCAATAGGCCTCCGGAGGACGAGCTGCGACGTAGGACCTGAGGTGCCCTGAAAAACGATTCGGAAAGCGCAGCGAGGCGAATTGTTTTTCCGGCACCGAGGGGCCAGAGTCAAAGCTCGTATGAATATACTTTATAACACAATACAATATACCACAACATCAGAGAAAACCACTGTGACCTTTCCATCTATCGAGGAGGGGTTGGATTCAAAAAGAAGAACAGATAATAATTACAGCAACAGCAAAAATACTATGCAGGTAACCTACATATACCTACCTAGGTATGCTTATTGAGATTGTTCTCTTTGTTTGCAAGTCTGGAAGTATGAGCTCTCTCTCTTCTTGGCATAACAATCGAATCCTCAACGTTAACTTCCTACTATCTACATATCTACATACCTACATACCTACATACCTACTACTATTATAACTTGCACAGCTCTGTATATGGGGAATAAACTTCTCTATATCATATTACCTCTCTACTGCTCAATTCACTGCAACCAGAAAGGCTACCGAAAGTCATGTTAATCCCTTGCAAATTTAATATCTTGATTAATATCGTTTGAATCTGAACTTCTCAAAACTACACCCTTCTCTCTGTTCCTGTTCCTATTCCTATTCTATTTTCATTCTTATCACTATCACTATTACTGTTACCAATAACTTCAAACCTTCAAGCCTTTCAATCCCTCCAAAATTCCATTTCGCGAGCCTTGTTGATCATTTATTGGCGTTTCCTAATTTGGACCAATCCAAAGTCGTTATATCATTGTGGCTCCTGCAGGTAAGATTTTGAGTGGCAAGGCTGATACTCGAGTGAGGCTGATCTTTTTATTTTTTTCCCCTTCCAATGCGCCTTCCTATTATATCATACAGATACCTCGAACTGTATATTTTATATTCTAATAATTACCTTAGAATTCATACAACTTACATAGATCTTCGACATTAACGATTCGATCTCTCATATGTATTGATTCTTGCTTGCAAACTTACGATCTTTTGCACCAATTTTTTTTAATTCAGCTAGATCCGGATTCACTTCCTCACTAGACAATAGCCGTGAACTAATTTTTCAAGACTAAATCACCTTCAATTCCCACCAGGTCAACACAATTATTCCTTCGCCCTCGAGTACCTTCAAAATTACTTCCATGCTATTGCAGTGTCTTGTGTTTATCTCAAGACTTCTCAATTTCTCATTCGAATCCTTCCTTCATATCATCACTTACGACACTTCGTCATGCCTCCCAAGAAGAAGAAGAAGAAGACACTCCTTCGTCGTGAACCTCGGATGACAATGCCCTTCGCTGTATCTAAGAGAAAGCAGAACGAATCTTTCGAAGTCTCTCCACCCAAGCGAGCCAAGAACAACTATATCATCATCTCGGATAGCGACGACTCATCCTCAGCAGAGACCGATGACGACGACAATGAAGATTATCATATCGAGAAAGCTAAGAGCAGTACTACTGCCACTCAGGCCGATGACAATGATTCCGATTCCGATACAGGTTCATGTATCATAGTTGACTCGCGACCCATTGCGGGAAAAGAAGAAGTTGTTACTCAAGGCCGCAAGCTGGATGATTTGTTTAAGAAAATCCCAATTGAGGTATGTTTTCGTCTTCTCTTTTCACACTGCAATTACCTCAGATAGCATTGTAGATTGTGAATTGAGAAAGGTGGTATTTCTCTGTTGACTGTGTTCGCTGATCACTCAATGCAGGTACACCAGAATATCGCCATGTTCTTACCCTCCGATACAGATATTACACGATATTCGCGAGTCGGTAAAAGTACGTACAGCGCTATCTCGGACAGTGTCTGGCGTTATCGATTCTTAGAGAAGTTCGATGCCCCATTAGATGCATCTGTGGCTCTTCTGCGAGAGAAATACCAGTTCCGAAGGCGTACCACAAGATTCTTCACAAGATTCGACTTGAAGGATTACAAGTTCTTTGGCAAAGTCGGCATCAGAGGAGTACAAGAAGCGCAAAAGAATTGTCTTGATATGCTCCAGAACCTTATCATCGGTAGGTCTCCTTGCAATGGTTTTGGTCGATAATGGATACTAATAGGAGGGCATAGAGTCCGATGCTCACAAAGACCGTGATGATAATGGCGACGAGGTGATTGTAAGTCGCAATCTCGATTATATTCGGAATTATGTTTCCTTTGTACCTGGCACAGATCAAACTGGGAACTTGATTGATATCATTGATTCCATTTGCAAGACCGATAATGATTGGAATTTGTATACCGTTTGCTCCGTCAACTGTCCTTCGGATTCGAATACGCTCTTGTTGTTGATTCAACTATGTTTGACTTCGATATCTTGGGATCCAAGATATTGCAAAAATACAATATCCCATTTCGACCTGTCTCAATTTGAGGTTTATGCGTCCCCAGCCAAGCAACCCCTGTTCGTTGGGAAATGGAAGAACGACCTTAACGTGCGCTGGTGTTTGCATGCGGCAAACTTCTTCAAATTTCACTTGAAAGCTGGAAAAGGCGAAGGACTTCTCGCCCATGCCTATTCCGATCTACCCGGAAGTCAATTGCCCCAGCCATGGTTGGGTCGACTGAAGTCAGGAACTCAACAATTGGGAAGTCATTGGAAAGGAGCCTATTGTAAGTACTGGTCATCATACTACACGTTGAGATTTTTAAAAAGCTAACCCAACATTAGGTTTTCTTCATCCTGATGGATTGGCAAGAATGAGAGAAGCTGGAGATGATACAGATAGCGGCCCTTACTCGGACGAACTAGATGGTGGGGAATCATTTCAGGTAAGCCAATGTTTGAGATTGTTGGTGATACAGGATGACTAACCGAGCCTTACACCAGGACATCTCTCTATTTTTTGACGACCAGAAATTTGGAAAGCAACATTGGGTCAAATCATGGGAAAAGATTCTTCAAAGTGATCCCTTTTCTAATGCTGTTCCTGAGTCGACTCATGGCCATGGTTCGAGACGCATCACACGATCAAGAATAGACTGCAAGAAGTCTAAAGAGATCCCAAACCCTGGTGTGAAGTACTTTCACGGTTCTTCGCGCGACTCTTCTACAACTGCCCATTTCTATGGAGCCGTACATGGAATCCCACTACAGCATGGAATCCCTGGCTTTCAAAGAATTACCATCATGAAGTTTTTCCCAGATGAAAATGGGAACTTTGATCGAGGACAGTCCTGGGGCTACGAAGGTTGTGTTTTGCCTGGTGGACGCATCATTATTGGTCGATGGTTCGATGCACGATCTGATTCTGATATGGATGATGTTATGTCGGGACCATTTGTTTTCTGGAATGTGGATGAGAGTGAAGCGGTGGAGCCTATTGATGGCAAGGAAGCGCTAGAGTTCTTCGAGCTCATGAAGCTCCACGGCCATGTTTAGCTTTTGCTATTTCATGCTACATTCTTCTCAAAGATTGACGACCTGCAAGAATTTCCAAGAGACGACTAATATCAACAACATAGACTGGGGACATGATCACTCAAATTAAAACAATCAGCTCAATGAGATATACGACGACAATGATTCAAGATTATTTTATCTTCAAGGAATCAGCAGCAAGCAAATCATTCTAGCACATACATCAGCCGGCGGCTTTCATCTCGAACGCAAGCTATTTTCAACTTAGCATCGCATGGCATCATAGCGAATCTCAACCATTTCATTTCATCTCAACAGACCGTATTATTTTGGACCAACAGCAATTTTAGCATATATTACGAAACACTTCTCTCATTAACGACGAACCTCGGGCATCGTTTACCATTCTTTTCGATTCAATTTGCAAATATTTACTTACTTTCGACATTCTTTTTAGATATTATTCGACATACCGGTACTGTCGGGCATTCTCTTCTCGTACATATGATTTTCGTGCCTTTTTTTTTTGACTCGTAGTTTGGTTTGGGTTTCTTTCTTTGGTAGGCGGGGAGTAGTGGTTTGGGTGGATCGATGCGGAGAGGGAGGAGAGTTTGACTTGAATTAAGGATTGGGATTATGGATGGAATGGATATAGATGAATCTGGCTATAGATACATAGATACATCCCCTCTTCTAAGATTTGGCGTTGGAATGGGATGGGGTGGGGTGGTAATCTTCAAATCTATAAATTCTATGTTATGTCTGCATCAGCAATTTCATGTGAGGGGGAGGGTGATTTGAGCGACAGAGGAATGAAATGAAATGAGGGAGAGGGAGAGGGAGAGGGAGAGGGAGGGAGATCTATGAAGTGGAACGTTTATGCGTGGGTTGGGTTGGGTTGGGTCAGTGAGTGAGTGAACGAGCGAAGGAATTCGAATTGATTGGGTTGGGTTGGGTTGGTTCAATACTCAGAGTAGTAAAAGATTTGAGCTTCATAGGTTGGTTAGGTTGGTTGAAGTTGGTTAATTGGTATCAATATTAGATATATGACTTTCAGGTTGAGATTGAGTTTACTTTGAGAGACTTTGAGATTGAGATGGCTTTGAGAGTAAGATTGAGATTATGATTGGGGTGATGGATTAATTGAGATGAGTAAATGAGTGAAGAAAATAGAAAGAGGAGAAGGAAAATAGAAAGAGGAGAAGGAAAATAGAGGAATAGGAGAAGGAGCTTGGATCATATAATATATATAGTATTAGTTATTGATACTGTAGAGCGATGGGATTTTTTGGGGTTTGGTTGGAATTTGAGGTGTGGGTGTGGTGTGGTGTGAGAGATCTTGGGTTATTTTTCATTTTTCGTTTATACATGTAATACAACACAAACTTATCAGCTTGTGTCTTGTACTCGAGTATGTTATGTTATGTTTGTGTATTTGTCTGTTTGTCCGCCTATCTGTTTGTCCCAAAACGCCTCTCATCTTCCTAGCTTGCCTTCCGCAAACCTTTCATCTCACCCGCTATACTATATTCCCCCGAGACCTTCTGATCTCTTCCTTTTCCTCCTAATGTCTATTCCTCAATCTCCTTAACGCACTCCCATGCTCCCCTCAAATTTTCCTTCCACAAAGAAACTTTATTATCTCCTCCACTAACCGCCAATACATTCCCGCTTAAACTCCATGATACGCGCCAGACTTCCCGTTCGAATTGTAGCACTTTGGATTCCCATTGCCCCGGGGTCGAGGCCGCGGTGGAGGTCCAGATGCGGACGGTTTTGTCTTGGGAGGCGGATGCTATGTAACCTATTGTTGAAGGGTGGTTAGTTATGTAGACATTTAAGGGGGAAGGGTGTGGGGATTAAGAAATGGACAGAGAATGCTAAAAAGGGAAAACATACTCTTTTGTAAAACCGTAGGACTCCACGCGACATCTCTTACCCAATCCCCATGCCCCTGCAATGGAGCCCCTTCAACCTTATAACTCAAACTAGCCTGATCCCACGCCCAAACCCTCAAAAGATTATCACTTCCACCCGTAACAAATCTTCTAACACCCCCCTCCTTCCCCCCCGCACTCGCGCTCACCAAACTACCCGGTTGCGACGACGGTGCCCAAGAAACACTATTAACACCAATACCATGCGCATGGAAAATCTTATGATCCATAGAATTATCTTTGAATTCTAGAACCGAGACATTTCCATCAGAGGAAGCGCATGCGAGGAGACAACCGGATTCGTGAGGACACCAGGAGAGAGAATTGACGGAAGCGGTGTGGAGGGCGAAATCATAGATTTTGGTCCAGACTGAGGAGGTTTCGCGATAGATGAGGACTTTACCGTCGTAGCCTGCGGAAGCAAGTATGTTGCCGTATTTGGGATGGGCCCAGGAGATGGACCAGATGGCTCCTTCGTGACTGAGGAGATGGGCGTGTTAGCTAGGTGGAAACTTGGAAGATATAGAATTGGGGTATGGAGGGAATGGAGGGAATGGCTCATATTGAGCAATGAGAGACAAGGGGAGAGTCTTTAAAATCTGCCAAGCGCGAGATTGGACGTCCTGTGCTGTGTATACGATATTTGAGGGAGTTTACGAAAATAGCATACCCTTTCAGTGTTTCTGTAAGACGATGTGTTTCTCCTTCGATTTCAAAGATCTTAACAGTGCGATCTGACGAACATGTGGCAAGTCTGCGACCATAATAATCTAAAGCTGCATCATGCTATACAAAATCCAATTAGTTTATTGATCTTCAAGGGATGCGCTTTATGCTATTGTATGAGGAATTCCTATGGTAAGACTTATATGAATAGAAAGATAGGAATGATTATATACTTACAATCATATCATCATGACCTGAATTGGTTATAACTTGTGCCATATTGACACAAATTTGAGAGAAAGTATAAAAGTAATGGTATATGTATGTATTTCAGTTCTCGAAGCTCCAAATGATTGATGCTGCCAGATCGTATCGTATCTAAGCGGCACTTAACCTTACCGCTCTCGGTATATATAATATATTATTTCGGGGAAACCTTTCGCCTTTCGCCGATCTAATGATAAGGTAAGCCTATCCTTACCGCTTTTATATTTGTATGGCAAAATAGTGATCTCTAGCTTCTCCTCTAACATCTTTCAAGTCCAACTTATTCTCCCACATTTCTTTTCTTTCTCATCTCATTCTTTCCTGTTGGTTTATTGATTTGAGGAGATAGATTCTTATCAAATATACTCAATATAATCATTCATATTCATTTATTAATCCTTTAATAGATATATCTATTCTTCTTATATCTATCTATACTTTCACAGACTTCACTTCCTGGGCCTCGGTTCAATGAAGCTCACATTCCCGAATCGTCATATTATATAATCTTTGGATTCTTTCAACCATAATCAAATTAAATCAATTCAGAATCAATTCAACTAACATTGTCGCCATAATGGCAGATAACCTTTGTGGTCCATCGAATGCTTTGCAAAATCTTCAAAAGCACACAAAAGTTGATCGTACCTTACAACAAGATCGTTTAGTTGGAAGAGCTTCAACTTCTCAAGTATGTATCATACAATATTCACATGCTTATAATCGCAGCTCATTATCTCTCATACTTCTACTAATAAGATAATAGGGTTTCCGAGCTTCCCCAGGTCTAAATGCAGGTCAACTAGATGCTGAATTCGCAGCTTTCCAAGCTGGTCATCAATCACTTAGTCTCTCTCCCTCGGCGCAAAATTTATCACCTCGACATTTCCATACCCCCTCTCCTCAAAATTTTCAAACCACCCCACCACAACATCCCGCAGATCGAACATGGGCTACCGATTTCCGAAACCTGAACATCTCAGGTCCTCAAGCACAATTTCAACAACAAGAGGTACATCGGACACATCAACCTCAAATGGGAGGATGGCATCAGGAATTTGCCCAAAGCTATCGAGCTCCGAGTGTGAATGCGCAGGGAAAGCAACCTGTTATGGGAATGCATGGTCCTTCGATGATGAACGCTGGATATAATTCAATACCTAGAGTTCTTATGCAACAAAATCAATTTACATCCACAATACAGTCATCGGCGCAAAACGATGAAGTTATTGATGATGCGGCATTTGCGAGAGCTTTCGATGAAGCAGCGAATGCAGAATTGGAGAGAGAGCGAAAACAAGAGGAAGAATCAGAAAGAGCGAGAGTTGAACAGGAGACCGCGATACAAGCAAAGACCGATGAAGAAGCAGGGCTTGAACGCGACAGAGCGGTAAACTATCTTCTCAACCAAGCCCCTCTCGGTGCGGATACCATTCAAGACCCCGCAACCGCAACATCAGAACAAAATACACATGCACCAGACGCTCTATCACGTACAGCTGGAGAGCTTCTACACAGTGTTAGTAGTAACCAAAGTGATAAGTTTCAAAATAGTCAATTCCTACAACTCATGCGACAGATCCGTGACAAGGAGGTTACAGTTGAAGGGGATATGGTGGTGGATACAGGCATGAGAATTAAACGAGGTGTTTATGAAAATGAAAATGGAGGACAATTTCATGATATGGTTGGAGCACCCCAACCCTAGTTTATCTGAATAATCCTATCCCTGTGGATTTTATGTTTTATATATGTTTGCCTATGATTGCCTATGCGTAATTAAACCAAATGTTAGTTAAAACCGTGTAATAAGAGAACTAATCAATTTCCATTGCGTAGACATCGGATGTGGCAGAAAGAATTCGCAAGATTAGAAAGGATGATTGTAAGCTGGCCGAAATTACGGCGGGAATGGACCAGGAGATGCTGATGAAAGCTTGCGAGGCTAAACCAAAATATCATACATTGACGAGACAGAAGTGGGTGGGCATTTGGGCACGTGTGGAAAGAGGTAGAGAGATATTGAGGGGTATAAATAAGTAAGTGTCCAATAGTCGTTGCCTTCTTCAAAAAACCATGCTAATTTTGGGTGTCTCCTGCAGTAACCCTACACCAGAATTGCTAGAACATCCAGTAGTAGGCTACTTGGCGAACGTGGACGAAACATCGAATCATTATGTGGTTCGGGATAATTCTTATTACGAGATTAAGCCGAAGAGCGAAGAGGGGAAATCTAAGTCTAAGTCTAAGTCTGGGGAAGGGGAAGGTGAATATGACCAGGCTGAGGGAGAGAATACTAATAGCGACCTCACTCGTCCTAGAATAAGACAATTCCGCGGGTATATGGCGTTGAAGGAGAAACATAGGCATCGAGGAAGGGATGAGGAGGGTAATTGGCATGGGAAGGGTTGGATGGTGGAAAATGGGAAGTTTTCGGGGGGGAAGAAGGTGTGGGAACGGATTGTGGAGGGGGAGGGGAGGGGGGAGAACTTGAAAGCTAACTTGAAGGAAGAAGAAGAAGAGATGGGAATACGGGTACGAGATGAGGGTTCAAGAGAGATAGAGATGGAGATGGAGATGAGAAGTAGAGCGGTGAATAGGATGGAAAATTTGGCTAATACATTTCAGCCTGCGGGGATGTAGGGTAAGGTCTATCCCAACATCGATACAGCGGGCTGCATCACGGCGCCCGAGGATGGATATAAGGTTACCAGGAGACTTTAAATCTTTAACTGACGGCGAGAAAGAAAAAAACTTGCCAGTGAGCTGACAAAAAAGTTTGTGGAGGGAGGGAATTATTGAGGAACTATTGAGTAAGAACTTGAAGAGCAAGAAAAGTTTAAGAAAAACATAGATTTATTTGATTTGATCTGGGAATGGAATGGAATGGAGGAAATAGGGGAGGATGGATGTGTTCATATCGGTTCAGCAATTTATACTTGGGCAAGAGCTGTGTTCGATGTAAGATTAGGGGGGAAAGTAGATATTGAATCTGGATGGGGGTTTAGATGGGGGTTTAGATGGAAGTTTAGATTGTTAGATAAAAATTACATACTTACTAATGGAGGGTTAGATAGGATGGGATGAGATGAGATGGGATGAGAAAGGGAGTTGGGTATCGGGGATGATGTTTATATTTGGATTTGGATTTGGATTTGGATTTAAAAGTTAATCGTTAATTGTTAATTGTTAGCTGTTAGCTGTTAGCTGTTAGATGTTAGATGTTAGATGTTAGATATTAAAAGTTAAAAGTTAATTGTTAGATATTAGATGTTAGATGTTAATTGCTAGTTGTTAGATGTTAATTGTTATAATTTGTTAATTATTAATTGTTAATTAAAACTTCAAAGTTCTATTGCCAGCCAGTGTTTTGTATTCGAGTAATAATTTTATAAATCTTACTTCTTATTAATCTAATTTCTAAGTATTATAGAATAGATATTTGTCTATCATCTATTTCATTTGAGTAGGTAGTGAAAATATAATATAAGTTTAGATGCTTTACGTGTTTTAAAATCTTTGAAGAACTTTGAGTAAAATTAGATATACTCTAATACAGTAGATTAGAATAGAATATAGAATGCCGATCTTAATATATAATAGTCGCAATAGATAACTCCTCACTCAAAGGAATAGAAACAGAAGAAAAAAGAAAGAGAAAAAAGGAAATGAAGAAAAAGGTATATATATATACTAAAACAATACCAGATTATAGCTTCAACTCGAGTACTGAGAATATATATATAAAGGATGTAATACTTCGGATGCTTATATGCCATAGTATCTACTCGAGTACTCATGCATATCACATCATGTCTTTTTGAAGTTAAAACTTAAAAGTTGAATTTATAAGGTTAAGTTGAAGAAAAGTACTCGAGTAGATGTTGAAATTCCCGAAAGCGAGGTTAGGTAATAAAGGAGTTATAATTCAAGTTAGGCATGAGTTGGCGTGATAGAGAGTGATGGAGGGCGTGGTGAGAAAGTCTTGGTAGAATTTATTCTTTTGGATGAAAACCTAATTAATAATTACTCGTTTGTTTATATATACTGATTGATGTAGAAGCTGCTGTAGAGGGGAGGGGAGGGAGGAACTCAAAATCTTTAAGCTCTTAATGGAAGTAGAATTAATCATTAATTGATCGGAAATAGAAATCGAGAATCGAAAATAGCGTTTTAGGCAATTAGCCTTGATGACTGGCCTTGATATATAAACAACTCCATCTCCATCTCTATCGAGAAACATAAACATAAACAAAAAACACAAACACAAACAAAGTACCGCTTATAACATACACTGACTGTGCGTTAGGTTTAGCAAATATTGCAAATGTCAACTATCGCACACATCAACATCTCCCCTCTACCATCTTCCCTCCTTTCCTCCAACCCTTATAACTTCCCCTCCTCCTTCAACCTCTTCTCCTCCTCCCCAACATAATCTTTCCACCCCTCTCCCCTCATCCCACTAACCATCTTTCTCAACATACCACTCCTCAAAGCTCTCCCATCCCTCTCATAAACCATCTCGATCGCCATCAAACTAAACACAAAAATCCAGACATCACCCCCCTTAACCCCCTTCCACCAACCCCTCTTCTTACCCACTTTCCACAGCGAATCCATCGATGCTCTCGCACTATAAAGAAATTCCCCCCTCGCATCTTTCCGCACTACGAATCCCCAGAGACCACCTATGGCACCACCGAGGAAGAAGCGTTGAGTGGGAAGGATGTGTCGGGGAAGAAGGGATTGGAAAGCACAGATACTAGCCCAACTGGTACCGATGGCGCCGGAGATATAGAGGGTTGATTTTAAGATTCGGATAGCGAGGGCGTTGAGGGAGGAGATGGGGGAATGATAAAATTTGCGGTAGGAGGGGAGGGAGAAGAGGGTAAGTATTACAGTGAAGACGCGGGCAAGACGGGGGAAGACTTGGATCCAGTAGGTGAGGTAGGTGTGGAGACATGAGGGGTCGGAGGGGTGGAGAGTGGCGCATGTGAGGGATGTTATTAGAGGGTGGGCGGGAGATATTATGGGGGAAATAGTGCTGAGGGATTGGGGAAGGGTGGGATTGTTTGGGAAGAGAATCGGAGATACGAAAGGTCTAGGGTGGATGTTAGTTTAAAATATGCAATTGTGCATGAATGATAACATACGGGTAGTTAAGACGAGCCATTTCGGCAAGATTATCAACAATATTGTAAGTATTTGGCCATGGGAGCTTAGCTGGGTAATCTTCTGGTCGATATTGAATATAATGAGGAGAGTTTTTGAGAATGAAATCTCCATATTGCTTCGAATTATTAGCATTTTCCCCAACAAATCTAATTGAAATACTGATACACACCCGTGGAAAGCAATCTCTATCAAAAACAAAAGCATGAAGCAATTGACCACAAGTGAGTGGGAAAAGCAACCAACTTCCCCACCACCAAGGTCTTTCCCACCTACTTCCCTCCTTTCCCCATATCCAACCCTCATCCTCCGCCAAATTATATGATATTTCGGCAGCTCTACTCAAAGCATATATCGCAATGGTCAGTCTCAATTGATCACTCGGGTAAACGGCCAACATAAATCCAGCCAAACTTGCTCCAACCGCTGGTGCCAAATTCGATGTGAGCGTCCTACTTGTTTTGGGATTTCGTTGTCTGAAAGGTCGGGCTTCAGATGTAAGGAGATGTGCGCGAAGTCGAGTGAAGAATCGAAAGAGGATTCTATGGAAAAGAAGGATACTGGAAAGGGATAGCGAGAGGCGAAAGTTTGGTGACTTCCATAATGAGTGTTTCTTTCCCCTATAACATCGTTTAGCTTTGATTCAATCTCATCTCATTTTCTCATTTTCATGAGTCCGAATAGAAAAAACATACCCAACTTTACCAGCACCCATAAACTTTTCCGTGAATAAACTCCAGATCTTCAACCCAGCATTCGTAGCAAGAAATAATCTCAAACTCCCCCTCACAGCCGCAGCATTGTAATCATCGCGACCAAATCTCTCTATCAATTTCTCTACCTTTGTAACAGTAGGTGCATTTCTTTTTAGAACTTTCGATCGCGATATGATGTATTTGTGAAGGGTTTCGTATTCTTTCGCTGAGATGGTGTATCGAAGCGCGTTGCGGAGAATAGGATCAGCGGTGGATTTGGCGGAGATTCGATCGCGAGGTACTTTGGGAGCTTCAGGAGTTCCACTGGGTATTGAATCCATGGTTCTAAGATGGTTATGGGTGTCGCATGAGTGGTGTTGTTTATTTGGATGATAGAAGAGGGTTGTTAAAGTTGAGGTTACCTTAACTCCTTCATGAACATGTGAATATTTACCTCGGCGTGAAACAATAGGGTTGTTGATCTACATCAAGGATTTGAATGGGGGGAGATGAATTTAATGAATTTCGCGATTCCCTTATATTTTGAGTATCTTGAGGTAGAGTGTAATAAGTTTTTGATTTGTTTGTAGAAGAAAGGGGATAAGAAGATGTAGATATCCTTTCAGTCACGTCGATGTAACATAGCAGATATGTAAGTTGCTACTCAGAACGATTTAATTCAGAAATGTCCGGGAATCCAGAACAATTAGATATTTGTTAGGTTTTGGCTGGCTTCCAGAGTGGTCGATGTGATATCAACCAAACAACTCAGATACGTACTTTAAAGTGTTCTACAGTACCGAGTACATTGAACGCGCATCTATCTATCTAGAATGATCTCCCCATAGATTCTATCTGTCTTTGACATCCCAGTCTTGCTTGTCAATATCCTGCTTGATATCACCATCAATCTAGAATCATACAATACAAGACAAATTGGCTGGCCATCAACGTAGAATCACACAAGATCAACCAATCCCTCATCCTCATTTCCCCAGCAATTCAAAGCCATCAATTCCATTAATCCAACACATTCATCCATTCTTCTTCAAGCCCCAGCTAAAAGCCAAGTAAAAACTTAATGAAAAAAAAGTTATATCCCGAAGGAAGCAATCAAAAATTCCGCCGACCAGGTCCCCGAAGGAAACTGGACGATTCTCGTCGCCCCGATGTGCAATGGAGGACTCGTATCGCAACGTTGCAATGCTTGATCTGCAAAACGTTTCAACAAGGTAAGTATGAAGAAGAAGAAGAAAAAGGGAAATGGGAAGTGAGGAGAGGAGCATTATATAGAAGAATTGGGAGGTCTGTGCAGATGGGAGATGGGAGATGGGGCTAGTTGGTTGATGCAAATGGGACAAACTTGTCGAGAAGAGGTATAGCGTTGTTTGGAACGGGGGTTGGTGGTTGGCGCGTGCGATTTTATGAGGAAGGAAGTTGTTGTTCTGTTTTTGTCTGAGAGTGGAAGGTGGAGGTGGTACGGGTCCGCTAAATATCCACACTCCATCTTTCCATCTTTCTACCTTCTTCACACTTCCCTTCTTGAAATCCAATAGGGGAAAGGTAAGGAGGGGGTTGAACCGAACAGATCCAATCGCTCCATCAAAACCGAAAGCATCGTAATTAAGGGGAAAAGAAAGGAAGCTCAGCTACTCAAGTATAACTAAATCTTCATTTTACAAGCACTTTCTCATTAACATACCGGTATTCTATCTACCATTCTCCATTCTCAATCGTTGATAGAAATTCAATATGTCTTTTCAAACTCCTCATAATACTCTATGAATCTTATTCTTCTTACCTCCGAAATCATAACCATCAAATGGCATACACCTTATATCTTATGTTCTAGAGTAGTCCGATGAGATAAGCCTCAAATCCATGAAATTACAACCACTGGCATTCTAACAGCTGCATGCCTCGTAAAGTTGTAAAAATAATTATATTAATATCCTCTATTATACTAAATTTATCTTGGAGAAAAGACCTATGGAAATATCATTCCCATTCACATTCACACATAATTCCACCTTTGACCAACTATATCTACATTAAACTTGACCTCCCACCAACCTCCGTTCCACCCTGTCCATTCGGCATATCTCCAGTCCTTCCCACCAAAAACTCCCTATAAATTCCTTGTAATCTCCTTCTCTCATCCACACTAATACTTGCTCTCGTCTCCTCCAAACCTTTTACCAAATGTTTCCACAAAATGGTGACTTCCTGCTGACCTTTAACTTCCTTCTGTTCTCCCCTCTCATCATTTGAAACATCAATACCCTTTGCCCGTAATTTTTCCCTCTTTTTGGCTTTTTTGATCTCTTCCAACTTGGCCGTGATGGCAGCTCTCTCGGTAAGTTGTTTGGAACGGTTATTACCAGCTTTTGCACGCGTCTCGGCTTCCGCCTGTTCTTCATCTTCGCCATAGCGGAATTGTATGAAATTTTGAGATGCGCCAGATGCCCCATTCGTTTTGGCTCCATTGCGCTTTTCACCAGCCTCTTTTTCTTCGTGATCACCAAGTACATCGTGGATGGCTTCAAGTTGAGCATTAGATATTAAAGCTTGGAGATCTGCGCCAGAGTAACCCTCAGTCCTACGAGCAATCTCAAGGAACCCTCCTTGAGGACCATCTCGAACTTCTTCGGACAATTTAAGCTTTTTGCCTAGTGCTTTGAGAATATCAAAACGATCGTCCACAGTTGGAAGATCACATAAAAGGGACTTGTCCAAACGACCCGGACGAAGTAATGCCGGATCAATCAAATCTGGTCTTGAAGTAGCTGCAAGAACATAAACTCCAGATAAACCTTCAGCACCGTCCATTTGTGTCAACAATTGATTGACTACTCGATCGGTTACACCAGTGGAGTCATGACCACGCTTAGGGGCTATGGAATCGAACTCGTCGAAGAATAGTACACAAGGTCTAGCGGCTTCAGCTCGCTCGAAAAGATCGCGGACAGACTTCTCAGATGCACCAATATATTTGTTGAGAATTTCAGGGCCCTTGACACTAATAAAGTTCAGACCGCATTCTCCTGCAACCGCACTTGCAAGGAGTGTTTTACCACAACCTGGGAATCCGTACAAGAGAAGCCCTGATCGTAATCGCAGTGGACATTGTGCAAAAAGAGGCGCATAAGTGATAGGGTACTGTAATGTCTCGAGTAAAATCCTTCGGATCTCATGTAGGCCTCCGATCGAGTCGAATGTCGTGGTGGACGTTTGCAGGGTAACATTACGAAGTGACGCAGGGGTAAATCCTTTCAGAGCACTATCAAAGTCTTCTCTCGTGAGTCGAATAGAACCACTATCGTCATTTTTTAGCGAACTCGAGACTGTCCGAATCATCGCTTCACTCTTGGCTCGCGCTACCAGAAGGACAAGATCTCCAGGCATGTAACCATCGCTTTTTCCTGCTAAATCTAAGAAATCGAGATCTTGGTCAATGATGTAACCATCGCCTTCCACTTTCCTTGGACTTTCCATACTTGGACCGTCCATCCAATCACCATCATTATCTCTTTCGCTATTGTTTGCGGTGCTTGGACGACTGCCAGATACCACTGGCTTTTTGATGATTTCCGAGATGGCATTTTGCCTCGCAACCATCTCCACAACTCTCCTACGCCCTTCTTTATTTGGAGCTTTTAACGGGACAATTTCCCGCACGACATGACAACCAATGATGACCTTGTGAACAGACTCTTTTGCTTGAGCGGTTGCAAGTAGAACAACGCCACAATTTCGGACCAAGTATTCTCTGGCAATTGTAACCATTGCCTCACTCAGTAGCTTGCTTCGAAGATTGTCATTACCTACTTCAAGCTCTGTCTCCACAGGACACAACTTATCAAGATCATCCAATATCACGATGGACTGTCCACCATTCCTCGCACCCCACAAAGCACCCATAAATACTCGATTCAAAGTTTCCTTTATGGTTGAGATACGTGCCTCATCCGTAACAAGTTTCCGACATGAAAGATAAGTGGTATGAAACATATGTTTTTGCCGTAACCGATGAGCTAAGAGATGCGCCACTGATGTCTTACCGGCCCCCAATGCACCAGTGAGTAATACCGAAGATATGCTTGTAAGACGTGATTCTAGTTGTTCTAAGAGATTATCGATACCTACAAGAACAGGCGCTTGTGCACCAATACCATCGATTGTTTGTGTCACAAGGGCTAGGGGTCTTGGAATAGCGGCTTGGACCTCAAGATTGAATTTTCGTTCAGAACCAAGGAACCAATTGCAGCGTATTTTTCCAGGATCCGGCTGTGCTTGCTCCAGCCGAAGCATTCCACCTTCCCAACTTGACGGATAATCAGAACCTGATGGTTTGCCGAGTACCAAGCCGTCAGTCAATGGTCCCTCAAGAATGCCGTTGTTAGAACCATTCTTAGTATACATCTTGGTAATTAATTTCGCAGCTTCTTCACGTTCGGCTTTCGATTCCCCACCAAATTTGAGACTCTCGCTAGCCTTTCCCGTACTAGATGAATAGGGGAATATCTTGATGTGTGGAATTCCAGTTTTAGAAGACGGTGGAAAAGTTGGTTTTGAAGCTTGAGGTGGAGCTGGCTCAAGCATTACCAGACCTCCGACCATGTTCTCACAGCCCATGGAGGCACAAAGCGAAGTAGATAGAGCTACATGACTCTCATCTGGTGGATCATCCCATGCCATCAATCTAGCTACCACCTTTGGTGCAGCTTTCCCAGCAACCGCGTTGTTTTCGTTTTCTTGTTGTTGTCGCTGTGGGTCAATCGGTTCTTGTAAACTTTCGGGCTTGATGACGGTGACGCAGACCCAAGTAATCCCTTTCAGAGTCTTGGAAAGAAGTAGATCTTCATCAACCCAGACTTTCAATCCTCCATCATCTAGATCTTTCTCTTCTTCAAACCACTCCCCGCAGACTGCCCTATCGATTCCTCTGAAAAACATAGCCGGCCTCGCTTCTTCAATCCGTCCACTCTTCCGAGCTACTGTACTAGAAACGCTTCCTCCGCCAACGCTTTTCCTCGAAGATACGCTCATATTTTCGCCCGAAGTTCGTGATGGTTTGGATCTTGTCTTAGGTGCCACAATAACCTCCGCGTCGGGTGCTAATTTTGTAAAGGCGACGTTCGAAGGCGTGGCAGGAAGGAGGGACGTGATTATAATATTCGCAGTCGAGGTTGGCGAAAGATGTAACGTAAGAGGATGAGGAGGAAGCGACGGTCCATTGGATGAAGTGAAGCTTGGATTGGGTAATGCGCGGATCTGATTTATGAAGTTTAGTTCGAGAAAGGTAGCATGCAATTCTATAATTTCCCAGTCTTCGGGAGTTAAAGGTTCCATATTAATTGTATGGGAAACAGGAGGATCAACATGTATGCTGGCTGTGATTTTTTGTCCATCTAATATTCCCAAGGTTCGCGCAAAGGTTGCATCTATCTCCACAATCTGAACTTCTTGCTCTCTGCCAGATCCCCTAGCTCCATTTATACCATCTCTTCCAACAATAGGCGCAAGCTTGCGCTTGCTTTGCATACCTGTCCATCCCACGAAGATGGATCGTTGAGTCGGGGTACCATTCGTTTGATTCTGGCCTTGAGGAGGTGGAAGTCGGTAGTTTAATTCTATTATCACATTTTGCGCAAGCTGAAAGACGTGAGCCGCTATTCAAAAGGGAAAACTTAGGGTTGACTTACCGCATTGATGTTAACCAGCAATGAAGATAATGATGAAGGCAAGTTAACCAAGCAATTCTTTAGATGAATCAATGATATTTCTGCAGATGTAGCTGGACTACCACGTCCCTTTAAATTTGAAGCCATAATAAAAAGTGTAATTAAATGTATGTGAGTGAAATCAGGATATCAAAATGAGCGACCAAAAGACAGAAAGAATAATAAGTTTTCCTTCTCGAGTAGTAGGAATTCGGCAAGCATTTAGGTTAGTTGACCGTCATATGTTCACCTCGGTGTTTTGATTTGGACGAAATGGTAATTAGCCTATCTGCGCCATAGTTTCAGAGCGCCACAAGCTATAAGCCACAAGCCACAAGCAGCCACGAAACACGAAAATTCGCGAGTCCGTTGACAGGGGGATTGAAGCTTTACTTACTACCAAGCGCGTCGATTTCAATTTAGAGATTTGAGGTCCAAGTTCCGAGTTCCTCAGTTCAACCTCATAGATCTTTGCGCCGCCAGCCCCTCCTCAACAACTCCTCCATTACCGCCTTTCTATCCTTTCTACTCTCCCTGATCATATCGTCCTGCGATAGAAAACACTCGTTACGCAGAGTTTCATACATTTTATCAAATTCTTTAAGAGTATCAACTGGTTTTGCGCAAGATGGCGCTCCTTCAATACAAAGCTCCTGTCAACTATGAAGCCCATCAAGGTGAGATTTTATTGAATATTGAGGCTTTCTATAATGCTAATCCAAGTTTCAGAGGCTTTCGAGGACTTTCTTTCCACTTTCAAAACTTCTCCGACTGCGAATATTACTCACGCTCTCGGTGGTATGAACATTGATGAGGATGATTTCAGTGATGAATACGACATGATGGATAATGATGATGATGACCATAATTCAAGGAGACAAACAAGAGCTCAAGCAAAAGTGCCCAAACTCAAGTATATTGAGCTACTGCAGAAAGTCGCAGATAGATACGAAGATGAAATCACAATTGAACTTGATGATTTAGCCAAAGTACATTGACCGCCTCTCCACCTATGTGACATACTGACAGTTGCAGTATGACGATTTACTGGATGAAGCTGGAACTCCTCTCAACCTAGTTGCTTCGATCGAGACCAACGCAAAGCACTATTTGGATATCTTGTCCAAGGCGGTTGACACAGTGATGCCACAACCTACAAGAGAAATTAAGTGAGCTGAGATGTAAATCTGCAGTGGGTCATCTGCTAATAAAGTTGTAGCTACAAAGATGATGTACTTGACGTTCTCATGTCGCAACGAACAGCTCGAAACAATGCCTTAAGCCGTGCGGCCGCTGAGCAAAGCGACATAACCATTGAGCCCGAACTTTTCCCCGCCGAACTTACACGAAGATATACCCTTAACTTCAAACCCTTGACCGCTACTGGAGATAGTTCAAAAAAGGCTTTGGCAGTGCGACAAGTCCGTGGTGAACATCTTGGTCATCTTATTACTGTTAGAGGTATTACTACAAGAGTTTCAGATGTCAAGCCGACTGTGGAAGTCAACGCATATACTTGTGATAGATGTGGTTGTGAGATTTTCCAGCCCGTTGGATCCAAAACTTTCGGACCATTAGTAGAATGTCCTTCTCCCGATTGTACTACCAACCAAACCAAAGGACAACTCCATCACTCCACTCGAGCTTCAAAATTCCAGCCATTCCAAGAGGTCAAAATTCAGGAAATGGCCGAACAAGTTCCAGTCGGTCACATTCCTCGAATGCTGACTGTTCTATGCCACGGAGCTCTAGTTCGACGTATCAACCCTGGAGACGTTGTCGACATTGCAGGAATCTTCTTACCTACCCCATATACTGGGTTCAAAGCGATTAGAGCTGGTCTTCTCACCGATACATACCTGGAGGCACAGCACGTTACCCAACACAAGAAGGCTTACGAGGATTTGATTATTGATAGTCGAGTTTTTAAACGAATTGAGCAATACAGAGCATCTGGTCACGTTTACGAATACCTTGCCAAATCTATCGCGCCTGAAATTTATGGACACTTGGATGTTAAGAAGGCCTTACTCTTATTATTGGTTGGCGGTGTTACTAAAGAAATGGGTGATGGAATGCGAATTAGAGGTGATATCAATATCTGTTTGATGGGTGACCCGGGTGTGGCCAAGTCTCAATTACTCAAGTACATCACTAAAGTGGCACCAAGAGGAGTTTACACTACTGGTCGAGGAAGCAGTGGTGTCGGTCTTACCGCAGCTGTCATGAAAGATCCTGTGACAGATGAAATGATCTTGGAAGGTGGTGCATTGGTACTTGCTGATAATGGTATCTGCTGTATCGATGAATTCGACAAGATGGATGACACTGATCGAACCGCTATCCACGAAGTTATGGAACAACAAACCATTTCCATTTCTAAGGCCGGGATTTCCACAACGCTGAATGCCAGAACTTCCATTTTGGCAGCGGCTAATCCTTTGTATGGTCGATACAATCCTAGAATATCTCCAGTCGAGAATATCAATCTTCCAGCAGCTTTACTCTCCCGTTTCGATGTACTATTCCTGATCTTGGACACTCCTTCTCGAGATAACGACGCCCTCCTTGCCCGCCACGTCACCTACGTTCACATGAACAACAAACATCCCGATACTGAAGGCGTTGTTTTCACACCTCAAGAAGTCCGTCAATACGTCGCTCAAGCTAGATCCTACCGCCCAACTGTCCCAACGAGCGTCTCGGAGTATATGGTAAAGGCTTACGTTAGAATGCGCGATCAACAATCTCGTGACGAAAAAAATAAGAAACAATTCGCCCATACCTCTCCTCGTACCCTTCTTGGTGTCCTTCGTCTCTCACAAGCTCTCGCTCGATTACGTTTCAGTGAAGAAGTCGTTCAGGATGATGTCGATGAAGCACTCAGACTTATCGAGGCATCTAAAGAGAGTTTGTATGCTGATCAAGATGGATACAGAAAGGATTCAAGTCCAAGCAGTAGAATTTATAACATGGTTAGAGCATTGGCTGAAGCCGGTCAATGCAGACCAGAGGAGGCCGATGATGAAGATGATGAAGAGACCTTGGGTATGGAATTGAGTATGAAGAAGGTCAAGGAAAGAGTTATTGCAAAGGGATTCACAGAGGATCAATGGCGAAGTGCTGTGATGGAATACACTGATCTTGATGTAAGCTTTTCCTCTCCCTTGATATTTTTGATATTCTTTTTTACTAATAATGTCATCAGATCTGGCAAACTGCTGGCAATGGAACGAGACTGTTATTCGTCATGTCGGAGGCAGCACATATGGCCAGGGATGAAGAGTATGAAATGGAGTAATCACATTAGATGAGATGAGATGAGATCAAATATATGCATGTAGTTGAGGCGTTTGTTGGATCGATCAGGGATATTGATATGGCGTTATTGTATCACGGGTTGTGAGATAGGGTTATAAAAGAGCACTAGTTGAATACCTACTGTCATACCACCTATTCTAGTATTTCGAGACCTCTTAGAAGTATACCTTCTTCATAAGTAATTTCTTACTTTCGATATTTCCGTTCTCCATGAGCACTGGGAAGTTAAATCCCAAATCTCCATACTCATTCCTCACAGCTGAGGAGCTTCCTTATCACTTGTCTATATCTATCTCAAGGAGGAATTGTATTTTCGTCTTGTACGTCTGAGGAGAGACCCTGGGAGAAGAGGTTGTTGTGATTTTCTGTTGCACTGTTTTCGCTGGTTTCTTCAAGTTGTGTGTAGTTGTGGTTATTATTTGTATACCGGTATATCAAAATATACTATTGTCGATTGAATGAATATATATCTTATCGTTCTAAGCTACTACTCGACTAGTGTACTCTGATGTAATATATAATCAATCAATCAATTAATCAATCAATTGAATTCGAGATGAGATGAAAGATTGAAATCTATAATTTCGATGAATGCACAGCAGTCTACTCGAGTATACAGACAGTATCACACACTCTATCTCTTCCTTTTTTCCTTATTGTTCTTCTACAGCTGCTTCTCCTCTTAGCACAGCATCCTTCTGCTTTTATTACTCTGTATATCTATGTATGGTTTTAGAATAGGTGGTTTCTTGGTACGATATATGTACAGATACAGATATACAGATATATCCGTTCAGCATGAAGAGGAGAGAGAGATTCACTTCTTCGTGAAATCTTGTACGAAATGAAGTAGAGTAGCATCGTATCGTATCCCATCACGCAGTAATATCTTCTCACGCACACATAAATACTCGAGTACATTCCGCCGTATAGAATAAATAGAGTTCATACAATATATATATATATATATATCCCGGGGAGAAAGCAGCAGAGATAGAGTACATAATACAATCGCGACATCAATGCCACAGATTTTGATACAATGTTTCTCTACGAAAAGTATAATCCCCACTTGAAATCAACAAGCGGTGATAATGTAAGCTCATATCCTTTTGCTGGTTAGAAAACTCAGCTTGAGTCGGCTACCAGTATGTGCTGTTGGGTTGGGTTGGGTGTTTGATGTTTGCATTTGGTCTTTTGATCTTTTGGGTATATATAGTACAGTTAGTTGTTGTGCATTAATCAAATGTATTTCTGTTGCCAAACTTAACGTAATTATCATCCGTATGTTACATATTATAAACTTGCATTACGAGTAATATCCCCATAACAACATAAATACATCCCACACAACCAAAATTCTCACCTAATAATTCTGTCTAATCATCAGAATCACAACACACATTCCGCAACTCCAATATACTGCATTCTTTAGGGGAAATTATTAAAACCCCAGATGTTTTGTCGCAGACCATGCCCTTTGGCAGGATGTGTATCTGAATGGTTACGAGGACAGAAGGGAGTTGAGGTGAGGTATCTTTCCTTTTCCTTTTATAGTAAAGTTAAGGTTAGATGGCGCGTGTATGTGTGAGATGAGATGAGATGCGGAGTACTGGATATATTTATGTGATATAGTACTATATCGAGCTAGGGTTGACATGGTGTGAGGTTATTGATTAGTATATTTATAATGGGTGATAAACTAGATAGGGGGGAGAGGGAGAGGACACAATGAGCTGCTATATATCGACTGGATACCTCCTCATGAACATAGTTATGTATACTCAAGCCTACTAGGTATTCTATGTACTTTAATGGTGTTATCATACCGTGGTAGTAGAGATATCGCCACATTACTGCGAAATTTGTATTCAATGTGAGATAACCATTCTTGAGTTTCGGTCAAGCCCGTCGAGTTTATGGACTATGTGGTTATTTGTCTCTGATTATCATTTTGAGTACTTATTATCCGCTAAACCTTTTCATCGTCATATCTCTATCATCCCAGAATTGGGAGGGAACAGATATCCAGGCCTTATAAGTTCTCTTCCCCGCCCTTGTTCAAATACGAAGTAGTTGCAAAACTCACATGCTTCATTTCAAGCTACTGTATCGATAGGTCGGTCTCGAGGTGCATGTATCTTAATAGGTAGATTGAAAAGGTTATTGTGAATACTTCGTCAACAACTTTAAAGTGTGTGTTTTTATAAGTCCCAATATATTCCGGAATTGAAGTTCCATCTTGACACTATTCGGTTGTTATGAAAGAAGTGAATACGCACTCGACACGTGGGATCTTGAACGAACAGTATCCGGGTTTTCTCAAACTCCGTACAAGACAATTCCTCGTGGTCATGCGGTAGATCATGTATTTAATACACCTTTCCCACCTGGGATTCAAAATCTGTGAACTCCAAAGGTGTCGCTGGTCTGCCAAGCATGGGAAGTGAAATCAATTCAGCTGAGACTCTTTTGATGTTGTTTCTCGATTGTGAAGTATTGATAAGTGAGGGTATAAGCTCAGATGCCGTTGTTCGGTTAGGTAGAAATGGATATGAGAACCCCTTTCTTATTGTTGCCTTTTTGGTCTGTCTTATTGTCGCTCCAGGTCTTGATTATCTGTGCATTAGACGAGATGGATATAATCTTCAGTGTTTGTAGTGGGGATTGTGAAATACCATCATCGTATGATTTACGGCCGGGAAGCATTACTTGTGCATAGCTGTTAATCTTCCAAAATTGGCGTCTTGAAGCATGATCAAGATAAGAGGAATAGAGGTCTGGACGCTAGTGTGATACCCTTTTGATATTTTCTGCCTTTCAAAGGATAAATAGACTCCTAAAGCAACACATACTCACCTGGATTGACTAGCTGATGAATCAAAAAGTTGAGACCATAACTGACAGGGCTCCCGCTGAAAGTTGCATCTCTCGCACATTGTCTCATTCCAACGAAATCAGACGAATTCGAAAGGTTTATTAGAATATATGAAAGAGAAGTCAGTTGATAGCAAAAAGAGTATACTGTTGTAAATGTCTTATCGTCATCCAAATCCAAATATTTGCGCTACTTTGTATTGCCGACTTGCAAGTTCTTCATGGCCTTCATATCCGACTAATCAATATGTATTTCCGGTTAAGCCTTTATTAGTATTGCAAACAATCAGTTAGCTTACAGACTTCCCGTGAGTCAAAGTATAGGAGATTAATATGTACTATACCTTGGGTACCGGGAGACTACTACTAAACATCCAGTCAGAAAAGCAAATAGAAATGTGTAAGCTTAATCTCAAGTTTTAAAACTTGTAATTGGAAAAGGAGGTTCGAGGAAGGGTTGCAAATGCCAGATGAGTGTTGGATACTTCAACTTCTTTTTATCCTGCTAATGCCATTTGTTGTATCTTCTTTTCTAATTATTTCTAACCCCTCATTGTGTGAGAGTTCTATGGAGTAATAATTATTGTATGCTTCATGATAATATATCGAGTTCTATTTCCCGGCCTCTGATGCATCGCCCGCGAAAAACTAGCAATAGCGACCCGATGGATGTTTCCAAACGGAAAGAAATTGCCCTACAATTGAAATCAAATTAGACGTCCTTCATTCAATACATAAAAACAAAATCATTGACAGATTGTTGTATTTTCATGGTATTAACGTTGACCAGTAAAGTTGGCGGTTGTCGCGCGGCAAGGACCTCACCACACCTCAGATTGTGGACTGTTTACGCCATTGGCGCTTAAATGGGGTCTAGCGACCCAACCTCAAGAATTAATTACTATGAATAGAAAATCATGCCATCTGCGCCTTCAAAAACTGACTTGTATGTTCGTAACATATTATCGGCCAGGTCAACGTCGACCCTAACGAGAGGTCCTGACAACGACCATTGTGTGAATAGGGTCACAGTTTGACGTTATCGTTCTTCTTTCAACCGAGAAATTGGATAATCTTCTATGCAAGTCGCTTCGCCATGCATTGCATTGTCAAAATGGGGAATTAAGTCAGGCCATAAGATGTTCTTTGACATAAGGGGCCGATTTCAGCAAGATCTCAATCGGCTATACTCAATCCCTTTCTGGTCTCCAAAATTTTGCTTTACGGCATGTTCTCGAAAGACGATTCCAGACCAAGTCATCTTGAGTAAGACCACTGTCAATATGATACTTCAGTTGGATATGATGGGTGTGATGGCTTGGCCAGAAGGATGAGCGTGAGTATAAAGGTGCTGGTGTATCTGACTTGCCAAATATTATTCCACATTCAAAACACAATCATCATCGCACACTAAACACATTCTAAAGAGCTAAAGCAATCAATCAGCCAGAATATCATATTTATTGACCGGATCCTTCCTTCACTACAATAACAGAATATCGTCCATACAGCTGTTTCCATCTACAGCAGCAGATCATGAGTTACATAAAGGACGCCTACACACTCAGTACCACGAACAGGGGTCAACGCAAGACAGAGATAAAAATAGCGGAGCTAAAGGATGATCAAAAGGCGAGGGACGCGAGAAGAAAAGAGCGAAAAGATGCAGAAAAAAAGGAAAATGATAGGCTCCACCAAAATTTTTCGGTCAGGAGGAGAGATACCGGAAAAAGAACTATCGAAAAGCCTCGCCTAGAAGCTGCGAGAAACTGTGATTTAGCGACAAACAGGCGGACAAGGATGAATGCAGAGGATGATGCTTATGATACGCGGAATGAAGATCTCGAGCGTCGTGAAAGAAGGGTACGGAAAGGGGAAATGAGAAAAGATTCACCCGATTTGCAAAGCCGCGATGGGGAAAGTGAGAATGAAAGGAGGTCGGGAGCTGGAAACGGTTCCGAAAGAAGTGATGCTCCTCCACGAAATGAAAGAACTCCTCGTGCATCAGTTGCCGGTTCCGAAAGAAGTGATGCTCCTCCACGAAGTGAAAGAACTCCTCGTGCATCAGTTGCCGGTTCCGAAAGAAGTGATGCTCCTCCACGAAGTGAAAGAACTCCTCGTGCATCAGTTGCCGGTTCCGAAAGAAGTGATGCTCCTCCACGAAGTGAAAGAACTCCTCGTGCATCAGTTGCCGGTTCCGAAAGAAGTGATGCTCCTCCACGAAATGAAAGAACTCCTCGTGCATCAGTTGCCGGTTCCGAAAGAAGTGATGCTCCTCCACGAAATGAAAGAACTCCTCGTTCATCGGTTGCCGGTTCCGAAAGAAGTGATGCTCCAAGAAAACATAGAAGTTCTAATGATCCATCAGTTGCCGGTTCCAAAACGAGCAAGGTTCCAAGAGAACATAGAAGCTCTAAGGATCCAAATATTGGGAGTGTTAAGGATCGGGGTGCAAGTGTTTGGAAAGAGGATCTGTAAGAGAACTCTTGGGCCCTAAGTAAAGGGCAACGGATCCTCTTCGCAGGCGGGATCATTCACGGGAGAAGCCTAGTAATCTTATCATGAATAACCGCAGAATATTACAGTCAAAACACTCGCAGGCGAGTACCCGGCAGGATACGGATAAATGATAGGAGAGGTGTGATAAGGGAGAAAAATATACGACGGGCTGATTGATTGAGCTGCATTTGGGATATAAAAAAGAAAGCAAAAGTACAAAAAAATAGACAGGTTTTGGCGTTTGGAAATTTGTTATAGAGTTTGGGAGTTAGGGAGTTTGGCGTTTTGCTTTTAGAAATAGATATGGTTTTTGGGGTACATGTTATTCTTCGGTGAATGTTGTGTTGTGACTTGATGCGATGGTATGATGAATGAGGTGGTAGAAGTCAGAGAATGAGCAACTTAAACAAACAATCAATCAAGAAACTCGTGAAGAACGTTCAACGATTACTGAATCGTTATTATGTTGAAAGTATAATTACATTAAAATTAATTTATACTACGAGTAGGTAGTCTGTCCATAGACAACAATCCCATCCCTGAATGCCACTCAACCAGTATCTTAACAGCTCAAATCATACATAAGTTTGCCATTTGCATCAGCAACACCGAACGATGGGCTAGCAGCATAGTCCTGAAGAGCATACCAGAAAGTATTTGCCTCCTTGAAAGCCTCACAAGCAACCTCCTTCCAATAAGTCTGAGCATTGGCAACCGAAGCAACAGCCAAATTCTCCGTATTACCCGAAGTAGGCCATCCAGTCTCAGTAACCCAAACCCAAGCACCACTCTGAGCATTCTGCACAGCCGAGCGAACAGCATTGACAGATTGCCAGAACAAATCAGATGCGACACCGATATCATTCTCTTCGTTGTTTTGGAAATATGGATACCCGTCTAATCCGATGAAATCACATGCCTTGATCACATCCACGTTTGCTCCATCCGTCCACATAGTCCACGTATCCACATGCCCAATTTGTACACCAGCAGTGGTGTATCCGGGAACAGTGCTCAACATTCCTCTTACATCATATATCTGCTGCGCGAGCGTAGAAGCAGTAGTATCGCCTCGGTACAAGTCTTCAGAACCAACAGATACGGCTACGAGCCAATCGAACCCATAGGCTTGGGTGGCTTTCAACAAAGCTTGCTTCTCGGCATCGTAGTGATTGGCGTCTTCAGTCCATACTCCAACGAGTACCTTTCCGCCGGTGGCGATGGCGGCAGGTACTACATTGGCAATGGTGTTGCAGTCGGATGATGCGTAGACGCGTAGACTGTCGAATCCACCGGGGAAAGATTGGATGAGTCGGAAATCATTCTCCCAATCGGTTTGCGTCTTGCATGCTCCGTTTGCGAGGGTAGCTTGAGAATTGAACCCTTTCCAGTATGCGTTTGCGCCGGTGAGGGTACTCGCGAGTGCGAGTGCAATGGAGGTGGTCTTCATATTGAGATTGAAAGGATGAATAGAAATATAATAAAGTAACGATTGTGTAGAGTTCAATGAAGTACTCTTGAGTGTGTATATTATATGAGGAAGTGTTTTGAAGTGTAGATATTGAGAGAATGAGAAAGTAAACAAGAAAGGAAAACATTAGATACTTATCCAATTGCCAAGAACGACCCATACATTTACCAGACCCTGATGTCTTGCATACCTACTTTCCTGCATATGAGGTATCGATTTCTCGTATTTCGATGTCGTGTCAATGTTGAACAAGGGTTATCCGGTGCCTTTCAGATTCAACGTCATTTATTTATTTTACCTGTTAAGATGAAGAATCTTTTAATCGATCTAGAAGATCGTCAATTTATGCCTGGAGAACCCACTTGGCGTGTCTATTTCTATATATAGCTAAAGTGGCCAATTAGACATTTGACAGCAAGGAAAGAGTGGAATGATAATACAAGGTTAATCTTGGAGTTCAAACTTCGAAGACCAGATGGAATTGTTCGGATGAAGGATTTATGCTTAATTCGGTTGTACTGAGTATTAAAATTATAAATGGGAGAAAGAAGATAATAAACAATACAGGCTTGCAATACAGCCGAGACTAAAATAGTATTTACTAGGAAAGAAAAGAGGATAAGAGCTATAAGTAGGCGAATCAGGAGTCTTCGGATAACAACAACTGGGCTGTGTAATGTTAGTACGAATAATGGATTTGTATTGACAGCAATATCTCCGATATCCGAATGGGTGATGACGGCTTGATTGTTTACTTTGAAGTTCGAAGGGAGACTGAGGTGAGTGACGATGGATGTTGAAATGGATACTAAATTCAATCATTGTGCAGAAATGCAGAAATGCATTGTCTAGTTTCGAGTCAGTATACAATGAATGTACAGTGACTAATGAGAATAAAGCTATATTTAGGTCAAGGTCGGGATGAAAACCTAGAGTCAAATGCTATAAAAGGGGCCTTTTGACTTCGGCACAATCGTGTGTTCCGAGACTCAAAAGAATGAATGATTCTCCTGGATTGTTGTTATGCTGGTCTTCAGCTGGTCTATGCTTCTCCTGGTATATTTCCAAAGTTTTGTTTCTTTGGTATGATCTTGAGATTTTGAGACAGAAAGCTTTAGCACATCTATGTTATTATTAGTACTAGAAAGCGGTTGAGGCTTTCCGGTAGTTGACACCCGACGATCCTCTGTTATGGACCTAGTTCGTCGAAAGTCGAATCTCACTGATCTCGATATTCGACAAACCCTAGAGCATTAGATCCCGGATTATTCGCACTAGCTGATCCAAGTATTTCCAGTATGATGGCACATTGAGGAGAGTAAGACGAAATCCAGAGTGAGAGACGTTAACTTGGCCATTTTGACCTCCAATTTATACAGAGGATAATACATCAGACGCCAAGCCCAATGCAAGACACCATCATCCCATATGATACATAGACGTTTTTCTCCTTTATTTTTCCTTCCTTCCCCATCCAAACCTATTGCTCATTTCCTTATCATGAATGATGTCCAACCACCAGACTTCGGCTTCTCTTCTTCCCCTTCAGTCCCCATCCTATCTAGCGGGCCACCTTTTCTTTGCCTCTCTTTCTCCGCCTCAAGTGCAGACTTCGTCTTATCTTTTATTGCCATTTTTTTCTCCTCAATTGCCCTTAGAACATCACTTTCTCTTGCTCCGAAACCATCATCTTCTTCACTCAGTGCCTCATATCCCAATCTTCTCTCACTAGTTCCCACATCATCTCCCTCTTCCTCCTTCTTCAAGCCCGAGAATAACCATTCCTTACTCTTCTTCCATGGTCCTGATTTATTCTTTTTGGCCTCTGCAACCATCTTGACCTTATCTTCCCGCTCTTGTTCTCTTTTCAAAAATTCTGTTTGTGATTCGGTTGCAGAGCCAAATGCTGCGGCTTCTTGTGCACTCTGGAGTGCCATGGCATATTTAAACTTCTGTTCGGCAAAGAATTCGGCGCGCTTTTTGCGGTTGTATACCATCATATCTCCCAATGCATAGACTGTGACGCCACCGGCAATAACTACAAAGAATCAATTAGCTTATGTACTATACTCAAGCTACTGAGTTCTCGAGAGGAAGAATAGAGGTATCGAATTCCCCAATTGGACTCAGAAATGGGTGCGGGGGCGGGGGGAACCATACAAGTAATTCCAATCAAACTAAATGCTGTAAATCTATGCGCCCTATCTGCCCACACTCTTCCCCTCATAATCAACTTATCAAATGTTGAAGTTTGTGCATCTCTCGCTCTATCTGCCGCAGCTCTTAACCTCTTAACTCTTTGTTGTGGCGTTTCTCCTGGTGGTCCTGGATTTCTCGATACAGGTTTTGGGTTTGTAGCAGCGTGTGGGGTCGTCGATGTGAATCTCGTTGCGTCTGTTGCTGAGCGTGCCATATTGGATTGGAATATAGATTAGAGGATTGTGTTGTTATTGAATTATCTTATTCTCGTGGTCCTTAGTATTATTACATGAGGAAGTGGGTGGTCTTGATAGTAGAAGCTTTCAATATGGAATGAATGATTTTTGCGAGGTTTCAATGACCAGTGGGAAGCTCTTAGCGGGCGAGCGGGTCATTCCGCATCCCTGCACATTGCCATAATGTGAGAGCTCTTTATAATCAACTACAGTCCATCTTCATTTTTTCTAGGAATATAGGAATATAGTCAACTGAATGAATTGATAGACAACGACATCAATGTCAAGAAGATCTTGACTTCATAATTTGAGATAAAGATACTGGTAATTGGAAATTTGATGATATAGAATTCGCTTTCTCTCATGAACTTCTTACCTCTCGTCATCAAACAATCAATAACCCGATATAACTTCATCAGAACCTCAAGATGTCTTCCGAAAACCAAACCCCAGATCTAGCATCTGTGATGAAGATCTTAGCAGGTCTAACACAAGCTAAAGATCAACAACAAGCTCAATCTTCAACACAAACATCTTCAGCATTCTCAGCCCCAACACCAGAGATTAGGTCACATGGTTCAGCAACTCAACCGCAACAATGGCCTCAACCTGTGAATCCTTCAGTAATGCACCATCAATCTCTTCAGTCTCAGCCCGTCAACAACTCAAAGCTCGTTGATTCAGCTACCATCATTGATTGGAGTGCCGGTCTACGATGTGTTATGAAAACGGTGGCTAAACACGATCATGTACTTCAGGAGATCCGAAAGGTAGGTGACATACTTTTCTTGCAGTCTAAAATGATTTACACTGGTTAGCTGCAGAGAATTGTACTTGAGCTTATATATACATAGATGATCAAAGTGCAACATGAGCACGAAGAGCAATGGTGGAGAGGGAGGGAAGCTCTTATAGAAAAGCAAGCTGCTAGGGAGAAAGGCCAGAAGAAATTAGAAGAGGTGTTGTAAGCTATTCGAATATCGATTGAGATGGTGGTACAATTGGCTGACATCTATTTAGGAAAGCAGTAGGTGGAGCTCCATCAAGCGGAGCATCTAACACCAGCCCTGAGGAATTGGCAAAAGAGCTAGAGACATTTGATATGAAAGTCTACAAAGCCCAGACTCAAATGGTTCGGGAGATGAACGGAAAATTGAGGAATTTAGGAGTACCATTCTTTGGGACGAAGAGCGAGTTGGTTAGGGTTTCTGGAAAGGTGGATGCCACGAATGGGACGGGAATGAATGCAATGGAGGGGGATAAAAGCATGATTGATGAGGATGATTTGGTGAAGCTGCAAAGGAAGATGCTTAATATCCTGGAAGATCTTTGTAATGATTGAGCTGAATTACAGCAAATCATACAAGCATGTTTCGAGAGAAGGATTTTTTGTTGCACGTCTTCAGGAAGAACTCCTTCCATAAAATTCGACCGAATGGAGAAATTGGGGCAAGGAAGCAGAGCAAGAGGTATGATATGAAAACTCGGATTTATATTCAACATTAATGCCAAGATGGAAGTATTATTTCATGCATACTAGGTATATTTTCACCGTGATTCGAAGATTACTGCCAAGAAATTGTACCTGGTCTACCCAACCACATCGATCATATCAATCGAATCGATCTTTTAGGAAACATCTTTTCCTTTCCGAACATAAAGGTTACATGCAATCGACAGACATATCTCTCTTCCCCGTTCCGTCCAGCATCTAGATTTCGGACCACAAAGTCCCATCTCCCGAGCAGGAACATGATGATGATGTCTCATTGGCGGAAATAAAAATATACAGTGTGGTATGTATGGTATGTATGGTATGCATTTGTATGCATGGTGTGGAAGGAAGAAGATGTTCCGTGTTTAACATCTTTCCGGATATGGATGAGGCTGCTGCAGTTAGTGGCGTGATGTCCCGTTTCTAAATCTGGAACCGAGGACGGTTGGGATTGGGATTGAGGCTGCGGGAGGGGTGAGGAGGGGTTGGGATGTTTGTGTTACCTGCTGTTTTGGCTCTAGTTGTATGTCTGTTAATACATCGTCTGTTGAAGGTTTATGATGAATTACAACCTATCTAGAATTACATGAGTAGGATTAACATTTCAAATCCGCCGCTCATACAACTCAATTGACTTTACCAGTCACTCACTGGTTTGAGGAAAGTACTTGGGTTTAATATAAGATACCTTGGGTTACTGCCCTCCCTTCTGCATCACCACACGATCCATGAAAATGACACATGGGTATTTAATACTTACTGTTCTTTGCTTATAGAAATGGCATGTACTCGTATATCTAATTATAATACATTCATTTTCTGGTAAATCATTGCAATGTTTATGGAGATCTCAACATCAAAACAAAAAGTCACGATTACCGGTATCACTTTTCTTGAATATCACAATTATAATCATGTAAGTAAAAGTAAGATCGTTGATATGATGTTAATTGTGTCAACGAAGTATCTAACTATCACCCAAAAACTAAGGGTGTCAACTCTATACTTCTCCATGCCATGTTACGTTATCAATATTTCCTCAAATCAATACACCTGTCCTAAGAAATTCCCCAATTCATCCCGACTCATAAACCCATATTTCGCCATCAACGCCATCAATGCCATCAAACCCTGCCATTCAACCCATAAGTACCAGACCCCCATCAGACCCCCATAACTTTCCAGAAACCTATTGAATTCGAGCTCCTTCCCATGCCTGATCAAGGTTCTTTCCAGGCCAAATAACATCATCGACGTTTTTGTATTTGTCAAAGATGATATAGGCAGCTCTCATCTCATGAGGCCAGGAGAAGAGCTCTCCGGTAGTCATATTTTCGAGGTCATCATTTTCTCGGCCGAAAAGATACTCGTCTCTGACATCGCCTACCCAGGTTCTCGTAATTAGTTCGTCCTCATCACCATCAGCCTCCGAGTCAGCAATCTCAACGACACTGACTTCGTCCACTTCCGTCATGACTGCATCGGGGATGGTAGGAGAAGCCGATACGTCCTTGAAGATGACTAAGGTTTCAGCGGTGGAATGCAACGTCTTGCCAAATTTCACAAGTTTGCTTTTGATAGCTGCGGGTGAAATTACTGTTTCTTCGAGTACTTGTCGGGCGGAATCATTGTAGACAGTGCCGGTTAGATCGCTGTTGAGTTCGGTTGATTGAAAGACAGCGATGGTAACTTGGGGAGCTGCATCGCCTGCCTCTGTCAGAGTATTGGCCCAAGCATCGATCTTATCTTCAAATGCCCCCGATGCTTGCTCATGAGTCCATTTATCGGTCTCGTGAAATGGCGAGCCAGGAGTGATCAGATGAAGTTCCTTGCAGGGGAATTTGGTTCTGAGGAATCGGTTGATGTCCGGAGAACCAAAATAATCGGACCTGTTGAGTCTCCAGGGCGATACAAGTGATAGCGTATCGAGCTTCAGACCTGGCAACAACCGAAGACCATGAGCAAGTTCTTCTGTGATTCCAGCTGGTATTTCTGGTTCATCTTGTAGCATACGAGTGCGGACGTGACGGATTTGTTCGAGGGTAGATATTGGTAAGGAAGATAACTGTAGTCATGGTTAGTGTATGAAATAAAGAGTATCAGGGAAAAACGCATTAAGTAAAACGTACCTTGTCTATCAGAGTCATACCATCTTCAAAATTGAATAAAACCCGACTAAGCCAAAGGTGATCGGCCTCTTGGTAGATTTGACGACACACTCGAAGAATCGCAAGTGCATTGCGTGAAGGTAGCACCTTGCGGAATCCGTATTTTATTTGACGATACCCAAAGGTCAAGCGGGTGGAGTCGAATAGATGCTTGAAGATCATCTGTCGGATCTCGGCTGGGAATTTCATCAACGTGTGTTTGTTGGATGGTTGACGAAGAATCGAAGTGGAGGCTTGATTACTGCGGGTAAGACTCATGGATGCGATTGAGTCAGACATGGTAGTTGATGATGATCGATAAGTGTCTTGAGGTTCGAAGTATTGCGAGGTGTTTGTGTGAAAGTTGAGGATGTAAATGTTAATCGTTTTGGATAGAAGTCGGAGATGATTGGCTATTCGTAGATGATCAAGATGATTAATCTCAAAACTGTTCTGAAAGATGTGTTGTAATGATCTGGAAGAATCCGCAACTGGAGGGCAGTGGAGATTCTTAAGTATTAGAATACCTCGCTTGTTTGGAAACAGGAGAGAGCTACATTGCCGTACTTGGATGTACTGCTGTACTATATGTAACTAATAATAGAAGCACGGCAGCCGTATGTATGTTCATGAATTTGCGAAAGGCAATCTCTAGCTGTATAAGGCCAGGGGGTAAGGCTATCTCGCTTATTAGTAATGATGAGAGTTGGATGGCTGTATATAGGATAAGGAGTAAGGCAGTGAATGGTATTTAGGTTCACTAATTTGCGTAAGGCAACGATTGTTGTAGAAAGAAGAGTAGGTGTATATCTTGCTTATGGTCATCGTGAGAGCTAATTGAATACCTAGTATACGACAATAGTACGGTATATTCACTAGTTTGCGCAAGGTGAAGCTTGTATACCAGGAAGTATATATCTCGCTAATAGTCATCATGAGAGCTGATTGGCTATATATAACCAATTAGATGTGTAAAAATACGGTGGCATTGCGTGATATTCACCAAATGTTCACTGTGCTTTTATATTTCCTAGCATTCACTCAAAACCGGCGTGTCATTTATGTAGTTGTGAACGTGATACGATGTATTAGCAGTGTATAGTCACTAGCCAACTTTGATGGAGGCAAAGGAGTCAAACTTAGGGAGAATAGTGCCAGGGCTTCTTGTGCTTTTTGGAGTAGACGTCGATGTAATATGATTGATCCACATCGAATACATCGAATAAATGAAGATGAAGCGAGCTCTAAAAAGAAGTAGCCAATGTTAATTTCCCTCTAGTAGAGGGATATCATAGCAAGTGACTTCGATGTGAAGGTCAAGTACCTGCTAAATGCGGGTTATAGAGGCATAATATGCAGGTAGCAATTCTCGGCATTAACATCCTGGGTGAAGCCTTCCGGATAAAGTGGCCTCCAGCTTACTACCTCCCATTTCCAGGTGTAGAGAATGTTCCCTGTGAGCGAAGAGCTTATCTGGAGGCCTCTGGGGAGATATATATAAGGTAATTTTGACGATCCCTTCCCGGCTCTACGACTGATACATTCTTTGGGCAAGTTTGAAGGCGCGGCACTTGCTTGGACCTATATAGAAGATTGAATTTGTTTGATATGTTAGATTCACTTGAAGTTTGAGTCTGTTTGTTATACTAAATCTGTTTGGGATATCAATCAAAATTGTTACAGTACACTGGATTTGTTTGAGATATCGAGATCTTTCGGACCTGGAACTTTCATATAGTAGCTTAACTTTTGGACACCGATTTCAAGTGATGTGAATCTTTAAGGATATGTGACATCTTGAATCCTAATATTCCTCCATCCATCTACAAAATCTATTTCCATTCAATGTGAAGACATGAGGAATATCTATAGCTCAACAGGTTTAACAGCCTAAGGATTCTCAATCCAGCCAAATGTCCCAAGACTTGCGTTGACCAAACATCTTTAGGACTCCCATGATCACATGTTCAGTATCTTGTTTCTCACCAAAGATAGAATTTCCAGAAAGGTATATGGAAACGTCAGATCGAAACAATATGTTCTATTAATCTTCGGAACATCCTCTTCGGTCAAATCAAGCTTGAGAGATTTAGTATTGCTTTTGAAATGCTCGACCTTAAGATCTTTGACAAGTGGGAGAACATATAGAGCCTTTGCATATATCATGTATGCAATGCAATGCTGGTATGGTAATATTGGCCTTCTTGAAGACGACGAGGGTCTCCGGTACGCTGGAAGCTTACTTCTCAATAAGGGATGGCTTTCATTGGCGATCGTAGGTGTTTGTATCGCGCTCGTTGAAGATGACTTTCTCTGCATCCATCACCGAAATTTATGGTCTCAAGATAGACTGGAGAGACTCGGATCCTGGCTGTGGGAGAGAATTGATGATGGTGGAAGAGAAGGGACTCAGATGGTGGTGGATATGGGAAGGGTGGTTTTGTGTGATTGCTGACTGAGAGGTTTGTGGTTGAAATCAAAGTAGTTTTGGTTTGAAATATGGGATAGCACTGAATTCTGATTGTATGCCTCCGGTAATTACATCAAGGTGAGTGGTAAGTGATGAAGAGGGATTTATACCTCTCAAAATGTAGGAAATCTTCAAGGCATGCTAATCAATTACCAGAAATACAAACTAAGTTAAACTCTCCGACTCCGTAAGCACCATCTAGAATTTTGTCTAATCGAAGGGAAGGGCAGTTAGCCCACAGTCTTTCTTCAGCACACATTTGTGACAAAATCATAGATACTGATGTTGTCGAGGCAAAAAGTGATATATAGCTAAAATACCGATATTTGTCCAGGCCCACAAGGCCCACAAGGCCCGTATTTAAATGCTGTTTATTCGTCAAAAAGCCTGAATAGGTCGAAGCGGGGTCTTCGGATTAACCTTGTCAGCCTGGAATCGCGGATAACTGATAACTTCGCCCTGTTACCGAATCCTCTATCTACTCTACCCCTTCATATTCTACAACCATAAGTATATATTTGTTTTCAGCATGCCAGACATCATATCATGTTCATCATCAAAATCCAGTCCTTAAATACAGAAAAGGTTTAACAATTCTCGTTTTAGGGTCGATATGCAGATAATCATCCAGAACTGTAAGAAAGATGGAAGCGATGCAACACTCTCAGTCGAATCCATCCATATGTTCCAACAGACTGAGATGAGATGACTGGAATAAATAATTCAGCAATGCGAAGGAAGCTACAGAATTGGTTGAATCAGACGACATGAGGATTTATCGTGAGATCTATCGCTGCATACAATTCGAGTTGAGACTTGCTAGAGTGACTGTCGCTAACTCATCATCAATTTATGCTTCCTGCCTGATCAAAGACGTCGAGCTCCACCGAAGATTCCAAAGTCCAATAACAGGTTCACCAACGAAGCTTCTTCACTCCAGGAAACTCCAGTCCTCAGTGAAGCCATTGATAGTGTGCTATCTGAGCCGTTATCGATAACGGACCTTCATCGTGAGATCAATCTCCATCGTTCTCGACAGCCCATCAACAACCCTCCTTTCAAATCAACAGCAGGTATGAGAACAAAACAATAGACAACAGGCGGCGTTTCGAGATACCAATACTTGGTTCAACTTCGGCGCTTACAATGACCGAAATCAAAGAAGATGCTTGTAGGAAACTATGATGGGCTCTCCACGATCAGATCAACTTCTCACATTCATTCAATTCGACGTTTTCCAAGCATCTATGAACAACACGCGAAAGATGGGCTAGAACTTGGACTGGTTAGATTGTGCGATCGATCCTCTATCCCCATGGCTCACTCTTTCCTCACAACCTATACTGCGAACTCATTGTACTCGAACCTTACAACCAACACAAACTCGGCGCATAACCCTCATTACCCATGAATAGATCTCTGGCCAATTGCACAAATTCGCGATAAATTATTACCGCACACTCGAGGTACGACGAAGATCAATTGTGTAATGATCTTGTCCAATTTGGAGGTCTCATGACGAACAAACGGGTCTCATTATTTGGGTTGAATTGTGGGATATTTTGGGATGGGATGTTAGTGAGCCGTTCTTGAGGAATTGGAAATGGGCGGTTAAGAGGTGTGAGGAGTTATTGACTTCGACAATCGTTTGAAAGGGCGGAAAGTGGAAAGAAAGCCATTTTTTCGAGATCTGATTCAAATACAAAAGTTCTGTATGGGATACTGAACTAGAATATCGAACCTCGGGCATCGAACGATAAAGCACACATGTAATGGCCTTTCGTGGTTGACCTGTGAAGTCGACAGCTGTTGCCAACGTCGTCAAAAACATATGCTAGATTGTTTGACTCAACAGAGGCTAGGTGGGCATGTCGACGGCATGAACCTATTCAATTTAGACGATGGAAGGCATCTTTGGCGTCCGATGCATCCAAATATAGTCATCCAGGCAACGGTTCCAATAAGTAAGCCATGAGCTTGAACCACACCAAATGCAGAGGAGGTGAACGAAGGCCACATTTGACAATTTGCGAGATACCGGTATACTGCGTCACATCATTTGCAGTTGTGGGGTCGCTCTCGGAGCATTTGGCTGATCCATACAGAGCATCGAACAATTTGATATTCCTAGGTTATTCTGGTCCATACCTGTAAGGCTCGGCTCGGCTCGATCCAAGAACGACTCCGCTGTCTCAGACTCGCCATATTGAGAATCGCGTTCGCTCCTCACAACGAGTTGGAAAAGTATCTAAATGTTGGGAACATCAGTAGGTCTATTGAAATAGTGCACATCATTAACCAACAGTTCTCTCGTGGCATCCTTTAATTCGCTTTGCGAGGAAAAAGATATGAATGATGCCAGTCGAATTCATTATTTTACGTGGAGAATTCACATACCGGTCGATCAGAAGAGGCCAATCTTTGTTCATTTGACCGAATTATAGTAGATCAACCCGAGTAATGATATCTGATCTTCTTGATGTGACATTCCATTTCCATCTTGTCTTACTGTCAGATGTACTTGGCACGAGTCAATATTGGATCGGCCCGGACCAAATTTCGGAAGCCTCAGAAGTTTACATGCTGTAAGAATTTCATCTGATGTTTTGATTTGAACTTCGATATGACTTGATTTGTACTTTGACTGTTTGAGCCTTTGAGGTGCCGGTCAGGTGCCGGCTCTCCATTGTTTAATCGGGGGGGGGGGGGGGGTTACAATTGCACGGCCTAGTCAAGTGGCTCAGGTACGAACCTAATGTTTCGAGTCAGCAGACTAGCTAGCAGTGCTAAGGTACAGCATTGATACTTTCTCCATAATTTATCATATCGTAATATTTTATTTCGAGGACAAATAGACTGTGGTCATTAGATCTGCAAGAAATCCAGAGCTAAAAGGTCCTAAGCATCATTAGTTTGAATTAGATCTTCGTTAAGAGATTTAGAGGATTTCTTATTTTTACTACAATTGACAAGCAAGCTTACTTTGATGTCAAGTGATATTCATTGTGCCGTCTCTTTACCGCTATTTTCCTAGGGGACTCGGAATTATTTCAACCAATAGTAGTTTGAACTATCTAATAAGTTGCACTGAGATACCACACGTCACTATTCAAATCTTGGTCATGCACATAACAACAGGTGGTGAGGTGAATCCACGCCTCTCTCCAATGCGCGCTGACCTCGGTTGACTGATTCGAGAAACCTATTATGTGCTGGAAGGCCGAGTTTCTTCTCTCTCAAGCTTTAGCTCCCTTCTCAAGATTGATCTACCTCAAGATTTGTTAAAAACACCAGATAACCTCCCTCCTAAAAGTGACTCGACTTTCAATAACTCTCATGCTATTCTTCCCCTCAATCATGATGCATCGCTCATTTGTTTCCCTATGCTTTATACTCGGCTTAGCTGATATAGCTACCTCACAACAATATACTAGCAACTCGGAGTCTGCTTTCAAGCAATTACAAACTTGGTACGATACCACTTCGGGTCTCTGGAGTACTACAGGATGGTGGAATTCTGCCAATTGTTTGACCGTCATTGGAGATCTGGCTGCCATCGATCCGAATGTCAAGTCAACCATCACTGGTGTCATGTCAAATACGTTTATCCAAGCTCAAAAATACAACTTGCAAATGACGAAAGCGGTTATGGCAAATTATAATTATCTATCTATGTACGGAAATTCTATGAGCGCCTTAAAGAACGTTGATCTAGCGAAAAACATTCCCGTCCATGCGGCAACGACTGTGAATCCCAAAGGGTTCTTGAATGATTACTATGATGATGAAGGCTGGTGGGCATTGGGTTGGATTCAAGCATATGACGTCACAGGAAATAACGACTATTTGACCATGGCCGTGGATATATTCGCCGATATGAAAAATGGCAGCACCACACCCTGCTCAAATGGTGCTTCGGGTATTTGGTGGGATAAGTCCAACTCATACGTTAACGCCATTGCCAATGAACTCTACTTGAGCGTAGCTGCTCATCTTGCAAACCGTGCAACGGGATATGGTCAGGAGAAATACTTGACCATTGCGAAAAAGCAATGGAACTGGTTCCAAGGGACAGGAATTATTAATGCGCAAGGGACAATCAATGATGGATTAACGACTGCTTGTCAAAATAATAATGGAACGGTTTGGAGTTATAATCAGGGAGTCATACTCGGGGGACTCGTTGAACTTTCCACGGCAACAGGAAAGTCAAGTTATCTCACCAGTGCGAACCGTATTGCGACAGCGGCAATCAATGCACTCTCAGACTCAAACGGCATTCTTCACGACTCATGTGAACCGAATTGTGGAGCAGATGGTGCGCAGTTCAAGGGCGTATTCATGAGGAATCTTCAGAGACTCTATCAAGCATCGCCTGACTCTAATTACTTGAACCTCATCACAAACAACGCAAAAAGTATTTGGGCAAATGATAGAGATCCGAGTAATAATGCGCTGAGCATTAATTGGGCGGGACCTTTCATCGCGCCGGCGAATGCAAGTACGCATAGTTCTGCGATGGATGCTCTTGTAGCGGCAGATGCAGTTGGGGGTGCAGGTACGAAGAGGATGACGTGGGTTGCTTGATGAATTTGGGAATGGTTTTTGGTTTTGGGACTTGGAATGTGTGAAAATTGGGCAGAATGAAGCCTTGGGATAAACAATGGCAGGCTTAATGTGGCAATGCCAATGCTTGAGGGTCTTTGCGATGGATATCGTAGGGGTTTCGGTGGTACATATCTGACGAACGAACGGATGGGTGTTATGGGCTAGATCCTGCCTTTTTGATACCTGGTTCTTTAATTGAATATGAATATGAAATTAAGTTTACATACAGTTTCATTGTCAGAATAATTTTGTCCAAGCACTATATCACCTGTGTGAAGGTGGTAAAGTTTACCTTATTGTGAGCGTAGTGAAATATTTGTTTCTTTTTTTTCTGAATCATGATACTGTAAATCGCTGCCTCGGCCGAATTTCCTACATCTGTAGACTGTCGGTAAAACCTGTATTGGAATTCCTCCACTATTATATATATTAAATACTATAGTTATAGTTATCTTGTAGTTCAATATAGCTCTCTACTTCTCTCTTTCTCTCTCTCTATCAATCTTACCCCAAGATACTTTTTGGTGAGTGGGTGGGCTGGGTGGGTGAAGTGCATACTAATACTACACTACTCGTATATCATTTCAGTACCACATCGCCTCAATACCTTAATAACTGTTGGTAAGTGTTGGTATCAACGGGAACACCTTTCAGGCCTACGATGGTAGAAAGCCCGACGAGTGTTCAGTGTTGATAACATTGTAAATCTTATTGAAAACTATTCTATAAAATGAAGACTATATGCGTATTGAGGCCCTTGCACCAGTGTTTGCCCTAGCCCTTCGCTAGTACGGCGCTGGTGCTCCGGTACAGTAGATGACTATACCGACAATAACCTATGGTTAAACATATATCAAGCGCTACATACCGCAGAGACGCTCTATCAAAACTTTTTGCAACAGTATCCTAGTAGATCCCCGTTCCCAAATGGAATCTCACCTGGACTGGTTGGTATTCATCATATCGCATCAGACTAGACTAGATCAAATCAGACTAGATCAAATCAAATCAAATCAGATTAACCGATTCACAGCGAAACAATAGGATAGGATTACCATAATTACAATACAATCATTATAATGCGAGTGATTACTGATAGTTGGGATCGAATCGAATATAGTTATTAGATTAGATTAAATATAGGTAGGGATGATAATGGCAAGATTTTTCATAAATTACGAGGATAGTTACGAGAATTATATGTAGCAGATGAACAATCAATTGATGAGTTTGGATGAAGAGTGAAGAGTGAAGATTTTATTGTATTTTTTGGAATTGTTTGGAATGTTTTGGCTTTGCTCGCTTGGGGTGGGATAGGGGGACGGGGAGGGGTAGGGGGAGGGATAGGATATGAAATGGAATGGAATTGAACGGAAATATCAATCGTTGTGTTACTGTGTACAGTATACTGTATAAGGAAGCTGATGTGGTGGAAATAGGCAAAGGAACAATGACCAATTTGGATTGAGATTCAACTACGAGTAGAGTAAATAAAAGCAAGCCAAAAGAATGTCCAAATTCTAGCATCTCACAGCCAATTCACCAATCCAGCACTCCCACCACATCCCTCACATCCCTCATATCTCTCATTCCTCACATCTCGTCCCATTTACCTACTCCTTAATAACAGTAGTCGCCGCCCCCCACTTTCCACCCTCGTACTTCTTCTCCTCTACATTACCCACCGGATTCAAGCTCCGATAGAACGTCGATACTTTATCCCCGCTACTCGTAGTACCAACCTTACTTCCGGGATAGAATTTCACAAGTTCTTCTTGTGCACCATCCACACTATGAATGATGTTCTGCGGGCTATTCTTACTCGCGTAGAAAATGTGGGTTTTACCATCGGAGGTCTTGGTGGCAGAGAGGGTGGTGTTGGCTGCTACGAGGGATCCTTTGATTACTGCGCCTTCGTCTGTGTTTATGTTAGTTTTCATATGATACAAGAGAAGATAGTAGAAGATTCAAGTGAGAATAAGGAGAGATAAATTTACCAGACCAGGAATTGTTGGTGTTTTTGTACAAACAGATATCCAAATCGTGATTCTGGAAAAATAGCTGGATTTCTCCCCTCACAATTGTGACGGCGAGAGATGTGGCTAAGAGGATTTGACCCCATTTTTGGGGGAGGACTCTTTCAACGTTCCAGGATCCAGAAGGAGTACGACGAATCTCTGTGACACCTTCTTTGGCATCAGTGGTATCACGACTTTTACCTATCGCATTAGCAAAAGCCTTCAAGTGAAAGGGAGAAGAAGATCAACACGAACGAGGTATAGTAAACCCATTGGGAACCCTCGGGGTTCCATCCACCATTGAAATTGTATGCGGCGCCCGCAAGACGAGAGTTCATCTCGGGACCTTTCTTGACTACATCTTCTAGAGTCACACCTTCCCATGTGTTAGTAGCCAATTTCTTGACTTTCTCAACAAGTTCATGGGATGAATTGATGTATAGGAGGTGAATCTGCAAGATGAGTTAGCATGAAAGAGGCAACCACCTTCCGAGAGGAAACCATACCGTATGAGCGTTGTAAAAGTTGGCATCCTTGTCTACATAGTAGGCAGTGATTGCAGAACCAGCGTAATCCCCATCTTTCGCGATTGGAGTGGTGTCTTGAACCCAGGCTTGACCGTTGGCAGAGTGAGTTTCAAAGATATCTTGGCCGTTTTGGTAGAAGAGGTGGATGTCAGTGCCGACGGAGACGACTGCAAGTTCTGTGGTGAGGAGAGAAGGCATGATAATGATGGTATTTTGATAAAATAGATTTGAATACAAATGTGATGAGTTGCTGAGTTGCTGATGTGTTGATGTGTTGATGTGTTGATGTGTTGATGTGCTGATAGTTTGAAGTCTCTTGATGCTGATGATTGATAGTACCATGAGGGATGAAGAGAGACATATATAGAGAATCCTCGAAGTTCATACATTGAAATCAACCTCGGCATAGTAAACTTTGTTCACCGTTTCTAGTACACGTTATGATTCCACCAGGCCTTTCTCCAAGTCTTTACGCATCCAGTTTGGGTGCGATCTTCTCTTGATGTTTCTCCTCAGCTCACACAAAATCTCAACAAAGAGTCAACATCATGCAACATCTATGCGATGCGTCGTTGCTAAACTGAATCTTGGCCAAACTTATGAGCTCCCACGGCATGAAGTCTGATCTATCTTAGCCAAGCAGACATTGTGGACGTTAGTTACGTTGCTAATAAAGTATCGGCAGCCATTATATGAAGCTAGAAAGTCACCGCTTTCTCAGTGGCTTGGTAGAGGAGAGCGTGGATGACATTGGGAGAGAGAATGGTTAAGATTGACATGTTGAATTGTTTGAACTTCCCGGACCGATACATCCGCAAAAGATTCAGTAAGGGTGACTGAATGAAAACAGTGTGAATTCAGTAAATCATAACCATCAGCTCAATATATTATATTAGTGGATTGAATAACCTGTGGGTTATCTACTCATGCCGCCAGAAAGTCCGCAACTCGGGTAGACCAGCACGTACCAACCCAGTTTTTTTAGTTCCCGAGTTGCGGACTTTCTGGCGATTTGAGTATTTAGATTTCCAATAATCCGCTTTGCTAGTCTATCCAGGGTTAATATTTATCAGACCAATAACCCGCCCCTCGGGGCCCCGTTGCGCAGCGTCGAAAGGTACGATGCGTTGTATGATCTACCGATTTGAGGGGTACATAACGACGATCAAGGTTCATACAGTGCCAAAATGTAAATTGGCTACTGATTTAATTCTTTTCTTTCGTACACTGGTCTATGGTCAATCGGAATTGAACAATAGTAACAAAACGACATAATGCACCGTCACGATATCAGAAATTCGTCATGTGTGTTCACCAGTGAACGAGGCAAGTCAATCAGTACAGGTACACTAATTTCTAAAATTCTGACCAAGAGAATTCACCCTGAACTTTGAGGGAGGTTGATCAGATCTTTCGAAAATTGACATGTACTGGAGCTAAATCTGAAGTCTACAGTACACTGGCTGGCTGTATCTTTGTAGTTCCGTAGCTGCTGTGTAACGATCAAATTCTCCACAACATATACACTAGTATAAGCTGAATGCGGGGACACCCATGAACTACATAGGGACTTGCTTTAGAGTATCATGCACAAGATGGAAAGGGGAATCCTTTTGCCTCTCATTTAGATGAATATTAGATCATCCTCTCATTGGAAAAATATAGCGAACTGCGCTTCTCTAAATAAGGTCAAATTTAGTGGGAAGTGTAATAAGATGTAAGATATAAGATGTAAGATGTGAGATGTGAGATGTGAGATGTGATTGTGTGAAATGAGGTTAAAGGCTTGGCCTACGTATAATCACATGACCAAGTCTTATCTCGTGTTGTTGAATCCGGTTTCCGCGTTCGCGTTTCGTCGCGTCCCTCTTTTCAACTTCCTTCAATCCAATACAATTCATTCAACTCATCCTTAAATAAATACTAGGTTATCCATCATAAGTGGTGATACAGAAAAGCAACCTTTAGCTGTTGCAGACAGCAACATTGCCATCCCGTTCCTCCCCCTAACGTTAAAAGCCTCGCCACTAGCCAAAACCCCCGCATCTGTAATTATATATCTTCTCTTTCTCTTCTACTCCTAATCTAACTTCTCAAATAGAAACCAACTACAACCAATAAACGCAAAGCTTCTGAGATTGAAGAACCACAAGCTCTACCAGAAATCGATAGCGATGATGATAGACTTAGAATGGTCGATCAAAATTGTGATCAAGTCCGTCGCAAGATCCGTTCTTTCCTTGAGACCGGCGAGATGAAAGTCACTGAGTTCCAAAAGAAGATTGGTGCCAATGGCAAAAGCTACAGCTCTTTCTTGGGTCAGAGTGGGAAATAAAAAGGTGATAAGAGCAATGTTTACTATAACGCGTTTGCTTTCTTCAAGAAGAGAGAGTGAGCCGCTCAAATACTCAACACTTAAGCTCAAAAGCCTTGAAACTGATAGAAAATAGGCTACAAGGTGTAAAACCCCCCAAGAAACCGAAAGTCAGCAAAGAAGAAGAAGAAAAGAAGTTTGACGTCTCCGAAATTAAGCTCGATGGAGAATCTACCGCATCCGTCCCCGTCTACGACAGTTGCGATGAAGTTCGCAAGAAGATATCTGCCTACCTTCGCGAACCTGGTGTTACTCAAGCTAGTTTTTTGCGCGAGATTGCAAAGACTTATACCGAGGAGAAGAAAATTCAATCCAAAGTTTTGAATGATTTCTTAGGCAAGAAGGGTCCGACTGCCGGAAATACTAGTTCTACATACTATTCTTCATATGTTTTCTTTGAAGCTTCGTATTAGAGAAAAGAAGCCAAAGAGTAAGCATAGAGAGGCGATGGAGAAAGAGTGGGCCAGCGAGGGTGGTGTTGATACGAAGTCTTCAAGTTCTCGAGGCATTTGGTGCTTTGCTAATGAAAGAGCTGTCGAGGATAAGTACGGTAAGCTTTCGATTTATTGATTCAAGGATTCGATAGACTCGTGGCGTTTGTACTTCTCTGGAGTCTGAAGGATTACGATTATTGAAACTTTGATGTTTGTACTCTATTTGGCGTTTGGTTTGGTCTCATTTTAGGATTCGTTGGCGCCTGAATTTGTACTACCGGATTCTCATATCGACATCGACATAGACATCAGGCAGGAGGATATGGTAGCAATGCCTAATTGTACATTAATTCAATTGAGATAGCAATCTCACTTTACGAGGACTTTGTTGTTTATATGAACGCCATCGCGAGCCTTTTCCTTAGCTACATACCCAGAAAGCCATCTCCCGAGGAGTGTCGAGATGATTCGATGAAATTGGCGTAGCTGATCAATATCAATTATGTACAATACATGGATTCTGTAAGCTGTCCCGTGTGCGGGGTATCTTACAGTCATCTATTGTAGTCTTTTTGGAATATACGATACGAGAGACGACAAGAACGGGAATCGGTCCGTCTCTTATGAAGAATATATATCTCTAATATGTTTTCTACTTGGTTTTGACTTCCCTTTCTTTTTCGTTTCGACTCATCTCTTAAACATAATATATACTGTACGGCGTAAGTTGCCCATTATGCTTTTTACTCAATGCTCTTCGACCTCTTCCTTATCATCTCGACTTATTCTGGGTTTACTGTTTACATCTTACTACACTCTTACCCTTGCATATGACTTTGTAATAATTGGTGGTGGTACATCCGGTCTCGTGATAGCCAACCGTCTATCAGAAATCCCCAGCATAACCGTCGCTGTAATCGAAGCAGGCTTTTCAGTTCTCAACAACACAAATGTCAGTCGAGTGGATGGATTCACACTTGGTCTTAATACGTCAATTGACTGGCAATATGAGAGTACAAGTCAAACTTATGCGGGTGGTAGAACGCTTGAATTTAATGCCGGAAAAGCATTAGGGGGAACGAGCACGATCAATGGTGAGTAATTCATTACTGAAAGACATTTGGAGACTCGGCTGAATATGGCAGGAATGACATATGTACGAGCCGCACCTCAACAAATTGACTCATGGGGACAACTTGGTAATACTGGCTGGAATTGGTCCACTCTCTATCCGTATTATAAGAAGAGTGAAAGTTTTACAATCCCGACTCATGCTCAAACAGCAGCAGGTGCATCATATGTTCCCGCATTTCATGGAGAAAATGGACCTCTTAAGGTTGGGTATGCGTATGATCTCAACAATGGTTCTCTTTTCTCTCATGTAGGAAAAGCCTGGGAAACTCTCGGAGTGAAGAGGACACAGGACATGAATGGTGGAAATGTAACTGGATATATGGTGGGACCATCTACCCTCGATCGAGAGAAGAATGTAAGAGAAGATGCTGCGAGAGCTTATTATTATCCTATTCAGGGTAGGTCGAATTTGCATGTGTTTTTGAATACTACCGCCAGAAGAATTGTTTGGGGTAGTAACTTGGGAGCGACGTATACGGCAAGTGGTGTAGAGGTATTGAACTCGAATGGGGAGATTGAAGTTATCAATGCGACAAAGGAAGTCATCGTTTCAGCTGGAACTTTGAGATCACCAGCTATACTAGAACTTTCTGGTATTGGGAACCCAACGTAAGTTTTAACAATCATTGAGAGTGCGATATTTTACTAAAAAGCTTAGTATCTTGCGAAAATATGGTATACCTATCAACATTATCCTCCCCGGCGTAGGGGAGAACCTCCAAGATCAACCCAACAATGTCCTCATCTACCAGGGTAACACCACATACAACGGAACAGTGCCTTATGTAACTTATGCTCCGTTATCCTCAATTCTTCCAAGTGTACCGGCTGCGAACATAAGTACCTGGGCATCATCAATCTCTGCTGCAATCAATAGCTCCATTTCACCTGGAGCTATGAATTATCTTTTGACCATTCAAAATGATCTCATCAATCAAAATGTCCCAGATATCGAGGTTATCTTCGGAAACACAGTAACCCTCGGTTCAGGTCCAAGTGTCTACCTAGACACGGCGTTCTGGGGTCTCTTACCATTCTCTAGGGGTAACGTCCATATTTCTTCCTCAGACCCTACCATCTATCCAACCATCAACCCCAATTTCTTCCTCGTAGATTTCGATCTCAAAGTCCAAGTCGCAATTGCAAAATGGACTCGAAAATTTTGGGCGGCCAAACCATTAGGTAGTGCGTTCACCGAAATATCGCCAGGGTATGCGGTTATCCCTAAAAATGCTACCGATGCACAATGGGAAATTTGGATCAAATCAACATGTAAGCTTTCCCTTTTCCTTTTAGGCCTCCAACTCTCCAGCCCTTCAAAGTGATTGCAATTGCTTAATGTCATATAGTTGGCCCGAATAACCATCCAGTCGGTACATGTTCTATGCAAGGAACCACATCCGGCGGAGTAGTGGATTCTAATTTGAAGGTATATTTGACAAGTAACGTGAGGGTAATTGATGCTTCTATTTTACCTTACCAAGTTAGTGGACACTTGACGAGTACTCTGTATGCTGTTGCGGAGAGGGCAAGTGATATTATCAAGACCATCAATAGACTGGTATAAATTAAGTCTTAAATAGCATCTTGAATATCGAGTTCACAGAGAAGGAAACATATGTATAATATGTGGGCAATTCGCTAGGTCGAGAAAGAAAAGACGGAGGAGAATCATCGAAAAGGCTAGATCATACCCCGAGTTACATTCATTGGTCAATTCACGCTATTTTATCCTCATTTCTTTCCATCGGGAATCCGGTTATATACCTACTGCCATCAATTCGGCTTGCCATCCCATCCCATGCTTCAGTTCAAAGTCATTACTCGGTTCGGTGTACCTGTTCGATTAACCTTTTACCAATAACATTACAGTACCGGTATGTTTCTCCGTTGTTTGCTTACCCATATTCAATTTTGATCACCTTTATCAATGGAAAATACCCGAATTTGTATAAGTATCCCCGTTAGACCCCCGTATGTGCACATCCTTGTGGAAATTAGACTTCGCTGGCGGTTAATCTTTTTTTTTGATTCACAAGAAAATCAGATGATTGGTAGCCTAGTATACAATATCCTTGTCTAATTCATTGTAATATATCGAAACTACTGAATTCGAAAGATACGAGTCGTAAAAGTCCTTACCTCTCTGTTGCTTTTTCTTTGGATAAAATTCAAACAAACCTCCTTTTGGTCTATGCAATGTTTGTTTGTACTTGTACTGTACTTACTACTTTGCATTCAATGGTGCACCCTGAGGTTGGTCACTGATTACGGCTAATCAGGACCATGGTATCGGATAACTGCATAAGGCCAATCACCGCACTCTTCCTCATTACTCTAGTAGTAGTTAGGGTTTGGATCTGCACCCCGCTATACTCTGACAAACGTTGAAGCAACCTTGTGTCGCTCAGACCGAGAACTTCTCTTCGTCTCAGATAAAGGACAATGGATCTTTATATGTTAGACTATCTCCACTCAACGCGATATTTACTAATTTATGAGATATAGATTCTTCTAATTGACATAAAGTCATCAGTTACTGTACCGGTGTTCCTAATTATCTACCCACTAATCTAAACTTTCCAATACCGTACATATATCACCATCATCTTAACCGTAGCTCATGTCATGAACTAAGTAATTCTTGGCATTGATGTGATGGGGTAAGATCAGGGGTAATAGGAAATTACACCAACTTTACACCAACATGTGCCGCAAGTCTGTAGCCTTCTTGCATATTAATTTTACTATCAAAACGGTTTAGTCTAGTCGAACTAGATTATCCTACTGATCAATGATGAATACAAAAGCTATGAGGCTACCCACTCTATTCATTCCTTCGTCAGATCTTTTCTCCATTTAAGAATTCACATATCCTCCTCCAGGTTTTATCTACCATCCACGCTCTTTAAAGCAACAGGCTCTGCCAACTTACACTCTTTCTAAATCTCATCAATTAATATCCCAAATCTTCATAATGTTCTCCAAGATCTTCTCCTTCACCACTTTAGTGGCCGCGGTCTCCGCCTACACCGTCCTCACTCCAACTCTCAACTCCACCGTTGTAAAGGGTAAATCCACCAGTGTGACCTGGTCTTCTGTCGATACCGACGCTTCCACTTTCTCCATCTACCTCGTCAATTTCAAAGATTGGCCTCCAACCGTCATCTCCCTTGCTCAAAATGTCCCTCAATCAGAGAAGAGTGTCGATGTCACTATTCCTTGTGACGTGACTAGCGATTACGGATGGCAACTCAATTTCATCAATGGCACCAATACCTACGTCATCTACGCTCAATCCAACTCATTCTCCCTCAGCGGATCTTGCGTCAACCCAACAACAACTTCGTCAGTCTCAGTCGCCACAACCACAGCCTACGCTACTAAAAACTCAACCGTGACGGCTTACTCAACTGCAACCACAACCGCCATCTCCAAAGTCATCGAGACAGTCACCTTTACAAGCCCAATCGTCTGGTTCGTCCAACCTACATCCATCGGCTCAATGTGTGCTCCAGAAAAAACAGTCACGGTCTATGCTAGCGGTCCATCCCCAACAGGCACTGGTTCCGAATCATCAGGTCACGGTTCAGGCTCAGGCTCTGGTCCTTCAGGAACATATGGTAACTCTACCACGCCGGCTACAAAGCCAAGCTATAGTGTATCTCCATCTGGTACGGGTGCAGGTGTAGGTGCAGGTTCAGGACCAAAGAGTACGTCGACTACTACACCTGTTTTCACGGGTGCTGCTACTTCCGTTCAAGCAGGTTCTTTGCTTGCGTTGGTTGCTGGTGCGGCGGTTTTCTTGTTGTAGGTTTTAAGACTTGGTTTTGAGGCAGAGGAAGGGAGTTGAGATGGGAGATATGAGTTGTTGGGTAGATTGGATTGGATGCTTGCAATTATAGAGGGAGTTGGGTGTTGATATAATGGGAGGAGGAGAGAATGGTAGAGAAAGGAAAATAATATTACTGGATAGATTTTGATGTACAAACAGACAGATAAGATACACAGATACATTGGTAAACAAGATGCTGGTAATTAATGTTTGAACAGTAATAATGAATAATGTCCTATCAATATCATGATATTAATGTGTCCAATATGTTTTTTACATACCCACTGATAACTCGTTGCCCTCTTGCTACAAATATATATATTCCTCACTCACCCTTAAGCTTCTCCAGAATACATCCTGCTCCAACGAAATATGTTCCCATATAAATCCAATCTACTTAACTCAATATCTATACTTGTATATAACACATAACACATAATATATGACACATAATCTCCTAACAATAATAATACCTGACCATCCCTCTCCCCTCTCCCTCATCCCCCTTCTCCCTCTTCCAAACCAAACTCAAACCTAAACTTTGGTTGCATATCTGAATTCTTTTTTACCTCTTCCTCTTCCTCTTCGTATCCCTTTTCCTTTTCTTTTCTTTTCTTTTCCATCTCCATTTCTTTTCAATTTCCTTGATCATTTAAATTGATATAATACTGAGTACTCTATATACACATCCATACATACCCATACATACCCATTCCTCAACTAACCTCATCTCACCTCACTTCACTTCACTTCACCTCACCATACTATTCCCTTCTACTCCACTTCATATACTCCACTCCATATACAGTACAAGTAGCTCAAACCAAAACCAAAACTGTGGGGAAAGGTAACACCGTAGTACACAGCACATAGTATATAGTATATACACAAGTAACTCCTCATTAATCTCCTCTAACACGTATAACCTAACGTAACGTGTGACGACATATAATTGTGTTCACGGGAGTTCGAGGGTTGTGCGAGGGAGAGTAGGAGTGAGAGGAAGAAGAAGAGTGAGAGGATGAATGAACTTGGGGGGAGGGAGTTGGATTGGATTGGATTGGATTGAATGGAATGGAATGGAATGGAATGGAATGGGATTGAATTGAATTATTGTATTGCATGGAGATGGATATGGTTGTAGATGTGAATATAGATATGGATATGGATTCATTTGTATTGCATTGTTTGAAGTAGGAATGTAGGCATTTTGGAGAATAGAGAGGTTGATATAGGTAGGTAGGTAGGTAAGTAGGTAGATTGTAAAAGAGACTTGAGTGATGAGTGAACAGATGAACGAAAGAAGGAATGAATATCGGATTAAAGTACTCGTAGTATCGCATACGAAAATGTTTCAAAACAAGAGGTCCATTAGCAGGTAGGTATACTCGATGACGAGTATAGTATATTGGTGAGAACTTCCCCATATATACTTGATCTCCCTCTCTAACCATTGACCCCACCCAGTCTTCTACCTGTTCTCCAACATATCAATATGTAATTAGCCTATTATTCCTAACCACTATTAAAGTATATGTTCTGACATATAACGTCCAATGCCGAGTCTGGTAATTGGTACTTTATTTGAATCATATTGTACATGACCCAAGTATATCCACGTAATATCAGGAGATCTAGACTTAAATATCGAACATGATTTAACGTTTCCTGATAGTATTCAGAGGTTAAAAAGATAAAGTGAGTTTTCATCCTTGAGAATCTCGAAAGTCAACATGTGAAGAGATTCCCCATGGAGAAGTTGATGCAAGCAAGCTTAACCGATATGAATGTCCGTGTCCTGCATCATATGCATCTTGGAGTAGTTCACCGCACTGCAGTTTCTATATCTTTTAGACGAAAGCGGCAACTTGCAGCGTCTATGTCTCTGCCAATTCGACGGAAATATGCTCGAAGCGAGTTTATATGACGCGTGTCAGCGCGTCTCTTCTTGTGGGAGAGTCAGGCGGATATATCATACGATGTAGAAGTTAAGGGATGAACTTATGATTGCTTTTATCACAAAGTGTACGGAATTGAATGAATCATAAAAGTAGCCTGGCCAAAGATCTGGAGAGATTAACAAAAGTTTCTAATGCCCAAGAGTACGGGATCTCTAAACTCATAAGATATGTCAAAACGTCATTTTGCTCGGGAGATATTTCATTTCGGTTGGTCGTTTTCTCTTGTCTCGGCCGTTCCATTTGTTACTCGCATGTATGAGAGACCTGATTGATCGTCGTAGGTTAAGATGATTTGAGCTGGGGATGAAATAGGGTAATTACCGACCCTGGACAGGTTGATGGCAGATCTTTCAGCCTGATTTTTCTCTGGTAGTGATCTTGAAGGCTTGAGAGTTTGAGAAATGAGGTTGAATGGACTTGGATTGATAGAACTATTATAAGCTTGAAGGCTGTTATGGCGTATGTATTGTCAGCTAGCTATATGTTATCGATGAGAACCTCAATATAGAAGTTTAACATCATTTTGACCATAAATATGTACCACCATACTTATTTGGGTAATCTTATAGAAGCTTGGCTCGGCCCTACGAGTGGACACTGAACACTGGACACTGGACTCAATGGAGGCATCTTATATTGCCAGGATTCAAGGGTAATAATGAATGCCTCGGTCATTTATCACTTTGTTGGCATTTTCGTCTGAACAATTTGAGTTCTGAGTTATCTGATGAAATTATTTGACAGACCGCAAAGCCAAAGCCTAGATAGAAGTCGAAACAACAATGAATAAATTGTGATGAGACAGGAAACTGAGACAAGAAACGCAAAGCAAGAAGCTGTAAAAAAAAAGAATAAAAGCAATTCTATCTGATCCACTTCCCGAGTTGTCCCTCCCGAATAGAAGGAGTAGAAATTGGGGAAATCTAAAATGGATGGACGAGATAATGAAGACGATGAGATGATGAGACGATGGTTCCTCGTAAAATACTACACTACTCTAAATAACGAATCATCCTAGATAATTTTTTAATTTGTAGTTTCGTATAAAGTTTCTTCATCATATTTTGTACAACAGTAAATTTGAATATTATCCAGCTTACCCCTAGTATAGCTTGACTACGAGTCTTGTTGTCAGTTGGATGATTAGAATGATTATTAGATGAACGTTCGGACGTCTTGTATACCGGTAGTAGAATTGATTTCAGGTACAATTCATTTTTGATTCGTTCGCAGGTGATATCCCGTCCCGTGTATATAATCCTAGTTCATTAGATTGACACCCCCTTTATTGTTTTATTGACGCGAGATTATTATTTCTTCATCTCAGCTCAAATCTATCTACTTGAATAGATTCAAACCTTGACTCAAGCCTTGTTTGGACCCCTGCTTTGTGAATGATTTTGTCAATATATATTTATAATGACAAGCATATCATATCACCGATTTAGTTAAACTCAAGAGGCGCGCCGATTTGATTGTCAGGACTCAGGAGTGTATCAGTATGCATCACTGCATATTGAAGCGGTATAAAAATGATGATAGTAATTGGATAAATCTTGGGGGGCACAACCTTTGTTATGGGTTGAGCTATTAGATAGTTTTATTAACTGGTGAATATGAATATTCTACGCCGCTGCCTCACTTCCCGCTGCCCTCACTTATAAACTATATCTTCTTCATTTAGCTGACACAAGCCCTAACTGTCTTTGCCCCCTTCCCCTTTACTACCTCACCTCACCATGATTTTTGATATTTTACTTCACTTCCATCATATTAGCTTTTATGTTTAGATAAGCTATTAACAAATATTTACTATTGAATATACTATCACAAAAGGAAATAATATATTATTCTATCAGGGGTTATGGTGGTTTGGTAAACGCTTGGTGCACATAGAATTTGAACTTCAGGAAGAAAGGGTGTGGGTATAAAGAAATGGACGTGCATACTTACCTACCTTACCTAGTAATTCGCTTCATCAAATTGAACCAATCCTCTTAACTCAACATTGATTGGATTGTATTTTGATATCCCATTAATGATATAGTGAGAAGAGAAGAAGAGAGAAACCAAAACAACGAAACTCTTTTTTCCCAACCCCTTCCTCTCTTTCGTCCGAACAGTCGATCAATCGCTCATTACACTCATTCTCCTCACTCACTACTCACTTACTCACTCACTTACTCACTCATCCACTCACTCTTCCCGTCCAATCCCTTCATTTCTACACCACATTCGTTTTTTAAATCCCTAATATACATCCACACCTCAAAAGAAACGTTAGAGACGTCTGCCATTCGAAACACAAAAGGATCATTCTTTGGTAATAAGACTGAAAGGGAAGAGGCAAAGTTGAGACAGGCGGATTTGATCATAATATTTCAATATTCTATACGATACGATACTTCCTACTTCCTCCGCACAACATTCACTTGCGTTCATTCATTGGCATAAGTTTCTTGCAGATTCACCATTCCCGACTTTTCTACTAGTTACATAGGGATTTGCATTTTTGTGGTTATCAACAACTCGATCTTGTTTTGAAAACATCAACTCAACATACGTTCCTTTTGCTTCCTCCCCGAAGCACCATATTCGAAACTTGATACAAATTGTGCAGGCCACTTACTCGACTGATTGAAGGAAATATTGACGAAGAAATCTATTGCATCAGACTCCTATGCAACTCAATTTATGCACCCAGAAACGAATTCCATTCCTCAGGGGTACCGTTTGAAGCACAACTTCCGATAACATTCCGTCACTTCTTATTAATAAGTTGTCAATATTGGTAATTGACAATTGCAATACGAAACATCTTTGCGATTGCTCACAATTCTCGTCTGATCAGAGCCGACCCGTTTGTTACACTTCTTCCGTGCGTAGGTAGTTCACCAGAATTCCTTTACCTCAAACAGTTTCAAACTTTCAAGGCTAATGCTTGTATGTCAAACAGTTCATTTTCGATTTCCCCAACTTTCAGCCTGTCGTTCACGCTTTGGTCTTTCATCTCGAGTCATTTTCTGCTATCCGATATTTCGGCATAAACGACTATCACTCAGTAATTGAAGCCGAGGATTTGAAAACTCTCTTGTTAGTTTTCACTCGGAGCTTGCAACTTTTTACAATATTTTAGAATTGGGTTGATAATTCGAGGATTGGAGAGCAGGAGCAGTAGAGTCATAGTGCGAGACAGTCAGCATCATGTTTCGAAGTCGCAAGAAGAGGGATGCCAAGGATGCAGCAGAAGGAGTAGGGCGAGGATCCAGCGACGTTGAACACACTCCGATTACTAAATCCTCGAAAACCTTCAGACTTGGAAAGAAAAAGGAAGAACCAGAACCGAAATTGGAATTGGACCTTGAGAATGCTTTACCGTCATCTGATGACTTTCGAACGAGTCTGTTAATGAATGGATTATCGGCTCGATTTTCCATGTTACGAGAACAAGATGATCCAACTTCAAAGATTGGTAAGGCTAGTGATGATAGTGTATTGTTTCCCAAACGAGCTTCGAAATTAATTGATTTCGGATTTCAAGGACACGGTCTTTCTGATATCGCAGAGGTATCGTCAATACACGGATCGGTTCGACCGCCAATCGCCTTCCTTAGGACTGATTCATACGGCGATGGTTATGGAACGGATGATGAATCTGTACACACCGGTAGTATTATGAGTCGACCAAAACCAGGCGAGGGCAACATTCTTTTCGGTGGTCGTCAAAAGATTTACAAAATTCCCGCAGGATCAAAGAGTTCAGGTGATGGAGTTGGTTTGGGTGGTCGTGTATTATATGACAATGATGTTAGTCAGTCGGCTTTCCAAAAGTTGCGAGAAAAGGAGAGGGAACAACAATGGGAAGAGCGAAACGATGATGAAGATAACAACGCGGATATGTCGACAGCAGGGCACTCGAGAGCTGGTTCCCCACCACTGGCTGGATACAATCGTAATCGGGAAACATCATCTACCACCTCCTCTGGACCAATTAACACAAGGAGTTCTACAGCTGCAACATCTATCACTTCACAACGTACCCCATCTTTGAGTGGATCTCATACACCGGTTTCAGCAGGAGGCTCTATATCAAATTTCGGTATGGATAGATCTTCAACTAAAATGCGCCGACTATACGAAAATGGCTTGGACCAACATGTGCATGATCAACAGCATTCGACCATGAATAGAATCGATACCCTGACCAGACAACGTGGTATGGGCTCCCAAACTCCTCCACTTACGATGAATTCGCCTACATCGACTACCACTCACAATGCAGCTGACAAATGGGATCGCAAGCCAGTACTTGCTAAAGGTAGTATGCCTGAATTGCGTGCCGCGAGTCCACCACCTAATTATGGTCTTCCGTCTCCCATTAGTGGGTTCGACTTTGGTCCAATTGCAAAGTCAACTCACTTGGCGGTAGAGCCGAAATCACAATACGGATTTTCAAACCCTCCTTTGAGTCCTCCAGTCAGTGAAAATGATGAAGCTGCACCACCATCACAAGCTAATGACGGGATCAAGGCTATGATGACTAATGCACCCCCTAAGTCGGGTCAACAGTATGACGAGAACAAAAATCATCAGCAACAGCATCAATTCCAAATGAAAAATGGAAGAGAGACATCGCCTCCAAGAAAGCATTCCCCGCCAGGACCTTTTGTCCCAAGACAACAACCTGGACCACGAGTTCGGACCGATTCCGGTGCAACAGACCATCCTCATCAAAGACATTTCCCACCTAAAGATCGTGCTCCCGAGCTACAATCCCCGAAGCAACCACGAATTATAATTCCTGGAAGTGAAACTAGTCCAGTACCATTCATAGGTTCTCCAAATGGTCGTCCATTAGCATCTCCTACTAGATCGGAGTTTTCTACCAAGTCACAAATCAGTCGACCATGGGGACTTCCTCAACCCCGCAGTTTTCCTAATCTGAAATATCGTAATCACCAGGATCCATCAATGACACCACGACCCGATGAATCACAACATCCAGCGAATCAGCCAACTACTCCCGCCACTCGAGGTCCACAGCAGCCACTACCTGCGCCCCCAAGCAGCCCTCCAAAGTATTTGGAAATTAAGACAACACCACCCGATGACGGTGAGAGACAGCCTGAATCTCCAGCGGACTCCCCAACCCTCCCAGGTTTGAGTGGAATGGTCCGCTCACATTTGCGATCTGACAGTGACAGCTCATCTATATACGGAATAACCTCATCAGGATTTAATCAACAAATATTTTCTAATCCTATTGAACAAGCTACTCAGGATTCCAATGAGAGAAGAAACCCTTGGGACATCAATGATTGGGACGAAACCCCAGAAAGTCCTTTTGTCAAAGTGAATAGTGCCGTTCCCGCACCTCTTGCAGTGATGTCGACGAATTTGGATACCGAGGTTGAGTCTACACCAAAGGCCGCATGGGAATTAGAGATGGAATCACGTCACAATAGAGATGGAAGTTCAGCTACACAGCAAGAGCGACAAGAGTTCAGAGACGAACTCGCCCAACGTCGAAGGCAAGTCCAAGAAAATTTGAAAAGCCTAGTGATTGAACCTGAGCGCCAGCCCGAACGCCAGATTACTTCACCTACGCCAGGTTCCGCCGTTCTATTGAAAACCAAGGCCAGCCTTGGCGCATTGGCATTGAAGCAGAAGGAAGCCGCTGGTCAATCTAAAGCCATGAAATTGTTTGGAATGAGCAGCAACCCAATCCCACAGAATGGACCTCCACAACCATTCAAGCAGAGAATCGATGACAACTCATGGAAGGATGAAGAAGAGGAAATGTTACGAAATGCCGTTAACTCAACGCCTCCTCAGGTGAAGGCTTTCCGACAAGCTCGACGAGATGCACAACGTGATCGTGAGCATCAAATCTTTACGAGGAATCAGCAAAATGGCGAAAGTGGATTTAATGAGATCAGTTGGTCAAATCCCAGGCCTAGTGACCCCCGACAAGCGCATCCTTATGAGCCAAGACAATTGCAGGGAATGAATGATGGATTTGCCAATTCCGCACCGCGTCAAAGAGCCCAAAGTCGAGAAAGAAAACCTCCACCAGTGACACATTCCCAACGCAATGCAAACAGAGAAAGTAAGGGTAGTATCGCTACGAATAATTCTGGATCACGACCTGCATCTCGTACTTCTCGTGATCGTTCGGGTTCTGATGCTTCTGGCCGATCCAAGAGCCGCAATGGCCGATACAGAGATGATCTAGCTAAAGCGATGGCTGAGGGAACGGGTAGTTCAAGCCAAGGAGTTGTTGAGGATCTTCAAAATGCCCGCCTCATGCTCAAACCTACCGCGTCAGGTATATCCCCTGGTTCATCCCCAGGTTTTCCACCCGGTCTTTCTGGTCGCCCTTCTCCTCTCCCATCTCCATCAATGGGCTCAGGACCCAGGAGTAACATGAAAGCACAAGCTTCAAGTTACTTTGAACCACAGCATATGCAGGCACTTCAAACCGGAGATGCATTGGAAATTGGTATTTCACCTAGACCATCACCACTCACCCCATTCTCCGTTCATTCTACACCATCTTTGATCGACCCATCATCAATTGGGCCACGATCAACAACTCCAACATCTTCTATGGCAAATGGCCACATAGCCGCCCGTAAGAAGTCTATCACCAAATCCGAGATCTCGGAACCAACTTTCATATCATCCACTTCTCGCATCTCAACAATTAACCTCCCACCTGGATCGAGCCTTCAAAATGGTATTGTTCCGCCTATTCCTGCTGTTAATCCGAGAAGAAGACAAACTAGAGCTATGTTTGGTGCGATTATGGGCAAGAAGGACTCTTCTGAATATCTGGAAAGAAATGAGATATCATTGAACACGCAGAGTAGTGAAGAGATGAGCACATTCTCAGACGAGGAGGTAAAACCCAAGGAGAAACAAAAGCAGAGATTGAGGAAGAGTTCGAGCGAAGGAGGCAATTTAAATGTTAAAGCGAGAGAAAAGGCGTACAATGCGCCAAGTCCGGCTATGCCAGATTTTCCTCCTGGAATTGGGGCTGCGAGAGGGCCAACCCCAGTTCAGGACGGAAGTATGTTTTGATTTCGATATCATGGTTCAAAAAAAACCATGTTAGTTTCTTTTTTGTTTGATCTTAATGTTTTACACGAGCTATTTTCTTTGTACATCTGCCTCGCGGCAATAAAATAGGGCAGACGGCATATTGGCGTTTTCAAAGGAGCGAAGAAAGAATACGTCCATATTTCTGTTTCATACCAGAAATTGGGAATACCATATTCAGCGACGGGGAAGGATGATGGAAGGAGGGATGGAATATGTAGCGTATTGGGATATTTTAATGGCGCAGCGGGACTGGGTTATTGAGAATGGATTGATGGATATTTAGTGAGCCGAGTAGGGATGGGTTGGGTGGTATGGGGGCTGGGTGGTTTGTAGTGTATTTTTACTGGTGGATAGTAGAGCTCATGCATTAGGCATTTGAACCTTCATCGGAATTCATAGTAACAAAATGAAAAAGAATGAAAAATGCCTTAAAGTATACTGTGATATTCGAATCTTGGGAATAGTTGTTGTCCTGTTTTCTATCTGTCTATTGGTGATGATTAGGTTTTATAGGTACAAGTGATGGAATTCCATACATAGAAAGAACCAAGCCAGAACCATTCCCTTACTAACTTTGTGCATTAATTCTTGTGACACTAACCCAAGAACCCTTCGACTGGCTGATTCCCAAATAAATAAAAGGGGGGCCGTCAAGACGTGGAGATTTGATATCAAGGGTCTGTTCGCTAAGATAGCAAGCTGGCATCTTTAAATCTTAACCCCACAGCTTTGAAGCTATCTCGAGTAGCCACCATATTTGCTATCTTTCTTTTGTGGAATACTCGTACAAATTACATTTTATTACATTGAGAGCTTATTAAGTTTTCAGATTGTATAATAATGGTGGCAGCTTCAGCATTGGTGCTTTTAAGCACTTTATCTACTTCGGTGCTTGCGGCGGAAGCTTCAAGACCGAGGGGTGTTGGGCCTGAGTGTATGTACTTGTCTTCCTCCAAGCAATGGACTTAGTTGCAAAATCATCAGTCTCCCTAGACAATACTCCAATAGCTGGCATACACTGACTATCGTTACCTGCAATATAGTCGCGAAATTCTATAAATCAACGGACAAATTCACCTGTCTTTCAAACCCCTCCATTTCAATCGATATCTCCAAAGTAAATGACGATTACTGCGATTGTCCAGATGGAAGTGATGAGCCAGGCACAAGTGCTTGTACATATCTTTCCAATCTCTCACCCCCTCAACCATTGCAGATTACGACGGGTTCGATCCCTCATAATACGAGTTTAGCCTTGCCGGGATATTACTGCAAGAATAAGGGTCATATACCGGCATATGTGCCATTCACATATGTAAATGATGGAGTGTGCGATCATGAGTTGTGTTGTGATGGGAGTGATGAGTGGGAGGGTGTTGGAGGAATAGAATGTGCGGATAAGTGTGCGGAAATTGGAAAGGAATGGAGAAGGTTGGATGAGATTAGGACGAAAGCTTATGTGAAAGCGAATAAGAAGAGGGATGAATTGATCAAGGAAGCGCAGACTTTGAGAGCGGGTGTGCAGATGAGTATTGGGAGGATGGAGTTGGAGATTACTCAATTGGAGAAGAAGGAGCAGGAGCTGAAAGAAAAGTTTGAGGAAGTTGAGAGGAGTGAGAGAGGAAAGGTGGTGAAGACTTCGGAGGGGAAGACTAGTAAGGTTTCGATTTTGGCATTGATGGCTAAGAATAGAGTTGGGGAGTTGAGAGATACATTGACGGGTGTTCAGGCGAAGAAGGTAGTTTTACAGAATAAGGTCAAGGAATTGGAGGGGATCTTATCGAGATTCAAGGAGGAACGTAATCCTAACTTTAACGATGAGGGTGTTAAGAGGGCAGTTCAAGCCTGGGAGGATTATGCTGCTACGAAGGATGCTAGTGAGGCAGATGATACTACAAGTGAAGATGCCGCTGTGGAGGAAACGGCTAAGGCTGAGAATGATGGGATTGAGTGGGAGACATGGGAGAATGATGAGGAGGATAGTGATGTTGATGCTCGTAAGTTATATCCTAACTCTTCATATTGTTTATTTAATTTCTAACACATGATAGTCTACAAATTTGAAGAATATCTCCCTGAATCTATTCGTGCCTGGGTCCACCAAAAGGTCACTGATCTCCGCATCATCCTCATTGAAAATGGAATTCTGGCCGACAACTCCAAAGCCGGATCCGAGTCCAAGGCCGTACAAGATGCTAAAAATGCTTATCAAACTGTTAGCGATGATGTTGGTATTAAGCAAAAAACCCTCTCTGATCTCAAATCAGACCTCGAGAAAGATTATGGCGTGGATGATATATTCCGCGCACTCAAAGGGACCTGCGTAACCAAAGATTCCGGCGAATATGACTATGAACTCTGCTGGATGGATAAAACTTCGCAGAAATCCAAGAAAGGTGGCGGAAACACAGGCATGGGCAATTTCGTCCGTTTTGATCAATTAGAAGTCGATGAAGAAGTGGACGCCGAGGGAAAGGGTCTGGGTAAGGGTATCAAGACTACGCTGGTCTATGAAAATGGTCAACATTGTTGGAATGGTCCAAATAGGGCTACGACGGTGGTACTGGCTTGTGCGGAGAAAGATGAGATTTGGAAGGTGGTGGAGATGGAGAAATGTAATTATAGGATGGATGTGGGGACTCCGGCGGTTTGTGAGAGGGTTGTCAAGGGAGGGGCAAAGAAGGATGGTAAGGATGAGTTGTAGATGGGAGGTGTCAAAGAGTTCTGAGGGGGAGGAAGGGGAGGAAGGGGAAGGAAGGGGATATTGGGGATTGAGAGAGGATTTGGAGTGTATGTAGTGAGTGGTTGATGGTAGCTTGAGATATACATATCCACGTGTGAGAGATCTTGTGAATCTAGTGGAATTTGAGACCAACCCGCCTCAAAAGACAACTCAAATGAAGGGGCCTTTTGTATTATGTTCTGATAGATATGGATAAGCAGTGTGTGACCACCGGACCTTTCACATCTTCGAAACTTCCCGTGAGCTTAAGTAACTCTTCTCGAGGAAATGGTTTTGAGAAATTTGTAAATTGATATCTGATGTACAAATTGAGGCCTGGTAATCTTCTAATCATCCTACCATCAACACCTAACACCACTATGCTTTCATATTCATTTCCATATTCCCCTATGACTTCTTGTTCATCGAAAATCCTCTGGTCATGAAATCCCCACCCTTTTGTTTCTGTGCATTGTATCCAGTATTCGAAAATAAACTCTTGAGATTGTCATTCATCCCCAATTTTCTCCTCTTGTTTTGTTCTTCTTGTTCTTCTAGGACTTTGGCTGTTAGATTTGCCGCCGATGCATTTTTGATTCCAGATGGTAATGGTGTAGATGCGCCGTTATTCAATTTTGGTATCGATGCTCGAGTTTCATTCTCTTGTGTTCGTGCCTTGGTTTTGTCGATAGCTCCGTTTTCTTGGACCTTTTCGATGGAATCTTCCTTTCCGCTGTTAAAAAGGGTGGTAGACTCTGTTTCTGCAGCGTGTTTTCTCTTCTTCTTCCCTCCCGGAGCTTTCTTCAGCGAATGCGTGAATCCTACTTCCTTTAATTTGAATGCTCGTGCTGCTAATCTCGCAATATCTTCTTTCGAAATGGGGAGGATAGGTATGATGTTTTCCGCAGTGTATCCTTCATTGCACTCCAAACAGGCATCGCCCTTTAATTCCTTAATCGCAACTTCCGAGAAGGCATGTCCGCATGGCACTAAATAAACAGCTCTGGTAGTGGCGCCCAATTCCTTACTAGTGATAGGACAAATCTTCTTCTCCTCGTTATCTTCCTTCATTGTGGAGAATTTAACCTCGACGATATCGCGAAGTCCCTTGACTCGTCCTTGCAGAACCTCTTCCTTCTCCTTAATGACTGAAGCTGGGACATCATTGTCTTTGGGAAGTAATTGTTCGAGTACAGCGTCTTTGTTGTAAAGAGTGCCAGCGCAATCGGATACTATAGGTGTAGTGAGTGGTTGATTGGAAAGAGGGCAATATGTCCATGCGTGTGTTTGCGCTTCGTGGAGAGTAGCTTTTAATTCGGTGGTGTTGGGGTTGCGGGCAGCTTCTTTTACAAGTTCGCGACGAGTAGGAATACTACCACCATCATTACCCATGATGTCGATTATTTGTAAATAACTTGTACTCGTGGAGACAATTCAATTAATGATCTCTTTCGTATGGTTGATTGGTGAATGATTATAAGTCAAAACAGAAAACGGTTGGAGGCGGTCTTTGAAGCGGTCTTGCTGATAAGGCTTGTTATCGTCACGCTCGCACTAGTGAATGTGTGATTAGCGTACTGTACTTCCATATTGAACTCGTCTGTTTATTCGGTAATGATAACTTGAGCTTTCCGTCACCGAGACAGCGAGCATTCAAACGCCTGTCTGCGCACCACGAAGCTGCAGGATTATTTTACAATCAAACGACAACGAAACATAACTACTACGTCGGGTAGGTGCACGAGGACGGGGATGGAATCCGCATAATTTCGTGTCTCATTGAATTACAATATCATACATTGAGAAGTTGTGAAGGACGTCAAGATGTCACAACAATCCACCCAAGCATTTGATCATTTGAATCGCATTGTGGTGGACTTGCGATCAAGGTTAGTTGTTAATGGGATGGGATATGTTCGTGATGGATGGTAAGGGCTAATGATTTGGGTGCAGGAGCGATGAACAACGAAAGAGAGCAGCTTTAGATCTGAGGGAGTTAGTGGAGGTCGCTTCTAGAGGTGGGCATCCTTTTATGTTGGTCTGAGGAATTGGGAACTAATCAAAGTTGTGTTAGATTTCCCTCAAGAACGATTTCTAGAATTGTATAATGTTGTTAATAGTAAAATTACTAGTCTCATTAGTCATGGAGGAGATCTGGAGCGAACCGGTGGTATATATGCTGTCGATGCGCTGGTCGATTTCGAGGGTATTGATGTTGGACAACGAGTGACTCGATTCGGACAATCGCTTCGAGCTGTATTGAGAGGGAAGGACCTCGTTTCTATGCAACCGGCGGCTGTGGCATTGGGAAAGATGTGCAGACCGGGAGGTTCGTTAGTATCTGACTTGGTGGAAAGTGAGATCAAAACTGCCCTGGAATGGTTACAGTCCGATCGAATCGAAGAGAGAAGATACAGCGCGGTATTGGTTTTGCGAGAATTGGGCAGAAATTCTCCGACACTGGTTTATACTTTTGTTGGACTCATATTTGATCAAATATGGGTGGGATTGAGAGATCAGCGACTCCTTATTCGACAAACTGCCGCAGAAGCTATAAGTGCTTGTTTTCAAATAATCAGAGAGAGAGATCAAAATCTACGACAAACCTGGCAGGTGAAAATTTATGATGAAGCGGTTCAAGGAGTGAGACAGGGGACCGTAGAATCTATTCATGGATCCCTTCTGGTGATTAAGGAGCTTCTTCAGCAAGGCGGTATGTTTATGCATGAGCATTATCCGGAAGTTTGCGAGATTGTTTTCCGACACAAAGATCACCGAGACGTCCAGATTCGAAAAACCGTCGTTATGCTGATACCGGAGTTGGCGAACTACTCACCGACCGAGTTTGCTCAATCATACCTTCACAGGTTCATGGTATTCTTGTCCGGTATGTTGAAGAAGGATAAGGATAGGAATGATGCATTTTTGGCCATTGGAAATATTGCCAATGCTGTTAAGAGTGCTATTGCGTCTTATCTTGATGGGGTTTTGATATATGTCAGAGAAGGGTTGTCCTTGAAATCGTAAGTTATATTGAATATTGTGTGCATGTATTCATTCTAATGTTTAATTCAGGAGACGACTTGGTACAGTTGATCCTGTATTCGATTGCATCAGCAGATTGGCAGTTGCAGTTGGTCAGACCCTCAGCAAATATATGGAGGCACTTCTTGATCCCATCTTCGCATGTGAGCTAAGTCCTAAGTTGACTCAAGCTTTGGTGGATATGGCTTTCTACATTCCACCTGTTAAACCTATCATCCAAGAAAGATTATTGGATATGTTGAGCAAGGTTCTTTGTGGCGAACCATTCAGACCATTGGGCGCACCTACACCAAATAATATTGCCGCCGCGCCAGTCGTACCAAAAGACTCGAAGGATCCACAAGCATACGAGCACCGACAAAGTGAGATTAAGCTCGCTCTGAATACGTTGGGTAGTTTTGACTTTTCCGGTCACGTTCTCAATGAATTTGTGCGTGATGTCGCTATCAAATATGTCGAAGACGAAAACCCTGAAATCAGAGAGGCCGCTGCATTGACTTGCTGTCAACTTTATGTTCGAGATCCCATTGTTAATCAAACGAGTCACCACGCGATTCAAGTGGTCAGCGAAGTTATTGAGAAGTTGCTCACAGTCGGAGTTGGAGATCCGGATCCAGCTATTCGAAGAGTGGTTTTAGCAGCCCTCGATGAACGATTTGATCGCCATCTTGGCAAGTCAGAGAACATTCGAACTCTATTCTTCGCATTGAACGATGAGGTGTTCCAAATTCGCGAAGTTGCTATAGCAATCATTGGTCGCTTGACGCATGTAAATCCTGCATATGTCATTCCTTCCCTGCGAAAGGTTCTTGTTCAAATGCTCACCGAACTCGAATTCTCCGATGTAGCGAGAAATAAGGAAGAAAGCGCAAAACTACTCAGTCTTCTCGTGCAGAATTCACAGAAGTTGATCAAGCCTTACGTCGATCCTATGATTGCAGTTTTATTACCCAAGGCTCGTGATCCTAGTCCGGCGGTGGCTGCTACAATCATGAAAGCTATCGGTGAACTTGCTTGTGTTGGCGGAGAGGATATGATCCCATATATCAAGCAACTCATGCCTATAATTATCGAGGCTTTGCAGGATCAGAGCTCTTCTGCTAAACGTGAAGCTTCTTTACGAACATTGGGCCAACTGGCAAGTAATTCAGGTTATGTTATCAAGCCATATCTGGAATATCCTCGACTTTTGGAGATTTTGCAAAATATTATTCGAGGAGAACCGCAACGAGGACCATTACGACAAGAAACTATCAAACTCATGGGTATTCTTGGTGCTCTTGACCCATATCGACACCAACAAGTTGAAGAACGATCACCAGAGATGCAATTACGTTTAGAGTCAAATCAAATGACGGATATATCTCTTATGATGACAGGACTTACACCTTCGAATAAGGAATACTTCCCAACTGTCGTTATCAATGCTCTTCTTAACATATTAAAAGATCCATCTCTCAATCAACATCACGCTATGGTTATCGAAGCTATCATGTCAATCTTCAGGACTCTAGGATTAGAATGCGTTTCGTTTCTCGATAAAATTATTCCCGCATTTTTGTCGGTCATTCGGACCTCCCCTACAAATCGTCTCGAGTCATACTTTAGCCAATTGAGCCTCTTGGTGACCATTGTTCGACAGCACATTCGTAATTACCTGCCAGATATTGTATTGGTACTTCAAGAATTTTGGAATGCGTCTGCAGCACTTCAAGCGAATATCCTTCAACTTGTCGAAGCAATCTCAAGATCTCTCGAAGGCGAGTTCAAGATTTACTTGGCGGGACTTTTGCCGCTTATGTTGGGTGTACTGGAGAAGGATACTTCCACAAGACGCCTTCCATCGGAGCGTGTGCTTCATGCTTTTCTGGTGTTCGGATCTAGTGCTGAGGAGTACATGCATTTGATTGTACCTGTTATCGTTAGCGTATTCGAAAAACCACAGCAACCCTCCTTTATTCGTAAGGCCGCAATTGAAACCATTGGTAAGATTTCAAGACAGGTCAATCTCAATGACTATGCCTCAAAAATCATACATCCCCTCTCTAGGGTCTTGGCTGGTATCGATAGTTCATTGAGATTGGCATCACTTGATACCCTCTGTGCCCTTATCTTCCAACTCGGAAGAGATTACTTGCATTTCGCTGGCACAATCAATAAAGTTCTCAGCATCCACCAGATACAGCATCAAAACTATGAACTTTTGGTTAGTAAACTTCAAAAAGGAGAAGCTTTACCACAAGATTTGAGCGCTGAGGAACGATACCTGAATCAATCTGACGAAGTCGATTTCTCAGATGTCTCTAACAAAAAACTGGATAGTAATCCCGTTCATTTAAAGGCAGCTTGGGATGCGACGGGAAAATCCACCAAGGAGGATTGGCAAGAATGGATGCGCAAATTCAGTGCATCCGTCTTACTGGAATCACCAAATCATGCACTTAGATCATGTGCTCAACTGGCTTCAGTATACCCACCACTCGCAAGAGAATTATTCAATTCTGCTTTTGTCTCATGTTGGGGAGAGCTATTTGAAGGTTATCAGGATGATTTGATCCAGAACATTGAGATGGCAATCAAATCGCCTCACGTCACTCCTGATCTTTTGGGTATCTTACTCAACCTTGCAGAATTTATGGAGCATGACGATAAAGCTCTGCCAATCGACATACGAGTTCTGGGACGAGAAGCTGGAAGATGCCATGCCTGGGCCAAGGCTCTTCATTATAAGGAATTGGAGTTCTGCCAAGATCAAACAAGTGGAGCTGTTGAGGCATTGATCCAAATTAATAACCAGTTGCAGCAGTATGATGCCGCAATTGGTATCTTACGAAAAGCGCAACTCTACAAGGATGGTATCACATTACGAGAGACTTGGTTTGAGAAGCTTGAGAGATGGGAAGAGGCTCTTGAATTTTACAAAAGGCGCGAAGAAGACTTCCCAGATCAAGCAGAGACTTTCGATGTTATCATGGGTAAAATGAGATGTCTTCATGCCTTGGGAGAGTGGGAATCACTGTCAGCCTTGGCTGAGGATAAATGGCATACTTCTTCACTGGAGATCAAGCGAGCTATTGCACCTTTAGCTACAGCAGCTGCTTGGGGTCTCAGAAAATGGGATCTCATGGACGATTACCTAAGTGTTATGAAGAGTCATACACCGGATCGATCATTCTTTGGAGCGATTCTTGCCTTGCATCGTAATCAATTCCACGAGGCTGCTCTCTTCGTACAAAAGGCGAGAGAAGGTCTAGACACTGAACTGAGTGCTCTGGTCAGTGAATCTTACAATCGAGCCTACACGGTTGTTGTTCGTGTACAAATGCTAGCAGAGTTGGAAGAGCTCAGTATCTACAAACAAAGTAACAACAACCCTGCCAAGCAAGAAGTTATGAGACGAACTTGGGAGACTCGCTTGCTGGGATGTCAACGAAATGTTGAGGTTTGGCAGAGGATGTTGAAGTTGAGAGCTTTGGTCATAACTCCAATGGAAAATATGCAGATGTCCATCAAATTCGCCAACTTATGCAGAAAGTCAGGTCGTATGGGCTTGGCCGAAAAGCATCTTAAGACTTTGATGGGTGGCGATGAGAGCTTAGATGTAGTGTTACCTCAAATTGTGGAAAGTGCGAGTGGAGAACCACTAGTGAGACTTTCAAACAAACATATTGAAGCTCCTGTTCAGTATGCTATTTTGAAGTTTCACTGGGCTGTCGGCAAGCAATCTCAAGCATTGGAAGCTCTGAAAATATTCACATCTGGTTTGGCGGAGAAGCTACAACAAGCACAGATGACAACTCAAGGGGGCGTTATGAATGACATGCATGTCATGAATGGTCATAATGGTACTAATGGGGTAATGATGAATGGGAATGGTTATACTAATGGTCTAGGTGCCAATGCTCATAGCTTGTTAACACCAAAGGGCTTGGCTGACCATACAACACTTCTCGCTAGATGTTGTCTTAAACAAGGAGAATGGCAGGTTGCTCAAAAGAAGGGTGACTGGCAATACAATCACGTCGACGATATCCTCGATTCATATAAAGCTGCCACTCACTTCAATCCACAGTGGTATAAGGCGTGGCATGCTTGGGCTTTGGCAAATTTTGAAATCGTTCAGGCGATTACGGCAGAACCTGGGCATGACTGGCAAATTGGTTCTAGCAACGCCGTCATTGATCATGTCGTTCCTGCTGTTCGTGGTTTCTTCAAATCAATCGCCCTCTCTCAAGGAAGTTCTTTACAAGATACACTGCGTCTTTTGACACTCTGGTTCGCTCATGGTGGGCATGGAGAAGTCAATACCGCCGTTACCGAGGGATTCTCTTCTGTTAGCGTTGATACCTGGTTGGAAGTTATTCCTCAACTAATTGCACGCATCAACCAACCGAATGCTCGCGTTCGCGCTTCCATCCATAATTTGCTCGCTGATGTCGGTAGAGCTCATCCACAAGCACTCGTCTATCCATTGACTGTCGCGATGAAATCTGCTCCGAATACACGTCGTTCACGATCTGCGACTCAAATAATGGATAGTATGAGACAACACAGCCCGAAATTGGTGGATCAAGCAGATTTGGTTAGCAAAGAGTTGATTCGCGTGGCAGTATTATGGCATGAGCAATGGCATGAAGGTCTTGAAGAGGCATCGAGACTTTACTTTGGTGACCACAATATCGAGGGCATGTTCAATACACTCGCACCTTTGCATGATATGCTCGACAGTGGACCCGAAACCTTGAGAGAAATCTCTTTCGCACAAACATTCGGTCGTGATCTTCAAGAGGCTCGAGAATGGTGCATCACTTACCAAAGAACAAAGGATCTCGGAGACATCAATCAAGCATGGGACTTGTACTATCAAGTTTTTAGAAGGATCGCACGCCAGCTACCGCAACTCAACAATCTTGAGTTGGCTTACGTATCCCCCAAGCTTCTTAGTGCTCATGATTTGGAGCTGGCTGTACCCGGAACCTATCAAAGTGGCAAGCGTATCATATCGATCGTTAATTTTGAGAGCAATTTCAGTGTCATTTCCTCCAAGCAACGTCCAAGAAAGCTTAGTCTCAAGGGAAGTGATGGAGTTGCCTATGTCTTTTGTCTCAAGGGACATGAAGATATTCGTCAAGATGAACGTGTTATGCAATTGTTTGGTCTTTGCAATACACTACTTACCAGCGATTCGGAGTCATACAAACGTCATCTCAACATCCAAAGATACCCCGCTATCCCACTGTCTCAGAATTCCGGTCTTCTTGGTTGGGTTCCTAATAGTGATACTTTACATGTCCTTATTCGTGAGTACAGAGAAAGTCGAAAGATCTTACTCAATATTGAACACCGCATCATGTTACAAATGGCTCCTGACTACGATAATCTTACACTCATGCAAAAGGTTGAAGTCTTTGGCTATGCTCTCGACAATACAACTGGACAAGATCTTTATCGTGTTCTTTGGTTAAAGAGTAAGAGTTCTGAATCTTGGCTCGAGAGGCGTACGAATTACACTCGTTCATTAGGAGTCATGTCAATGGTCGGATATATTCTTGGTCTTGGTGATCGTCATCCTTCGAATTTGATGCTTGATCGAATTACTGGTAATATTGTTCATATCGATTTCGGAGATTGTTTCGAAGTTGCCATGACTCGTGAAAAGTATCCGGAACGAGTTCCTTTCAGATTGACTAGGATGTTGACTTATGCCATGGAAGTGAGTAACATTGAGGGAAGCTTTAGAATTACTTGTGAGAATGTGATGAGAGTATTGAGGGAGAATAAGGAGTCCTTGATGGCTGTTCTCGAAGCTGTAAGTTTTATCCCTTTCCTCACACAGATTCATTTCTAATAAATTAGTTCATCCACGATCCTCTTCTCAATTGGCGTTTGACCGGTGAAGCTTCACCAGTTGGACCTAACTTCCGCTCCGAGCGTCGTGAGTCCCTTATCGCTGCCAATGTTCGAAGGCCTTCAATCATGGACGCCGACGTTCCTCCATCAGCAATAGTTTCAGATATTGAAGATCCTATCGCAGCCCCAGGCGGACCACCATCGTCACGTCCTCGTGCAAGAACAAATTCTACAACACAAGGTCCACAAGATATGGAGGCTCATGAAAATCAAAATACTAGAGCAGTGCAAGTATTGATCCGAGTCAAAGAGAAGTTGACGGGTCATGATTTTAAGCCCGAGGAGGAATTACCGTACATTCAACAAGTTGATAAATTGTTGATTGAGGCGACAAAGTTGGAGAATCTTTGCCAACATTATATTGGTTGGTGTAGTTTCTGGTAAATATTTTGACAAAAAATGATAGATGGATTTTAGTAGCAGACAGAAAGGGGTATCTTGCGTGTAAGCTGCTATATGATGGATGGGTGGGGCGTTTAGGACCAAGGCTTGCCGATATGCAATACTTTATAAGGTTGTAAAATTTGGGATCCAAAGTGAAGCAAAGGAAGGGAATCATGTGTAATACTCTTGTACATATAAGCGACTGTTTTTATATCCATATCAGAGGATCTGAACAGCTTTTCGTTGGTACCTTCGCGAAGGATTTGAGGTGGGGCGTTAGGTCTTGGAACGTCCATAAGGTAGGTAGCTAGGTAGTTGGTGATCAAATCTCTAGGAATAATTTTTGATTTGATTGAATGAATACATTTAAGTAATGTTCATTATATTGATAGCATGTCGTCTCTGTGTAATCTATTGACGGAGAAACTAGGAATAGATGATGGGATGGGGAAACGGGAAATGGAAGGTTGATGACTTGTCCGAAGATTAAACATGTTAATCCTATTCCTACCCAATATCTCCAGTTATCCAAGGTCGTTTTTAATGCAACCCTTAATTGTTGATTTACGACTTTCATGAAAATATTTGGACATCGAATAGAATGAAATACTAAGTACCGGTAGGTCATTTGCTAGAAACCTAAATGGGGCATAAGGGCATTCTAGATCGGTATTAGTCATCCAGTCACAAGTTTACGCGACAATAAAAAATTGAGTCGCGTTCTCCTTTCTCATCTTAAAGTGCTTTACAACAAGAAAGATGATAACTCAATTCATTATCATCCAAACTATTATCCGAACTATAAAAATATGAATCGCGGTCTTTCTTTTCTATGTTCTTCAAGTATTCACTTCTTTCTTAATCAATATGAAATCCTCCATGAAGAAAAAAAAAACGGTAAAACTATCAATCAGGTAATATTCTTTCCACCTAGCATATGCATCTACCCATACTGCATAGCCATAGAGATTGCAAACAACGGATTCTCTTGTCAAGTTTCTTGAAAATTCACATTCGCTTTCTTTTTGACTTGATCTTTGGATTCTCTTGTACTTTACTTTTGTTTCTTTAAGTACAATTATCGTCTTTTTTCTCATGGTTTGCTATTAACTTGATAAATCTTCAAATTGTTGAGCACAACCAACATCTACTTGAGAGAAGCATCCCGTGGAATAACCCAATTTCCCTTCACAAACGGACAAATCTTAGGTCATCATCACAATGCCTTCGTTCCCGGACTTCGATCTTTACGAGGCTCTCGAGGTCACTAAAGATGCTTCTGCACAGGACATTACAGTTTCTTATCGTCGATTAGCAAGACTTTACCACCCGGACAAAAATCTTGATAATGCTGATGCCACTGCTGAATTTCAAAAGGTAGGTTATGTGTTTCGGATTCTAAAGTACTTTCGTCCACCCACTAACTTGGAGTGCGTCTAGTTGCAAGCTGCCCACGAAATCCTTTCTGATGAACGCCAACGCAGAGAGTATGATCTTGCAGTAGACTCTGAGCAATTCAGTGGAGAAAGTTCACAACATCGCTCTCAAGGATACGGTGAGTATATGTCTCAACATATGTTTAGTATGTTTGTCCGACATATTTTTACCCAAGCATCCTCAAGATTTGCTCGACCCGAGGCAGAAACATGGTGCCGAGAATATGAGGCTCGAAGAAGAGAAGAGGAAGATGCACGAGAGAGAGAAGAGAAAGCTACAAGAGAAGCCGATCGAGCCGCTGCCAGAATTAAAAGAGCCGAACGCGAAGCTGCCGAACAAGCCAGACGTGATGAAGAAACCAAACGTGAGCAAGCAGCCAAGTTGAAGAAGGCAATGGAAGATGCTGCTATTGCTGCACGTAACGAGGAGGTAGAGAAGCAATTTAAGTTGAAAATGGAAAGAATATTTGCCGCGAAAGGTTGTGTTACGGATGATGAAAAGTACGAATGCTGCGAGCATTGCTCTTTCTGGCCAAAGGAACAAATGAAGAGAAAGTTTAAATGCTTGGTTTGTCGTCAGAAGAGAGGTCTGACACAGTATAAATGCCCATACTGCTCCTTGATCATTTGTCAACATTGTTTTGGCATGAAACGATTCACAAAGACAACTTAATCTTCGACACAATTTGTTATTAGTGGTTGTTTTTCGGTTGATGGGGAGATTGATTTGGCGTTTGATGAAAAAGGCTCGCCGGGTTCATCTATTCATTGCAACTTACTGCTTAAGGTCGGAGATGTGGAGGGGGGTATCGTCTATTCCCTTACAACTTTCAATGCTTCAGCTCGGAAATGGGAAAGGGAGTGCTGGTGAATTTATTGGGATCTGAAAATACCTTGGGTAATAATGGCGTGATTCCTCGGTGTTTATGTGGTATTTTAATTTCTTTTCGCAAGGTTGGGTCAAGTCAAATCTACAGAATCTAGGAGTCAATTTGAATGCAGTATTTCATTTCATGACTATTTCAGTCAATGATCTTTGGGAAGGAATTACTGGTGTAAGAAATACTCTTGAGTTATAGTAGACACTAGATCAAGTATGACAGCTTCCTGTTGTATTTACGAACACATATTTTCTGCTATTCCATTTGATGGTCATTGACCTTTCCTGTTAAATATTCTTCTATGCCTGCATTATCTACTTTGGTGCTCATGATATTGCCAAGTTTCTTGTACGGTTTTGTTTACTTTGAATCCCATCGGGTCCTTTTTGTTCAACCTTTATTTCAAGTCGAAACAATAGGCCAGACCAGGGACAAATGTAAGTTGATGAGGGAAGAATGGATCAAAATAATCCACGACAGAGTTTAAGCACTGAATTGACATTACATATTGGAGATGCGTTTCTGCGAGGTATAGAGTTAAGATCTCATTACTGTGAAGTACCAGTAGTTCAACCTCGTATATTCCACAGACAAGTATACATTGATTAGACGACACGGAAGCAAGTATTATTCTAGCAAGTGATGGATAGCTTCTCGTCTAATTGAGCATAAAATCAATCTTTTCTCTGGTCTACAGAACAGACAGAACGCACGAAGTTATCATCTCTCCTTCGAAGACACAAACTGTCCAAGTGGATAAATAGCAGCAACATAAGGAAAGAACAATAACGATATATGACCCTAGGGAACAGGTAGCCAGCATCCCATACTCCCAAGCTCTAGTATGCATTGACGATGTATGGCCCCGAAGAACAGGCAGCCAGCATTCCATACTCTCAAGCTCTAGTAAGCATTGATGAGGCATCATCTGGATGACGACAGCTATATAATGGGCAGTGTATAGAGAAAAGAGATACATAACAAATTTAGACTAGAAGATACGGAGAGAAGTCAATTCGATTATCATCTTGGAAATGAACACTGATGGTAAATATACAATAAAAAATATATAGAAAAGAAAAGATAGATAATAAGTTCAGAACGGAAGATGCGGGGAGAAGTCAAACCGATAATTATCTTGGAATTTAACACTGATGATATTATTCTTCAATAAAGAGAAATATATAATGAGGAATGTATAAAAAAGAAGAGACAAATGCCAAATTCAGATTAGAAGATACAAGGAGAAGTTAAACCGATCATCATCTTGGATACGAACATTGATAGTATTATTCTTCTATGAAGAGAAATGAAGAATGATGGATGTTTAGAAATGATTGAATATCTCAACAAGGCTATATTACAAGGAAAGATATTTAGTCAATCAAATCATCACCACGCAAAGAATATTAACGATATGTGATCTGGTGGTGGTGGATTAATTATTAGTGATGTCAATAAGTAGTACAAATCCTAGAGGAAATGTACCCATAGTCATGAGATAGTAATAGTTGATTGCCGCACCTTCCAAAGAAGAATAAAACGGTATTAGATGAATGATAATAAATGATATGGTATATTGTTCTACTTTTTGAACCCTTCTGTATTGATTTCATCTCTTGGTACCGTTTCTAGGTCTTTATTACCTGATGGATCAGTATCACCTGAATCACCTGGCCCGACACTTTCTATAGAAGTAGTTCGAACAAGAGTTTTTACACAATATATTACTGATTCAATCAAATATCTAATCCACTTCCTCACGTCATCATTGAAATTAGTTACGCGCATGCCAAATTCTAGTAGGACGTCCTCCCCGAACACGATTCGGATTCTGACCCCGACCATTTCCTCCACCTCTGGGACCATGAGGTGGATTAATGTTAGCAGTGCCAACTCCATTGGTACCACCAACACCACCACCATTAGCTCTACGAGCAATTGGTGTTGCCGTAACCCCTATTCCTTCTCCCCCAAACGTATCTCGAGTCGGAGTTCTATCATTGTCCGATATCTCTCCAACCAGAATCGCTCCACCGCGACGGAGCTCTGCGACCTCACCCTCATCCATTGGTTCTTGAGCTTGAATAATAGCAGGTAACCTATAAGTACCCGCGGTATTATAGGTGCTTCTTGGCGTCAAGGGTAAGGCAGATGACCCTGAAGATCGAGATCGTAAAGAACTAGTACCAAGACTGGGTGTCGCAGCGCTTACTTCGGATGGAAGGGATTCGATAGAAGAAGTCGCTTCGGAACTATTACCGGCTGGACCACGAGCTTCGGGATGGATGGTAAGGCCGGCAGGAGGAGCATGTATGACAGTGTGACCGCTGACGGGATCGGTGAAGGCTTCGGTTCCATTATCTTGAAGAACGCCACGAATAGGATTGCCAAATTGTCCATAATACCAATTACGCTGAATTGGAGGACTCGAATCGATCTAAGAAGATGAATTAGCATGTTTACTACCGTAAAATGGTAGATTAGTATCAAAACTAACCTCATGTTGGCACCAAAACGAACAGAGTCTAACCCTAGACTCTTGAGGAGGTAGTTCGTACTGGTAGACGGCATACACTTGATATCGATGATCATGATAAAACCGGGTGTAGACTCGTGGAGCAGGACTATTGTGGTGTGGATCGGAAGAAGCTTGTGGAAGGTATATGATTTGAGGTCCTTGATCTTCTCGGGGACAATACTGACAAATGTAGTCATAACAAATGTACATAGGTGCCTTATATATTGCGGTGGGACAAACGACGATGGTGGGATTAGGTCGCATAAGGAGAGCGGCAGCCTGGGGTCCGAAATTGTTCATTTTGTCTGATTCGTCTCGGGAAATGGAAGTGTGCCTGGTATAAGTAGTTTGAAGGGAAAAGAGGATGTGTAGACGTCGTAGATCGGGATTAAAAGGAGATGATTGAGCTTTTTAGAGCGATCATCGAAGCAATTGTCGAAGCGAAAGGGGTAAGGAGGGGTAGGGAGGGGTAGGGATGTGCTTTGTGTGACTTCGCAACGTTCTGAAAGGTATGAATAGAGTTATTAGACTCGTTCGACGACTTTATCGAATTCTAGGAGGTGGAAATGTGGTATTAAAAGGCCGTGGGATTGATCGAGGCTCGAATGGTGGTGAGAATGGCTTCGGTGGAAGGTTGAAGGCGACGATACCGTAAGAAGCTTAAAATCTTCAAAGCAATCGTGGCAGACAGTCTCAAGGTAAGTTTAAGAATCCTTGGAAAGAAATGACTAAAGTACAACTGCTTAAAGTGATTCAAGTTGTACAGAAGGTAGGTTTGGAAAGATGGTTAAAAGCTGGTTACTCTGGAGTCTGGATGTTGTGGAAAGAAAAGAGATCGAGCTTGAAAGAAAATTCTAATGTTGATATAGAAAATACTTCACACCAGGCAACTATCCGAGATGAAGTAAGGCATCAGTGAATGAATAACTAATTTCCTTGGTGCTAAAATCCATGTAGGAGTTTATTCGGAGATTGGTTTAACTCCTTGATCTGTTCATCGACTGGTGTTGACAATATCGTCTCATGTATTAACCTACCTCATTCACAAAAGGTTCGGCATTCACCGAAATAAGACTCGCCTGATATGAAATTACAATACCCAAGCTTTACAATCCTTTCCTGTCCTAAACTCACAATCTGTCTCCTCTTTAATTTCATCGATACTGACATTTGGATTGTATTTCCTTAAAGTCAAACCCTTCTCATGATTCACATCAAAGACTGCCAAATCAGTCACTATAATGTGAACACATCTTGCCCCAGTGATAGGCAAGTCGCATTCATTCTTTATTTTGGATTTACCATATTTGTCAACATGGGTTTGAACAACCATAACCTTTGTTTTTTGTGGATTGGAAACAAGATCCTATATTTGTGAGTTTACTAGTGAAGCGAGATGGAAAGGAGAGATAATATACCATAGCACCACCCATTCCCTTTACCATTTTTCCAGGAATCATATAATTAGCCACATCTCCATACTGACTACATTCAAGAGCTCCTAGAACAGTCATATCCATATGACCTCCCCTAATCTGTCCAAAACTCTCATCGCTTCCGAATTTACTGGCACCTGGTAATGGTGTCACCGATTCTTTACCCGCATTAATCCAATCCGAATCTTCCTTGCCTTTTCCTGGATATGGTCCGCAACCTGTCATACCATTCTCACTTTGAAGAAATACATGAATACCCATACTAGCAGCAAAACCAGCAGTCATAGTTGGTATACCGACACCAAGATTACAATTCATACCCGAAGAAAATTCCTGTGCTGCGACATGAGCGATGAGTTCTCTAGGATCTTGCGTCTTCTTAGTTTCGGCCAAAGATTTAGAAGAGGAATCTTGTTCGGCATATTTGAGAACCTCAATCTTATGTTCGAATTTCTCCCCTTTGAATATACGAATAATAATAAATTTGATACTGAGTCTGGAGATATGATTAAAGAAAGAATTGTACAGAAACGATATAGAATACATGACCGTTCTGGATACAATACGGCGATTATCATATGTTAGACTGTCTATTTACACCCCGAAATTTGGTGGCCATCTTGACGAGTTTCCATAATTCAAGCTTCTCTTCATATATCTCATCTTCCCTTATTTCAATCTTCCCATCCGAAGTAAGAATTCTAACATCCTTAATTGACCGTGTACCCCAATCAACATCTTCGCCATTGATGAACGCAATCATTGGCTTCAACCATTCTTTCAACAATTCCTTCTCCCTCTCGGTCAAAGAATCACCATTCCCAAAGAACCAAATTGACATATCAGTTCCGTGAGTTGCACCAAACTCTTTGGGATACCTTTTGTCTACACTTTCGGTCCTCCAATCAATTTTACATCGATGTATATTGTGAAGTGGTACGTGTGAAGATATTGATTCAAGAAAACCGCGCATGGTAGAATGGACTTGTAAATCAGCATATAATTTACCAAAGATATCAATCCAATATGTCGCCGGCGGATTAGGAGAAGCATGGTCCGGTTTGTATTTCTCGCAAATTACCTTTACGATACTTTGAGGGTAATCCCACGAGAGACGATTGACCAAAGTCTCATGGGAGCTTGGAGGGAACACATTTTTGTAAACCTGAAATTCCTGAGTAAGATCCCCAATGATGGTTCTGATACCGAGTTCTTTCATCCTTTTCCCAAATGAGCCATCATAGATACTTGGGAACAAATCCTTCGAGATGAATTTACCATCCAAGAATGGTCGAATAAATACTTGCTTCATCTTCCCAACTGCGGAGATCAATTCATCAGAACTCTTTGTACGAAGAACTTCCACCTTTTCTTTCCCACTCAAAGATTGAGGAATTCCCAAGACGGAAAGTAAATCATCGAATTGTTCTTGAGCCTCAGAGATTTGTTTGGGTTCCACTCCACAACCATTTGACCATTGAATTACCCTACGAATGATTTGTCGTCTGGAATCTCGACCGATATCATAAGCCAATTGATAAAAGGTAGAATAAGAACCAGCGGATAAACCACCAACAGTAATATTCTCTTTGTTGCCACCAAAAGACTCGATATTATCATATGTCCATTCAAGAGCGGCTCTTTGATCCCAAAATCCCAAGTTTCCAGCTGAGGTGTCATCCCATAATTCTCTTCCAGCCAGAAATCCTAATACTCCGAGTCGATAAGCTGGGCATACAATGATACATTTGAAGTCCGTCTCGGCCAACAATGAAGATGGATCATCCGAGTTATTGGATCCTAATTGAAGGAAACCGCCATCTTAATTTATTAACTACAGTTCATACAATGGGTTTGGGAATGGCACGTACGGATATAAAAGAATACTGGCCAGCCACTCAAAGGTGGGATTCCCAGGGGTACGTAAATATTGGAATGTAAACAATCCTCAGTCGAGGGACCTATGTCTATGAATTGTGAAGTTTGCGGACATGGGAAAGACGGTATATTATATATTGGTGGATCATCTTCAGAGCCATACGAGAATTTAAGAGGGAGTGGAAAAGGCTTTTGCCAACGTCGTTCACCAATTGGGGGTAAAGCATATGGTACTTTTAAAAAGCGATAACATTTTGATATATTTGTAGCTTTATCAATGATAGCTGGACCTAAAAGATAACCTTTGCTAGGAATTGATACACGAAGAGAAGTAAGCATGATTAATGAATTGAATTACAGTAAATGGGTTGCTATGAGAAATGAAATTCAATATTGAAGTTGGTTGGGTTGGGTGAAGATGTTGTGAGGTTGTTGATACAAATGAAGTGCGGCGGTTGTTGACGCCGATCTCGCTTCTGATTATCTAGTACAAGTACTCGAGAACCTTAGATTAGATAAGATTAGATAAGATTTAGTTATCCGCTAGACCATATTCAAACACACACGTACCAACCGACCGAAATCAATTCTCCTTCCCTTCCTCTTCCTTTCCCTTCATGTCATACTTATCAAATCCTTGTATCAACTTAATCACAAAAAACTAAGCATCGCCTACGTATCCTGGAGTGAACATTGTGTCAATCAGATGAAGGAGAAGTCGTTTGATTCGTGGTGTAATCCATGTCAAAATTTAGACTCCGGGCTCGAGCCAATTTCTTTCAGTGGTGGTAAAGTTGTTTGGATCCGATGAAATGTCATCAGTTTAAAATGCACTTTCCATAAGCATGGTAAAATGTTATTGGTTTTGATGTAGCTAATGGCAGTACATGTATGTAAGATGCGTTTTGTACAAAGTGAAGTTATGGTCAAAGAAAAGCATAGCTGCTACCAAAAAGCCAAGTGGAGTGGTGAATTCCGACCAATCATGTTTATATTGATTCAGAGGGCTTATTTTCACTTTAATACTTATGATTTCAATAATTATTTGCATTTGAAACGTAATTATATTTACATGTCAAACTTTTCTATTGTTTACTGCTTGATAGATCAATTGTCAGGCCAATTGTCATGAGAGAATGCCAGCTTGGTGAGAAGAAGTCACTCATCATCCAACCCTGTTGAGCTTACCTATGTGCTATAGATCAGAGTAATTGCAAAGACATTCTATCAAAGAACGAGATCAATCATTCAGAAGCTTATTCTTTAGGTTTGAAACTCGGAAAATAATTTATTGGAAAAATGTCAGATGGTAAAAGTACCCAGTTTACCGATGATTATATCTCCACTCACTATTCCAATCATCCACACTCACCTCTATCTCATCATTATTATCGTCTTTCTCCTTCTCAAATCACCATCCGAACATCTGATTTAAAGACCCAAGGTTGAATAAAATATCGACTGTATCGTTGGCGGCGTAGCTTTCTTGTCTATTGGCTTTAATGCGAGAGCACAAGGTTGAGCCCACTTTCATAGGGAAGAAACTGGATTTTTTCCATCACCAAACGAAATCGGCACAAACTTTCACTGTACGATTCATCACAAAGGTCTTTCTCCGTCGAACTTCCGACTATGCATAAGCTTTGGTCATTCCAATTGACTAGTCACACAATCTGATGATCTGATAAGATCCAAATGGAGATAAAGCCGCTCACTAATTTGGTTGGATCCACTTACTCCATCAATTTAAAATGCGGGCTTTCGCTTCAAAGCTAGCTTGGCTTATTAGCATACGTTATATTGACAGTTATGGAGTCGAATGGACGGAACATACCAAAGAACTTTTTACTAGGGTACTCACTGTTGTTCAATAGTAGTCGAGTCCTCGTGTAAAAGGGTAAAAGGTTGCAGATGTTCGATGATACCTAATTAGTAAGTCGGAAAATCCTACTAAATACTGTTGACCGTTTCTTTTTAATTCAATTGATCTTGAGCTTTCTCCATCATGGCCTCATTTAGAGGCATCGTAATAAATAGCCTCCTTCCCAGTCTCAATTCCACACCTCTGAATTCTCTTTTCTGATTCTTCGTTCATTCTATGTCCACGTCCTCATATTTAATTATTGATTTGCTAACCACCCGGTAATCACAACATGAGGTTTCGATTTAATCATCTCGCTCCCAATGAGGTACCCGTCGCACAAGATTCACCTCCTGCCTTATCTATGGATGAAGAGAAATTACCAACGACCACAACCGACGCTCTCCCAGAAAACCATAACGACACTACTAACAAAGAATCTCAACATGGGGTTCAAGCAGCCGAGGCTATCACTCAAGTATGGACTAGAAATCATTTGATTTTAGCTTATGTTCTGTAAGTATAATACTTCAAAGCAAGATTATGACTTCGAAGAGTATTGCTAATGATGTATAATTAGAATTTGGATCATTGAATTTATGCTATCATTCGCTTCCGGTATAACTGGCACACTTACTCCCTACGTGACGTCGTCCTTCGAAGCACATTCACTCACAGCAACAACCTCCATTATCTCTGGTATCATCGCTGGTCTCATCAAACTTCCATATGCAAAGCTTATGGATATTTGGGGTCGTCCTCAAGTCTTTTGTCTTATGGTCGCTTCATGGACCCTTGGAATGGTCATGACGGCGGGATGTAATGATGTTAAGACATATTGTGCAGCTCAAGTGTTCTACAATATTGGATACAATGGAATTGATTTTACCCTTACCATTTTCATCGCCGATACCACACAATTGAAGAATCGAGCTTGGTGGATTGCATTCTCATCTTCGCCATGGATCGCAACCGTTTGGGCATATGGACCTGCTGCCGAAAGTATTTTAAATACAATTGGATTTAGATGGGGTTTCGGTATTTGGGCCATCATTTTTCCAATCATTTGTATACCTTTATTCGGACTCTTCTATTTCAATCAGAAGAAAGCAGAAAAGCAGGGTTTAATTCAAAAAGTCGAAAGTGGAAGGACTTGGACCGAATCAGTTCTCTATTATTGTAGAGAGTTTGATGTTATTGGTCTCTTATTGATCGCTACTGGTCTTGCACTTTTTCTTCTTACATTTAGTTTGTACAGTTATCAGAAAGGTGAATGGAAGTCTCCATTGGTTATTTGTTTTATTATCTTTGGTGGACTTTTTATCATTGCTTTCGCTCTGTACGAAATATATATTGCGCCAGTGACGTTCATTCCTTGGGCTTTAATGAAGGATCGTACTGTGATCTTCACTTATACGATGGTTGCCAGTCTTTATTGTGGTAAGTGTTTCTCATTATCTCAAAGTACTTGTCAAAATACTTTATGAAATTGATAAAGTAATAAATCACTGACACTCAAACTAGCATGGTACATATGGGACTCTTACTTCTACTCTATGCTCATTGTCGTCTTCAACCAATCAATCACAAATGCTTCCTATATCTCGAATATTTACACTGTCGGATCCTGTTTTTGGGCTCTCGTTATTGGAGTTGTGATTAGATATAATGGTCGTCTTAAATGGTTGGCTCTATATTTTGGTGTACCCCTCACCATTTTAGCTGTCGGCCTCATGATCGAATTCCGTCAACCCGATACCAATATTGGTTACATAGTGATGACTCAAATCTTCATTGCATTTGGTGGTGGAACTTTGGTTATCTGTGAACAAATGACCGTTATGGCCGTATCATCTCATAAACACATTCCAGCCATTCTAGCAATGGAAGCTATGATCTCAAGTATTGGTGGCGCCATTGGATCTACTATCGCTGCTGCACTTTGGACTGGAGTATTTCCTGTTAAGCTTGCTGAACTTTTACCAGCATCTTCTCAAGCTGACTTTGATACTATTTATGGTAGTTTGACGGTTCAGTCAAGTTATGCAGTTGAAAGTGACACAAGAAATGCGATTGACCAAGCTTATGGGGATACTCAAAGGTTGATGTTAATTTGTGCTACTTGTCTTTATTCAATTACTCTTGTTTCAACCATGTTGTGGAAGGATATTAATGTTAAGGATATGAAGCAAATTCGTGGTCGTATCTGGTGATTGGATTTATTGAAATTGGGTATTATGGTAGGAAGATGAACAGGAAGATGAACAGGAAAGAAGGGTAGTCTCACGCAACCATTATTCGACTCGAAGTTCGGTGCTAATTGTATCTAAATCTGCAATATTCAAATCCCCCATTATAAAATCTCCATCCATATCAAAGTTTACTGACCAATCTCTCCTTCATTCTATTCTCTTGAGCTTTTCTCAACAGGGCATACAATGTTTGTAGTCGTGGCATTTCCAATCCATGACTTCTCGCAATTCGAATTGGATTCCCAAGAATAACCTCAAGCTCCATTGTCTTTCCTTGTTCCCAATCCAACAACATACTCGGCTTACTCCCACTCGTATTCTTCTGTGTACTCTTCAGTAGCTGATCGGAAGTTGCAAATTCCATTGGTAGTTTGGTTCCCAATATCTTTGGAGCTGTTTCTAACACTTCATCCATAACACCTTTCAAATGAATGTAAAGCTCTGGATCGAGGGACATATCATTATTTGTACTTCCAGCCGAAAGAACCGCAGAAGGATTCATACTCGCATTAATGGCAATCTTATGCCATCGAACCATTTGAAGTTTCCAATGCGAATATTCCTGAGCATCTGAAATCCCTCCTGTTTGTAATAATTTCACAAATGCATTATTTCGCTCGACAGCAATTGTTTGACCATCATTTAACTTCGTCGATTCGATAACTCCAGGTAAATATGGACCAACGCTTATTCTTGTCCATCTATTGTGCTTAATGAACCCTGGAGAACTCTGCTCAGCGCTCACAATGGTAACAGCACTCAAGATGGCAGAATATGAGAACCTTTTCAAATATGGTTCTTCCACACCGAGACCATTTTGAACCAACACAATAGATGTATGACCTTTCTTCACAAGACCTTTTAGGATCTCGGAATCGTCACTGATATCTGGAAGTGCTTTTGTGCTAACGACAATGAAATCCCAAGATTCATTTAAATCTCGAGCTACTTGTGGATTGGGAAATGTTTGATGAGGAATGAATTTATATTTCCCAAATTTTGGTGATGTGATATTGAATCCATTGGCGGTGACAGCTTTGTAATTTGATCGACATATAACGGAAACTTGAGTATCTTGAACTTGAGCAATTCGAGATCCATAGAAAGCACCAACTGCACCAGCGCCGACGATAAGAACTTTGATAGTCATATTGATAATTGATAATTTAGATTCGATATATGAGGTGGTTGTTGTACCGGTACTACTTGTAGTACTTGAGTAGTTTATTTACCGCTGACACCTTACATAATATACCTAGGTACTGTAACAAAGACACCCATATCCTTACGATAAGCACTAATTATTAGTAAAGCCTGTACCAATTTTTAGAAGCTTACGAAAGAATTATAGAACGACGACAACAACTTTTCATTGTCCATTAATTGCTCTTCAGTGTGCACTTTTACAATCATTACATACCGGTATTGAGTGTTACGTCCGGAGAAGAATTGTACGACGCGCACGATGTTGTTCCGGGCTACAATGTTTCGTGTCTCTAAGTTATATGGGGTATTGCACACAGCATCAATGGATAAGAGGATGAGAGGATGAGAGGGAGTATGGATTGTATCTCTCTACCTTCAAAGCCCGTATTTTATGCTAACCTTTACATTGCCACCCAGGACCATATCTGCGATTCACGACGAGCCATCTACGACCGACGAGCACCGATTTTGACTTTGGGGAGTCTACACACGAGAGAGAAATGCGACGAGATTCAGTCTATGTGAAGAGCGACATCCGAACCCGTTCCATAGCACAAAGGCCTTCATACTTTATACCGTCAGTTATGCACGCGAAGTGTAGGATTCAGATCAATTTTCGTGGCCATTTAAGACGAAGAAACATTCAAAATTATTGGCAGATTGGTCTATGAGTTTGGATTACTACAACTTAGCCTCCAACTTCTCAAGCTTCACAACCTTCTCAAAAGATGGACGGTTCCTCAAATTCTCCATCAACACAGTATACTTCGGATACTCTTTCCTCATATCCAAACCAACTCCTTCTCCCCAACGATAAAACACGAAAAGATACGAATCAACTGCGGTCAATGCATTTCCAACAGCCCATATACCATTCAACTTTCCCTCAATCATATCAAAACAAGTTTGAACATTTCTCAATCCCTTCTTTTCAATTCCTTCAAACGCCCCTTTATCATCACTCATTCTCTCTGGTCTCAATATTCCACCAAATGCATGTCCATGCAATGTTCCACTCAACCAATTCAACCACTCATAAACTCTGATCGTATCCATCGTAGTACGTCCCATAAGATACAATTCGGGAGCCAGAGAAGATATTGCAGTTACGATAGCAGGAGTTTCCGTGATGATTTCACTATTAAGTGAAAGAACTGGCACACGCATCTTTGGATTTATAGTTGAGAAGTTTTGAACAAAGGTTGCGTTTGCTTTTGTGACTGAATTGGTGATTGATTCAAAGGGTAGACCGGCCTCGAAAAGAAGAACGTGTGGGCATAATGAGCAAGCGCCAGGTGCCCAATAGAATTTTATTTGTGGTTCAGGCATGATTTGAGTGGTTGAGGTGATTTAGAATGGTAGTATTGAATTTGCGTGAGGATGAGTATTAATTTCGAGTGGACAATGCAATGGAGAGTGAGTGCTTGTGAGGATGAGTATCAATTTCGAGTGGACAATGGAGAGTCAGTGACCAGAAGGAATCAATATCAGTTGAGCTGTATTCAATGAATGCAAATATGTGGTTTCCGGTTCAATGTTGCTTCTTTAATGAAAGGCTCGAGGTAGGTTTATATACTTGGAATTATAGGATATTTCTAATAAGTGTCACCATAAAATCACATCATACAATGCAAGACACTGAAAATTGTCGGTATATTACCAAACTCGGGGATAATTGATAATTGATAAGCCTAACATTGAGGGGAATGATCCCCTTACATCTTCTTGCAGTTCACCCCGCTTCTGATTCACTGGCATGAAGTAGTTATGACCAATCACATTAAAATCAGTCGAATCGAAACTACGGAAAGTCTGTTCCGCGTCAAAGTTGATAGGAATAATGATGTGGTAAGGTAGCATATGGTCTAAACCCATTCCATCCCATCCCTTACGACCATTTCGGAGTTTCCACAATCGGAGCTTAGATAAAATAACCTCAAACAATAAACGCCGATGCCGAACTGACACCTACTACATAGGTGGGTGGATTCTTGAATTCTTCTAATTCGGTAAATGCTATTACCTAATCACTTACTTGTAGTAGCTTTTCCCTGACTTGTACTTCTACTGGATTGGTCCAAAACTGACGGCTGACTAATGTGAGTTCCGATACTCGTACTCCACAAACAACTGCATGATATTCTTCTTGAATTTGCACTCTTGAGACCATTCTGTTTGGATCAATCTCAAAACAGAGCAAAAGTACACATATACCCTCGCACAAGTGAATACATCACCAAGAGAATGTATCAATCAAGTACAGAGATGGATCTAAAAAGATGTCCTCATCATCTATTCTCATGAATGAATTTCAGAAGTCTTCCAAGAAATGTAAGTAATATCTATATTATCTTTTCAATCTACAAGTCAGTTCTAATGAATACAACAATGAATTTCTATGAACAAGAGTTAGCGAGTCTGAGAGCGGAGAATCAAACATTGAAGAAAGAGAGTTGGCCGCCGTCAAGAAAGAAAGCAAGTCGTCCTACTGCCGCGAATCATTAAACCCGTTCATTCCTCCGGCTTCCTTCTCATTATATTCATCAACACCTACGTTCGAAGAAGCAACACGGGAATTCAATACCTGGTTAGACGATCTTGGTCAATATCATAATCCCAAACATTATCCTCAACAATACCTATGTTCGAAGAAGCAATACGGGAATTCAATTCTTCCCTAAGATCACCTCAATGTTAGAATCTTCCAATCTGGTTGGACAATCTTGGTCAATATCATTATCTCAAAAATTATCTTCAATTCAAATAATATTCTCAATTCAGATAATATCTTCAACTAAGATAACAAACTTGATGAACAGTATAACGTGGTTTATCAGTGGGTCGGCCACTTTTACCTCGATTTATTACTTCAAAGCTATATTATTCAAGAACAATTTAATGAATCGATTAAAACTGTTAAGAATCTAATAAACTAGGATCTATTATATCATTCTGATAAGTTCTTGAATTATGACTGGTCTTTCCATACTTGCTACAGTATCGACTAATAGAAGATTCCCCATTAGAATTTCTCTCATTTTGATACTTATTATATCGAATCTGAATCTCTACCTTTTGTTGTGATAATATATCCTCAGCTTCCTGTTCAGTAAATACTTTTCTATTCTATAATTGAACTTTTTTAATATATCGATATTTGCTTAATATCTCATTTGCCTTTTGAAATATATGATTCTCTATATTTAAAAATGTAATTTTATAAGTTAATCATTATGTACTCTTAGTCAAAGCAGTTATAGTCTCGAATATAGGTATAGGAGAATTTGATTGATGTTGAGCAATTCAAGATCTTATTAAAGTTGATTGTGAAAGAGCTTCAATTGGATTATGAGGTATTTGAGAGACCCAAGAATCGGCAGATTCCAAGGGAATGGGTAAAGGGGTAGGTGTACAAATTCGAATATCCAATTTCGAGAGCACAGCTTGAGAGTCGAATGGTATTAGTCCTGTTCCTTGAAAGCCAGCTTTCATATTCTGAATTGTAATCGATTGTTGATATACAGCTTTGAAAGCTGTAAAGAATTCAACCTTAGAGATATGATTGATATGAGCCTTGATAAATCCTTCAATTTGTGAATCATATACTCGTTTTAATACACTAAAACATCCAACATCAAGTGATTGGATTAGATGACTTGAATGCAATAGTAACTTTACACATATAATATCATTTGATTTGCAATATAACTGAAAAAGTATTGATTCGTGATTTTCGTGCCTATCCAATACCATATTTTGCCTGTATATTCGATACCAATCAGAACCACCCTTCTTCAATAAGCTCTGGATCTTCGCAGAGAGCTTTTTGAAAGTCATAAACACGATTAAAACGTGTTTTCAGTTCTGAACATCGTTTTACAAAGCGATAAGCCTAGAGCTTTCCAACCTTCTTTGCATCCCGCGATTCGAGTATATAATTCGCTATATCTTCCATACTACTTAATTTAGGTGCAAATCCTCTCTCATCCAGATCGAGTATATATTGAATAAGAACCTCCTCTTCCAATTCAATCAAATTATAGCTTTT